CGCACCAAATTTAGCCTATACCCTAGTTTCCATAGGCTGTATGGATAAGGCAGGCTACAAGGCCGTCTTTGCGAAAAGCGAATGCGTTATCTATGACCCGAGAGGAAAAATAAGAGGACGCATACCTAAAGTAGGTGGTGTGTACCAGTCGCGAGGCACAAATCTTCGCCACGAAAGCGCCAATGCAGCTGTCGAGCGCATATCTGCCACTGAACTCCACAAGCGCCTTGGCCATATAGCCATTGATGCAGCAAAGCGCATGGTGTCGAAGGGCTTGATCCATGGGGTAGAACTCCTGGAGGATAGGGAAACAGACACTTTCTGTGAAACTTGTGTCCGCGCCAAGGGCAAGCGCGAGGCAATCCCTAAAGTGAAACTGGGTGAGCGTGCACAGGAATATGGCCAGGAGATCCACACCGACCTATGGGGACCTGCACCAGTCGAAACGCTGGGTGGAAAACGGTACTATGTTGCCTTTACGGATGATAAGACACGCGAAACACATGTTTATCTACTGCGCGATAAATCCGACACTTTCCGTCAATTCCAAATGTATGAGGCCTGGGTCCGCAACCACATGAATGCAGCAATCAAAGTCTTACATAGCGACAGGGGTGGCGAATATATGAGCAATGCGTTTAGTGACTATCTGAAAGATAGAGGAATTATGAGGAAACTCACAGTGCATGACACCCCCGAACAGAACGGTGTTGCAGAGCGCGTGAACCGTACCCTACTCGAAAAAGTACGCGCCCTCTTACTTAGCAGTGGCCTGCCGAAATTCCTGTGGGGGGAAGCCATCAAACATGCATGTTGGTTGAAGAACCGCACCTCCACCAAGGCACTAGACAACATGACGCCGTTTGAAGCGACACATGGTGTCAAGCCGGATCTTGCTGGCCTACACGAATGGGGCTGCAATGTACTCGTGCACGATGCAACTGGCTCAAAGCTTGAGAGCCGAGCTAGGAGGGGTCACTGGGTCGGTTTTGATACCGAAAGTCTCGGACACCGCATCTATTGGCCAGAGAATCATTCAGTCACTGTTGAGCGCTCAGTGCATTTTGACGTCGCGAATGTACCTGTAGATGCTGACAACGAACCTCCCTTTGGGCTTGAGGGGGAGCATGATGTCCTGGACCAAGCGCCAAAGGAGAGTGACATTGTAGAACTTAGTGATCACATACCTCATCCCGATTCACCCAATCCCCAAGCAATCCCTGACCCACTATACCCTCAGGATCAAGATCAAGCTGATCCTGATCCCATCCTACCAGCTCCGGTTCTTCCACCTCCACCTATAGTTGCTCCGCGTCGAAGTACCCGCATTCGCCAGCCAACCCAATATGTTCGCGACCTCCTACAAGGAAAAGGATCAGTATCTGGAAATAATGGACCCACCTTACCCAAAGGCATCCAACTGAACGTCGACGATCCGGATGGGAGAGATGAGGAGGAGAGAGATAATGAAGCACTAAGGGATCTCGCCCAAAATGTAGCCATGGTGGCACGCATGGCAGATCTCGAAGGCGTTGAACCCAGAACTATTGAAGAAGCCCGAAAGCGCCCAGACTGGCCAAAATGGGAAGAAGCGATCAATGAGGAATTGAACAGGCTTCGAGTAGCAAGAACATGGACTTACATTGAGAAACCCAAAGATGCGAACATCGTAGGGAGTAAATGGGTGTTCAAGCTAAAGAAAACAGCGTCAGGATCCATCGATAAGTACAAGGCAAGGCTTGTAGCACAAGGCTACAGCCAAGTGGAAGGAATAGACTATTTCGACACATTTGCCCCCGTTGCAAAGATGGCATCGCTACGAATCATCTTAGCGATGGCTGCTCGAAATGATTGGGAAACTCACCAGATGGATGTAAAAAGTGCATACCTAAACGGCGAACTAGAAGAAAACGAGGTCATCTACATGCGACAACCGCCTGGTTACAACGCACCTGGAAAAGAGACCCAAGTCCTGCGCCTAAACAAGACACTCTATGGCCTGAAGCAGGCCGGCCGCAGGTGGTATCAGACTCTATGCGACGGACTCCAGAAAATTGGTTTAATTCGCTGTGAAACAGACCATGCAGTTTTCCATAGGCGCAATGAAGGAGAGCTCACCATTATTGCAGTTCATGTAGACGACATGACTCTCGTCACACCATCAATGACTGAGATGAACCGTTTGAAATTTGACCTAGGAAAACTCTTCGAAGTTAGTGACCTGGGGGAGCTACATTGGATGTTAGGAATAGAAGTGAAAAGAGACAGAAGCACACGCACCTTATACATGTCACAACGCAGCTACCTCGACACTATTGTCAAACGCTTCAACCTAGAAGATGCAAAAACGTTAGCGATCCCAATGGTTGCTAGCACCTACCTGAGTAAAGACCAGAGCCCCAAGACGCCTGAAGACTACGCAGAAATGCGAAACATCCCATATCGAGAGGCCGTGGGATCACTGATGTATGCGGCGATTGGCACACGCCCCGATATCGCGCATGTTGTTGCAATTCTTTCTCGTTTTGTCGAGAACCCAGGTCCGGCCCATTGGGAGGCAGCAAAAAGGGTGATCCGGTACCTAAAAGGGAGCAGAGAGCTATGGTTAGCATACGGTCCGGATGAACAGCCACTTACCGGATACACCGATGCAGATGGGAGTATGAACGAGACCAGGCGAGCCATATCAGGCTATGCCATGATGCTTGATGGTGGCGCCGTCTCGTGGTACTCGAAGCAACAAGAAATTGTCGCGTTATCAACGACAGAGGCCGAGTATGTGGCTGCGACACATGCCACTAAGGAACTACTGTGGGCGAGGATGTTCATCAGCGAACTCTTCAATCAAGACTTACCACCAACCATCCTCCTGTGTGATAACCAATCAGCCATAGCACTTTCGAAGGACAGTCAATACCACGCGCGAACCAAACATATCGATGTTCGGTACCATTTCATTCGGCACGCCATTGAAGAAGGGAAGATCGAGATTACTTATTGCCCAACTGAAGAGATGACAGCCGACGTGCTCACCAAGTCCTTGCCCTCTGCAAAGGTGAAACATTTTGCGGCTGCGTTAGGCCTACGTACCGCTTGAGGGGGAGTGTTAGAAAACGCGAGTCGACAAAGACAAGCGTCGTACGAAGGGAAAGTATGGCGCAGGACACCATACTAGGAAAGTGTAGTGGTAGGATGGCCCGTGCGTTTTGATGGGGCAATTTACCCCCTTAGTTATACTTCCGTTCGAGTTTAAAAACCTTCGTAGCAACGATTGCCCCACCTCAGAGCTTCGCCCACGAAGTCTGAGGTGAGGATCTTATACCTTCCTTATTTTATGTGATATACTTACTCTGTACCTAGCATTTGGTTTATATTAGGTACGCGAATACATTCTCAGAGCTTCGCCCACGAAGTCTGAGCATTTGGTTTATATTAGATCTCTTTGACCTGAGCGTACAGTAGCTCCAAATGGCGCATTGTCATTCAAGCGCATTTTGATCCTCTTGCAACTCCTCTTGCCTGCTGTCCGCAATATATTAACGAACAGATTAATGAGGGAGGGATCTGTGCCAGTGAGTGCGCAGAGTAAAAACTACACGCTGGCTAACACTGCTGACACGCTCCACAGTTTTCAGCATATTTAGCCTGGGCGTAGGCTACGGTCGTAAACCGGCCTGTGCAAACTTCTTACAATATAATCACATTGAAGTTCATACTGCTACGTAGCGCGGCAAATACATTCCATACGCTTCCCTACTTTTCTCCAAGCTATGCCCTTTCCGTTCTGCTCATCCCTGCAGAACGTGCTCTACCCTACCTAAAAATGGTCGATGTACTCAGGCTGCCGATCGCATGATTGATTGGGCTGGGCATGATGTATACAGGGAATGGGGTGGTGCTAACCCCACTAGAGGTTATTACAATGAGACTCGCATTGCAAAACAATCTTCTTCGATCTACCTCTGTGTCCCGATACTGAATTAGCTAGAGAAGACCTTAGCAAAGGGAAGGGGCTTGCCAGGTTCGTTCCGCGGGTGAATATTCATCCGTGTGTGTGGTGCTGATGGTGCTTACGTTGCAGGTCGCGCGAGATGTCTTCTACAAAACTCTTCGACTGTCTGGAGCGAACGGTTGAGGACGCTTGATTGCGCTTTGGTATCATTTGGAGCGCTTCCGGGAATCATTGGACCACTGGCAGTCAGCATTCACCAAGTTTTGCGAGGTGAGCATGTAAACACATTATCTATACTGTGTCGTACATGGCTGTGTCATCGCTCTCGGGAATGGATACTCAAGGTTGCGCTCATCATTTTCATTCACACAATCTTCTACCACTTTCTCAGTCACGGTCTCACTCTAACACCACCATCATTCTTCTCCCCCAAGTTCACCCGTAAAACCAATTGCAGAGAAAATTAGCGAGAGTTGGCTATAGGTTGATACATGTTATACTCCAGCGATTGGTTCACGCTGGCGTCAAATCCATCAATCGGATGAAAGCTAAGGCGATGAGGCCGCCCACCACCACACCACCACATCGCATTCACAATAATAACATTATAACATTTGTAACGAGCGTTAAACGAGTCACAAGATGGCTGTCAAGGCGTCTTCCATGCTGATGAGTCCCATCATTCCCTAAATATAGTCCTCTCATATGTTGTGGCTGGCTCCCCGATTGCTGGTTCCATTCAATTTAATTCAATTTGTCGGATAGGTCCGTACCATCCATTACATGCATTACATAGAGTGTCAAGTACAGACTTCTATCTAACCATCTTTCATGTCAAAGAACTTCGACAAGAGATTCCCCAGTCATATCTCAGCAACCTGCACAACGGCATGAGGCGAATCGGTACTGTGTTGGCTTCCTATGAGGTGTTCCCAGATACCTGTCAAATGGATTCAGGCGCTGAGAAGCGCGTCAGTTTGATAGCAAAATGACCAAGTGACGCCCAAAAGTACTTTGGTCGGGCTTGTTCACTCTCCGGCAGGCGCTCAGATTCCTATGTCTCTGTTAGGGTGTAACATAAACGCGCAGAGGACATGCACTGTTCTGCAAGGTATAAAGGTGCAGCTCTTCGAGGTTAATGCTACAAAACAACTCCCCAGTTTCCACCACAGCGAACTACTCTTTAACAATGACCACCACACTCACTCCCGGCACCTATGTCATCAAGTGCGAAAACCCAGGCAATGATTTCATGCAGCTGAGCGGCACTGCTACCGGCTCTGCCATCTTCGCCTCCACCAGTACAAATACCACGGCCAACTTTGTGGGCGCTGTTGCTCGCAGCTCGTCGATTATGCGCTGACTTTGCTTTCCTCAGTGGAACGTCTTCCCAACCCTGAACAAAGGCTGGAACATCCAGTCCTACTTGACTGGCGATTTTGCTGCGGTTGTGAACGGCAACCTTGTCACCAGTTCCACGCCTTACAGCTGGACTATCGCCTCTCCCAATCCCACTACTGGATATGCCTACACGTACGCGCCGCCTTTCGTTGACTGGTGATGCAGATCAATAATTAGCTTGCCTACACTTTCCCCCTTCTAGTATTCAAGACACCGCGAGTGGGCTTGTCCTCGGCATAACCCTCAACGGTAGCCCTGTTACGGTGGGTACCGTTTTATTAACCGACTTGAAAACTCACCAATTGACGATATGTTGAAAGATCCACGTCGAGGCTTACGACCTTGTTGACAATAGGCAAGCTTGGTTCTTTGTCGCCACAGAAGTGACTCAGGCTGGTACTTCCACCTGAGATCTCGGGGAGTTTTGATATGGTGTGGCGGCAATGTTAGAATAGCTATCTTGGGAAAGTGTCCGTATATGTATGCCAATGCTGATCGTTACAAATTGAGCTAGTAAGTTTGACTACCTTAACGAGAAACAGAAGAAGACGATTGGTAGTGTTGGTATGATGGAAATGGTAGTGTGGATCGGAGAGTCGCGGTGCTATGTAGGTCCGCGAACGTTGTCCCAGCACCGGCACAAGCACCGTGAAAAGCAAGCTTGTGTTCACTATATCATCAGATCGGCATAAAAGTCTCGTCAATCCTCTCCACGATGGCAGCACCGCGATGAGTGCCTAGTCAAGGCAACCAGTACGCACCATAGGCCGCTGAGAATGAGGACGGACATTTGCTGTGCAACAAGGTGCTTCTAAAGATGAGCTGATGGACAGACGGCAAATAACCCACCTTTGTACCGAGTCGCTTCCAAGCAAGCAAAAGACGTCGAACATGATGATGCCACTCCTTCTGCAATTGTTCTACATTGCGTTGGCTTTTCCCATCGTTGGGAGTGTCTCTCGATGGAGGGCGAACTATAGTCCTAAACACACTCAGGTGGTCGTTGGTGCTGAAGATGGGCCGGAAATACCAGAGGATAGTGTGCAAAGTCAGGCTTTGCAAGTTCAGCCTGGTGCAACGTCCTTCATGGATATGATGCGAAAAGTGCGCACTAATGAGGTGTGTCTTGCGTCCTTCACTTTATATCTGCGCATATACTGACACTGCTTGAGTAGGGCTGGATTGGCTTTTACAAAGGAATCGGTTCGTGTTGTCGAGTACATAGTGATCCATTCAAAGGGTATGCTGATAAGCCCCTGACAGTGCCTTCCCTTGCTTTTGCAACCGTCATGACCATGGCTGGTTTGGATATGACTAGTTTTCTGGAATATCTTGAATGGCAACGCTGGGACACTCTTGGCTGTCTGTACATACTTCTGTTTGCCGCGATCAAAGTGATGATTTATGTGGTGGCTGCCGTAATTGAGAATCGGTATGTTTTGTCTGGTATACTACGCAACGCATCGATGCTTTAACTGGGATACAAACAGCGCAATAAACACTCGGTTTACCCTCCCTACATTCTCGCCTAGATACGCCCTCTTTGTTCTGCTAACCCCTGCGGAATGTGCCCGACCTCGGCTTCTCTTCGCTCCTGGCCTGATACTTGCACAAGCGCTGTCCATGGCTTACATTGTGACGGCGTTCGCGTTCCGTGGGTTCCTCGTTCGTCTTGTTGAGCTGCGCCAGCGCCAGTCTGGTGATACGGTATCGATTGTGCTGTTCATCGCACTGTATATTGTGACATTGGTTTGCGATACCATGATTCTAAGCCCGCTTGAGGTGGCCACTGTGCGACTTGCGTTGCAGAGGAGCACCAGTGAAGAACTGTCGCCAGTCGTTGTTCCGAGTGATGGGGCACCTGACAAGGCTGGCGATGAAGTGAAAGGTGGGCTTGCCAGGTTAGTTCTGCAGTTGACTTATATCACGCGAAGCTGATGGAGGCTGAGGGAGACACCCTACAGTGGACTTGGTGACTGTCTGAAGCGGATAGTTGAGGAAGAGGGGTGGGGAAGACTGTATCGGGGCTGGGCATTGACTAGTTTCTGGGGCAGGATGTAGTAGTATATTTTGTTGGAGGCGTGGGAATGGCGGGCCGTGCGGTGTGGCTGAGCCGAGCACATACGCCAGTGTGTAGAGGACTGTCAAAGAGTCAAAAACGTAAAAGCGACGTCCAAGAATTCATATTCTCTATTCAGACGCTGGTTCACTTCACAGGACTCATAGCAACCGAAACATGGTTCCCATAGTAGACGAAGTCGAGGATTTCCTCCAGTCTCTTGAGCATTACCTCCACAGTGTCTTCCCTGATCCCTCGCCTTTACTCCCAAACATACGTGAGGCTGTAAACAGGTTATGGATCGACCTCGCTCGCTTTGGCCCTCCAGGTATCCAGAACTTCCCTGACATTCATATGCCAAGCCTTGGTGCTTTCGAAGTTCCCCCACCACCCCCTCCTCCTCCACCAAAATCTCTCCTCGATAAGACTGGAGATTGGGCTGCCTCGCATCCATGGCTCTCTTCTGGGCTAATCGCCACTGCTCTGGGCGCTGGTTTGCTCGTTGGGTACAGTAAAGTCTACATCAAGTATGCAAACATGAGGCATGCACGGTTCGCTGCCACTTCCATAGATAGGAGACAGGTCGTCGGTCAGTCCACTTTCTTTGCCTTATCAGTGCTAGTGTTCTGTTTCGCATGTGCTTATCATACGTTCAGTTGTCCTCGGCGGTGACCACCCTCTCGGCCTGCCCCTTATCATGGACCTTGAGCAGAAAGGCTACATCGTTATCGTCAGTGTATCCAACCCAGACGTTGTTGACGAAATCGAGAGCAAAGGCCACGGTTATGTCCGTGCACTCGTCCTTGATCCTTACGAGGTATGTTATCTACGTCAAGCAAAACTAATTTCGCTAACGTATCCTATCTCTTATAGCCCGGAACCATCCCTATCTTCCTTCGTTCTCTTGCTTCCTCTTTATCTCGCCGTTTCCCCATCACAGCGGCTGGTGACCCACACGCTCCCTCTACCTCACATCCTCTCCTCCACTCCGTAGTCTCTCTCCTTACTCTCCCCACTCCCTCGATCCACACAAACCCCGCTCCACTCGAACAGCTCTCCCTCCGCTCAACTTATCTCCCCCATCTCTTCGCCACTCACGTCGCCCCCCTCCAAGCCATTCAAGCCATCCTTCCCCTCCTTCGCGCAGATGCATCCAGACCTCACGCCACAATCGACCGCAAATCCGTTATCATCTGTCTCCCAGCAGCAGACGCCCGTGTCGGCGTCCCTTTCTCATCTGTTCGTGCTATGAGCGCAGCTGCAACCCTTCGCGCTGCAGAAGTACTTCGACGTGAATCTGCGCTCGCTTTGTCCGCCAGTGCACGAGCAATCCGCATCGTTACCGTCGACGTTGGCACAGTCGGGCCTTCCCCCTCTGCACAGCAACAGCCTCACAGGCCGCTCCATGCCATGAGCGGCTGGACGCCGAGCGAGAAGACCACTTACGGCCCCGCATTCTCTGCACTCCTTGCTGAGGGTGCCTACGGTGTGCCGAGGTGTCCGACAGAAACGAGCGTGTTTGTAGACGCGATCATTCGTGTCGTAGGTATCGATAATAGGAGGGAAGGTCGCTCGCCCGTCATTGCTCTTGGCCTTGGAATCGTCGACAAGATCAGAGATTGGATCCGCGGAGACCGTTTCTCGGTCGGTGCAGGAGGTATGTCATTCAGTCTTTTGGCGATATTATATTTCGAGAGAGCACTAAATTCCATGTTAGCGGGTACATACGCATTTGCCTCTCACTTTCCTCCCGCGATTCTCGATGCCCTGCTCAACATCCCGAACCTCCTTATAGGACTGCGCAACCGTCTTTTGCCTGTCCCACCCCCTCTTGTTCAACCATATGCCCCTCCTGAACGCCCCTCGTCCTCGGCACTCATAGCTTCCACCGTCATACCTGCCAACATCCCTATCCAGGCCGAGGTGCTGCAAGCAAAAACTGCTCCCCCTCCTATTGTCTCTACTCCGGTTGCAGTTGCAAGCGAGCCCGAGCACGAAGAAGTCGTTCATAATTTCTCCGAAACAAGCTCAGAAGCAGACGTCGAAAGTAGTGCAGGGGATGTTGAAAGCAGCTGGGTGAGCTTGGGACCCCGCCCTGGGCAATCTGTCGCCTCTCTCGAGTGATGAAGTGATTAATCGATGTGATCCCAGCATGTTAAAGTTTCGCTCAAAGTATAAACGTGTATTACCGATTCTAGCGGACGTTGCTGTATCAATTTTGTTTCTGTTTACAATGGCCAGTGTAAAGCTAAATGTTAATAAATAACAGAGCTTGTTGTTTTAGCCCCTCTCAATCATATTTTGTTTCACATCGTGCATCTAAAAATCAGCCGCAGGGTTGGCCAAGAGGAGACAATCTACATACTAATGAACTACATTGCATCAAGACCCCTCGCGTGATAGCTTGACGCTTCCTATCAGAACTTCTGTGGTCGCCAATGGTCCCTCAAGCGTTTTGCGATGTCAGCCTCGGCAAGTGATAAATTGTTGGTCGGCGGTGTTCGCTGAATACGTTCTGCAGATGCCGAGATGCCAAGAAGCAATGCACGGCCCTGGAAAAATCGATGACCTCCGCTCGTTACGGTATCATGGGTATTTCTACTCTGTAAAGACGAACAGGAAGACGAAGGACGAGCCGCATAATCATGGCTTGAATAACTATCCATATTCTCAATGATCGCTGGTTGGTACTCGTTGACTTGTAGATCATCTTGATATTCATCCAGGAAAGGTTGGTCGACTACGCAGTTGTCTTCAAAGTAGCATTGTTCGTCGAATATGTCCTCTCCCTGGTTGCAATCAAAATCTTCGTGCATGGACTCGGAACGTTCTTGTATGGAGTAATCATCTAAGTGGCCTTGAGCAAGGTCCTGTAAACTATATGGGAATGCGTCCACCACCTGGTCAAAAGTACCTGGTTCTAACCACGTCGCGTCATGATCAAAGCTGTCCCTGGACATTGTAAACTGAGAATCCCTATAGACGTCACCGTCTAGCATGTTATAGGAACCGTGACCCCCATTTGATAGCGAATCATCCGCTTCATGCAAGTACAATGGTCCTGGGTTAAAATATGCTGGAAAATGGTCACTTTCGAGCGCCTGGGCACTGGGGAGTAGATGCCTGGATGGTGACTCGGGTTCGTGGTAAGGTTCGTAATCTCCGTCGCAGCTGCTGGTATCTGCTCCACCTGTAATCGCTAGTATTACATCCCTAGAAATGCCAGTGTCGACAATACCAAGGTCACGCGACGGATCCGAATCATTTATTACAGAGTAATCTGCATTTAAGTCAATCATCGCTCCAGAGTGTTTTCTGGACTTCGGATCGCCGTTAGACAAGCCATCAGAACCAGGAGCCATGACTTCATGTCGTTGGGCTGAACCAGAGACATATGTAGCCAAACCATCGATTTGTGTTTCATTGGGACGAGTAAAATGCTTTGAATGTGTTCTGTTGGTGGACGAGCCGTTAACATTGGGGATAGGTACTTGATGAGCTATAGAAATTTTCACTGCCTGAGGACCGACTTGTGAACCATGGTTTTCTCGAGTAAAATATTTGGAGGTGGTCGCCTTGATAGAAAAATCTTTCTGGTTAACGTTAAAGTGCTGACCTACCTGAGAAGCAGAGTGAGAAGGATGGAGTGACGACTCCTGGTCATGTTCGCGTATTCCACGGCAGCCGACCGGTAGCTTGTCTTCCGCTGAATGAGGCTCTAACAGCTCTCTAGAGACCCTACATTTGTCATGCATACGAACCAAAACATTGCTGGCTTTGTCTTCTGTAACGGGGGTATTGTCAATGTTGAACCAGCCTTTTGAACGAGTGTCGACGACAACAGAAGCTGCCCGTCCGTGGATGTTCGGGGTAGCTTGGATACTACCAGATGGTAGTGACTGGTTTTCCAGTTCTATATCCCATACCTCAGATTCCGCTGTTGGTTTCGTTTGAGGATTTACGATCTCGACTGAGCTACCTTGAGCTGATGCTGTAGCAGCCGCTGGCAGTAAATCTGTATCAACGACTTGCTTCGGTTTCCTTGCCTTTGAGACATTTGCATTTGTTATGCGAATTGGCTTGTATGGAGATGAACATCTAGAACTGGGAGCTGATGATGACGATATTGTTGATTTAGGCTTTGAAGTTTTGGGTCGTACAGCGCTATTGAGGAATACCTCTTCGGAAAATATATTGCATCTCTCTGTAAATTGCGATTATGTATCCACATGCAAAGATAGAGTAACTGAATAACTCACTAGCTGCATTTTCTTTGCCTACTATCGCTTTTGCTGAAGCCTTACCGCGCCCAAACACACCGACATTCATGGAAGGCTTGAGCTACGATGATGTAAATGGGAAGAAGCAGAGCAATGGGAACCAACGTACCGTGAGCCGGCTCTTGCCAATATTCTTTGCAGAGAATCCATGCATCAATGCCATGGCAGCGGTGACACTTGGTTTTTTCCCCTTCTTTCCCTTTGAACTGGGACCAGGTGTATGGTTAGAGACCTTATCCGGGCTGAGTTCAACGGGCTTCGTGATTGAACGCTTCAGACGCTTGCGCTCTCGACGTTCAGAAAGCCCTACAATTTTTAAAAAAAGCATTTGTTATACTCGCGCCGTTGATCTTCTGGTAGAAGCAAACACTTACGCGCAGCATGCTCGTCGTCAGACCCTGCAGAAGGGGAACGCTTTTTTTCCTTTTCTGTTCGTTTATTAGAAGAATCCTGAGCGAATCCGGTGCCTTCAGCAGGTTCCTTATCCACGGCACTCGCAGATTTTGAATTTGACGATTTAATCCGCGCTGGTTGTTTATGCGAATTTTTAGAAACTTTTGCTGAGGCGCGAGCTTGATGGCTAGGTTCTGTGCTGTCTTTTGTCTCCAACAGTGATGAAACTGTCGCATGTGCGAGGCGAGGCTTCAATAACGGTGTGTCGAATCCAAAATTCTTCAGGTGGGAGTCTTTCTTCTGTTCAGGGGTTCGACAATTCGAGCCATTATCAGAGAGGGGTAATGCAGGTGGACCCTCGGTAGCATAAGATCTTAAAAATGGCTGTTGGGATTGCAAGTAAGCCTGAATATAAAGCGTTTTGTCCATTATGGGGGTACATGTAGTTACAGATCAAGGTGTAGTAAGAGTAAGCTTGAATTTGGAAATCAAAACTCAGCTCAACTGCATGTGACTTGCCCCCATGATCCAAAAACTACCATTTAGATATGGGTCTTAAACGTATATCGATACTAAAAGGCGAGTACAAGCTCAGTCACAGTGAATATTAACATGAGTATGGTGTACGTTATATTCGCTGTTAGTAGTATGCGCTGATGAAGCTCTGCGCAGGTATTGCATTATGGCTTGTCCCCTCGCCCAAGCAAATTGATCTTCTGGAGCAAGTAATGACCATCCAGCCCACGCCTCTTAGTAAACCCCTCTCTTTGTCCTCCTATGTATCATTCACTCCCCACATCACGCTCGCCAGTATCCCCGGTTTTTCCATAACAGAAATCAGTGCCCTTCAAGGGAGTCTTGACTCTCTGCTCAAGGCGTCCGAGGCCCTTCATGTGCGCTTCAGAGCTCTCACAGTAGGCGGCCATTACTTCCGCTCTGTCTACCTAGCCATACATCCCACGTCTGAACTCGTCACATTACATGAACACATCTGTATCGCTCTTCGTAATGCAATGCAGTCCAATGTAAACCATGACGGTGTTCAGCCAAAAGCGCCTATGTTTCCCCATATGTCGTTGTGCTACATTGCGGATGAAGATGCAGAAGAACGTGAGAGGATGGCCATGGCTCTAAGGCACAGCGGGAAGATTGAGGAAACTGAGGGAAGTGTGAGACTTCGGTGTGAAGGGGGAGAGACGTTAGACGGATTCAACGGCGAAGATGTGTGGATCGTGAGATGTCAGGGACGCCCTGACGAGTGGGAAGTCTTGCAGAAGATACATTTGTCGGTCTAAAACAATGTAGACACACGCCCAACGAAACCGAACGAACAAAAAATAACTGTGGTAATTTGTATTGCAGCTAGACACTTGTACTGCTAATTGATATCGAATAAATCAGGAACTTGAATGACGAATGATAGTTGAGATATGGTGAATGCAATGAGACTAGATACGGTACACATTGTAACGTTAATGAATGAGGATTGAGATCACTGGGGTTGACGATATTAGACAAAATAAAAGGAATTAAGTTAATAGAACTAGTGCATCGAGGATCACCAATGCAGATGCAAGACAACATTGAACGATTGAACTTTAAAAAAAAACGAAAATATAACAACATGAACGGACCGTGCCGATACAAAACTTGAATGAATAAATGCAATGCGAAGATGAAAAGAAAGGATTCATGGAGAACAAGATCTAATAGGCAGTGCCTACATCTACATTTGAATAATGTTTTGACGTATCTTCAATACCAAGATTGTATGACGAGGATGGATTGGTAGGAGGCTCATAAAGGGGTAGCGGCACCGAGTAATCGATCTTGCGATCACCATTCGCGTCGAAAAGTTGCGAATATGCAGGCAGGGTACAAGCATAGGGCGCACTCCTCTTGAGAGTTGTCGATTCCCTCAAACCAGGTTCCTCCTCTACCTCGGGAATGGCAGGACGCGGTGAAGGCGCTACGCGGACAAAGCTCATTGGTAAAGTGAATTGAAGACGCTCAGAAACAGGACCCTGGCCGTCTGGCATATCGTATGTGCATCGTAATGCTACGTGCATTTGATGCTTCACGGTAAAGAGCGGACTACTTGTCGACGCATGCTGGATGTGGTAGTGTCCGGATTCCACGTCGTGTTCTGCTGCGGGCGGTGCAATAGGGACATTTGTTTCGAGCAGAAACCAGCTATCCTCGGTTGCATTTTCCTCGGCATTCTCGCCCTGCAGGAAAATGCGCCCGTCCCCATATACTTGATATCGCCCGGATTCCTCTAAACCCATTAACGAGAAAGCACGATTTGAAGTCTTAACGCGCTTCGCGGACGTAAGAAGGCCAACATCGTAAAGGGTATGAATGGTATGCTGGTGGCGGAGAGGAAGATTGGGTGGTTGTTCTGATAACGGAGGGAGATGATAACGCTGAATGTGGTCGCGCTTCAAAGTGGATCTGACCAAATAAAATAAAATTAGTGTTGGGATATAATAAGCACAAGAACGGGTGCGTACCTGTAACTTTCAACCTGCTCGATATTGACCACAAATTCAGTCATGCGAAGGCGTTCTCGGTGACTATCATCGAGATCCTTAGCCCGCAGACGGAGCGTGAAAGGAACAGACGACTCCTCCACGCTGACAGAAGATGGCACGGATGCCAGAACTTCCAACTTATCCAGTATTTCGACTGGCATTGACCGCGAAGGCCGTGCAGCAGTGTATTCTGGTTGAGTATCAATTGAAAAGGTAGACATTGGGAACAAGGACGTAGATGATGAAATGTCGGCAGGAGCTTCCGTGAAACGATTGATAGTGATTGGGCACCTCGGAGCATCCACTATACGCGTTCGAACGCGAAAAGGAGAACAAAGAGTGGAGAATGAAAATGATCGTGAGCTTGCGTCATCTATATTGAGAAAAGTCGCAGTTGCGTAGAGAGCGTAGCGCGTGCCTGCCTCTTCTGAACCACTGTCGCCATATACTGCTGTTTCTGGCAGCCACCCAGGAACTTGGATGTCAAAAACGACGTTCCATGAGCATGGCTTGTCGGACTCCTCGTGACCTTCATTGCTAAGGTCAACCGGTTCGCCGTTAACAAGCTCACGGGTGATTGAACAGAGGCGCAAAGGCGTGTAGCCGATGTCCGAAGTGATGACCTCAGATTGGCCTTCAAAGGTGACGGTTAATGACTGGAGAAGAAGGCGAGTAGCAGCTCGCCGACGTTGGAATATGGACAATGAAGAGGTGAGGGAGATAGATATGTGTCCCGAGAGAGAGAACGAGGAGCTATCAGTTCAGATGAGTTTTTTTTTATAGAAAATTTACTTCATGTCAAGTATGCTCACGATGAATCCGGCTCTCCGAGCATATCTAAGGAACTAGAGTATGGTTGGATGTCTATGGAAACAGGCATGTCTACAGGATGGGGACACAGGGACACGATGAAAATTGAGAGGGAAACGAAAGGAAACGACGCACTGACGTCTGCAATGAACCTTGGTCCATAATTCGCGTTGTTATATATGAGCAGGGCTCGGCTACCTGAAGCAAGACTTCAAAGCCGAACAAAGGGTCACTAGACAAAGCATTTTGCTTTTGCTGTGAAACGCCTGTATTTCGGCTATCTCAGGCTCGTCCAAGCTTATCTGACCTGCGAAAGAAGGAAATATGTTAATTTAATGGGTCCGTGAACTCGCCTCACAAGAAGAACCGCATCCCATGCAAGCTATCCTTTTGTTTCGTAAAACTGGTAGTTGCCCTTATGAGTGCACAAAAGGAACAAAGACCGTGTTGTGGCTGTGCCACTGCATCGTGTTGGGGGGACAATGGCCATTGCTTGCTTTGGCCAGCCTTCTAAAGGTACATGCACACAAAATTAATATAGATTCTCTTATTAGGGAAACAGCGAATATTGAACGTGCGTTCGCGTTATGTTATATGATATCGCTTCGCCATTGTCTGCGGCAATAACAAGTCATCGCACACCTTCTCACTGGACAGCGTGTGATGGTCTGCTGCTGGCTTACACTCCGAGTCAGTCTGAGGCACCGATGTAAGTGATAAGAATGATCAAGTATACAGATATGTATTTTAGCACCGTATAAACAGTCGTGCACACTGATATGGTCTCTGTACGAGCGGCATTCACGCAAATACTCGGGATACAGCCAATACATCTTCGCCTCTTTTGCGATATTCCTTTCTCTTCGAGCTTTCCTCCTCTGCATTTTTTCGTTGGTTGTACTTGTCGCCCTTTTCGCGTCTGGCCATCGAGCGGACAGAAGAAGGACTGATAAACTCTACAAGAAAATATGAATACTAAGCGATCGCTATCATGAAAAATATACCGACCGGGATTAGAATACACAGTAGCACCATGGAAAGCTCCTTCGAAAATGCGAATCGGCGTGAGTACAAATCGTGGACCAATCTCGATGAGTGAAGTTTGAGGAGGAGCATTAGGTTGTAATGGGTCTTTTTCTAGGATCTACAAGCAAAACCGATGAATAGATGTAGTCATTGAGAGCGTTTGATAACATGCCTGGTAGTTTCGGAACCATATCTTGTTGTCGACGATGGAAAACGTCAGGACATGATCTATAAACGGTTTGGCCTTTCGGGCCAGAGGAGGTACACCAAAAATCTATCACAAATGTTAACCCAGTGTAGGCTGGACAGTATACCAAAGAAACTTACATGTGTGAACACCTCTTTTGTAAGCCTCCCCCACTCACTCTCATCAAAAGCATGATCGAAACTCAGGATACCTCTGCTGCCCTTCAAGCAATTCCCGGTCATCTTGAGCTCATCCATTGTGTGCACGTTCTGGACGTGCATTTTGATACTGGGTCCGTTAGGTGTCTTCGCAGCCCACATGTAAAGGTCTTCATGCCGCCGCGCTTCAAAATACAGCGTATTGTTACAATTATTGAGATCAGCGAGTTCGGGAAGAAGTTGGAGTTGCGATTTCGAGTCCAGTTTAGAGTCTACATAAATTAGGTCAAATTATAGTCCAGAGTGAATTAGTTGGAGTTACAAGTGCCCACCTTTCTTTACTTGCGGAAGAAGGGCCTCCAAATCATTCATCAGGTGTCTCATACGATGGGTGATTCCTCGAGACGAAAGGAGGAGCACCCGCTGCTTATTTTTCTTCCTCTTGGGCTGGACGAGTTCTGCTTCGGGCTGCTCGTCAATGTCCATATCATCCGCCCTGCGCTTTCCCTTCCCTTTTTCTTCCGCCTTTGATGCATTTGCTTTTTGTGCCTTCAGGATTGAAGCCATAGTGGTCAATCCGTTTCTTCAAATTCTTGACTGAGTGGCTGAAGCAGTAAACTCAAGAAAATATTGGTAACGTTTTGCAGCAAAAATAAATTATTTTTACGTAATGACATGATATGAACAGTATGCAACTTGTCGGCGTATTCACAGAATCACAATTTTGGTTTGAGTTGGTGAAAGAAGAAAATATGAGCTATGAATCGGAATAGCGAAGATGAAAAGTCAGAGAACAAGAGGAAAACAGCCAGGAAGAGTTACTGGTCATAATTACGGGCACAGCATTGGCGCCGAAAGCAGTCGCGGCGACAAGGAAAATAAGAAACAGCTTGCTGGAAATCTGGCACTGGCAAGAAAGTCAAACATTACAAAACTCAGGATGGCATTTATAATTTATCTCAAGACGAAGAAGATGACTGCGCTCGAAGCTGCTTTTGTTTTTCCTGTTCCAGACGCTGTAACCGTTCCAGTGAGTTTACCCGAAAATTGCACGCAATGTGTGAATACACCTACATGATAAAGCAGCTGTACAGCCATTTGGATGTTCGCAGGCTGGCCTGTTATAACCACTAATCTCTCCCCTTCGCCACCTGTCGGCGCGGGTGCCCCATTCATGCCTACGCCAACCGCGCCCGGTTCCATGATTTTGATCTGACTTGCACTCATATGCCTAATTTCATTGATCTTACTGCCTCCCTTTCCAATGATGCACCCTACGAGGTCGTTGGGAATATAAATCTGTTGTGTCTGTAGTTGTTGGGGTGGATTATGTGGAGGCGGAGGGCCACTACCGAATGGTTGTGAATACCCTGGAACATAAGATGATCCTTGATAGGGAGCTCTGCGGGAGGGGTTACTGGAAGGTCGATAGCTGGAGTGGCTAGATGAGGGCATGCGCTCTTGCGCTTCAATGAGGATGTTGCCGATATAGTAGGTAGCGATATGAATGGCGTCTGCAACTCCAGCTACGCTCAAAACTCGCTATGGTGGCCCAATCTTGAGTCAAGTGCCATCATAAGCAAAGAAATAGGCAAGGCACACCTCTGTCGAGCCTGGAAGCATTCCTTCACTGGCATTCAATCTAGCACCACTAGCATCTTGGATCTCTTTTATCTTGGATCCTTGTTTTCCTATGACGGACCCCATGCGAGAATTTGGAATCATAAACTTAATGGTAACTGCGCGACTGCCGGGAACTGAAGGTACGTCAAATGGTTCGTCGTTAATCCTTCGGACTATCAGGCCAAATGCCTAGTGAATGTAAAAAGATGAAGCAAGACATATATGCGAGCATAAAGAGGTTATCCCAACCTTGGATACTGCATCGAGAGGCCCGCTAACATTAAGAATTCTCTCTGGGTTTCCGGGGATGCTTTCGGAAACCATCACACGCGCCCCACTCTTCTCTCTGATTTCGTTAACGTGCGAACCTCCCTTTCCGATAATGATAGATGCATCCTGGGTGACAATAAGACAGCGCATGTGAATCATGGCTGAGGGAGGGGTGGTAGAACTTGTTGACGAAGAAGGTGCTGCGGAAGTGGTCGCCGAGGATTTGCCCACGTCGTCGTTGCCGTTGCGGGACTTGTCGCCTTTGCGTTCGGAGGAGGATGCGTGTGGAGAAGGAGTAGATGCAGCGGTGTCTGCTACGGAAGCGGGAGCTTCCGTCATAGTAACATCATGAGTCATAGAGGAAGCAGTAGCTGAACCGGAGCCCTGGTGGTGGTTGTTGGCTGGTGATTCATCCGAGGGTGCCGTAGCGCCTGTATTTGCACGTTTGTGGTGTTTCTGCTGCTCACTGTCGGAGGGTGAGCGCGACCTCTTGCGTGTGGAGTCAGCTTCTGCCATGGCCAATTCAGTTTATTATTTTTTGGGTTAAGCAGACGGGGTGGAGTGAGGGCCTTGTAATTAGGTGATGTATGGGGCTTGGAAAGGGGAGGATTCGGGATGTCTGACGGAAAGAGGACGGGGGAAGGCAAGGATGGGGGATGCGAGGTTGGAAGGGGGCACTGACAGAGACAGACATGGACTTACCTTGGAAACCAAGCTATTAGCTCGCTATTCTGCACTTGAAATAAGACTTTTTTGAGCTTCAGCACAATGTCAATACTAACTGGCCGTATGGAATGTCAATTCTCCCGTACCCTGGCAAGAAAGGCGCTCCCAAAGGCTAACACGTCGGAGTACAGCAACAGGCAAGCGGGGGTTATCGTTTCAATCTGGTAAGACAGGCGGGCAAACACGGGCCAACATTACAGCCACATCATGCCCTTCTCATGCATATGGTTCAAAAATTCAATCATTACAATAGTCGTACAAACATTGGTTGTCTGTCAATGCCAGTTGCAATATGACAGCAATCGTGAGAGGGGGCGTCAAAATCGACACAGCAGTAGCACCACTAATTGAGGTACTCTGCCTCCATCTGGACTATCTCCTTGATGAACATCGCCCATCGTCTTTCCCATGCCAACATTGCACGTTGTTTTTCCTCTCCGACGAGTGTAGAGCACTATGCCCAATAAGTCAGAGCTACAGCCTGGAAGATAAGAAATACCGTAATCACCTCGATGCTATCACGAGCCATCTGGCCAAGAGTCAGCAGTCCGGTGACCTCGCTCGACACCAAGACCTGTGCAATTCGTGTAGCGTTTGGCCTTGCAAGAAAAAACTCACCACAAAATATAACCCACCTGAAAGAAATCAAACGAAAGTCCCATATTACCGAAGATACCCGGATCATCAGAGCAGAGTACCACTGGAATTCCATTGTTCATAAAAATCGGAAGAGGATGCATTGGCATCGATGATGTCAAGCGCTTAGATTGAACGTCAGAGTGAGCGGCGTAAAACATAGGTTAGCCTTTACCAAGACTTCATTCCTGCCAGATGCTTTGTGAATAAATGATCAAAGATGACACGCACTAAACTCACGATATAGGGCAAACTTCAAGCGCTATGCGCTTTTCTCTGCAGATCTCCATTAATTTCGGATGTTTGACTAGAGAGAACCTGGCAGCACCACTGTCAACATGATTCGAAAGTATCGGACGTTAGATCACTTCACCCGTGACCTATGCGTTTGGTTCCCAATAGGATAGCATCATAGAGATTCATATCCGCTTTGGAGCCATCCCCGAGGGTTTCCCCTGCATGGAAGAAAAAGGGTATATCCACACCAAGCTCTTGTTGGCGCTGCTTGAATCGTAGCAATGGCTCAAGGTAATCAATCAACGGCTTGTGCGCTTCTTCATCTCCGACAAGGTCAAAACCTGAAATATAAGGATTGAGTCCACATCATCTCAGAGAACAGCATTGCAGGACCGGACCAACGATCAAGTGAGGGAACTCCAATTTCATAGAAAGGCATTGCTCAAGTTCTGCATCTAGCGCCTTGTTGTCCACAAATCTCTGCAAGACGTAGATAATCTAGTATAGCATCAGCTATAGATCATCGGAGAAAGACAAATATGTATACCTTCGCTCCTATAAACTCATCCCCCCTACCTTGCACTTTCATTTCTGACCTGATATCGTTCACGACTTTGTCAAAGATGAGGAAAAGTTCTCTCCGTGAGACAGAGGACTGGCCATCCGCTGCAATCTCGTACGTGTAGGCAGGGTCAAAAGAAGTGCACTTAGCGAAAGTATTGGTACGAATTTCAGTGTACGATATCCCATCGTCAATGCAGGCCAATAAGAACGCTCGTAAATGCTCTGCCCAGATTGGCAGGAATCTTATGAGAGGCTATACCGCCATTAGTCCTGGATGTAGCATGGTGGGCGTGAAGACTCACATCCAAAACCATGAAAGCGTCGCCGAACTTCTGCCATATCTCATCATGGCATCACCCTGTTAGACTAGATATGAACATCAGAGCTCATAGAACGCTACCTTTTTAACTGTATTGTGAGATCCGTAGGCCTCAGTGGGATTGATTGTCATAGCCCCAACTACCCATCGGTCAAAACCTTCTGGCCCACCAAGGGCTGAGTCAAAATTTTCTCTTGCTTTTTGGACAGAAACCCAAGTGTTTGGTATATACGAAAGCTCAGTTAAACCATAAGCATCGAAATATCGATCTTCGGGGAAAGCCTTGAATCTAGGGGATGTGGAAAGTATTGTCGATGCGTTTATCACATTAGGACAGCTAATGTGAATGGCAGGTTGCTGGAGAGCGAGACGAAGCATGACACTCGCATCAACTGATGCACCCTGGTGAATATGAAGGAGAGCGCCCTTTGGCATCTGTGCGGGCATGACAATCAATGACGCTCTCAAGTGGGTATATTAACGGTTCTTGCTTACTCTGGTTAATATCTGAAAGAGTTTTGTCTTTACAATGATATCCTTTGCTATAAGTCGAGACTTGTTTAGAGATGCGAGATTGAGGACAATAAATTCATGCACCAGTTAGAAATTCCATTCCAGGGAACACGTGAGGAATGTCTTCATGATCAGCGCCCCATATCGACTGAGTTTCCAGTGAGCGAATGTTGCGAACTATACGATCAGCCTCAATTTCAGCGGCGGTGAATTTGACTGTTCTAGGATGATCGACTCGGAGTGCACGGTCTTCGTCAATTAGCTGGACTCGACTTCGTTCATAGCCAGCAATATCGATTGAATTCGATAGCATCGTAGTCGTAGAGGTAACCCTGGCATTCGAGTCATTGTGACCGAGCCTTCAAATATCATGATCTTCCGGCAGACTCCGTATGCTGCCAAAGATGGGAGAAAACAAACCCAGCGGCCGACAACAAAGAACGGGCCAAGATTTGATATTGTACCAAGCAAGCGAGGGATACGAATACATGTTGCAAGTTCAACTGGAACCAGTTAGCTGGATTCAAACTGAGTACCGAGAGGAGTCAAAGCAGAAGAGCATCCGTTGAGGGACGGCAGACCGAGGACTCCACGTTTTCCCGGAGAAATGGTGGTCAGTCCTTTGATCACAAGGGAAGAAACAAAATGGAAGGATCCAGTTGAAGGGACCAGAGAAAAGGTACTATCGTTGATCACGATAGTTCAAGTGGAGCAGTTCTGGAGTAAAAGTAATCGCCAAAAACCGAAAGACCTTCATTGAAGGTCTTCAGAAAACTCCACTATCTCCTTTACAAACTTTGCCCAACGTTTTTCCCATGCCCCCATAACAAGCGACTTTTCCGTGTCATTGAGAGTCGAATACTGGAATACAAACCAGAAATTCGCGACCTCTATCGCGCGATGATGACGAGTGAACTCACAGTGATACTATCCCGCGCAAAGTGACCAAGCATAATCAAACCAGTAATCTCGCTGGCAACAAGCACCTGCAGTGGTGTATGCTAATCCAGCACCCTACAGCTGATAGTTGATTTGCTTCTTACCTGAAAAAAGTCATACGTTAAACCCATGTTCCCGAATACTGCTGGATCATCTGAACTAAGAGCGACTGGTATACCATTATTGACAAGGACGGGAAGCGGATGCATTGGCATTGATGAAGTCAAGCGCTAGAATCATGTTAGAAATGAACTCATGAGGTATGGAACAACAGTCAAATACCAATATCTCGTTCCTGTATTGGATGTCAACAAGAGGGATAAAGCTACGTACAATGAACGTGGCCTACGTACGAGATAGGGCAGACCTCTACCAAAATTCCTTTCTCTCTGCAGATCTGCAAGAGACTGGGGTGTTTGACTAATGAGAAACTGGACGAGTTGATCACGTCAGACAGGAAACAAGTCGAGACAACAATCGTACCCATGTCCTATACGTTTAGTACCTAGTAATATGGCATCATATAAGTTGTTGTCAGCCACTGTACCATCACCACATGTTTCGCCAGCATGGAAAATGAACGGAATATCAAGGCCAAGTTCCTTTTTGCGTTCTTCAAAACGCAAAAACGGCTCCAGATAGTCAATGAGAGGTCTGAGTAGATTTTCGTCGCCTACAAGATCGAAACCAGCGACGAGATAGGGAAACTCCTGCTTTAGAGCAATGCAATCTTCAAGGTACCAGTCTAGGCCTGCTGGTTCAACCGTTTTGATCGCTGTGTATATAATCTTGATATATGACGATATGATGCATGGTTAGCGAGGGATGGAGCATTTACATCCAATACGCACTTTAGCACCAAAAAAGTCATCATCTCGTCCTTCATCGTGTAAGTCCTGTTTGATTTCATTGCAAACCTGATCAAATGCAACAAGCCAATCTCGGTGAGGTACATCTTCCCGTCCATCAGCACCAAACATATATCTTATGAAGAGCTACAGTCAGCTTGGAAAACATGACGAGGTAGAATAGATTACTTGGGCGTGAAGTTCACACGAACTTCGATGTAAGATACACCATCTGCGATATTATCCACAAGGAATTGTCGAATGTAAGCTGACCAAATAGGAGCATAGTAAACCAGTTTCTAGCAGATAAACTGTCGTATCAGACAATGCACCATCGGTGGCAAGGTAAACTTGAGCAATACCGAAGAGAGTGCAATTGCGTCTGTAAATTTCTTCCAGATCTATACAGAATAATAGTCTCGTCAGTGTTCAAAAACTTGTGCGAGAAACCTACTTTGGCATTGGTGTTATGTGTCAAGTAAGCTTCAGTTGCATTAATAGACAAAGCACCGATGATCCATTGTTCAAAGCCGTCTGGCCCACCAAGAGTGGGCGAAAACATCTCCCGCGCCTTTCTCAATGACACCCACGCATTTGGTACATAAGATACGTCACACAATGATAAGAATTCAGCATGAAAATCGTGATGCTGAACGCTGAAATCTGGAACAATTGCAGAAAGTGGCACGCCGATACTGACGGGTGTCGGGACACGGATATGGATGGCAGATTGTTGGAGGGCCAGTTTAAGCAGTGTGCTTGCGTTAACGGTCACATCTAGATGAGCATGTAGTAGTGCACCTTTTGGCATCTGTGTATAGTGTTAGTTGAATTAAATGACGTAGTCAACACTTTTACCTTGCTCAATAGTCGAAAGAGTCTGGTTTTGACGATGATGTTCCTCCCTTCAAGGTGGCTTTTTAGAATATGACATCAAGTAACTGACGTCTCGTAGGTGTTTTACCGGTCAGAAATTCCATGCCAGGAAATGGATGAGGTATATTATCGTGTTCTGCGCTCCAGATGGATTTCGCCTCTATCTCTCGAATTTGTCGTATGATCCTATCGGCCTCAATCTCAGTGGCAGACTCGCTCGCAGATTTGGCATGGTCGATACGAAAACCTCTATCAGTTTTCATGAGAGCAGCGCGCTTTGCTGCATATTCTTCCAGCGAAGGCATGGCTGAAGGACAACAATACGGTTCAGGTTGAAAGTACGAAACCGCAGATCAACGCCACCCACTCGGGCTGCATCACGTGGGCACGCGCTGGAACATATTATTGCACAACTTCCAAGTTCAACGTCCTTGGTGAACCAAGAATCATGTCTTCTGACGATGAAATGAGTATGTGATGTTTTTCAATATCTGTGAATGAATGTCTTGCAAATGCATTCTTTACTCAGCCCACTACCCACAGATGTTGTTTTGCAAGAGGAAGCGCCTGCCCGTACTACTAGTAGGCATCCTCCTTCGAACGGTCGGTCTCAGGCTCGAAAGAACGTGACAAGGACTTCCCCACGACCAAGCGGCACACGGAGACCTGGTCTAGTACCAGAGCCTCATGGTAGCTCATCTGTGCTAGAAGAAGATCCTGATATAATAGCCATCGATCCACCGCAGAACATGAAGGGAAATAAAGGGAAATCACGTCAAAAAGTCGTCGAAACTACTACAGTGAATAGTAAGAGAAGTTCTGCGAAAGGCAAAGCTCCCGTTGGAGGGTCGAAGTCGTCTCGCAAGGGTGCTGCGAGCACTACTGCATCGATGGACGTTGTTATGCCTGAAGAGATTGAGAGCGAAGATGAAGTTACTTATCAGCCTCAGCCAGCAGTGCGCGAAGAAGCAGGTCAGAGCCCAAAGCCAAAGGTTCCTTTTAGACCTTCCAGAGATAAAGTAGCATCTCTGTCGAACGAAGTAGATCGCTGGAAGCAAAAGGCGACTGACGTGAGCCACCCTTCTGCAATCTTGTTTATGTGCTAAAATTGACTCATTACTGTGCCTAGCTTGAATCTCAGAAAGATGCACTCTCCAAACAATTGGAAGAACTTTTCCTTATCAGACACACTGAGGCCGAGCAAGCAGTCCAACATCTCACACTACAATATGAAACGAGGATAAAAGGCAAGGTCCCATATTCAAGTCAATTGACCCTTAGTTAATCTCACTTCTGTAGCGCAAGAGAGCCTCGTCAAAGAATTGACATCACAGCTAGCGAGAGTCGAACCGTTAGCTCGTACTGCACAAACGGCCGCGCTGCATTTCCTTACACGAGAGGCAGCCGACGAGGAAAAAAGGACCCTCGAAGAAGAAATGGAACAGTTGCGAAGCGTCGTCAAAAAGAAGGACAACCTCTTAACCGAGAAAACAGGTCAAATAAATGACCTCGAGAAATCGGGTACATCATGTATCTTCCGTCGTCGTTATCGCTGATCATAACTCTTGCTATTCATTAGTAAAAGACTCCCGTCTTGAACTCGAGGCAGAAATCGACAGGTCGAAGGAGCTTTTAGCTAAAGTGTCCCGAAACCCACCCCCTTCTGCCTCTCGCGTTCCAGCTCGAAGACCGTTGGGAGCAGATGATCCCAAACACGTGGAAGTGATAAAGTTCTACGAGGATTTAACCAACTTGCTCGTTCCAAGTCTAAAATTCGAGCCCAACCAATACTATACATCTGAAGATGATACGACTTTCACTTGCGTCTACACTTACGTTTCCCCCGAAGACATCCCCAAAAATACGCCAGAGTGGCGAGAAAAGAGTCAGTTAGCTCTATTTGAATAGTGCGGTGAATTCATTGACGAAAATTTACATCAGGCATCAGCTTCACATTGCGTATATTTTATGATCTCGTCGACGAAGCAAGTGAATTTTTGACGGCAGGAGGGCCCAAACAACAGCGCGTCAAATACACGCCATTGGAGTTGGATAAAGAATCAGAGGAATTCGTAAAAAAACTCGAGTTCTTAAATGATGCTTTTACTTTTCCTAGATCACAATTAGCTCTCTTCCTCAAGACGGTGCGCGACCAATTAGACCGAGCTTTCAATGGTTCCGACGAGGAAGAGGGAACACCATAATTATTTTTGCCTATTGCTCTTTCCTTATTGGTTTTACTGCGGTTTACAAACGCACGGTGTACTTAACTATCAACTGTTGTAATTTGGGGTTCATGTCTGAGGTGCTTGGCCAGCATCTTGTTCGGGGAGTGATTTCATACCAGTCTTTGACCATATCTTGTACGCTGTCCGATCTCCCGTCTGTATAGCGTTCTTCAATACAAGTGCCGCGAAGCCTGATTCATTTTCAATCCCGCCAAGGTTGGCTCCTGCAGTGACCAGAATGTCCACCACAGCTTCATGACCTTGACGAGCAGCCTGCACGTACAATGAACGAAAATTCTAGAATAAGTAAAAATAACTCACGTAATACAGAGCCGTATGTCCAAGAGTATCTCGCAGGTGTACTAAGGCACCGGATGCAAGTAGCAAGGTAACACAGTTGATACTCCCATTCAAAGAGGCTACATGTAATGGAGACCTTCCAGACCCAGGTTCCAAACAATTGACGATACCTCCAGCAATAGTCCCAACGTTCTGACCGTCCTGATCTTTACCATTGAATGATGTCAGGCAATATGTCAAGCTCTCAACGTCATTTTTTGCTGATGCCATGTGAATCAAGAATGGAAGTAATGCTGCTTCGGTTGAGCCGGCCTCAGCAGCTGTCCACGACCATGGCGCGGCTGCAGCTTGTGCACTTTCATCGAGCGGATTGGGTGAAACGACAATTTTCGGAGTTCGGCGACTCGCATTAGAAAGCCGCACAAATTGGGACAACAATCCCTGGATATTCTCCAGATTTTGATCCATTGTAGGGTGTGTAGGTGCTGAAACGGATGGACGCGTTAGTTCACCACGAAGTGGTGTCCCAATTAGGTCCCGAACTTCTGGAACAGACAAATCCTGTTTTGATAGAAGATAGCTGAGTTTAGTAAGTGCGCACTAGTATCATGTTATCGTGAGATGTAGAAACGCGAACTTGCAGAATCTGGCTTACCTCAGGCGTCATATCACCACCTGCAACGACACCAGTTTGAAGTAATGTCCTACCCGTTTCATATGCATCAGATACGGATCCCTTTGCGCATTGCGAGATGGCAACTATGACTACTCCACGATTGCAAGCTTCCTTGAGAGATTCCATCAGATCAGCACGCTGAGGCGCATTTCCAGCGCCATAGGTTTCTAGAACGACTCCACGGATAGGAGGCATAAGAAAAGCTCGGACAGTTGCAGCCGTTATACCAGGGAAAAGACGGAGAGTAGCTGTAGAACACATCGAAAGGTATATCAAGGGAGAAAGAACAAGACGATCACCCACCGACATGAGGGCTCATTTCTACAATCAGGAGTAAGGTGTAAGTATCTGCTCATATTACAATGTATCTAGCTCACGCTTGTAAGCCCTAAAGCGTCTCAAGCTAGTTTGTCGAATAACATCGTTCCAGTTGACTACAATGTCAATTCCAACTGTAAAGATTATAAGCTTGAGAACATGATAAATTAATACAGAGCTCGTACCATTGACGAGAGGTGGAAAATTAGGGCTATTGAAAGCATTCAGGTCGTAGGACGACGCCTTGGAAACCCTATTACCGCGAAATAACGTGTGATTGAAAAACAAGCTGCATTCTACAGTCACTGATTCAGCTCATTGTGATTTACCAAAGATTTATAGACATACCTGGTATAATATAATGACCAGCAATCGACAAAGCACCCATAAGATTATCTACAGCATCGTTCCGTAATTGAGATAAAGGGATTTGAGCGCCTGACACGATCTTTGTAGGTGTAAGTTGTGAACAAAAAGTGAAGAGACGGACTACCCACAACTGTTTTCCCCAAATCTTCCAGTAAGAAGCTCAAGGCACTTGAGGTATAAGACATAGTGTCTGTGCCATGGAGGACAACGAATGCGTCAAAAGATGCATAGTTTAATTCTATTTCAGTGGCTATCCGAATCCAATCTATTCTATGCATGAATAATGAGCTGGAGAAAACTAAGCGAGGTGAGGCTTAAGCACCGTCTATTTCAATATTACTGCTATCCAGTAATGGATTCCACTAGCAACCAAGTCTAGGGATATGCTGAAAAGGGCAACAACATACTCGTACCTCTAGTATAGCGTATCGAATGCGTTTGCTACCGGTCCCACCAGGAACTGAGCTCCTTGGTGTCACTAGGCTGCGCAGGTGTGCTTCATATAATCCATCAGATACCTTCTTGCAGATGGGCTGCTCAATTAGCGCAGGTTTGGCGGTGGGCGCCAGTGTTGTCGTGACTCCAATGGGACGTGATGACCGGACGAGCAGTGTAGGTTGATGTGAAAGGGCTGGTGAAGAAAGACCTCCGAGGGAAGTCGGGCTTGATCTGCCACTGCTGCTCCATTCTCTGTATCCTTCTACAGACGCCGCATTGGAGAATAACGAGTCTTGAAACGGATCATGAAAACGTTTCTGGCTCCGGAGCGTTTCTGTCAAGAAATATGGCACTGGGACATAGCCTTGTTGGCCGACAAGCATCCCGATGGTTCCACCGGTGTATATGACCAGCACCCTGGACTCATCTGACGGCTGTGAAAGTTCCATTGTCGTTGTTTTGTATCAGCCCTTGATGCTGATTCTGAGAGATGCGCCAACTAGTATCCTGAGTATCTGATGGATGCGGGTCAATGTATGTACAAGGAGGCAGAGCTGATGAGGCGTTGAGGCGTTCTAACCATTCGGCCGCGCTACAACAAATCCGAACACAGAAATTTCCGATCTGTTCAGCCACATCTCGGTTAGATAGTATAAGAGTCAACTTTACCAGCAAGTGACTCATAAACAACTCCCATTTTCTCCATACGTCAACATGGATGCCATTAAAGCAGTATTCGAAGCAAAAAAGGCTGAGGTGTGTTAATTTTGACTCTAAACTTTACTAGCCTGGACTTATTGGCTTATTTCAGGGTAGTCCAGCGTTGGTGACCTTTGTCACTGCAGGATATCCAAAGAAAAATGATACCGTACCCATCTTGCTCGCAATGCAGGAAGGAGGTGCAGACATCATCGAGCTTGGTGTACCCTTTTCAGATCCCATCGCGGATGGGCCTGCGATTCAAGAAACTAATACGGTCCGTTCCCATACATCCCGTGCATCGAATCTATAAGTAACATCATACCAGGTTGCGATTCAAAACGATATAGAATATGCTACAGTCCTCGGCCAAGTCAGAGAAGCCCGCGTTCGTGGGCTCAAAACTCCTCTGCTTCTCATGGGTAAGCCGTACTTCCTCTCCTTGATTCACCATCACCTAATATTCTCTCGAATGTAGGCTACTACAACCCAATGTTAGCGTATGGAGAAGAAAAGGCCATTCATGATGCACGCGAAGCTGGTGCTAACGGCTTTATTATGGTCGATCTGCCACCCGAAGAGGCCATTGGTTTCCGAGAGAAATGTACCAAGGCAGAGTCAGTCACATTTACCGAGCTACTTAGGCTATTTTACTAAACAATTTGCAGCTTATCATATGTACCACTGATCGCACCATCTACTACACTACACCGAATCGAGTTCCTTTCGTCCATTGCAGATTCCTTTATCTACGTCGTATCTAAGGTATGTCCTTAATATTCTTAAGACTTACGATCAACTTACACCACTCTGCAGATGGGGACTACCGGATCGTCTGTAGGTGGTTCTATGAATACCGAGCTCCCAGACATTATTGCTCGCGTGCGAGAATATGCAAAGGTTCCTCTGGCTGTTGGTTTTGGAGTAGCAACCCGTGAACATTTCGACGCCGTCGCAGACGCAGGTGCAGACGGTGTTGTCATCGGCAGTCGCCTGGTCACTATCATGAAAGAAGCACCTAAAGATCAAGTCCCTCAGCGAGTTGAGCAGTACTGTCGCGAGATCAGCTTGAAGGGACAACCCGTTAGAGCACGGTCCACCCCTACGTCCAAGCCATCCACTCCAAGTGCTGGTGCGAAACCGTCGAAGCCCGTGACTTTATCTGTATTACCACATCGATTTGGCCAATTTGGTGGGCAGTACGTTCCGGAGGCTCTCTTCGATTGCCTTATAGAGCTTGAGGAGGCTCACAACTCTGCGGTCAACGATCCAGAGTTCTGGAAAGAGTTCCAGGGTCATTATGGATACATGAACCGACCATCAAAGCTGTACTTTGCTGAAAGTTTGACAAAACATGCAGGCGGTGCGCAGATTTGGCTCAAGCGAGAGGATTTGTGAGTTGTTTCTTTGGGTCGTCCTCTATACATGTTGACAGTGTCTCTAGGAATCATACTGGATCGCATAAAATCAACAATGCAATTGGCCAGATTTTACTGGCACGCCGATTGGGAAAGAAGCGCATCATAGCAGAGACAGGTGCAGGCCAGCATGGTGTCGCGACTGCCACGGTATGCGCGAAATTTGGCATGGAGTGTATCGTATATATGGGTGCAGTCGACGTCGAACGTCAAGCTCTGAACGTTTTCCGAATGCGCATGTTGGGCGCAACGGTGAGCATTGTCTATCCTCGTTCCATCATCCACTTCTCAACTGACACGAGATAAGGTTATCCCAGTGGAGTCGGGTTCACGTACTTTGAAAGATGCTGTTAACGAAGCGATGCGTGATTGGGTAACCAACCTGTCAACCACTCATTATTTGGTCGGTTCCTGCATTGGGCCACATCCCTTCCCAACCATTGTTCGAGACTTCCAAAAAGTAATCGGTCAAGAAATCAAGTCCCAGCTGCATGAGATCAAAGGGAAACTACCTGATGTTGTCGTGGCGTGTGTCGGTGGTGGTAGCAATGCCATCGGTACCTTCTATGATTTCATTCCAGACAAAAACGTTCGTTTGATTGGAGTGGAAGCAGGCGGAGAAGGTTCGTTATATGTGAAATGCTTGATTGACCACTTAGTTATTCATCCATTATTTTAGGCCTTGATGGGGAGCGTCACAGTGCTACCTTGGCAAAAGGCCAACCAGGAGTCTTGCACGGGGTGCGAACGTACATCCTTCAATCCACCGCAGGCCAAATCATAGAGACTCACTCTATCAGTGCCGGTCTCGACTACCCCGGAGTAGGCCCTGAGCACGCGTGGCTCAAAGACTCAGGCAGAGCCGAGTACGTTGCTGCTACCGACGAGGAGGCTCTGAGAGGTTTCCGTATGATCACACAGCTCGAAGGGATTATTCCGGCCTTAGAGTCATCGCATGCTGTCTGGGAAGGTGTTCGTGTGGCGAAGACATTGCCGAAGGAGATCGATCTTGTCATCGTGAGTATCACTGCCTCTTGCGTTGTTCATATGTGCTAATGTGTCCTATCAGTGTTTATCAGGTAGAGGAGACAAGGATGTGGAGCAGATATCCCAGCTTCTTCCTGGAAAATGGGCGGATAAACTGGACTGGCACGTATAGATTCTGGAATAGACAGGGTGTTGTAATTGGAATCTTGTATAGCTGTAAATTATGTCAATTTGGTTCTACCGGCTTCTGCCAAGTGAAACTGTTATCCAGTGCGAACATGTGAAACCCTGATGAAAGTTGCAGTTGCAGTAAAACCCTGATTACCAAAAAAGGCAGGACTGGCCTTTGACTCGGTTTGTTTCAGCCGCCATCCAGCCAGTAAACGTTCAGTACTTTCTGAAAATCTCAGTTTCAATCCGCAGTACAAACTTTCATCATATCAACATGGGTACAGAGGGACATAGTGTCGCAAACCAACGAGTGGTCGAAAATCTTGCTTCAAAGCTTCGTAGACGGTCAGTTCCACACGGCCCATAAATGTACTCCGATCATTAACTGGATTTGACAGGCAAGTGGTGGGATCTAGAGAAACAGCACTTGAAACAGTCCTCGTTCTCCGTCAAGTCGTATCCAAAGCTCGTTTCTCTAACATCGATCAGCTGGTGGAGGTCATCCGCTCTGTAGGGCGAAAGCTCGTGGACGCACAACCTAAAGGTGCAGATCGTTTCCCCGTGTATCATACATCGGATCTAATCTCTTCATATTGTCAAATATTACAGAGCACACTGTAGGGAACACTGTACGAAAAGTTCTACATCATATTAGAGAAGAATATCATACGGCCACGCAAGGAACTGTCCTAGCCTCCTCTTCGAAAAATACCCTTTCAATATCAAGATTTGTCCTTCAAGGTCAACCACGGAAGCAAAATGCCCTACTTAAAACCTCGGCAGACGCCAAGGGTACTCTCAAAGAAAACGATCCAGATGATCCAGATTCCTTCGCACGAGGTTTGAAGCCTGTGCTCATGGAAGCTATACAAGATGTCCTTGATGAGCTAGAGACTGTGTATGACAACGTATCCAAAAATGCGAAAGATCACATACATTCTGAGTAAGTCTCAGCATTGTCTATTTTTCGTTGGTGAAAGCTAATTCTACCAAGTGAGATCATTTTGACGATCGGAAAATCAGCAACAGTTGAAGCTTTTTTGAAGTCTGCCGCACATTACCGAAAATTCACTGTCATCGTTGCAGAAACTGCACCATCGTTAGTTCATCAGTATCACTCAGTCTTTAATATATCTTTACGACTTGTTTCTTATTAGATACACCGGGCACGACATGGCTCAATCGCTTTCATCAGCTGGCATTTCAACGGTCCTCGTTCCCGATTCATCGATTTATGCCCTTATGTCCCGGGTTAATAAAGTAATACTCGGAGCTCATGCGATTCTTGCCAATGGAGGCATGTTTGCGATCACGGGCTCACTACTGGCCGCATCGGCCGCACGTGCACACAGCACACCTGTCGTAGTGTGTACTGGCCAATTTAAACTGACACCACAATGGAACCTATACCACGAGTATGGAGCGTTGGATTTTGCAGATCCAAGTAGTGTGCTTGGCTTTGAAGAAGGTGATCTAGTCGATAAGGTGGATGTGGTGAACCCATATTACGACTATGTCCGCCCAGAATTTGTTGATGCCTTCATAACGAACGAGTGAGTCTGTTCATTACTTAGTTCATCTCCGATCCTTATGCTTGTGTGCAGTGGCGATCACCCACCATCGTCCGTCTACCGACTCATGAAGGAAGCATATGATGATGAGGACCATGAGCTATAACATAGGCTAATACAGTCCTTCACCTGTCAAGTCTTGGCATCCTACTACCGCTGGAACGCTGGTACTATACCAAATGCGACGCATTAGAAACCAGTGGCTGTTGTTCGGTTATTGTACGATAGCATTAGTCTGCGAATTATTTTTATGCGATTCTACAATGATATTGTAAACTAGATGCTGGGAAAATATTATCATCTACCAGTCAATAGTGAAGTCGATCGTGGATCCGATTGTTGTGGAAATGCGAGAAAGTATATCCTGTTTGCATGTACAGTACCAACTAGTATAATCTACAGTTTCCCTCCTGTTAGATCTGCTGGCTGCCACTTCAGGTCTCGGATGTCCAGAGGTGTGTCCTTACTGCAAGAATTATATTATTATTGCATATGGTATTAACGTCCCTTCGAGCCTAGAATGTCAAAGAAGGCCTCTTGTGGAAGCTCTACTGTGCCAAACTTCTTCATGCGACGTTTACCCTCCTTTTGGTTCTCTAAATGTTTCATTTTGCGTTCGTAGTGACCTGTAAATTACGATCGTGACAAGGCTTTTTCAATCATATTCTGGGATAGCTTACCACCATAGAGCCCCGCTGTGACATCAGCACGCAACGCAGATAAATTCTCTCGTGCGATGATCTTCTTACCAACCGCGGCTTGAATTGGCACTTCGAAGAGCTGTCGAGGGATGACCTTATCTAGAAAACGAGGGAGAAGATGAACATCCCCCTGGCTCATAAGTCTGGAATGCTCAATAGCCACTTACGTAGCTTCTTTACCCATATTCTACCAATGTTCTGTTGTGCCGAACGATGAACGATCAAGGCAAGTGCATCCACAGGCTTTCCATTAAGCAAAAATACCATCTGGGAGATGTTAGCTTAGATTTAACTGGAAACAACATGCCAAATAAACACCTTCGCTAAATTGCTAGCTCTATATCCAGCATCCTCATAACTAAATAAATATTAGATTCATACCACCGCAACCGACGAAGCACTCACTCGAAACTCGCGAAGCCCGAACTTCTGCCCTTGAGCTGATCGAAAAAGTCGGTGACTATTTCACTCAGTGGAAGAGTACACGTTAATATAGCACGGGACGATAATGCAGTTCCCGAATCAAGGTATCGGTGGTCTAAATCCTCTGCTCGATGAGAGAAACACAAGTCCATCATTTCTCCTAAATGCTCTGTTGGATATGTATGCTATAAGATAAAGAGGAAGCATTGCAAAAGTATGAATCACTAGCCTTCCGGTACAATTATAGAAGCCTTGACGATGGGTTCCTGAACTTCTTTAACCTTGGAAGCAGGATCTGTAACATCAGGGAATTCTGTGGGATTACTGATCATGACAGTTCTATCCCTGTATATCACTATGATATAGATCAGCCTTTAACGACTCAGTCATAACAACCTATGTTTACCTTTGTACGGTACCGTTGGCGCAGTGATTATGATGTTGGCGTCATATTCATCTTCAAGGCGCTGACGAAAAACATCCATGTGTAATGTTCCTAGAAACCCTAATCGACACCCTTGGCCTAGTGCTGTAGACGACTCGCGCTGTATTGTAACACTTCGGTCGGTTAAAGTAAGCTAGGATTATTGTCAATAACAAGAGGAGTACCGATAAAATGGATTTACCCTTTTAATCGATTCCTCTAGTTTGATGAAGTCATTACTGTCTACAGGAAATATCCCTGCATATACCTGTTTGTATAGTTCACAAATAAGTAATAATTCGAGAGTTAGGGCATTGACAGTTACCATTGCTTTCGTTGGCTGGAAACCAGGCATAGAATCTACAGGCTCCCCAGTACGATGCAGGGTATCTCCGATATGGGCTGAAACGAGGATGAGAAAATACAAACTACTCATCCTGGGGATCTTACCTTCAGACGATTCTTTCATGTTACAGGCTATGAAGCCCACTTGACCAGGCTGCAGGGTCCCTGTATGAACTTCTTCAGGGTGCATTATACCAACTTCAGTAACTTCGTATCTCTTGCGGGTATGACAGGATGTTATTTTATCGCCTAGATTACAGGGTCAGGAGAATTGCAGTTAGATTACGACTGCTAGGCAACCCACCTTTGCGCAGAATACCGTCCTGGACATTTATGAGCGAGATCACACCCCGGTAACGGTCGTATCTGAAAGTCAGTTGTCAGAAAAATTTATCGTGGAGTCTGAGGATATCTCTGACAGGGAATCAAAAAGAAAAGCCTTGAGCGGCTTATCCGTGACCCCCTTAGGAGGTGGTATCCTTTCGATTATCGCTTGTAGTACGGCCTCAACACCCTTCCCTGTCTTGGCAGATATTTGAAGGATATTCGATGGGTCGATACCAAAAGTCGACTGCATTTGTGCGGCTATCCTTTCTGGCTGCGATGCAGGTAAGTCTATCTAGTTAAACAATTAACTTGGGATACGAATCATTGATTTCTTGAATTTTGGGACCTTGTTAAGCACTGGAATAATTTCCAAACCTCTTTCTTTCGCGACGTGAAAGACAGAGATGGACTGCGCTTGGACGCCCTGGGTAGCATCGACTAGCAATAGTGCACCTTGACAAGCAGCTAATGAACGCGATACCTCCCACGCGAAATCGACGTGGCCCTTTCGGTTCGGTGTTGAGATCAATTCAGGTGGACAAGAAAAATAGCATTAAACCGTTTTGGACTCACAGGTGTGTCGATTAGGTTCAATAGATGAGACTTCCCATCCACTGTATGAACCATGCTGGAGAAAAGATCGCGTTCAACACACGTAGGAGAGTCATTAAGCATGACATGTCATTACCTGGCTGTCTGTGCTTTGACTGTTTGCGTTGCGCATTTCATAAGCCAAAAATATAACCCAACAAATGAATATTCCAAACCAGTAATTCCACGTTCACGCTCTACCTTCAGTTTATCTAAAACTTGTTGGTTATTTCCCGATGTCTTCTTCTGAATGGTCCCTGTAAGCTGTATAGCTATGTCAGTACTATACAGTAACTCTTTAGGACGTTGATATCTGTATACCTCTAGAAGGCTACAAGGGAGCAGGAGAACTCGCATCAGCATATATTTCCTTTAGTAGATTTTGCTAACATACCGATCAGCCAAGGTTGATTTTCCGTGGTCTGAAATGCAAACGATAGTTGTGAGCGGTCAAAACCAGCCCTTGAAAAGCTTTTAGTACCTATGTGAGCGATGATAGAGAAGTTTCTATATGCAGAGTTGAGCCATTCTCTTCAATACATGTTAACCTGACACGTACCGTATAACATCGCAAGGAAAGTCCTCCATTCGGAGAACTTTCCGCGCACCAGCATGAACATGTGAGGAAGTGCTAAAGCATTGTGTATAGCAAGAAGAAAGCGAATATCTGCGGAACACGTTAAGACATACTTTGCGCCAGACAGGGAGCATCCCTTAGAGGCGATGGATGCAAAACCAGGTTTTCGTTTTCAGCTGGAAATGTTTCAACGATCGAGGTCGCAAAAAGGCAGGAGCCGCTTAGTCACCCTGCCTATTGCACGGGTTGAGCGCCTTTCAAATTGGGACTTGCCAAACCCATGTCTCTCCAAGAGGCATCAGAGGCTAGAAAGGCACGTCTTATCGCTCTCAGAAAGCGAAAAGCAGGTGAGGCTGTCGACGAAAATGGGTATGTTGCTGTTCTCTTTCAAACTATCCTGTATGTCTAACTACAACCTCTAGGGAGTCGCTTTCTGTAATTCGCAATCGCAACTTCGATCCCGAATCTCGTACACTGCGAAAACATACTCGCAATGACCCACTTCTGGAGGATACTGTGGAAAAGAATGTCGAGGGCATGGCTCAGATGATAATTGCCGAGGACGAACAGCGCAGAGAACAGGAGCTGGTGAGTGCTTTGAGAACTATCTCAAGTCACGCACCGACTTATTTTCTGTACCCAATAGGATGTTTTCAATATTGCTCCCAAACGACCAAATTGGGATTTGAAACGAGAGATGGATAAGAAACTAGCCAAACTCGAAAGAAAGACGCAAGAAGCCGTACATACTCTCATTCGTGAGTGGTTCTTCTATTCTTGCCACGTTACCTCGTTCGAGTCTTTGGTCCTCTAGGACAACGTCTTGCTGCTCAAAAGGGTCAATCCGATGACATTTTGGGCGCCATGAATGCGCAACAGCAGGTGCAGGACCAGGAAAGTCGACTCGAGGACGAAGAAGACTGAAATCAAAAGCTAGTGTTACTAGCGGCATCGCCTGTATATCACCTCTGTATTCTAGACATAACTACATATCTAATGCTTTCGTTTGCGAACTCTGCTGGTTCTGGGATTGTATCTGTGTGATTTACTCGTGAGTAAATCTACCTTGATCATTCACCACACCACCTTTTTGACTGACAGTCTCATAGTAATCATGATTCTGTCATATCAGAGAACTCCCACCTACAGCGTAGATACTTTCGAGTACCTGACGAGTATCTGAAACACTCAGTCCTATTTACCATCAAAACGTGGAGCTCCCGAGTCACAGCTACTGGTGAGCTTCCAGTGAAGATGATTCTTTGAAAGGATAAGCTAAGAATGAACTTTCCTGATCGTTATCTGTCGTCACAGGAATATGCACCACATCAATGGTTCTCCTGTGAGGTTGCTTCTATCTCAAAAATATGACTCGGAAAGTGAAAGATCTGTACCACGTCGGGTAGGTCCGTAAGAGTACTACCGGGGGACTCTTCTGTAAATCTGTAAAATGAGGGTTGTGATGGCTAAAGTACTACTCCCTTTACGGTGGATGATTGGTTACGGTTCAACTTTCGAGCCCGGCCAATGTCCGGCATAATATTTTTCAAAATCCGATGTACCTTCAGCTATTATATTTGTATTTAGCAAAATTCGAGCAAGGCCTTTGATGGGCGATCAACGAAGATACATTTTAATTAATTTCTTTGATCCAGCGAGTGTGATTTGGGCAAAAGCCAGTGTGATGAGAGATCGAGCGAGCGTGCAATTCAATATGTCAACATAGGATTTCAAGCGTCCAAATACATCAAGAAATTACAAGTATTACACATATACTGACAACCCCTCTCCTCAAGGTAAGATCTCCACCTCACCCGCTTCGATTGTGTTCTGCATGGCTGTGATACCGGCGGAAATAGAAGGACAGCGAGTAAAAACGGCGCGGCTGACAGCGATAACGAGAGGAGAGGTAGACTGCCTGAGAAAATAGAGATGAGACAGTTTCGAAGTCGACGAGTCAAAGGTCACTTACCACGCAGCAAAGATACCAATTCTACGTCCTCTGGTGACCAAATAGAAGGGACCAGCTGTCCCAGCATCAGGAACCTCATAAACCTGGCCGAGGTATGTGCGAGTGATAGCCTGTGAGGCATTTGGCACATTACCTCCAGGTGGAGCGGCAGGGGTAGCGAGCGAGCCAAGTGCTGTGGTGAAAAGAGGAGAGCTGGTGGTGATCGGAGAAACTGTCGCATAAGCACTGGCACCCAAAGCAGGAGTAAGCGGAGAAGAGGCGGCACCCAAAGCAGGAGTGCGTGAAGAAGCAGCAGCTGAAGGACCAGATACCACAGTAGAGCTGGCGGCAAGCGACCCTTGAACTATTGAGGAAGATGGGGAAGAGCTGGTGTATATGGGACTTGATGGAGTTGAAGGGCGGGCACTGCCAAGAACAGCGGACATCATGAGCATAGCGTTGCTCCTACTCAAGGTTACGGATGAGAGGAGAGAAAGGAGGATGTCTGGAGGTACACGTAAGTTAGTGCAATAATCAGAAACATGAGAAGGCCTTACTCATAGTTTCTTCCTCGTCGCTGAGGCAATCTTCACTCACGGAGCGTTCAGGCTGCTTGGAAGAGTTTGAACGACCAGGGGGAGGAGATTGAGTCATTGCAATTTGGAAGGAGGAGGTAAGTATGTCTGGATGATAATTGTGAACTCACCCGTACCTTTTATAGCTGTTTGCTTGAGGCAGCATAGACTTACAGCCCATAGTTGACAATTATTGAGATCTACAAACACGGCAGTCTGACAGAGTTGCAGAATTTTCATGCGTGAGAACAATAGCTAAGGTCCAACAAATCAACATCACGTGTGTACTTCACGATCTCGGAATAATCAGCTGTTCAGACAGCACTGTAAATCTTTTCATGCAATTCTGGCGACACATTCTTGAAGAGCTTCGCGTCAACCACATGCTCACGCCAATACAGTAATGCACAGTCAGTTCCAGCTCTTTCTTGTGGTCATATGTCTCATATTAGCCCGCACTAACCAAATGATTCAACGCAAAGCCAAAACAATGGTCTCCGCCGACGCACAATGGAATCCCATTGTACTCACATGCTTGGAGGATCAAGGAGATCTCAAAGAGACTGGAAGGTACAATTCCCATATTAAATTACAAATAAACTCGGTGTGAGTTGCTCCTTACAGCATCTGCACAGTTGTGCATTCCAGAACTCAAGTTCTCGGGCCCAAAGCATGATTCCATAGAAACATTCATTGTTGTATTTAGCTATTCTATGTACAATACAATGATTTGATATCCAAAGTGCATTTCAAGAAAACAAGAAAGACCAGAACACATACTAAAAGGCCTAAGCTAATCCGAGTCGTCTGTCCACTCATACTCAAAATCTGTATCAGCTTCGTCAGATGAGTAGCCCCCGGTGTTCTGTGGTGCATCTCCTACAACGCGCCTCCGTTGCCGGTGGGGTGGAAGCTCCATGACTGGCATGAATTCGGACTCATCCTCCTCATTAGAGTTCACTGAAAGGGCCATCACAGTACGCAACTCCATGTTGTTTGGCTGATCTCGGAACTGCTGGAGTAAGTGTAAATAGATGTCCCATATGTTTTCTCGGCCAACTTGAGGGTAGTTGGCAGCATCCCAGAATGTGCGTGCCTGTAACGAAAAGGCCGGCGGGACCAGATGAAAAACAGGGTGATCGGGTGGTGCATACTTGTCTCGCACTTCTGTTAGATACGGCGGATGCACCTTAACCTGTAGATGTATGTATTATAAGTATATGACAAAGTGGAAATGATACTATGAACTTACAGCAAAATTGCGTGACTCAAAAAGCTCCGGGTTCTTGAAGATATCTACAGGGCGTCCATGAGGTAGTAACTTGTGTGAGTTTCGTCGGGGCTTTGAACCGTTGAACCTCTCAATGAAGCAGTTGAGTTCTTGCTGTATCCAGGGGATAAATACATAGTGGAAGACTAGTCTACAGGTTTGTGTCAGTTGTGGCCGCTTTGCTTAGGTAAATGGATATACGCAACCGTTGAAGAGCATCGTCAGCATCATAAAGGCCCTCGTTGACCCCCCAGTCAAGGAGAGCCTCAAATCCCGGCGCCCAACGTCTTCGAAATTGGCCCCAAAAGATCTCAGGCTTAATGTTCCGGTGAGATCCTTTGAACGTATGTTGCAGGGTCTTGTCTAAAGCCGGGTCTTGCATATGACGAAGTAATGTATGGCCGTTTGCGATACCATTGTTTTCAGTGCCGGGGTCACTTTGTGTGATTAGAGGCATCCCTAGTATAAGTCAGCAATTGGCAGCCAAGCAGTTGAAACACCGGAGAAAGAGACTCACCACCCAATCTCTCCACGACATCACAATACCATCCACATATCAGACGCGGATTATGGTTAGTCCACCAGACTTTGAGCCAGAGTACATAGCCGGAGAAGGGCTCGAGTCCAACGTGAAAAAAAAGCTGAAAGCGTCTCCACTTATCATGCTGGTCAAAACACCACAGTTCATTGACACCTGCTGTCCAGAAATAACTACGCTTCAGCCGGCGTTTTCGACGTCCTTTTACTTCGTCTGGATGGTGTAGATTCATGTAGTCTAGTATTACCTGCCTAGTATACTAACGTCCTTGTGACTGCCACTGTGTGAAAAGTGAAACAACTTACCGAGGCACCATCACCCTTTCCTCTTGTCGCAAAGTCACTCTCATATCGTGTGACCCCTGGTGAGGGAACCGCTCACGAACACGTTCAATGGTAGGCCCCACACTATCAACTGAGTGTGCCTGGCCCCGAGCACTCTTCAAGCCCCAAACCATCCGTTTTTTCTTCAGTAAAGCGAGACTATAGTTAATCAAATGTGTCAGTGTATTGTAGTATTACAGCTAGAAGGCTTACGAAAATGAGTAGCGGTCCGTGTCATAGTAGTCCTTGAGTTTAGTGACAATTTCTGGATTTGTGTATCCATCTGCGACGAATTGTTCCACCAATGGTCGGATTAAAATGTCTGGAGCTGTGAGAAAAGGACAGAAAGTGAGCATTACACCCTTGGAGTGTCGTTTATGCAAGCCTACCAGGGGATACCTTATACCCATTGGTACCTTGAGGGTTAGGCATGGCCTGCAGGGCGTTGACAGTCCTGGATAGCGTTAGCACTTGGCTGATGCACGTGGGGCACTGCAATTTGAACACTCACCTATAGGATGCACAGTCCAATAGTACACTTCCTATTTGATCCACAGCCTGTTCAGTGTAAGCAGTGGAGTCAGTTCTTCAAGTGATCCTATGGGCAGAAAGGATATGGAAGATCCGCTCAATAGACACTTGGATACGCACTTCAGACAAAACCGTAAGGCTAATCAGATCGTGTTTGCACGCAATTCATTTAACCGGTGCCTGCCTCTTCCTCATTTGTTTTCACTGACATTATCTCCGCAAAGATCTCCCATCTCCTCATGTCAATTTGCAATCACCAGCTTTGACATATCCATATTGATCCTTGTCCGCGTGTTGTTCGAGGATGGCCCATTGGTGAGTCGCCAGCCACTCAGATTGGCAAAGTCCTCATTGTTATCTTTGTGCCGAGGAGTTCTCAAATTTGACTCGACTCGACCCAAATCCATTCGGACTACAACTCATCTTCAAGGATCCATATAAACTACACCAGGAATGGGGGGAGAACAGTAAGTAAATTAGCCGCCATGGACTTCACACCCACTATCGAAGGCCCACCAACTAAAAGTTGTCATCGTTGTCGTACAGAATTTGATAAGTCTGTCCGGTTCTTGTATATCAAGGGTAGGGATGGGACCGGTCGCCACTGCTGTTCAGATTGCGTCGAGCATTATCAGCGCAAGCGTGCGGAAACTGGAGAACGTCATGGTCATAGTACCAGTGCAATATCTGGTGAAATTGTCGGTATGTCTGATTGTCTTCTGTAATTCAATGTATATGTTAAGGATCAAATCTAGATTTCACGAAAGTGGCTTCCCGGGCACATGGTGTTGATGCCGACTCGCGCCAGGCTCTTGTCAAGGCTTCTTCGGCCGCACAACGTGGCGGTGAGTAAAATTTCCAGCTCACCTGTGCGTGTTCAAGTTACTTACCAAACACACATTATGAAATCCCAGAACAGTCATTCCCTAGGCAGCATATTGGGGTGGGACATGCTACATCTAGCGTTATGCCTCCCCCTCTTATCCCCTCGTCTGCTAGTGTCAGTGCTGATAGCGTCTCCCAAGCCATAGGATATACTCAGAACCATGCATTCCACGCCCACCACCGCACGAAAATGCTAGCATCAACAGTAGCTCCTCAACGTCAAGTCACAATCCGGATAGCTCTCCATCATGTGAAGGACGAAGGAAAATCTGGAACAGAGCTGGTTGGGGTGAGTCTTTGGGTACTTCAATATTTCAAGGATACTCACATGTACTATTATTTGAGAATATTGAACGAGACATTACAGTACCGCTCTCTATTAAATGTGGCCAACTACGCAACATAGTGATTGAACACCTGAAGCGTTTGTGGGTGGTCTGGTCTTGTGACCATCAGCTGGCACTCGAGTCTTTACAGATGCTGAAGGCTCCATTACTCCTCATTTACGACCCCGAAGAGCCTCATCAATACTCTGAGCGGCTGGTCCTTCACGATTTTTTCTTCCGCACATCAGCAAAGGACAACATGCCCAAGTTTTCACCAAACGTGAAAGTTCCCATCATTCTCTTGATGTCAAAGGAGGAATTTGAAGATGTCTTGCTATGGAAGGAAGAAGATAGGCATGCCAAAGCACGCTCACGCAATGAAGAGGTTCAGAGCCCCGGAATATCGTCAGACGATGATGATATTGGTGGTCCGATGGACAAGGTTATACATTTTACTTACTTTTACTGCGCTATACTTACAGCAACTGGCCTTACTAGATATTCCTTGCAGCAACACGTGGTGGGAAACGAGCTAGAAAGACTCGTGTGCGAAAGGCGCCAGGCCAATCTTCCATCCCCGCACGTGAGTCGGTATCTGTGCGTTCAAAAGCACCAGTGTCAGAGGAGGTATGCCAATGGCCCTCACATTATTGGAGACGATACTTACCACATGTAGGGTGAATATGACAGTCGTAGTAACAATACACGCAGCACAGCATCAATGTCAAGCCTATTCCACAGCAAACACTCCATCAAGACGTCTGAACTACGCCCCCTCACTCCCTCAAGCTCTAGCAGCCAATCACTGCCCTCAAGACTTTTCTCCAAGGCTGCTACTAATCCCAATATCCCGCCATTCAGCATGCCTGACAAGGCAGTTCTTGAGCGTGTCATGAAGGCACAAGGAGATGTTCGACGCCTAGCAAAGCCGATATGTAAGTCAACCTATATTTCTATCTAAAACATCTATTAACGTGCTAGTGAAGTAAATACGGACATAGGAATCTATGTCCTGTTCCTCGTCCCTTCGATCCCATTCACTGAGCTTCTAAAGAAGCGGGTCCCTTTCGATGTCATGAGCAAGGTCAATCGCCCTCTAGTCACTTTAACAGTTGACTGCAGCTCAAAAGCAATGCTGGGGCCAGCCGGTAGCTTCAAGACATGCCACCCAGCGTCATATGATCTAACTGAAGCTCTGCCAGCAGAGGAAAATATTCTACAGGTAGAGGCTATAGTAGCAAAACGTTGCTTTTACAGAGAAACAGTACAGGGAGCCGAAAAGAGTGGTACACCATCAAGTCCTTCAGGCGGGCGCAAACGACTGGCCATCAAGGATGAGCTAATGAAGATGCTCGACGAGGCTAACTGCCTTTACTGGGCAACAAGCCTGTTGGCTTTAGTTTATAACTTCGTCGACGACAAGCTTATTCGAAGGCCCCTTGACTGTCCTCCCCCGGCAATCCCCCGACTTCGAGTCGTCCACGCCGCTTTGGCCATCCCCCAAGACAGCAGAGAGTTGCGTAATGCCGTTTATCTTCTCGAGGAGAAGATAAACGGTAACTTCGTGAAGTATATCAATAACAATAGTGCAGCTCCTCGGCACAAACTTGCTCCGCCTGAACTGGAGATTGCAACCTTCCTATGCTTCGCACAACACACTCAATATCATTTCTCGCAAGGCCTTGTGTTCATCTCAGATTTTCAAGGTAAGTTAATATAAGCTAGTCTCTTTTGCTTTCCTTTTCGTACTTACATTTGACTTGTCAGGGTCCGGTGGAATATTGACTGACTGCCAGGTTATCACTACCAAGTAAGGCTCTATTACCTCCATGTGGTTGGTTCTCATCCTTTCCCAGAGACTTTGCCGATAATTTTGGCGAAGGAAACTGGACGGCGACGTTAGACAACTTCCCCTTGTTGCACAAATGCAACCAGTATTGTGTATATTTCGGACTCCCTTCCTTGCAGACAGCAGTATGTTTTCTTTTTCTGATGGATCCTTTCTACTACATCTCATGTCACCTCTTTTTTCACAGAGTTCGGCTACAAAGATGAGAACATCACAAGAGATTGACATCATGTCCAGTCGTGTTCGTGGCTGAGAGGGATTTTTTTTTACATGACATGTACTTACTGTATCGCTTGAAATCCTATGTTGACATGTTGAATTGCACGCTCGCTCGATCTCTCATCACACTGGCTTTTGCCCAAATCACACTCGCTGGATCAAAGAAATTAATTAAAATGTATTTTCGTTGATCGCCCATCAAAGGCCTTGCTCGAATTTTGCTAAATACAAATATAATAGCTGAAGGTACATCGGATTTTGAAAAATATTATGCCGGACATTGGCCGGGCTCGAAAGTTGAGCCGTAACCAATCATCCACCGTATCCCTTCCCACAAGACTCATTGCCAGTGATCCCGGAGAATACCTGTGGCCCACAGTGTTTTGGGCTGGGAGGCGTCTGGTAGGAACAGCCACGCTCACGGCAACTGCCAAAAGGGACAGTGTGGAAGTATTAAAGCCACGTGGAAGGACACTATTAAAGCACCTCGATTGACGGGAAATATATATGTGCTCCAGCAACTTGACCTGAACGTTCTCTGAACCTATCTATATCCTTATTGCTCCGTGTTATTATTGTTGTAATGTCCTCTGAAGTGGAACCGCCACCCCGCCGTGTGCTGAGTCTTGTCCAATACTGTCAACGAGGTCAGTTCCTTTTTCGATTCCTTACCAGCGTTAAGCGTCAGCTGACGGCATTACTATGGCTTTAGTTGCTGCCTCACATGTAGAATGTAATTCACTACTTTCTTCCATCTTCAAACTCCTATCATGACTGATCAGCTGGCAATCTCTAGTTATCAGCGGTTTCGGTGACTCTCAGGATTTACGGTATGAACTTATCGAGCCCATACTTGAAAGCTGCTCTGCAGATACCCTTCTTCGCCTTGAACAATCGTCTCCTGTAAGCATCCCCTTTTGTTACGCTGCTTCCCATCTGACAGTTGCCGCGTAGTACATCCAGGAAGATACGTGTGGTCAGTGATTATGATTCATCTTTTGTTTTCTTCGTAGTAATCACCTATTGTCCACAGATCTATGGAAACAGCTGTGCTTCAAGTCTTATCCCTTAACGAAAGACCGCTATCAACTTGGGGAATTAGAAGAGCCAACCTCATGGCGGGACCAATACTATGTATTTAACATCACGCCCTTTCAACTCGTCGACGATCTTATTCCAAACTCACAGATCCTCCGCGCTGCTGAAGCACGAAGACTCGAAGAGGTCGCTTCTCGACTCCGTAGTCAACGCATGGAAGCCGAAGAGCGCAAGAAAGAACGAGAAGTCAAACTAACGGATCGGCTGCCTCCTACAAAACGCTCCCGTACTGGCGGCTCCAGCTGTAAGTTCACTATGAGTTATATTTATAACATCATGGCCCCTCATTTTTCGTCGCAGGGTCAACAGGCCCTATCGTGAAAACCTTATTTCAGAAGACAAAGTCCGAAGCGTCTAAACTCCAACGGACTATGTACACCTCACGCATGGTTCCTCCTATGATCCAAGGCAAGAGGCAGCGTGTCCTTCCCGGCGCACCTAGCGCTAAGCCTCCTCCCCCCACGTCGACTTCATCTGGTGGCGAAATGACAGCCAGGACAATAACATATCGCCAATATCAACCTCACACCAGTCCTAGCTCTTCGACGACCCCTCTGTCACCCCAACGCCCCAATGCAAAGAACTCCGCCACGCCAGAAAAGTCCCTTTCTGTCCTGTCTTCACCGACAAAGGTGGCGCTATCTTCGTTACAGCTGCCGTCTTTATCTTCCGAAACCCGACCGTCCAAAGCGCCGACAGTGCCCAAAAAAGACCCCATGGCCTCTCTTTTTATGCCAAAACATCGCGCTCACTCCCAACTGACCGGAAAGACGACGACTTCTACACGTACCACGTTAGATAAATGATCCGTTTGTAGACTCTACACTTTCACACCTTCACCATTATTCGACTCCTCGCATATTAAACTATTGGTCGACTATTCAGTATTTGTTCTGTAGCCACTAGCCAGGATTTCGATCAAGCTTAGCACATCGCCCGTAGTTGAATATTACCGACCCCTGTCCCTGTCGCACTGTACAATAAAATGCAATAACTTATCACGGTTAATGGTATTTAATTATAATTTGTACACATTTTGAGAGGCATACGACAAATAGAAATATTGCCAGCCAAGAATTTTGTTCACAGGTTCACAACTCTACAGACAACGTTCCAAGATGATACAGCAATGCATCAAGAGGTCGGCTCTGGCTGAGAGCCTACACGACTAGATAATCATTCAAGTGTGCCAGTAGAAGGGACTTCCCAAATGCGAATAGTTTTGTCGTCGGAGCACGATGCAAACATCTGCTCGTTGCGTGGATTCCAAGCCACAGAGTTGACGCTTCCCTCACCATGGCCAGATAGTACTTCGAGAAGTGACCCGCTGTCTCTATGCCACGCATATACATTGCCATCTGAAAAACAATCAGTCAAGTTAGCGATATACGTAGCTGATGATAGTTGACTTTACCTTCGCTGCCACTGACGATGAAATTGCCGTCAATGCCTCCAAAACAACTCCGGATAACAATGCTCTCTTGACGTTGTCCTGTTAGCTTTCGAACAAGTTGACCTGCAGCAAGGTCCCATAGATGTATTTCCTGTATCAACATTAGCACAAAAGCTTTCGTAGAAACCGAAGGACATCTCACGTCAGGAGCATGGTTGAAGAGAGCATAACGCGAGTCGTCAGATATCTTGATACTAGTCGGCTGGCCGTCTAGTCGTATGGATCTACAGGAGTCAAGACATCAACAGCCACACTTGACGCACGAGACGAATAGCACATACGACTCCATCTGCTTTGAAGCCAGATCATAGATAATCATGCAGTTCTCTGGGCCTTTTGGCATGTTTGCTATTGGTGCGCCGCTTCCGTCTTTTACAGTAGGAAGTGAGGTATCCCGCCCATGGCCATGCTCAGAGTCGTGAGCTGGTGGCGTAGGTGCGACGTAGTCCATGCCCACGGATACCAAGCGCAATGAATCAGGACTAACTGCAAGGTCTGTCACGCGCATAGCTGTTATGCCCCATGAGTCCTGCTCCTTTCCCTCAGCATCCTAAAGTCAAAAGTTGAAGCAATGTGTCCACCACAAAAATAACGATGGCACTGCGTACCCATAGAATAATCTTGCGATCTAGCCCACCCGAAATGAAACCAGAGCCGTCTGGAAGCCAGGTAAGGGCTGAAACTGTCTCAGAATGAGCATCGAGTGTTCGCAAACATATTCCACTCTGAATTTGGATTTAGCATCGTCTACAATAGCGTGAAAACAATCGTACTTTTGCGTCCCACATCTTTATGAGGTGGTCTGCACTTGTAAGTAGGATTGAATCATCCCGCGACCATGCAATGCAGCCAACCGAGTACGGGTGATCTCGCAAGGTTAATTCTGGGGCACATTCCCGCACTGATGGTTCTGACTTGGACTGAAAAAATCATCTTATGGTGGTTGGTGAATGCTGGGAAAGTGTACGTACTCCAATCCGCCATATAATGGCTGTCTTATCTTTACTTGCGCTTGCCAAGTATTCACCGGTATGACTCCAAGCTATGCTCCATACTTCATCTGTATGCACTTGCAATATGGAGGTTGTTACACGTGGTAAAGTATTCTTGTCGTACTGAAGGTCCATGTGTACTGGAGTAATAAAATAGCAATCGTGTTCTAATTATACAATGGTCAACGTGGTTCACACGATCTCGAATCGGATGAATATAGCGAAGATGAGACGTGGAGTTGATTTCAAGTTGCACCTCTGCGCCGAGTCTAAAGACAGAGGTTGGTAGTGGGAACATTTTCATGGAAAATACTGCCAGACTGGAGTCTCTACAAGGCCATTGCCTTACTCTGCTGTCGTCAGTCTATTCGTGGCCGTGTCATCCATGTTTATTCTTTGAGAAACGTCGATGATGTGGAAAAGTTATTCGATGATACTCCCATAGACCTTCTGAATACAGATACTTGAGATCACGTTTGTTCCCGCTTGTGTATTCGTGCAACAATGCTATCCTCAATACATCATAATCACAGAAGTTTTCTTGGAAGTCTCCCAGCACTTGGCCAAGAATGCAATATTGTACATGTGAGTCTACTCTGATCGATACTACAGTGCTAAAGCTTTGGAAAAGATGAAGTTACATGCGAGCTACAGATTGAGTGGTATATTAGTGCTACCCAGTCAGCCCTCCTGAGGTTCCGTGCCCTTCTTCCTTCGCCTTCAAAAGCTACTCCCGTTCTTCTCGTTCCCGTTTAAACCGTTGATATAACTGATCCATGTCCTCTTGGCGCTGTCGTTGCAGCTGCTCCTTGTCCTCTTGGCGCTGTCGTTGCAGCTGCTCCTTGTCCTCTTGACGCTGTCGTTGCAGCTGCTCCTCATATTTTCGTCGCACCTGCTCCTTGTCCTGTTGGCGCTGTCGTTGCAGCCGATCAATTTCGTCTTGATTTTGTTGCCGGCCTTGTTGCAGACCTTGTTGCAGGCCTTGTTGCAGGCCTTCTTCTCGGCCTTGTTGCAGGCCTTCTTCTCGGCCTTCTTGCAGGCCTTCTTCTCGGCCTTCTTGCAGGCCTTCTTCTCGGCCTCCTTGCCAGACTTGTTGAGTGTGCTGTTTCGAACAGTCAGTTTAATGAAAACTTGAGAAGACATACATTAGGAGACTTACTTCCTGGTGACGGTTTTGTTCTTCTTCCTTTCGTTCCTGAAACGTTCGCCAAACTATGTGATACTTCTCGCACACTTCGTCCACATCATCGTTAACTATAACGGGTATTATTCTCCACTTTGAGCGTTCAGATGCTCTTTGGTTGTCAATAAATTTGACATTTGGAAAAAGTCTGGACAGACTCCCCCAGAGTGTGTGCGCAAACCAGTAGCATTGGCTTCCATATAGTTTGTAGGGCGAATATCCACTGATAATACCAGCAAGTATGGAGAGGTGATAGACATTGGGTATAGGAGTGTCAACTTGGTGAGGATAAATGATTGTGCCAAGGCACTCATACGGTTGGGTGGCAGCCAACATTGCTCGTCCTTCTGCGCCCTCCGTAACGACAGTCATCGAATCATAGGCTGGTTTATCAACGGAGGACGATAGCTGCGCGATTGTCTTCCTCGGATCCCCTGACTCGCTCTCACCTTCCCTCTTCTGTGCTTGGCGCTGATCAGTGCTAACGAAGCGCTCTATCTTTACCAACGAGCGAGTGGAAACATTGGGGTTTGGATGGCGGATATATGCCAACAAAAACTCATGTTCTGCACCTCTGCTTTCCTTACAGAACTCGAGCGTATGAACGAAGCAGCGAGATGCAACGTCCTCGGGTAACCGCGTCATCATATCTTGCCATTGAGCAACTGGGTACTTGTGAATGTTGTCTTGAAAAAGCGCATCGATACAAGTGTATGGTTCCTTGCGCTCCATGATGTGAAACTTTGGGGCAAGGTAGCGTTGTATGGAAAACAGTATGGAAAACACTCGGCTTTTAAGATCCAGCAACATCATGGCTCAGGTTGAGAAGGGTTTTCTGAATTAGTCTCCGCGAAGTACTTGTACCTGCAATGGATTTACTACAACATGCGGCATGCATGCTTGTGTGAAGAAAAGGGAAGGTAGCGCCACCAGAGAATCTTGCTCCGACTTACAATCCTCAAATTTCCCAGTCGGAAACGACAAAATATACATCCGCATAAAAATGTCAGCCTCAAGTGGCCTTGAGCCGCCTGGAGGCTGCACCTATAAGGCGTAACAAAGAAAATTGTATTTTAACATGAAATAATACCAATTTGAGCTTAGTCCGAGATTATCAAGGCCAACGAAAATATCTCAGAGCGTATCTTTAGAGTACTAGATTACAATTATCACCATAGATAAGATGACAAAGATACAAAGATATGAAAAGCGTTCAAAAAATCTACAAAAATCTACAAAAAAGTCTTATCTATGGATCAGCATTGTTGTCATCACAAGCTTCTTGATGATGTGCTTCTAACACATCATCAGGTAAACTAGTAGAAAGTAATTAGTAGAATATATTATGCAGCAAGTTTCGACAGCTCAACCACTCTCCAGGATAAAATGTACCAGCTCTAAATATTATTCCCTGTCCGAAGTATCATTGCAAATTTGTTGGCGGATTTGAGTCAGATATGCGGTGTAAAATTTGCGGTAGGTAGCACTTTTGAATGAAATTGGAACATAGAACCCACCACGGAAATCTTGAAGAGCGGTGTACAGTGCAGTAGCGGCCATTGCGATGATGCTATCCATGTTGAGGTAGTCATTGGCTTCGAGATTGAGTGCATATGCCAACCCAAATATTTCCTAGGTTTGGAATAGCGAATCAATGGCCACTGAAATAACCGTCTGGTGACGAAACCACTGAATGCGGCCCTAAGAGAATAGTAGATAGCAGGTCAGTACATGATCATAAGTCCGAGAAAATGAGAGCTTACATTTACGCTTGGGTGGGGAAATAATGGATTGGGTCCAGTGTAACAACCAAGAGTTAGTTACTCCGGCGCACACAGGAACACACTATATGTCAGGCAACAAATACGAAGCTATATAACAAAGCTCAATGTCTGGTCAAGTCCTTCCTTGAAGGCGGTGAATCAGAGTATGAGAATGAAGAGTATCGGTAAGAGCGCAAATCCAAACTAATATTGAACTAGAGAACAATACATCGAGTACATACTTCTCTATATAGTGAACGGCGATGGTCAGACCGAGAAAGGGAAATACTGGGAAAGTGGTCTGACCAACTAACTAACCAATAAGAAAAAAGAGAGGAAGTGGTCCGATCTATCGTGTTTACTAATCGTATAAGAAAACGTATGAGTAAGGGATATGCGATTGGCTGTATCAGTAAGCCCATGAGAAGGCGCTGATTCACTACCTTCTTCGCTTATCAATATTCCTCCGAAGTATTCCCAGACATAGCACTGGATCGTGGCTACGTCATCTGGATATCTTCTTGAGGGTCGACAACGAGTCTACCTCGTTGTAGGTACGATAGAACGTGAGTATGAAGAGAGAATAAGAAGAAGAATGATAAAAGTAATAAGACACCGGCTGTAATCTCTAGTTCAAGGGCAAGAGGAGTGATGGGGATCGAATCTGCTAACCACGACATGACGGGAATGCGATAAGAAAAATTGATTCCTCACATTAGCTCCCCTTTTATAAGACTCGTGTCCTCATGAGTCCGGATGCGGCACTTTGGAACTTATTACTAATCCAATCAAAAAGCATCGGCGGTTTAGAAGTGGCGGTGTAGTTTTCGTAAGGACGGAAGTGAAGAGAAGCGGTAATAATACGAGGGGCGGCGGGATTTGTTTTGTGGAAGGTGGCGAGTAAATCAGTGACATGCGTAAGATTGGTGTCGGGTTCCCAAGTGCATTCGGAGACTGGATAACCATGCCAGTGAATTAGGTAGTCGAGCTTACTACCTTTCAGTTTAGTCGGTCTAGAAGCGATTATACTCTCTACTTCGTATTCGTCTATTCCTTCCACAATCTCGGGTGGTGGTCGTGAGGAAATTGGTTGATTGAGGAATTCGGGAGCGTGGTATGGTGAGAGGATGGCTTCGTTGAATACGGGGTGAATGGACTTCCAACTTTTAGGGATGTCGAGTTGGTATGCGGAGGGTCCGACCTTTTGGGTGACTTTGAAAGGTCCGAAGCGTTTATCGTCCAATTTCTTCATTGGTCTATTCGTTGTGATGTTATGCCCTTCTAACCAGACTTTGTCGCCAACTTGGTACTCCTGGGAGGGGGACTTCTTGCGGTCGTAATACTTCTTCAGATTCTCGTTTGCTACAAGAAGGGAGGATTTCGTGATATCGTGGAGTTTTTTCATTTGTTCGCTAAATTCTGCTGCAGAAGCGGAGCGAGGGGACGACGTGGTGGTGATATTCGTTCTTGGGTGTAACCCATAGTTCAAAAAGAAAGGCGTTTGATTCGTTGCGGTATGGAGGTGGTTGTTGTATGTAAACTCAGCAATGGAGAGCCAGTCTGCCCAGTCATCTTGTCGATGATTTATAAAAACGCGGAGGTAGTGCTCTAGATCCTGGTTGATCCGTTCGGATTGTCCGTCTGTTTGAGGGTGATAGCCTGTAGAGAGGCCTGGTGTTATCCCCATTAGGTCGTAGAAGTCTTTTGTGAATCGAGACATGAATTGAGGACCTCGATCAGAGACGATCTTTTCAGGAATTCCGTGGAGTTGTATTACATTATCTCGGAGTTGACGTGCATAACCGGCCGAGTCGAGAGTGACGAAGGTGGGGACAAAATGGGCCATTTTACTAAATCGGTCAACAAAGACCTGAACGGCGGTGTAGCCCTTGGATTCCGGTAATGCGCCTATGAGATCGGTGGTGATAATCTGCCAAGGCCGATCTGGTATCGGGTTCGGGTGTAGAGGGGCGTTAGTCTTTGTCCGATGTGCCTTGGTGCGTTGACAACTCTCGCATCCTCGTACATACCGTCTGATATCTGTACGAAGACTTGGCCACCAGAGCTCTCGGTTTACTCGTTCAAACATCGTTCTTTCTCCTGGGTGCCCGGCTAGGGCTTCGTCGTGATGATCTTTCAATATTCGCGCCCTTAGTTCGTGATTTCGGGGAACGTATACTCGGTCAGCTAAAGGGATCGGGTAGGAACTCGTCGCGGACTCTCTCTTGATCCAGACGATCCTATCCTTCATCTTCCAGGTATCCGGCTTCTCTCTCAAGTTCTTCTTTACTACGTCGTCTTGTTTCTGGAAGCTTTGACGTATATCTGGTAGGTATCCTTCGTTGGTGTCAAGTAATTCGAAATGTACGTCTGGGAGAAGTATCTGATCCTCATTATCGTTTGTGCCTTTAGGATGATCGATCCGTCTGCTTAACAGGTCGGCCTTCGTATTCTGATTTCCTTTGACGTGTTCCATCTTAAAATTATAATCTGCAAGCTGGGATGACCATCGAGCTTGGCGTCGATTGTATTTCTGAGGTTGACGGAAGTAGAGGAGGTTTTGGTGATCTGTGAAGATGGTGAAGGGGTGTTTCGATCCTATAAGGTGATGTCGCCATTCATCTAACGCCATCATGACTGCGAGCATCTCTTTGTCGTAAATTTCATAGTTTCGTTCTGCAGCGGTAAGGGCTTTCGAGAGGAATGCTATGGGTCTGAATTTGTCGTTTTGTTTCTGGGATAGGACGGCTCCTACAGCGAAGTCAGAGGCGTCAGTTTCTAGTTTGAATGGGTTGTCGTCGTTTGGTATAGCAAGGGTGGGGGCAGTAGTAAGCGTTTTCTTCAACGTTTCAAAGGACGTTTCTTGTTCGTCTTTCCAGGTCCAGTCAACTTTTCCGGTGAGCACAGTGAGTGGTTTCGCAATTCGTCCGTAGACTTTGATAAATCGTCGATAGAAATTGGAGAACCCTAAGAATGATTGGAGTTCTCTTTTGTTCTTTGGTGCGGGCCAGTCAGCGACCGCTGCGACTTTTAACGGATCCATACGGATAGTGTCTTTGGAGATGATCATGCCTAAATACTCGACTTCCTGTTTCTCGAATTCGCACTTCTCTGGTTTGAGATACAACTGATTTTGTTGCAGGATACGGAGGACTTTGGTGACTATTTGACGATGTTCTTCGAGTGTTTCCGTGAAGATCATAATATCCTCTAAATATACAATAACTTTTCCTTCCGTGATCAGTTCTCTTAGGAGGTGGTCCATCATGGTCTGGAAGGTTGCCGGCGAGTTGGTAAGTCCGAAAAACATGACGAGGGGTTCGAACAGGCCGCGATTGGTCCTGAAAGCGGCCTTGTGTTCGTCTCCTTCTTGGATTCGGACGTTGTTGTATCCCCATCGTACGTCTAGTTTCGTGAAGTAATTGGCACCTTTGAGTTTATCGATGAGTTCGGATATGAGGGGGAGGGTGTAGCGATTCTTTATGGTAAGCTCATTCAGCTTGCGATAATCTTGGACAGGGCGTAGTGAGCCATCTTTCTTTTTGATAAAGAAGAATGGCGATGCGTAAGGTGATTTGGATACTCGAATCCGTCCACTTGTTAGATTTTCGTTAAGGAATTCGTCTAGATGGTGTTGTTCGTCTCGGCTAAGAGGGTACATTTTGCAGTCAAGACCATTAGCCTCGGGTATTAACTCAATTGCATGGTCCCAAGGACGTTTCGGGGGAAGTTTGTCAAATGATTCTTTGGTGAAGACGGGTTCGAATTCATGGTAGATTGGAGGAACGACATCTCGGAAAGTAAGCTTTGACTTTGCCTTTTCGGAGGATTCGGCGATTTGTTGACTTTTAGTGGCAAATGCGTTCAATTCTAGCTGTGTTATCTCCATAATTCGTGTTTCGAGATCGACGGCTAGAACTTTATCCCCTTCTTCAGGATGATACTCCGGATCATCAGCAGGGAAGGTAATCTTGTTGGTCCACCAATCAATTGTTGGATTCGTCAGTATCAACCAGTCGTATCCAAGCAGTATGCGTGGTGAAAGTAGAGATGCTACGATGACATCTATCAAATGTTCTTTCCCTTTCACATTGATGTGAAGAGTGATATAGTGTGTTACTTTCTGGGATCGACCATCGGCTCCTGCAGCGTCAAGAGGGACGGGCAGAGGCGTAGTATTGAGGGTATACTTGTCAACCAGGCTTCGATCGATAACCGAGTTGGTGCAACCAGAGTCGATAAGGGTTGGGACGGTGAATGTCTGTCTGTCGTCTATGGTAGTGACTTGAGAAATGATATGGAGGCTTCGTTTTGACGTAGGGTGGTGCGGCGAGGTGTAAGCATGGATGCGTTCTATAATGTTCTCTTCGTCGTGGTTCCTCAGCATCTGTATCGCCTGCAGGGTGATATGCTCGTAGTGATCTTTATGGGCCCAGTTTCGTAACAGAGCTCTTGCTCTTTCTGGTTTCTGGTCTTTGATTCGTCTGGCCAGCCATTCCGGTGAATGTGGCTTCGCGTAGGTTTCGGTTACAGCACGTAGATGTTGATCAACTCGTTTTATTGCAGTCGTTGGTAATGTACGAGGGTTAAATACAACATTTCGGGTCAGAGAGTCCGTGCTTACTCCTGACCTTTCTGAAAATCCTTCGGGGGTGCTTCAATTTCTTTTAATGACGATGTAGTGGGAGTGTCTTTGGTTTCCTCCGTTTCCATATATCGTATTGCCATCTTTCCATGTGGGCAATTTCTAGCAATGTGGCCTCGTTCGCCACAGTTGTAACAAGTAACATTCGGGTTGGGCCGATGTTGTCTCTGCGTGTTGGAACTCCCAATCTCCATAGGTACACCTGATCCTCCAAACGTTCCTGCTGTGTTTGGATGGACTGCATTCTGGGGCGGTGGTCTATGAGATGGAGTATAATACGGTCGCTGTTGGATATACTGTGGTCTTCGCGTCTCTGTTCGCGGTACTGTCTGTCGATGCTGTGGCGGAGGGTAGTGTTGGTTCTGCTGATAGCGCGGTTGATATCGTTGGTACTGAATTGGCAGCCTCTGTTGAGGTGGTTTATCTCTCCTCCTTTCCAGATTAAGCTCTTCATTTCGCTGTTCCCATTTCCTTGCCGCTGCCTTCCACTCTAAGTACGTGGTGGGTAGGTTTTCCTGTTGCGAGATACGATCACGAAGGAATTGAGAGAGGTTGCGGCGAAGGATACTGTGAATGAACGGATAACTTTCATCTGCGTCTGGTGGTAATCCCGCTTCCATGAGTTTGGATTCGAGTCCTCCAAAATATGCGTCTACCGTCATCTCTCGCTGTTCGTAATCGTGAAGGGCAATCTCTGCTTTCAATTTGAGATGGGGGTCCAAGAATTCGTTATCTAATTCCTTGATGAATTCTGAGATAGTTCCCCAATTTCGCGGTGCAAATAGGTCTCCTAGCACTGCGGTTTTGTTGTTGAAATTTGCCTTCCATGTGTGACAGGCGTCATTGGCTTTATCGGACGAGATCCGGGATAGTGCAAAGAGGATTTTGGAGGAGTTGGTTTGGAAACTTCTGGGATAGGCGAAAAAGTAGTTTGCTAATGCGTTCTTCCAGTCAACGTATGTTTCCTTTTTACCGATGAATTCGAATGGAGGAGTGGCAAGGACAGCTTTACTTCCTTGATTTGTTTCGTCGGCCATTGCTGCTGCTAGATCAGGTTCAAGGTCCAAAGATTCCTGATCGAGCCAATCGTCGGGTTGGTTTTCAAGTTCTGGAGTTGGAGGTGGGGGAGGAAAGTTTTCTGGTCCTGCTGATTGATACAGATCGTCTGGTTCTAGAGCTTCAGCCGCAGCTCCTAGAGATTGTGGGGGAGGTGTGTCGGGAGTGACCAGAGGACGGGGTTCTCGATAGGGCTCCAGATTTTCAACGGGTTAGATAACGGGTTTAGATTTCAACGGGTTAGATAACGGGTTTAGATAACAAGTCTTTCTAGATAACTGGTCTTTTTTTTTTTTATTTACTCAAAGTCTGGGTCAAACGTAAAATTACTAGGGAAGTCTCCTCCTTCTGCTTCTCGGGGTCTCCAGTATTCTACGCTTTGAGTAGACTCTTCACTTTCCGACTCGGTTTCGCTGCTAGATTCTCCTCCAAGTATATCTGTTAATGAACTTCCTGTTTCTCGTTCTATCCTTTCTGCGCAAGGTGCAAAAAGTTGTTCAACCGACGGGATGAGCGGTGCTTCTCCTCTCCGACCTTGGTAGGTGTAAGAGTACTGCGAATAGATACGAGTTCGTGAGCTATGGTTGATAACGGCCCAGAAATCGCTTTGGAGTACTGTAACAATGAAACGTTCGGGGTGATCAGATTGTTGGTTAACAACGAATGGAGTGAGGATTTCTAGGATCCAGTAATATTCGTCGACGTATTCTGAAACATGTCGAATGTTGTCGATTTCGGTTGTGTAGTCTTCTCCGTCACGGGATTTCCTCTGAGCAGTTGCGATGAGCTGATCAAATCGTGCTAATGCAGCAACAACTCGTCGAATATGATCTTTAGTAGAGGGCGTGACAATGATAATAGAAGTGCTGTGTTGAAGACCAAACCGCGGCCCGAATGCGTCAAGATCGTGGACTTCAGGGAGGTAGAGAGTTCGGCGAAGTCGTGTCAGATATTGGACAATAGAAAGGTGGTCCAGATGATTGCCGATGCAGAAGTACTGGATGGGTTGGTAACTGACAGGAGAGGCGGAGTAGGTGTCGTAGTAGTCAGATGTAAAAAATGAGGACGTGATATCGTAGGTAGGTTCCTCGTTAGGCCTCTTCCTTAACACAATGCCACAAAGCAAGGTGTGTTCGAAGTCGTAAGGGAGGAGGCGGCTGGGTATGTCTGGAAAAATGAGAGGGCGGATTCGATAAAGATCGAGAAGATCTGGGATGTGGCTCTGCAAAATAAGTTGCAGGATTCGTTCTTGTACGTTGGCTATTCCTTTTAAAAGCTTAACCCTCTGAGTGTTCTCGTAACTCGGGCGTACTAGGCTCTCGAAGTAGTCTATCAACGGAATTTGTTCGTGCCGCAGGGATATGAAGATTAAAAGTTCTCTCCGTGCTCTGTCGGAGATGTTGGAGTATCTCCTCGAGACTGCGAGAATTTCTCCTACAGATGGCGGAATGGTAAAAGATGGATTGGGTGAGAGCGAGTGCGTCGTTTATGTCGAGGATGATATCCTCGATCGGATCAATTGGTGAAGACGAAGCAGAGGAGTCTTGATACAACTCAGTGATCTGTTCGATCGTTCCTTCCGCGTCTGGAGTACGGGCTTCGGTAGGGACGGGGAGGACCGGGAGCGGTTTGTTGAGAGCTGCGAGGAAATCTTTCTGGTGTCTGCGGTCCGCTTCTGATACCCACTCTTCTGAGAACTGTTGGGAGGTAGACACGATGGAGGTACACGACGTCGCTGACGAGTCCGGTTTGTAGGTATCTGATGATGGCAAAGAACGCAAAGAATTGGACGAGAGTGGTGATGGTAGAGAAGGCGTCCAGTTTGAGAAGACTGAACGACAATAGGTGTAATGGGGTGGATAGTGAGAGGTCGATGACGATAGTGAGGAGAGGGATAGGGATGGTAGAGAGGTGGAGAAGGTGATGATGAAGGTTTAGACCGGTGCAGTGGCAACGACAGTCTTTTTCAGGGTGTAAGGAAACGGTTTTCCAAAGAGGGGCTCTGGAAAAGGATTCGAGGTAGGTGAGTTCAATATTTTGTCAGGCAACAAATACGAAGCTATATAACAAAGCTCAATGTCTGGTCAAGTCCTTCCTTGAAGGCGGTGAATCAGAGTATGAGAATGAAGAGTATCGGTAAGAGCGCAAATCCAAACTAATATTGAACTAGAGAACAATACATCGAGTACATACTTCTCTATATAGTGAACGGCGATGGTCAGACCGAGAAAGGGAAATACTGGGAAAGTGGTCTGACCAACTAACTAACCAATAAGAAAAAAGAGAGGAAGTGGTCCGATCTATCGTGTTTACTAATCGTATAAGAAAACGTATGAGTAAGGGATATGCGATTGGCTGTATCAGTAAGCCCATGAGAAGGCGCTGATTCACTACCTTCTTCGCTTATCAATATTCCTCCGAAGTATTCCCAGACATAGCACTGGATCGTGGCTACGTCATCTGGATATCTTCTTGAGGGTCGACAACGAGTCTACCTCGTTGTAGGTACGATAGAACGTGAGTATGAAGAGAGAATAAGAAGAAGAATGATAAAAGTAATAAGACACCGGCTGTAATCTCTAGTTCAAGGGCAAGAGGAGTGATGGGGATCGAATCTGCTAACCACGACATGACGGGAATGCGATAAGAAAAATCGATTCCTCACACTATAAAGGTAGTGAGGAGGGAGTGGTTACCCCTTAGGCTGCAGAGAGTTTGTTGGTTAACAACAGGAGGACTTGCTGAGGAGTCTCCTGGATCTATTGGGGTTTATATACTGTTACAGGTTTGTTTGTACGTATGTACTATATAGTTGATAAAAACAGTGGCTGATAATGTCAGGGGGCGCAGCCTGTGTGACCAGCTCCACTGCGTGTGAGACTTTGTGTCTAAAAGAAAAATAAAGGCAGTGCCGCGCAAGAAAGTGGAATTAGAACAAAAAGGAAAGTGCCGCATGGCACAGAGTACAGTAAAAGGTTAAAGCGGAGAATGGTATTCATAGTGCATTTGTAGTGGTTGCCCTGGCCTTGGCTGCAACCCATAAACATCCTGGCCAACCCACTTACGTTGTTTTGAAAGACAGCTCGAGTTCAGGTAGCTGAGTTGCTGATATTTTGTACATTAAGCTGGTTGATGGTGATGTTGTCTGAATCTAGTGGAAAAAAATTAGATAAATAAAGGAGAAATAATAGAGACTTACCATCGCCGCAATCCAATGCAATTTGAGTCAGTATTTCTTTGGCCCAAGAAGCAGACCACCCTGAAGGAGGCATCCCATTGGTGAATAGGCAGTCCTTTTCCATTGTCTCCTTTGCTTGTGAGAGCTCCTTCTGGGAGAATGTTGTAGTGCTCTGCTTCACTCGCTTACCTTTGCCTTTGTCCCTGTGCGAGGAGCTATGATCTGACAATGCATGGGATGGCGGTCTCTTTGCAGGGCACTTTGATTGGTGCTTTTCTCGCACTCCAGTCTTATTTGGTAGAGGCTGTAGTTTATTTGTATCATTGGTTAGAAAATTTGCAGCAAAATGAAAATAACTTACATGAACCACTCGGTCATGATAGAATTGACAAAACCGGATAAACCCGGTCTCTGCCGAAGCAGCCATTGTTCTCCATGGAGCATAGCCACCACTCCATGGAGTAACCATTGTTCTCCTAGGAGCACAATTGTACTCCTAGGAGTCATTATACTGTAGCGAGTAGCACCTCCGACTATAAGTAGTAGGGGGTTTAGTATAGGAATACCTCAGTCGTTTCTATAGCCTCTCGGGCAGCGGCTGAGTTTCACTTAGTTTTATTATGTACTGGAGTAATAAAATAACATATTCTAATTATACAGTGGTCAATATGGTTCACACGAATTGGATGAATAGCTCTGTTCAGAGCATCCTCGCATAGCTACAGACTGTTTTCGCGTAGCTGCTGTACAGGCCACGTCATCGCTACCTGAATGGCCTTACCTCAAACCCTAGGGTATTTTTGTGGATAGAAATCCAAAAAATATTCGTCGCAAACCCAATTTTGCGGAGGCGGATACTCATGGGAAAGCTAGTATATTGAAGCGCCAATTCAATCCCTTAATCGATGGGGACGCCCCTCCATACCGATGACCCACTAGCAGCCCTGCTTCCAACCTCGAGGTTCCTCATGTCGTCCCACAGCATCGACGACATCTCTGACAACGACAATCAGAGCCAACAACTATCTGGTGAAGGCCACAGCATTGCTAGGACTCTTACAAGTTGCAAGACAGGATCAGTGCAGACTCTTGCGTCCCAAGGCAATCCCCCGGCTCTATCTCGCATTACTTGGTCAAACAAACGTACTGACCGCATAATGGATTGGCTCGAGAAACATCCTGTGCGACATCAAATGCTTTTTTCTGATTCATTATCTGTAGCTAGGGGAGAAAACCGGCCAGTTGTGAGGAACACCAAGAGTGTCAGGGTCCCAATCGTCAGAAGAATTGCTCGACATGTCTTCAAGAACGACTCAAAGGAAGAATTTTGTATTGCAGTTGACCATCACCGCAAGCAATTTGGAGAATCAGTGCAATCAAGACTCGACCAGTACATATTTATATATTATTTTTAACAGACATAATGATATCAACATGATGAATACTTTTGAAGCCTTGGGGAAAAGTATAAGGAGTGTGTGTGTAGCTTGTCAGGTACAGGTGCTGGATTGCCTGCTGAAGAGTTGGCTTCATCGGGTTTTAGCAACCCTATTGGTGAGTTTTGAATCAGTTGGGATTTTAGAATGGAAGCATATAAATATCTACATTTAGAGAAAGTGCGTGGGCAATTCAGATGGTTGTGAGGAATCAATTTTTCTTATCGCATTCCCGTCATGTCGTGGTTAACAGACTCGATCCCCGTCACTCCTCTTGCCCTTGGACTAGAGATTACAGCAGGTGTCTTATTACTTTTATCCTTTTTCTTCTTATTCTCTATTCACACTCACGTCCTATCGTACCTACGACAAGGTAGACTTGTTGTCGACCCTCGAGAAGATATCCAGATGACATAGCCACAAACCAGTGCTATGTCTGGGAATACTTCGGAGGAATATTGATAAGCGAAGAAGGTTGTGAGTCAGCGCCTTCTCATGGGCTTACTGATACAGCCAATCGCACATCCCTTACCAATACATTTTCTCATACAATTAGTAAATACGATAGATCGGACCACCTTCTCCTTTTTTCTTATTGGTTAGCTAGCTGGTCAGACCACTTTCTCAGTTCTTCCCTTTCTCGGTCTGACCATCGCCGTTCACTATATAAAGAAGTACATATTCGATGTATTGTTCTCTAGTTCAATATTAGTTTGGATTTGCGCTCATACCGATACTCTTCATTCTCATACCCTGATTCACTGCCTTCCAGCAAGGACTTGACCAGGCATTGTGCTTTGTTATATAGCTTCGTATTTGTTGCCTGACAGCACTCGCCCCTCCGAAGCTGATCAGATGGAAGATTTCATGCAGCCAATCATTCAGTCTGCAAAAGAGCAAGAGGCTGCAGCATTGGAGGTCAAGCGGCTGAAACTAGTTCACGGAAGCGATGTCATACGGTACAAGAGTCTCAAAGTGCAATCTAAGATAGACGAGACGAAGAAACAAGAACAGATTGAGATTGCTAAGTTGCAGGTGGAGCGGGACCTGAAGATGGAGGAGATAAGGTGAATACACACAAGATGGAGAACGATGCAAAGAACGACATGGAGATGAGGAAATTTGAGTTGTTGGCATGTCTGGGCGTATTTGGAAACCAAGGCGGAAACCAACAACTTAACATGTCACGTGGCCTGCTAGGATCCTCGGTTAATCTTCCCTCTCCCCCTGAGTTTGCTCCCTCGCAGACTGCAGACATATCTGGGGTTGCACCGTCATCACCTTCAGGTCTCACTGATATGCAGAGCCTCTTGCAGACCCTAACTCCCTCTGCTGACATGAATTATGATGATGCTGATATGTCTAGTCAGTACGCATCTACCTCATCCGGCCATCATCATCATCCGTCAACCCAAACACCATCCATTTTTCAAGGGGACTATCACAGTGGGGACACTATTTATGATGAGAACAATGTTATTGCATAACTTTCTGCTTGCGTGTAGATATGTCCATGTTGTTTTACCAATGTCTAGTGTTATATGTATGCTTACAATGTATGAATGAATGGTTATGCTGCGTTCTCTGATTTATCTATGTAAGTGGCTAGCGAAAAGAGCGGCTGAAAGGGTGTCTCTAAGGTTCTCTGATGTGGCATCTATTTCAAGGTCCTCCTCCTGGTCCGATTTTTCCAAGTCCCCATCAGTTGACCCTTCTAAGATATCATTTAGTTCTCTCCGCCAGTCCCTGTCTATCTTACTTTTATTTCCCTCTATTTCTATGATCATATTGTGAAGAATATTGTGAAGAATGAAGCAACACCGAATCCAGAGTTTGGTGTAACTGAGTCGGTGAACTGAGCTGACTTGAATTTGGAGTTCCTTCAGTGACTGGAAGCGAATTTTCAGAAGTCCGATTGCGTGCTCAGACCGAATGCGGACACGGGATAGGTGATAATTGAAGTGCCGCTGTCAGCGCGTCAGAGCCCCATTAGGTGGCTGCTTGAAGGGTGGGACACATGTGGCTGAAAGTGGATAAGCTGAGTCAGCCCAAATCCACTCCCCTGGTCCCAAATACAATTCTGGTTGCGTTCTCAGGCCAGTGTCGAGAAATGCTGAAGCATCATGGATACTACCTGTTGTCATGCACCAAAGTTGATTGGTAGCATGGACAGGTGTCAATAACGAAGCGAATATTCAAAAAGACTCGCCTTTGCGCCACACAGGCACAGTGCCATGTGGAATAGTAATTAATATTGCCTTTTTCGAACTTGTGGCTGATTAGCATCACCTCTATTAGGCAATCCAGTCACGCTCACCTTTGCTTTTCCATTCGGTACTTTCCGTGTTTCGGCATTTCGGCAAATTTTCACGTCGCCGCTGGCTACACATTGCATTACGCCCTCGCTTTTGTCGTTTCCCTTACTCCCCTTCCTTTGCCTAGCCCCACCATGGGCCCCTTCCTCTCCTTTTTATTCTCACCTGACGGTCGTTTCTGGATCCCCATTCTAATCCACTTTTTTGTCACCTCCACCCTCCTCCTCCTCATCTTATTTGCACCCCCACCATTTCTGATGTCACCACTTCCTATCCGCTTCCATCACCGATCCGTTGACTACCACGTGCCACTGCTGATATCAGCATGCGGCCGGTCCAAATAGGGCAACAGGTCCATCTTCATGACATCGATCTGCCATCATATACTATCAAAACATCGGTCGCTCGTCTTGCCTGGTTGGAGCGTGGGTGGGTAGGTTTTGAGCTGGAGAAGGTTCATCCCCTTGCGTTGTCGCCCATGTTCATCACTGTCCCATTCACTTGGGTACACTTATCTTTTGTCCATTGTCTTCGCTACAGCTACACCTATCACACGCTGCCTGGGACTCACTTGTTCCAAATTGGAACTACTCCTCTCCCTCCCTCATTTGATCAGGTGGTCCAACACAACCAGTCCATTGGTAAGGCCATGGAACTGTCGGATTTGGACTAGGTGGTGGACCGGTGGCTCCAGTTTCTTTTTCTTCAGCAGAACATTCATTTACAGTGCGATTATTTTTGATTTTTGAATCATTTTTATGGACACATATTTTTTAGAATGCCTGACTGACAATAAAGGAACTGTGTTGATACTGATAGTGTTTTGCCTTGCCCTTTTTTTTACAGCATCTTCCTATGACATCATGATTTTCCTGCTCTCTTTTTGCTATTGGACTTTACTTTATGGCTGTACAAACCTGTGACATTACTCACAGCATTCATTGTTCTATCCTTTTCTTTTCCTTTTTTTGACAATCTTATCCTGTACTACCTACGCAGGATTCGTCAGCGTACATTCCTTCCTTCATATTCTTTCTCATTCTTTTTGCACAGCTATACTGTGCATAGCCTACTTTTCTTTTACTATATAAACCCCTGTATTTTACCTTGTAAAAAAAAACAAGAAATCCAATCCAGACTTCTGTAAGGACCATTTCATTATTTTCCTATCTTTGCTATGTCTTGGTTATCGAACGCTTTTCCCGTTACACCTCTGGCTCTAGGGCTAGAGGTATCCTTTGCCGTTTTACTTCTCATAGCCCTCACAGGCTTTCTTAACCATCGCTACCATTTTATATCACAGATCAGAGACTGGGTATCGCTCCCAGCCAGCCAGCACACTGGGTAGGGACTGGTAGTAGGCATCTCGCCAACCAGCTCCAAGCCCCAGTAAAGCCTGGTAATACTAATAACGCCTTATTTAGGATCGTACCTCATCATGAGGATACGGTTCCTGAACACGCGTGACAATTCTCTATTATTAGTACAAGTCTCTCACCTGCTGATTAATCAAAGTCAAAAGTCGTACGATAGTTACTCTCCCTTTTTCTTATTGGTTGATTAATTCCTCAGACCACTTTTCATATATTCTCCTTTCGGTCTGAGGAACAGACAGTTCCCTATATAAAGCCTTACCTATTCATGTATGGCTCTTTAGTTTTCTATTACTGAATTTACCCGCTTTACTCCTCAACAAGAACCTTTGAAGCTTACCTCTCAAAGTCCTCTACTCGCTATATTTGCTAGCGTCTGTCGACCTCAAGCTCATTGAACCCTTACTCCCTGCAAGTGCAGAAGGAGATAGGTTTAGTTTTTGTTATAGTTTATCGTTGCCTCACAACTTCTTCTCTACTCTCAAGTTCACTACTCTGCTACTTGTGATCCAGTGTGGTCACAACACTTCCCACTTCTACCACTGTTAACTGCTGTCATCGTCACTCGTCACTTTTGAAAGTGATTGTCATCCCCTTCGATTAGAGTCCTTCTGAGCACTACAGTTTGTGCGTCAGGAGCCTGCTATCACTGGGAACCTCGTCACCTCGTCATCCTCGTTGTTCTCAAACCTACCTTGTGCTACGATTAGCAAGGTAGTGCTCATCTATACTCGCCACAAAGCCCCTATCTTTCTATAAATTCAACTATCCCTCCTCCTCAAAACCCACACTCATACACCTCTGGGTTTTACTTTGAAGGATCTTTATACGTACCACCCCACGAACAACCAGACCACTCCACTGTTCTAGGAGGCAAAGCCCATAAACAAGTTCCGTGGAATCTGGGAGGATTGTGTGTTAGTTTGTTTTTGTGTGTGGTTTTCTAACAACAGTTCTCATCATCGACACCGTGTGACCAACACAATAATCAACAATTTTCAGATTATGTGGGAGAGTCACAACCTATATTTATTACATATAAAAATTAGAACATGAAAAACAGTTTCTATCAAATAAAATTACCTGTGCATTAATGGAATAATTAGACTTCCTATCATAGAAAGTCTCTCCATAATGGCTAGGTTTTTGAAATAAATTGAAGGTTGTCCCATCTATGGACAAATACCCATTTTGCCAAGCAGGACAGACCTGTTTCTCGACCCAACATTTAGCGGCTTCTTTTTCAGCGGGAGTTGGTGCCTTAATGACATCATCATGGAGGGAGATGATCGCAATCATGCACCGCTTTGTGCATAACTCAACGCCTCCCACGGAAATGCCAGACCAATCGGCAATGTCAGCCACCGAAGTCCTGTTGCCATAATGGCCTAATCAGGTAAGGAATATGGCCAATTGGACCTCAACCGGAATTTGCTCATTATTTGAATTATTGTGGTAAATAGGGTGGTCGCGTACTCAGGCAAGTATTGCGTCAAAAGTGGAGGGATATACCCTCAATTGATGTTGGAAACGGGTCTGATTGTGGTTTCTGGACCATGCCAATAAATTAAACTGGGGTTCACGTGGTGCAGGTGGGTGCACTGTGAAAACGCGTGTTTTCTGAATTTGCTGACGTAAGTGGCGGTATTTAGTAATCACCAGCCTAATATGGCTAATCTTGGCGCATCCAATACGCAGCTCTGATGGGATCCTGCTTGATATAGAAGATACCGACATCGATACACTATGATTACCTGTGCTGTCAGAACTAGCGGGAGCTGATGCTCTGATCAGATGGTGAGGCTGAAGAGTGGATAGAGAGGTTGTCCTCGTCGTCATCATCATCATCGTCGCTGACAGTGCGACAACAATGGATTAGTTGGTGAAGGATTTTTTTAACGGTTTTATCTAACTGCTGGCACCGTTGCTGGCGGATAGTCAGACAGTTTCGAGTGAGAGCTGTGGGCATGATGGGGGTAGATTAGCATTTTTCAAATCTCGTTTTGATCTTATATATGAGGTAGAAGATGTATTTTCAGTGTATTTTCATTTTGTATTTCTAAACCTAAATGGAATCTACCCCGAGTTATTCCTCGGTTATCTTTACCGAACGCCAGGGGCTTCGCTTCGTTAGTCTTAAAATCCTCTCTGGAGGACTTCCCCCCAGCTTCGCTTACACTCTGAACGCAGCCAATATAGCGAAGACGAGACCATATCGGGCGTGCTCGTCTCTTGGGGTAGGGTCGTGGATATAGCTCTGCGCTGAGTCTAAAGACAGATTAGTGGGAATGTTTTTCATGGAAAAAAATACTTCGCAGGATTGATCGCTACTTCCAGATGGGGCCAAACTGGAGTCTCTACAAGGCCATTGCCTTACTCTGTTGTCGTCAGTCTATTCGTGGCCGTGTCATCCATGTTTATTCTTTGAGAAAGGTCGATGACACGGAAAAGTTATTAAATGACACTCCCATAGACCTTTCGAGTACAGATACTTCCGCTGCTCAACATCACATCGAAGTCGTCACACCCTCTTCCACTCAAACCTCTTACGTCCCAAATATTGGGAAACGATCACACGAAGATGTCACTGAATCTGGAACCAGCAAGCGTCATAAGCCACACTCTGATCTCCCAGTAGCACCGGGCAAGCAGGATCAAGTCTCAGAGAAGCCTGAATGGCAAACAATTGATCGCAACAAAGAATCTGACCATCCTCCATTCATCATTAAACTCGAAAACCTTCCTGCACCACTTTTCTTTGTTCTGAAAGACGCATGGCCCCTGGACGGCCGTGACGAGATTCAAGTTTTTCGTAGCACTCAACGCAATTTGGAAACATTGGAAATATTCAATGCGCCAAAATATACGCAATTGAAGGAGCCCAACATTCAGGCGGAGAAGAGAACACAATCTGAGAAGGAAGAACACAAGCAAGACGTGAACATGGAGAACAGAATACACAAGCAATTGATATCAAAAAAAAAGTGCCACATGCTACGGACGGCTGCGGGCCCCTACCAGTTATTAGAAGGCCTGTTTCATGGAATGATAGGTGAATATTTCCCCTTTTTCAGCACCATAGGACTGATCCTCCGTTTATAGGTCACTACAATATGTATGTGGATGGATGGCTGCACCGCAAAGTCAGCGACAGTAACATTTTATTGTTATCAGAGCCTGAAATACAAAAGCCCCCGACACGGTAAGTCTTTATAAATCGATAACGAACTAAAAGGCAGTATTGATGTTAAACTATTCTAGGTTCAAGTTCACCCAGGACTTGACAAAGTGCGCGAGTATAATCTTTGACGGCGACCAAGCGATCAAATGGCGAGAACTACTAGAGCTCAAGCACGAGGAGCACCGTTCCGTAAGTGGCTCATCTCCGGGCTAGCCTGTTATCCAGTCTTTGAATCTCTTCAGGAAACGTTTCCTTACATGTCTATGCGATTGCTGAGAGCGTGGGATAGGGGTCAAGCCGTGCTTCACACATTTGCGGATGACTTGGAATCTTTCTTCTGGGTCATATTATGCATGCTGTTAAACATCGGCGACGAACGTGAAAGTTTAACCTATGACGAGGCACAATGGCTTCGAGAAATACTGACTGCACACGATCCTGACTGGGGTGACGTAGTTAAAGGAGCCACGCTGGGGATGCTGAAGGACTTATTCCCGAAACGAACGTACAAACTTTCCCCTGTTTTGAAGGTTTTCAAACCCTTCTTCGCGGACATCATACCGCTTATATGGAAAGCTGCCCTGGATGTTGATGATCTCGATTCAAACAACATGGTTGAGTCTCTAACAACACTCGGCGACGAATTTTACGAGTTGTGGTTCAAAGCTTTCCAAGATGCACTGCCATCACTGCCCAAGACCTGGGACGAAGTGTTCGAAAGCCCAGTTTAATCACCCCCTCGGAGACACTTTGATACTTGCTTATGTTGTCTCATCCTATGTATCTCCGTCGCTGCTCTCCTTACCATCATCCCCATCGTCCTAGGACTATCATGTAAATATCGATATGCTGTTGAATTTCATTAGGTATATTTATTACAATGCAAACAGCGTTCCAATCCGCACCATGTATATATGCTCGTATCCTTCGTACTCATCGCTTCCCTCAGTTGATTCTGTTCAGCTGTGTTCGATTCTAGATCTTTACAAGTTATGAGCGCTCATCAGATATCATTCTCTAACATAATTTAGCAAGACATCAACAAGTTGATGCATTTAATTCAAAAAATCCATAATTCGAGCCAAAAAGCAAGGATAGTTGAAATATATATAACAGTATCTTTACGTTCCCGTTAGGAATGCTATTGTAACAGTCTAATACTATGCGTGACATGTCGTGAGTTTGAGTTGAATTCGATTTGAAGTGAATAATCGGAAAAGCTTTCACGATAGATGTGAGATATGTTTACGAATTGTCCTAGCAGCAGGCAAGAATACAAAATTGTCAAAGCGTGCGTCCTCTCGCTAAGCACCATCCCATTGCTGGTTAACTTTGCCTTTCCCTTTGCCGCTTGGCTCTAGTTGAGAATAATCTGCACGACCAGATGATAGCTCGAACGCGTCAGTAGGAGGGACCTCCCATATGCGGATAGTGTTGTCGTCGGAACATGATGCAAACATCCGTTCATTGCGCGGATTCCAGGCCACAGAATTGACGCTTCCCTCACCGTGGCCAGATAGCACTTCGAGAAGTGACCCGCTATCTCTATGCCACACATATACATTACCATCTGACAAAAAATCGATTTAGTGACAAACACAACTAACGACTGTTGACTTTACCTTCACTGCCACTGACGATGAAATTACCATCAATACCTCCAAAACAACTCCGGATAACATTGTGCTCTTGACGTTGTCCTGTTAGCTTTCGAACAAGTTGACCTGCAGCAAGGTCCCATAGATGTATTTCCTGTATCAACGTTAGCATGAAAGGTTTCGTAGAAACCGAAGGACATCTCACGTCAGGAGAACGGTTAAAAAGAGCATAGCGCGAGTCGTCAGATATCTTGATACTAGTTAGCTCGCCGTCAAGTCGTATGGATCTACAGAAGTCAAGATGTCAGCAGCCCACTTGACGCACGAAACGAATAGCACATACGACTCCATCTGCTTTGAAGCCAGATCATATATAATCATCCAGTTCTCTGGGCTTCTTGGCACGTTTGCTATCGATGCGCCGTTCCCGCTTCCTGATATAGGTGGCGATGTATCCCGCCCATGGCCATGTTCAAATTCGTGTGCTGGTGGCGTAGGTGCGACATAGTCCATGCCCACGGATACCAAGCGTGAGAAATCAGGACTAACTGCAAGGTCTGTCACGCGCATAGCTGTTATGCCCCATGAGTCCCGCTGCTTTCCTTCTGCATCCTAAAGTCAAAAGTTGAAGCAAGGTATCCACCACAAGAATAACAATGGTACTGCGTACCCATAGAATAATCTTGCGATCTAGACCGCCAGAAATGAATCCAGAGCCGTCTGGAAGCCAGGTAAGGGCTGAAACTGTCTCAGAATGAGCATCGAGCGTTCGCAGACATATTCCACTCTGAATTAGAGGTATTTAGCATTATCTACAATAGCGTGAAATCAACCGTACCCTTGCGTCCCACATCTTTATGAGGTGGTCTGCACTTGTAAGCAGGATTGCATCGTCCCGTGACCATGCAACGCAGCCGACTGAGTACGGATGATCTCGCAGGATCAACTCCGGGGCACACTCCCGCATCGAAGGTTCTGATTCGGACTGTAAAACCCATCTTATGAGTATCTCGTGCTCGGCGAAGACAAAAAGGGCACATACCCCAATTCGCCATATAATGGCTGTCTTGTCCTTACTCGCGCTTGCCAAATATTCTCCGTTATGACTCCAAGCTATGTTCCATACTTCATCGGCATGCACTTCCAATATCATTGTCGTTACGCGTGGGAAAGCACTCTTGTCACATTGATGATCCATAAGTAGTGAGAACGCAATCGTGTTCTCAGGCGGATTATGATAAATACAACTCTGTCGTTGATATTGCCGAGCTTGATCAAGAAGCGTTGAGAAACGGCGCTGTGGGATCATTATCGTGGAAGGTATGTAACCTGTATTTTAATGTAAAAATTAGCTCTCAATTCCTTTAAATATTATGCATCAGGCCAGGCTTCGAAATATTAATGGCATTGCCATCTACCACGACACGCCCTTCTCCAAACTCGAAGTAAGAGGAATAAAACGACTGACGCTGTAATTCGGCAAGAAGTTGCTGCCGAGAGGCTCCGGACGCGCCGTCCCATCCCGCTCGTCGCCGCAGGTCCTCGGGATCCGAGCTCATCATCAAGCTAGCAAAAAACAAATGATGAGAAGCTACAGGAATTGTACATCGCAAAATGCTATACCTCGATAACAGATGTAGTTGATCAGGATCAACATTGAGGGGCGCTAATTCGTTCCTCAAAACTTGCAATGCTGCAGCAGTCTTCCGAGCCTCCAATAGTTCGAGGTATTTCTGCTGTCCAATAAGAAACCTGGCCTCCTGTCGAAGAAGAAGGATCAAACCAAAACCAGTAAAAGAATATGCAGGACATTTACCCAGAGTGACTCCTCGTCAGCGACACCTAGTCGGACCAGAAGTGCTTCGGCGCTGCCCCAGGAAGCGTTAAGGATATATTGCCTAAACTCAGATACTTCAGGCGCTTCTAACGAGTAACCGGATTCTGCCTCGAGAGTCGCGGCAGATTCTCTGTTAGCAGGTACCATCAGAAACATTACAATAAGGAGAGCATAACGCAATACTAACATATATCCCACATCTCGCAAGCTTTGAATGACTAGTCTAACAAACTCCTGCCGATCAATGTATGAATCATCATATAGCGTAGAACCAGGTAGGGAGACTCGGGCGATAGACGAGCCATGCTTCTGCACACCATTGCCCAATGGTGAAGAGCCATTAGCGATTGGAGAAGATAATCCATTCCCATTGGTATGGCCATTAGAGGCGGGAATTCTGTCCATGAGCACACACGACGGGCCTGCCTCGGGAGCAGAGTCTAAAGACACTGACAGGGATGAATCTTTGTCTGATTCTGGGATACGCATGTTTGTTGCAGGTGATTCGGGCACGCGGAGACTTTGGTCTATGGTTGTTAGAGATGTAGAGGAAGAAGCGTCTGTGCAGGAGCTGTCAATCCTTTGTCTCTTGCGGGCCCTTGAGAATTCTTGATCTAGGATAGACAATACAGAGCGTAGGCGATAAATAGAGAATATTAGAAATAAAATGAATTCGCAGCGATCGGATAACAGACCTGTACGTGTAGCAGCGAGTAGATCGGACTCGAACTCTTCTAGCTGCGACCTATTACGAGTCAATGGAACTACAGAAGGGAATGTATGGGGTTGAAGGGTGGTAGTCCTCGACTCAGAAGCTAACGAAAGGGCGGTGCTCTCTGGCGTTGCTGATTCCAGAGCTGAGGACTCTTCAGGGCGTCCAGGACGATTGTCCCGTGTAGCGTTCAGGTGAGTAATAGAATCAATGGTGGCAAAATATCAGCGTTGTTGGATAGATAAAGCTCATTCAACGCGTGGAAGTAAGACTAAGGGCAACGAGCTGGACTGGTGGTGGTGGTTGGGGAACAAAAGATAGTGCGTATGAGACTAGGAGCTGGTTGGAGAAGAGGCTGAGGAGGCTGCAGCCTTACTCCCTCTTCAGGCAAGCCGGCCTCGCGGGCCAGCATTCGCACGCAGAGGCGCCGAGAACAGGCATTTCTTTCAAAAAACGTTGCAACAATAATATATCTAATATGTAAAGGACATCAAGAAGGTTATCCTTCCTGTAAAGCAGCTTATCTATCCGAGAATACAAAGAAAATAGCACCCCGTCGTGCAAGAGTGGCACCTTTGGTTCAGCCAAAACGCCTTCAGCAAGTGCCACTTTTATCGGGGTCCCTCGGTGTCATATATCTTTTGCGAGGAAAACGTTTCCTGTCATCTGTCGCTGGCTTGCCGAGCTTATAAAATCCTTGTGCAGCAGTCCTACACGTTTTTCGCAGCAGGCTCTTCTGATGCGAACCACCCGGTCTGCAGTCATTGGGTAATTCTCGCGCTTCTTCATGACCGCGCTACAACCACATGGATCTGGCCCTAATCCCACTTATCACTTAACATAAAAGTGTGATTCAGCCAGAGCGACACGTACCTAGAAGTAACAAAGCTCTGCGAACTACGTAGTGAGAAGCAAACAGTTTGAGTCTAAAGAACGGCGATTACGGTCTCGAAAAAGGCCGGGATACCTAAATAGGCTGGTCTGGACCGTCCACCCGGCTCAGGGGCTTTCGAATGTGATGCCCACCTCATTGCAGTAAATCATCAACGGATGGATTGATATATCGATGATAACTGAGCCTCACTGCATACACAAATGCTAGCAAATAAAATAAACCAAGATAGTTGTCTCCACTAATCAGCCACTACCATTAGTCGACAAAGTGGTAACCTCGTGGCCATCGCGACCACCGTTGTTACCCTCATCCTCACCTACCACACTCTGTGACACCGCAGTTGTGGGTTTACTATCAACCTCCCCTGAGGAACCATTCTGCTGCTCTACCTCCTCAACCTTTTCTAAATTCGGTGCAGCGTCAGGTTCCTCAACCTGCTTGAACCCAGGTCGACCTTCCTCTCCAGCGCCCCCCGCCCCTGGTGGCGGCGTTGATATGCTTGGAACATCTGTGGCTGGTTGTTCCCCGAGGTCGACGGTGCTGTCATTAATAACATTTATCAGAGGCGGTGTGGGAGACGGAGATGCCGAAGTTATGGGAATAGGAAGAGGCTTTTCCGGCATCTGGCTGTTCCTCCGTGATAGGAGACCCTTGATTCGCTCATTCGGACTTGCACTTGCCCGTATGTTGTTCAGCACAGATTTGCGGGGTACTGGCTTCTCGGACACAACCGTCTCCAGCATGTTGGTTGGCGCGCCAACATTCTTAAGCCCCGAGAACTTTTGGTGCAGATATCGCGCATCAGCGAGCAGTCTGTCATTGCAGTACATTAGCTTGAAACTATGAAGAGACTATGAGAGAATATGACCTGTCCTTTGCCTCTTGGCTGGGTAATTCAATCGCGGCATATTCCTCGGATAGTCGGTGATTAATAGCGGCGAAGACTTGCGTCATAACATACTACATAAACATTCAATATAATCAGTGGCCACTTGGTTGCATGCTTGTCAGACGGAAATCACCTCGACGACAGGGGCAGAAAGGTACCGTGACAACACTTTGTGTAAGGTGACGGTCTCCTTGGTTAAAAGGTCCATATAGTCATTGATGCCTTGCCCTTGTTTCAGTGCATCCCAATTTACGGCCTGGAAGACAAATGAATTAACACGACAGTTTCGGTCTGCACCACAACGCAAGGCAAAGTAACATAAGATAAGCAAGCGCACTGACCTGCAATGACTTGACATGCGCACTAATCCTATCACCCATGATAGCGATCAACTTCGAGTGGATCTCATTCTGATGTTCTTGGAAATCCTAGTAGTAATAGTTATATCATTATTAAAGTTGAAGTGAATGTAAAAAATACCCTTTTCAATTTGTCGAATTCTACGAGCATGACAGCTTGATTCGGGCTCAAGTGACGTCTGAATGTCTCTCGTACATATGGTATTAGGACAATCATTATTGACAGAGACTGCGATGCCAGAGCTACAACAGAAATCGAAGACCGGTTTGAACATCAGCCCAGCGCATAATAATCTACAAAGGCTCAACATACCGAGATGCTTTGCAGTGATGTTCTTCAAACCAGCAGACCTCATAGCACCAGCGCCCAAAACCACTTGGCATGTACGTGAATTGAAGGCCTTCAGGAACTCGATAATGCGACTCATGGTATCGGTGTTTAACATGGAAAGGTTCACTACCACCTTGAGGTAATCCAAAAGGAGCGCAAGTACCTCTGCCGTCGCGGAAACGCAAAAGTAAGGTCGCTCTTCAATATACAGGTGCTTTGACGAGGAACTCGCTCCATTCAGCTTGCCAGAACCCGTTGGTGAAACCAAAGAAGTCGAAGCACCATTGCTGGGTTGACCCGCGGGTGACTTGTTGACGTTCAAAACCAGTTCTGGGGAGTCTCGAACAGCGGAGTCGGACAAAACATCAGCCATGTGCTGTACAGATGGTGATATCTCGGCTGGGTTCCATTGTTCATCTTCAACAAGCTTTGCAGATTGATTGATACGAGTCTGATGGAAATTTTGTAGGAACAGCTTTGCCTGTGTAGTGATTGAAGAGTCAGTATTGTAGAAAAAAAGAGAAGAGAATATATTTTGTAGCACTAACCTGACTAAGAATTGTACCCCTTAGTCCCACAATCATGCGTCGGCACATGACCTCACACTTCACGACAAATCCCCAAGATTCATTGAACAAGGCCAAGAATTTGACAAGGTCTAGCGCAGCGTGCTGCTCCGAGCGATATCCAACTACTTTTGCTACTAGCTTATTTACTAGCTCCACGGAGGAAGACAAGATGTCTGCAAAATCTTCTTGGAGCGCAGGGATATCCACCAGTGGATTTGAATTTCTATAAAAATAATATGTGAGACAAATCGAAGTATCCGTCTGATCAGAGCGCACGGTAGAGATCCTAATACTTCTAACAAAACGGAACCTTGAGATCGTATGCTTTCCGCGCCGTTTAGACAGTCTTCATATATCAGTGAGATAAGAGCCATGAATTCTTCATGCGATTTTGATCGTAGATGATTGGCTAGTCCACTATGAGCAGAAGAAATATGGTCAAAGACAAGACCCGGAGTATAGGCACAACTACCTCACCCTTTTTCTGATTCTGCGCTCCCTTTTGAAGCTTTCGGATTATCTTCGTCCAAATTGAAAGACGGTAGGTGCTGAAGCTGAGTGCTAAATACTGGAAAACAATATGTGCAAAATGCGAACATACTCGTTTTATAATCCCCCTCACATCATTCATCACTACCTCTCTCCATGAAACGACAGCGTCTCGAACACTCTTTGTTCGGACTACCCCTTGAAGGAGAGGGCGTAATCTGTCTTTCAAAGTTATCTCCATATTTGCCTTGTTCGATAAGATTTTGGAGCCCCCATTGACACGGTCAGAGAAATCTGCTTTTAGGACACTGACGAGGTCTGTAGTCAACGAAGAAGCGACTTCCATCGTAAGCGTTCGAAGATGTGAGGGTAACGAGGCAAATGAATTAAGCGTTGAAAGAGGTACCAATGGCGAAATCCTTTTCGTAGCATCCGGCACGGGGGACTCGGGAGTAGGAGGCAAAGGAGATAGTCGCCCGTTACTAGTAGTAGGAACTGCCACCTGTGAAGCTTTAGTGTTATTGGTCTTCTGAGGCGGTGGGTCCCAAAGGGACTCCATTTCATCGATGACATCCAAAGCCTCACCCCACTGACCAGCAGTAACCAGGCCTTTAGCGACTGCAGTCATCTCCATTACGCCTTTGATATCTTTAACACCCTCCGAGACAGAGTACAGATTCCGAAGCTTGGTCTCCTTTCGTACAACTTCTAATCCTCGCTTAGCACTCTTCTCATCCACATCGTTGAGAAGGGCGCGAAGCTTTGATATTCGATCAAGACACTCCTCTGATTCGGTCTGAAGATCCTGCAGGTTGGAAAGAGCTGCAAAAAAGGAAGTGGAGCGAAGGGATATCTCACGGACGAGATGCTGTTCGATAGTATCAGCGTGATGTGACAACTTCTCGAGTAATGGTAAGGAATAGGATAGTAGCGATGGATCTGAACCGTCCGTGTCTCCATCCTGACGTTCCGTGACTGCATCGAATACGCGCGGCTCTCCCAGATTGAACTGAGGGTCAAAAAAGACAGAAGGTACTGTGTTGAGAGGCGGCATTAGCCTTCCTGATCGAGGCGTACGCGGGCTTATGGGTGTATCAATAGTGATAGAACTACGCGGTGTAGGCGTCATGTCCACCTGAACAGTACCATCTCGACCTAGGTCTCTGTTTCTCTCGAACTTCTCCCAACCCGGAGTAACGGCACGAAGATATGAATCGAAATCTTTTCGCTTGACACGAGGAAGATCAGCCGGTAGGACAGCGGGCAACGATGAATGTGCCTTTGGTGGAGCAGCATGCTTGCGAGGGTTGTTCAACACCGTAGAGATAGCTGTCGACGATTAGCACGGCTTCAAACTGTCGGATATGGCTTACTTACCATTGAACCCATGCTTAGAACTGCTCCATTCGGAAGGTAATGCGCCGAGTGTAAGGTTCAACGACGAAGTATTGAGGAAGTCAAGACGGGCGGGAGTGGTAAAATAGTCGCCTCCACGACCCTCTGTTGTTTCAGAGACGCTGCCTGGTCCCTGCCTTCGAGTAGATGCATCCCAGGCGAACCTATACGGACGAGCTGTGGGTATTTCGGGTAGGGCGCCGACAGGTGAAGCAGGCCTCGATGGACTTGAAGTATAATCAGACATCTAAAAATTCAAGCTGCAAGGATGCACTTCTCCTAAACATATAATGTTACGATGATATCGGTGCAACTTGAGCCGACAGACCACCTGTCATGAACTCCTCCTTGGAAATGCGTGGTCAAAACACAAGGAACAGAAAACGCTATTGAACGCGCTCTCTAGATATTTGTAGGGCTCAAGAGACCTAGAATAAGCGTACTTTGGTTGCAGCAAAGAAATGCAGAATATACTGTTGCGCTAAAAGTACTGTGCGAAGTGTGTGCTTTCTAAAGGCAGGCACAAGCAAATATGCATTCGGAATCCAATCCAAAGCAACCTGTCCGAAACCCTAACCTCGGGCTTACATGGACGCTCTTACCTTGCCTGCTCCCTTGAGGACATTTTTCAACTATTTCCCTGTGCATTCTTATCCTGCAATATCCTTTCCTCCAAAGTACCGCTTGTCGAATCCAACCATATGGGTCGCCCCGCCCAGAAACCCTGAGGTAGATTTCTTGAGCAGCGATGTCGAATGCCTGAAATGGCAGGCGTACCTTGCACTCCGAGGTCTGTCCAACGTTGCAGTTCGCTGGGATGTTGCTCCAGAAGGTGCATTAGGCAGGATACTTCCAAACCTACAGATACCCATTTCTAGAGAAGAAGAAGTCCCACAGCTGCTAGCAGCACATATGATACCCGGATGGGTTGATGGGAAGCTTGCAAGCAACCTTGATCCGCTGGAAGGGTATAGAGACGCGGCTCTGAGGGACGAAAGTCACGCATGGGTTACCCTTCTCGAGGGTCCCGTTCATGTCTCCCTGGTCAGATTATTTTCTTCATGGTTCCTTTCTCACTTTACTCACTCTTCTGTAGATGCTCTCTCAGCCCCAGTCCAGTCTTTTTACGCGTCTCGTAAACTTCGAAAGCAAAACGGGAAGACCTATCGAATCCTTGACCAACCCTCCTCCTGCCTTCTTCTCCGGATTGAGTTCCTTGATACCACCATTTGGCACGCATATCCAGTCTTCTTCCGTTCAAGCTCGTTACACAGAAGCTATCGGAGCCCTTTCAGAGCGTCTTGGGAAAGACAAATGGTTCCTCGGTTCAGAGTAAGCACACAGTCTTCACGTCAAAGCACGTCTTCTTATCTCCAGCACTTAAGGAATCCCACTGCTTTGGATGCTCTCGCATTTGCATATCTACACACCATTCTCCAGTCTAAAGATGCACTTCGTATAGAGGTATCACGGCGTGTAAATCTAGTTACATGGGAGCGTAAAGTACGAACACAAGTGCAAGCAGCGTTCCACGCTGCTTCGTAGTCGATACCTGTGGTTTGTTATACTCGAATAAAATGGCTATATAACTTTTGACCATTAGGTGCGCTATTTATGTTTACCATTCCCATTGGTGACACTTCTATTACTGGGCTTAGAGGGAAACCGCTTGCGTAGTGCGGATATCATCTTCATGAACCTAGACAGAGTGTGTGAAACGTTGTGGGCGCGTACAACCATAAATAACTTGCCATAGCCAGTTCAAGGTCTGGAGGACGATGTTGCCTACACCATACACAATAACAAATGTGAAGGGTATTTGATTACGAACAGAGTACAAGGTTTGGAAAAATTCGTAGGACTAAAACCGAGGCTTGAGATAAGTTAATTTGAGCCTGAAGCATGCTCACCATTTTACCGCCCCATATCAGCCGGACGGAGGCAAAACTGCACAGGAGGAAGGCACCGTTCACGAGTTGGAGAATACTACCGGTTTTCCCAGTCTTGTCCAAGAACCTTCAGAGGAATTTGATATCATTTCTGGTGTTAAGTCGGGTATGTATATGGGAGAACTAACCAGTGGATATTCAAGAAAATGGTACTCCTATGATATTTACATCAGCCAATCAGCGGCTATCAAGGATAGGTCGGACGCACAGCTCCCAGAATAAAAAGCGCACGCCGTAGTAAAATAAAAATGGTTTCTGCGATCACAAAGGTCAGATAAGATGGAAAAGCTGCGAACAAAATTATTCACAAGTCCCAGGCCGTATATAGCAAGACACGAAAATCCTGTCAGTACCACTCAGCACCAACACTTACTGGAACATATCAACCAACTCACCATGAAAAACGAATCCTATGTCTGTAAAGTGAATGAGGGAATCTGCTGAATCCCATAAAAAGTATCTGAGGATACACGTTAAAAATGGATTAAGAGGATATTCGTGTGATGAACTCTGGCAGATGCGCACCCACAGGCCACAGCCTGTACGAAGCAGGCCTCGTCGTGCCAACCAAAGGCACGGTCCTCGTCCAGGATGGGAATGTTGAGACACCGCCCGGCGAGATAGATAATAACGACTGCATTCACGAGGGAAACAACATGGACATCCCTGGACCATGTCGAAGATATGGAAGTTATGCGGGCAGATTATATTAATACTTACTCAAGAACCATTGGTCAAAGAATGCTTACCAGTTATGTTTAGCCCTTTTTCCCGTCTGGCCATAGGATATCGGAAAGAACACCGTGCTGAGAATGGGAGAAAGCACGAGACGGACGAAGGTAAAGCATAGACACGACACGAGAATGACGTCCGCGTGTTGCGAAATATTGGGAACTCCAGTTATGTCTGCCAAGGGCTTTGAAAGCTCGCGCACATACGTCCTGACCTGGTGTAGCACGGTTGAGTCGTGTACCATGGTGGTCAATGCAAGACACCTGGAGACACCTGGAAGTGGTCCGGAAGGTTCTTTTGTAGGATTTTGCCTATGGCTATGGGGGTTCGTGCTAGTTTCACAAAGATCCCCAGTCGGCCCTTACGTATAGACGCGCAGTTCCCCCGTTCATCAGGTTCCGAGATTCGAACATTCAGATCCATACACGAAATCGAGGTTAGGGTTGACTATTCTGTGTGAGATTAAAGGACATCAGCACAGACAAAATCAGAGAGACAAGAAATGCAGTTATGATGTTGAAACAAGGTGCCAAAGAACAAAGAGCACTGGGACATGTTGCAGCATCGTTTTCAAGTTCAATCGAGGCTAACTTGAAACGAACATGTGGCAATAAATTCAACACGTGGCTTATATGAGCTGGCAATGACGGCCCAGGGCGCATAGCTGTTCCTATCTGATTGACGGTGATTAAGATGTAGAAAACTGTCGAATATGATTGTGGTAACAGTTACATCCCATGCTACGTCTCCAGTCCTCTGAAAGGGTAAATAAACAATATACTAATGGAAATCCGGGAAGAAAAAATAATACTATAAAAACCGCTCCCAAGATGGATGATGACAGACCGATGTAAACAGGAAGATTTGAAGGTGTAAGAGCCAAGAGGCATGGCGGTAGGGGACTGGATCCATGCAGTAGATCAGGAAGTAGATGTCAGGCCAATGTTCGTTGTTTTGATATCATTGTAAGAAAAATTACGATACGATGGGACGCAAGGAACGTAGGGTGATAATGGTATGGCGAATGTGGTAGGGTATGATGACTATCGCCTTTCTGGGCAGTGTAACACCTGACACGCCCGAACAGAACCTGACTTCTTCGTAGAGATACGACAGGACGCAAGCGTAACATATTGTCGGGTATGTCGAGACAATGGGGTATAGTGAGTATTACATCACAATGCAGTTGCAACCTTGAGCTGGAGGTGCGTATGGGTCTTCACCCTTACCCACGGGCCCCCATACGGATGGTACCTATACAATAAAGAGAATGAGGACGCAGAAAAAAGAAAGGCGCCCGAGTTAAAAATATGAGAGCGAGAAGCATAGCCAGGTGTCTCCTGAATGGAGACTGGGCGTTGAGAGAACTGACGTACCAGATGATCTTTGGTCGTTTTGCAGTACCGAATGAGGCTGTGGTTTAGACGTTAGGAGCGCTGATCAAGAAACGTAGAAAATGTAGCGGACCTTGTACTAGCCTCGCTCACTCTTAGCCTTGGCCGTGCTAAATCCTCTCGCAGCCGTTGATTGTGCTCTGCAAGCCGCCGCAGCTTCAGCTCAGACATAGATTGCTTATGGGGACGGGCATTCATGATGAAATTATTTTAGGGCGTGTGGAGGGTAGTGAACAAATGGTTGAAGGTGGAAAACTGAGCGCCAAACCACGGCCTAAAGAGCTCTGTGAATACAAGAAGCCAAAAAGTCAGCTCAAAAGCTGTAGATATGCTGCAGGCATATAGTACAGAGAGAACGAACCTGTAGCAAAGACGGTCGGTTAGCAAGGAGAGAATGAGGTTGGTGTGAAAGCTATGGGCGGAGCGTGAATTCTTCGCTTGCTGTATTACCGCGTTCTATACTTACAACCGGTTCCATCATCCTGTATTCTTTGCCTTGTATTCCTCGCCTGTCCTCTCCCCTAGAACACCATGGCTCTTCATTTTACGCATATAACCAGTGCTTCAACGTCCAACGAACGGCCTAGTTTTCTGTCGGCGAAGTCACGTCAAAGGACCGAATGCGCTGGAACCGCTCCCTCAGCTGATGCGCATGTTTCAGCACATGGACTGCAAAATCGTGATACAGGATTATCCAAGACTGAAGGTTATCAAAACGGGTTCTATAATCACAACTGTCAATGCCATGCGAAACCTGGGGCCCCTTCAATACAGCAAGATGTCGAAATGGCCAACGCAGAAATCGATCCAACATGTGTCTCTAGAGATTCTGGACCCCGTATCAGACTTACGGAAGATATCAAGCATAACTTTCAAGAGCACCAGCAAGAACACTGGGATGAAGAGGCGACTCTTATCGCTCTTCTAGACGAGTATGTCTTGACGTGCCACACGCCTGCTTAGCACTGCTTGACAATTGGTGTCCTTACGTGCAAATTTTTGAACAACATCTCCAGAGACCAGGAAACTACCCACAATGACAAGTCTGCTATAGTGGATCGTCTTCAGCCTGCCTTCGACAATCACTATATCAATTCTAAGGACTTTTTGAAAGACACGCTCATACCTGTGATTCAACGCGTCAGGGACGTACATGACCACATAGATCTGGAAGTCAATCCTGCTTATGCTGAAGGCCTGCGGATCTTTAATACGAGCTGCCAAAAAATGGAAGATGCATCAAGTCTAGAACATGCGACAGTCCAGGCTATCTACCTGAAAACAAAGGTCTTCCTCGAGCTCTCCTCTGGTGATGTGGCGACGTGATGATTCTTCTCAGATCGAAATCCAGGATTTATTCGACCAACTCAAGAAAACGGACGACGACGGTAAACAGCTTCTCAAACAGCTTGGTGGCGCGGTAGGTGAACGTGGTAGGGTTTTCACTCGTTTAGGTTTATGAGAGTGGTAACGTTGACTTGCCTCAATATGCCTTCTCCAGTCAAACGCCTCCGCGTGTGTGCAGATTCTTTTCCGAAAGAGCTCGAACAGCTTGTCTCGAAACTCGACAAAAAGACTAAATCGCTGGGTGGCAAGGACGAGTTCAAGTCGAAGGAAAAGCTCCTCAGAAGTATTTTGGACAAGTACTAGCACCGCAGGTTATATGATATTCCTTTTTCACTGTTCTATGCTTCCTTGTGATTTTTTTGATCCACGCCCACCTTCATCTAGAGTAGGATTTTTCCTTGTGAGTTTTCTAGATGTTTATTGATGCTTCTCACTGACACGCATACAATCCTCTATTCTACGCTTATAATTTTGGCTAGTATTTCCTATGTATTCGCCTCTGTTCAGTCCGCTCTATACGAGTTGTATTCAATCTTGCACTATCTCCATCGATATCAGACTGTAAAGCAAATACCGAGAATCCAATACTGCATTTTACGGACGCGACCTCTAGCCTTCCTCCACGTGTTATTGTCCGTGAGTATGAGAATTACGTTGAGAAGGTTGGGTGTAACTGAGCCTGCTTCTCAGTCAATGATCTTTGTTGCATCATTCAGATTTTGATATTGGGAAGAGCGGAGTTCCTGGTCCGTTCGACAAGCAAAAGGCCTTATCGTAGAGCAACTGGCGTAATATTGATAGGATTATGCGCATACATGTAACCAACCATACATATACTATTGCCAATTCTTTAGAAATAATTAAAGGTTTAGAAATAAAGATTTCTGAAAGATGCGAACCAGTGCCTCTTGAGCGCAGTGGCGCATTCTGGGTGTGGCACCGCCAAACTCTACTTTTGGAAACGGCTACTATAGTCCCCGCTCACCCACCCACTGGCACTTGGGAAATTCAGCGTTCCTCTTGATACTCTTTCAGGCCAGCTTTGCTCTTGTAATATTTTTCTGCAAAGTTCGTACCACTATTCCTCAGGTCTTTTGGTAGTATCGTCTCAGCTACTGACATCCTTTCATTTTACTTTTCAGGTAGACGCTTGAAGCATTCTACTGACGAGGCATAAACGGCGCTCGCTTTAACGTGCAAAACTCTTCGTTCTTGCATCCACATTCTTTCCATCATGAGTGCTCGAGGTGGTCGGCAATCGATGTCTGAGCTCCGTTATCGACGTCTTCTGGAGCATAACCAGCGTTTGAGGGAGGATTTGGCGAGGCCTAGAATACGAGTGAGCGAGGCTAGTGCTAGGTCAGTGTCAGATCACACAATCATACGTATGAAAGCTAACACAATGCGTAGTCTGATACGTTATTGCAAAACCACACGAGATCACCTCGTTCGTTCACTATTTATTTGCATAATCAACCCTGTTCAGTTACTGACTATTGGTGTACTCTCAGGTTCCATCTGTTTGGGGACCAGTAGGAAGAAGCGAAGACCCTTATGCCCCACAAGGTACCAAAGGCCCCAACTGCTGTGTAATACAATAGTGGCTTGGTCGGGCATTCTGTTGTTGTGTCGTCTGTCAGTAGAGTATTTTTGTGCGCGGAATGCTACAGTTCACCCAGTCATATTTGCGGGATGACTTGTGTATACCACCACCGTGTAACATGCTTTCTTTCACCTTTTGGTTTTCAGCCATTCAACTGCTTTTTAAACTTTTTTTCCTCCATTTACTTTTGTACTTATTAAGTGCCATATGCTTTCCCATGTTACATCCATCGTTGTGACAGGCTAACAGCTACTATATCTTCTTGTTGTTATATGAGTTTGCTTATTACTCGTTAATGTTATCATTATACTGGTAATGGGTGTGTGTATGGCATTGGTGGTGAGCGCAGATGGCACAGCTGCGCAAAGGTACAAATCGGCATTGACGCCTTAAATCGTTTCCAGGAACTTCCTGATACCTGCCTCGTTTAGAGCGCCAATGAACTGATTAGCAGATTGTCCATCTTTGAAAGCTATGACCGTAGGCAATGAGCGTATCTAAATATGATAGAAATCCGCATGAGAAAGGAGCTAATAAGTCACACAACAAGCTACTTACCCTGTATCTTTCCACCAGATCGAATTCTTCGTCGGTGTTGACTGTAACCAAATCTAATGATTTTCCGCTGCCAGTTTTGACCTTGGCATCGCTGGCGAGCCTTTCCAGTATGGGTGATATCATTTTACAAGGCTGACACCAGCTGTTAAGAGTAAAGTGCGTTAAAACAATTCGGAACACGTGGAATGAAAAATATCCACTCGGCATAAAAGTCTACTAGGACAACTTTATCATTCGTGGCGCCATTCTGCACGACCGATTCGAATGTCTGTAGTTAATATACTTTTTGTTACAATCAGAACCGCAAGGATTTACAAGGGAAAAGCACTTTACCTCTTTATTGGCATTGTGATACTGCTCTTGTCGCGGCAATGTTGAGTGAAGGCTTCTTGTAAAGGAGTGTTGGATCTGGACACCATAGGACAACCGGGCACTTCTTTGTAGTTTAGCGATGGAGTTTCTTAACATTTTCAAGCAATACAAAAGCTGTAACCAACCCAGTCCAGGACGGAGGCTTGCGTACGGTAAATTCCGGCGGGATAGTGATCGGGTTCGTCCGTTGGTAGTACTGATGATTCCAACAACTGGACAGAAAGCCCCTCATGACCTCCGTCTCTCCATGTTCTTAACAATTGCAAGGCTTATCTATTTAGCATCACCGGTAATTGACAAATGTTCCCAGCATCATTACGACCGTCACCTCCATTGAGGATGCGACTCATGCCAACAAGAAGCATACGAATCAGTTGTCGCGGGCAACAGTAAGGCTGGATTTCCCATGCCAGTCCTTCTCCTGTAAATGAGGGTCTGTTCTACACGTTCCCCAAACAGCGGTCACCTCCTCTCATCATAGATGAGTTGGCAAGGAAACCCGTTCAGAAATACAGTATAAAGACTTGTCAAGTTGTCTGTAACGTTACACCTCGTCTCTTTCTCTTCTTTCTGCCAGTCAGTCAGTTTTCGCGTTCACGAGCAGAGTATGTGTCTACATGCTATACTTACACTGAGAATATCTCCTTAATTTTTGTCAAACAGGCTCGCTTTTTTTCGTTTCACTTTCAGTCCGAGTTTAGCAGTTTCATCTGGTTGATCCAGTCATTTAACAAACTTTTAAAAATGCGTTTCTCCACCGTCATCGCTGCTCTTGTTTCTGCTGCTGTTCCATTTGTATCCGGCGCCGCTGTTGCGACACCAACAACGTACACGATCCTTGTCGGCATGAACAGCACTCTCACATACACACCTTCATCGTAAGTGGCTCTAATGGCATTTATCAAACTGTTTGGTTTTATCCACTTCATTTTAGAGTTAATGCCACGGTTGGAGATATCATCAACTTCCAATTGTAAGATCTTTTTCGTTCGATGTGTTATTGCATGTCTCATGTCCCCTCAGTGTAGCAGGAAACCATGTTTGTGCATCATCTTTATGTACCAGGGCGCTTCTAATATGTGGGTATCTCAGACTGCCACCCAATCGACATTTGCGGATCCCTGCGCAAACAACACGACACCTATGACGGGAGTAGATTCAGGATTCAAGCCAGTCGCGGCCAATGCCACGTCGCTGCCTGCCTATAGTTTCACGATGACTAACTCCACTCCTTTGTGGTTCTATTGTCGTCAAGCTGGGTAAGTCTCTGGATTAGTCATTCTGTGTTGACACGCTCATATTCAATAATTCTGCAGTCACTGTCAGAAAGGAATGGTGCGTAGAAGTTATTTTCCCGTAAAACACAATTTATGAAGGTGCTTTGAATAGGTTTTCGCTGTCAACCCCACTGCCCAATCGACCTTCGCCATGTTCCAGGAAACCGCGATGTCATCAAACACTACGACTGGTGGAATGGCTACAACTAGCGGAAGTGTCACAGCTCCGGCGGCTGCGGCAGCTACGACAACACCTGCCAACGGTGCATTAGCATTGGGCGGCAGTGCGGCAGGGATTATTACTACGATTGGTTTGCTCGTGGGTGTGCTGATGTGATGCAGTATGGAGCATTTTTTTTGTATTGTTTTGCTGCTTTCGGACTTTTTTTCTCTGTGGGATGTATCGGTTCATTTTCTGCGATGTACTATGCCTACGAACGCAAAATTTTTTGACTGCGGATATGGAGACTGTTCACTGAGTTCCCGTTGTTAGCCAGAGTTCTTGGTGCCCGCCGTAACAGGAAGAATACGCTACGATCTTTCCACCTATCGTCAGATCTGAAATTTTGTAGTATGTAAAAATTCCTCCGTTCTCTGACTATGGTTCGTGCATAGCGCAGTGCCATAGATAGGACGATAAATACTTCTTATCAGTCAACGGTGTCAATGTAGGCAGTCAATTCATATGCATATGATTCCCGATTAGGAAATGGTGTATGATCAAAGAAAATTGTTCCCTCTAACTTGAATCTGAACTTTAGACTCGAAATCTTTCGTCGTTATGCCTGTTCGTTCTCTTCCTCCAAACAAAAAGCGGAAAACAGAAAAGGATGGATTGAGCTTCGAGGTGTCTTCTCGCAGACTAGAAGCTCAGCTAACCTCTGCTGTTGCAAGTAATGCTTCCCTGAACCCTTTGGCCGACTTATTAGACCTGGCCAATACTGCGTCCGATGCACAGGACTTGTCTAAAGTGATATACAGTCTGTACAGAGTTTTTGTGACCATAATACAGAGCGGCAAGCTTGATCGTGGTGGCGACGAAGCCTCGAAGGTCGTGCGCAAGTGGATATGGGAGAGGCTAGACAGTTATGTGGATCTCTTGGTGGGCTTGTTGCAAGATGAAGAAATTTTTTTAAGAGTATGTGGTTGTGCTTGCTCTCGAGGATGACGATTCTCACTCTTAACCAAGAAATCATCTCTCGAGATTTTGTTCTCTTTGCTCAAGCATCTGTCGACCTCTCAAACACAATCATCGTCCCCACCTCAACCACAGTTCCACACTTCGCATTTTAAGAAAATTGTTCGAGGAATATTATTGTGTCCTCCCTCTCCCCGTCCAAGCGTGAAGTCATTGTACGAAGGCAGAACTTTATCCGACGTCAGAGACACATTTATCGACACATGGCTCAGTGTATACGATGACGTGCGGTGGTGTTTTTTAAGGGAGGCAACGTAGGAGGTTTCAGTCGTCAAATTTAGAGCAGTTTTTTCTGACGCTTTTCTCAGCACTATCCTCGCACAAACTACAGTTGCTTCGCATCCGCATTTACCAACCAACCTCCTTGCGATTTTGGAGCAATTGACCACATTTCCTACAGATCCTTCAGAACTGAACTCATGGTGGGTTCAGGAGCTTGGTGCAAAACCACCAAAGCCAAAAGCCAGAAATACTAGTGGAGATGTAGTCGAAGAGGATGAAGATATGTCGTCAAACGAAGATGATGCCGATGACTGGCGGAAATTTTTCGATGAAGATGCCAATGCTAAGAACTCTGGTCCGATAGGAATAAAGGGCAGGATGCATCAGCTAACTTTCCACCAATCTCTTCATTCCCTCCAAGCTCATCGCGCCGTCTTCACTCGTACATGGCTGTCATTTCTTCCGTTCTTGTCTTCCGAGTCTACAGAATCTTATAAGGCATTAACTACCCGGGCGTTGAACATAATGCATCGAGGAGTGCTCCCACATCTGACTCGGCCTGTACTTGTTATGGATTGGGTTGGTGCTTGCGTTGACTTTGGTATGTATTTAGTTCTCATTGTCTGTCAGTCTTTTTCTTGAGATTCTAATGTCTGTGTTATATATGATAGGCGGTGCCGTTGGTTTACTCGCTCTCAACGCTCTTTTTATTCTAATGAAAGAGTACAATCTGTAAGTCGTAACAAGCATTACACCGTTCTCTATAATAACTCTCTGATTTGTTCTAGTGACTACCCATCATTTTACACCCGCCTCTATGCATTTCTAGACAGAGATGTCCTTCATTTAAAACATCGTGCGAGGTTTTTCCGCATGACAGATCTATTCCTTAGCTCCACGTATGGTTTCCTCACAATTTCACCCGATTTCTCTCATGCGGGGATTTTCTAGGCATCTTCCTGCAACGTTATTGGCATCTTTCATCAAACGATTAGCCCGTCTCTCACTTAGCGCCCCGCCAGCTGCGATCATCATGCTCATACCGTTTACTTATAACATACTCAAACGGCACCCGGCACTCATGGTAATGATACATCGCCCCGAAGATGATGAAAGTTCCGAGCATGGTTCGTGATGTATCTTTGGCTTAAAACTCTCAGTTCTTCTCATTGGATCTTTTAGACGTCTTCAAGGCCGATGAAGTCAATCCTAATGTCACTAATGCTTTGGAATCTTCGTTGTGGGAGCTGTACTCGCACAAACGTCACTACGATACCGCCGTCTCTACACTTGCTCGTGTCTTTGAAGAGGCGTTCACAAAACCTGGATATTCCATGGAGGATTTCTTGGACCACACGTATGGCACGGTACGAATATTCATCCCTGCGTAGTTGTGAAGTCTGCTGATATTTGATCGCAGTTGATTGAGACGGAAGTCAAACGGAGAATTAGAAGGGAACCTCCTTTAGCTATGGAGCTCAGGGCCAATCAATTTCCTAATGGTGAAGAGGAAGCTTCGGGCGAACAGGTCGATGTTGTAAGTGAGATGTGGACTTTTGGATGAGATGTGGTCTGTTTCTCCCTGACTAAAAGTATGAAGGCGTACAAAAATGTTGTCTATTAAATTGTTTCGTATACTACTTGATACCAGCAGTATGTAAATCAAGTGACAAACACCCCTGAAACAGCAGCCGCATACGCGTGCGTTGTAAACGGCGTCAAACATTGTATATGGCTGTGGCTGCTACTCATACTGTCAGACAGTACCTCAAGAAGTATCTATCGTGCATGTTAACGCATCAAACGACCTTTATATCATGGATTCCATAAGAGTTACGAAAGTAAGTTAATTATCTATTACGATGATACGGATACAAGTCACATACTCACCGGGACGAATCAGGTGGAAAAGGTATTGTGTGGAAAATCGGGAGGCGCTCAATATGGGACACTACACTTAACTGCCCATCATCTTATCTTTCGACCTAGTGAAGAAAATGCTGAGGAGATGTGGGTGAGTTTGTTCTAAAACTAGTGCAGGCGTTTAGTGACCTTCTTTTTAGATACCTTATCCACTGATATCTCTGGTTTCGCGGATGCCGTTAACGTTGCAAGGACAATGCCCACTAACTTTCCACACGCGGACATTCGAAACATTTTCGTTGTCATTCTCTAAAGAAAATGAAGTAATCGACGTCTTTGAGAGTGTAAAGGAATTGACGGTCGCTCGTGAGTAATCGTGTTTGCAATCCGCTCACAAACCTCATGCCGAGTTCCATCAGCATCTGTAAATCACCTATATGCTTTCTTCTATACCCCCAATCCGCCCTATCCTACCAATACCGGATGGTCTTTGTACTCCCCAAGAGAGGAGTTTGGACGTATGGGAGTTGGAACCCGAACAAAGGCATGGCGCTTCACGGACATCAATAAAGATTATTCCGTGAGTGCATTCATTTCCCTGATGGCTTGTTCTGACACGCGCCATCACAAGTTTTGTCCTACATATCCCTCGCGCTTGATAGTGCCAACGAAAATTAGCGATACCACGCTGCAGTATGCCTCCAAGTACCGCAGCAAAGGCCGAATACCTGCTCTTACATACTTACATTGGGCAAACTACGTTCGTTTTCACATGTTGTTGTTTACATACTTGAGACTGAATATGACCACTGTGCAGGGGAGCATCACACGCTCTAGTCAGCCCATGGTTGGCATAACGCAGAATCGTTCTGTACAGGACGAGAAACTCATTGAAGCCATTTTCCATTCACATTACTCTCCGGAGTCGCGATCACCCAGTGCAGCTGTTTATGGCGCCACGTCTACGAATCTTATTATTGATGCACGACCTACAACAAATGCAATGGCGAACACTGCCAAAGGTGCAGGCACGGAGAACATGGACCATTACAAAGAAGGAAAGAAAGCATATATGGGGATTGATCACATTCACGCCATGCGCGAGTCACTTGCTAAAGTGGTGGAAGCCATACGAGAAGCAGATAGCATCTCTGCCAGTATCAGCGGAAACCTACCAGGAGAATCACAAAATCTTGCTATTCTCGATAGGCAGGCGTTGCGACGTTCAGGCTGGCTGCGTCATATCTCTGCCATCCTTGAAGGGACTCTGCTCATCACTCGCAACGTACATGTCAACTCTTCCCATGTTCTTATCCATTGCTCTGATGGTTGGGATCGGACATCGCAGCTGTCTGCCCTTGCCCAGTTATGTCTAGATCCCTTCTATCGCACGATGCGTGGTTTCGAAATATTGATCGAGAAGGATTGGCTTTCGTTTGGACACAAATTTATGGACCGTTGCGGCCATTTATCCTCGGAGAAATTCTTTGTGTCAGTCCAGGAACCAAATAGTGGCGGCGGCGGCGGCGCAGATGCAGCTCAGGCATTCCTAGCCTCTGTCCAAAACCGATTTGCTTCTCAGAGTCATATTAAAGAAACAAGTCCAGTCTTTCACCAATTTCTAGAGTCCGTGCGGCAAATACAGCGTCAATTCCCTGAGCGGTTTGAGTTCAACCAGCGTTTCCTTCAACAACTTTATTATCACCTCTACTCGTGTCAGTACGGGACGTTCTTGTTCAACAACGAGCGCGAGCGTCGCAACGGCGAGGGAGGTTTAATACCACTTGAAAAAACTATCAGTGTCTGGGATTATATGAATTCGCCACCCGAGGTCGAGAAAAATACGAATCCTTCTTATGATTCCTCACTGGATGATCCTGCGAGCCGAGAGCCACGTGCTGATATGGGTGTCTTATTCCCCAACCCCAAAAATGTTCGGTTTTGGCACGAGTTATATGGGCGAAATGATGAAGAAATGAACGGAAGAATTATCACTTCTCAAGTCAAAGACGGGCCGGAGTTCATACCTGCTATAGAAAATGCAGATGATGACCCAGTAACGACGCAGACAGTATTGGACATCCCTTTACCTCCTTCTCCTGTCAATTCACCTCCAGCTACGCTGTCATCTGGCCGATCTGCCAAACCTACACTGAGCCCTGGAGGCTTATCATCCGGCCTGCGAAGTATCTGGTCATCGCTACCAGACGTCTCGCAGAGCATTAACGAAGAGGAAAACCAGTTATCTGCCCCTCTATCGTCCTCTGTATCGCTACAACCACCTACGCCTACTGCTCGGCCATCTTCGCCCGGTGCATATTTTACACAACAACCGCCCGCCCGCCCCCGTGCAGTAGCAAAGCCTGCGGACTTTTTTGGAAACAGTGGCGTGAGGTCTATGTGGGGAAAGTTTTCCTCAAATGCGAGTGCAGCATTTTCAGTAGTTCAAGAAGCTTATGATGGGGTTGCCAAGGAGCTCAAGGTGGGCCCTTTGACTAATGGCGATAGTGAGGGAGCATTGAGTGGTACTCATGCCGAGCTGCAACATCGTGATACGCTTGGGGACTGGGGAGAAGAACCTTCAACTTCGCGTGGAATCTCTCATACATACAGTATAGGGACGTCATATAACCCCTGGGATAGTGTGAAGCCACAACGATCGATATCAACACTACCGGCAGATAATCCATGGCGCACAACGCCAACATCTTCAATGATACAGGGCTCATCTCCATCCAATTGCTTTGAATCGAGTCCTCTACCACTAGATCCCTCACTTGCACTTCCTCCTTCGAGACCAATGCCAGCACACTTATCTCCCAATTACTCTATTGGGACGAAGGACAGCGTGAGTAAAGATGATCTCACACGCTCATCTGGTGAGAGGCAGGAGTCTGGGACTATCCAAGAAACGGGTGCTTTGGACAGTAGATTGGATCCTCTCGGTGTTGGATTACTCTGATTCACGGTTAGTTGGGGTACCTCTGTACGTTTACTAGCATCGTTTTCACTCTGTTTTTCGGTTCCGTGTTTCCGTGTTCGCTTGCGCAGTATCGAACGTTGGAAATATAATGATAATTTCAACTCAATCGCTGTGCGGCGCCTATAACTGGGCAGCAGAACTATTTTTTGGCCGAAGATGGCGTGATATGAGTCTGCTTATATAAGCCTTGTAAAGGCTTAATTACTTTTTCGCCATCTAGCTTTCCTCTCACCCTTCAGCTCTCTCATCTTTTCTCTCTTTCCCTTTTTCTTCTTCCTCTGCAAAACATCATGTCTGCCAACGGAAGCGCTCGTGCATCTCTTGCTCCTGGTCATTTCCTTTTCACCTCCGAGTCCGTTGGTGAAGGCCACCCTGGTAAGCAATCACTCCCGGCGAAAATTTCTGTGGTCTGACATCTGGACAGATAAGATCTGTGACCAAGTGTCTGATGCGATCGTAAGTTCGTTGTTCTTCTCGCGTTTTCGTATGCTCAAATCAGTTATCTCAGTTGGATGCTTGCCTTGAACAAGATCCCTGGTCCAAGGTCGCTTGTGAGACTGCTTCCAAGACGGGCATGATCATGGTTTTCGGAGAGATCACCACGAAAGCCCATATCGACTACCAGAAAGTCATCCGAAACACCATCAAGCAAATTGGCTATGATGATTCGTCCAAGGGCTTTGATTACAAGACCTGCAACATTCTTGTCGCCATTGAGCAGCAGTCTCCCGATATTGCCGGTGCTTTGGACCACGGTTCGCTAGAATCGCATGGTGCTGGTGACCAGGGTATCATGTTCGGCTATGCTACCGACGAGACTGAGGAGTACATGCCATTGACTATTGTGCTCGCGCACAAGTTGAACGCTGCACTCGCTGCCGCTAGACGTTCTGGTCTCCTTCCGTGGGTGCGTCCCGACTCGAAGACTCAAGTCACCGTCGAGTACAAGAAAGAAGGCGGTGCCATGATTCCTCTTCGCGTCGACACTGTTGTTGTATCGACACAACATGCAGAGGAAGTGACGACTGAAGAAGTCCGCTCATCGATCTTGGAGAAGGTTGTCAAGGGTGTGATCCCTGCCAACCTCCTTGACGAAAGGACCGTCTACCACGTATGTGATGCCCGTGTTGTTTTATCGTGGAGTCTCTGGCTAATAGATAACATACGTAGATCCAACCTTCTGGTCGTTTCGTCATCGGTGGTCCTCAGGGTGACGCTGGTCTTACTGGCCGTAAGATCATCGTCGACACTTACGGTGGCTGGGGCGCTCACGGTGGAGGAGCTTTCTCTGGAAAGGATTTCTCCAAGGTTGATCGATCTGCTGCTTACACCGCTCGTTGGATTGGTGAATACTGCTTCTCTAATGGAGTCTGATTACAGTGCTGACATGACATCACAGCCAAATCCCTCGTGGCTGCTGGTCTTGCTCGTCGTGTTCTTGTGCAGCTTTCGTACGCCATTGGTGTCGCTGAGCCACTTTCTATCTACGTCGATTCTTACGGTACTGGGAAGAAGACTAATGAAGAGTTTGTTGAAATCATCCGCAAGAACTGGGACCTCCGTCCTGGTGTGATGGGTAAGTTTCTAGATGGAATGCAGTAGTATCACTTGCTTACGAGTACTTTCAGTGCGTGAGCTTGAGCTCCAGAAGCCCCGTTACTTGCAGACCGCTTCTTACGGTCACTTCGGTAACCCATCCTACTCTTGGGAGAAGGCCAAGAAGCTTGTCGTTTAATGGTCGTCAACCGTCCATTATTTTTCTCTCGTCCGCATTCGCATCTTTATTTCTCTCATCTGGCATAGGAAGTTCATCCTTCCATCATTTACTGCATCGCACATATATATCTCGTGATCTAGACAAACGCTCAACATAACTTGCTTGTCTTCGCGCCGACTACCTCTTGGAATTTCTTTGCGCTACCTTACCCTATCACGACTAGAACCGAGTACCCAGGGGCTCCGTTCCCCATACCACGACATACGTTCCTGCTGTTCACGTATAACCAGTATATTACTTAGTAGTACCGAAGAATACGACCGCGTTCAACCGCGTATTCAGATTCATTCATGTTTCGTGTGTGTTCTGAGAGCTAGTCCTTTTCCAGGTATGTGTACGTGTACCAATTGCACTTGAATCCGACCGAAGTCCGAAGGATGCGAGGAACCGAGTCGAGGCGATGATTGCTGGGAGATGCAATTATAACTTTATGAAAACCTACAGGCAAGCTTATCACTGGCACCCCAGTGCAGTACTCGACGTCGTCTGACAGAGCAAAGTGTGACTTTATAACCAAGGGCATGTAGATTGTAAAATAAAGATCGATGCCGAGGGTGTCTGGTCTGAGCCATTCTATCCGAAAAATTTACGACGCACGTGTTCTCATCGATTTCCCTCATGCGTCGGTCCGGGGCAGTGACTGAAATTGTAAAAAAAGGTCTCTTAGTGAAATGCCAGACGAATGCTCAGCTCTGTCGTACCCCTGGAAAGAGTGATCACATCTTGTCCATCGCACGTTTGTCCTTTACAGACTTCGACTACCGGCACCGACCCTTTTCTCGTCCTACCGTGACACCAAGTTACCTTTGATCTCGCCAGTAAGCCCCCTTCTTCTTTTGCAGTCAACGTTCTTAACCCGTTCTGTGGCTAGTGTGTGGCATTCTTGGTTTACTCCTCCATGATTCAAATGTAGATGCTGCTCCGGAAATATGTGAAGGATTGTCGCTGTTACAGCATAGAGGACAAGATGCGTGCGGGATCGTCACTTGTGGCCCGAAAGGTCGTTTCTACCAATGCAAGGCCAACGGGATGGTCCGGGATGTTTTCGATTCCAATGCCATCGCAAGACTGATTGGAGGCATGGGAATTGGTCATGGTATGCATACAGAAACTTTGACGTACAGGTACAAAGTCTAATCGGGTATACTGTTTGCTGTACAGTTCGCTATCCAACTGCTGGAAGCTCGAATCATGCTGAAGCACAGCCCTTCTATGTCACTCACCGTATGGCATCGTATTCGCCCATGTTAGTGTTCGATCATCATGTAGCTCCATCATGTTCACTAAAATTATACCCAGAATGGGAACTTGATCAACACCGAATCATTACTGCATTACATGGATGCCACAGCACACCGGCATATCAACACATCATCAGATTCAGAATTGCTTCTCAACATATTTGCCAACAACCTACAGCAGACGGGAAAATTCAGAATTAACGAAGAAGACATCTTCACGGCAATAGGAGGTCTAATGAAGCAATGCAAGGGTGCATATGCCTGTGTGGCTATGCTTGCTGGGTTTGGTATAATCGCCTTTAGGGATCCTAATGGCATCAGACCGGTTGGCTTGGCCGTGAGGAAATCTGGCTCTGGGCGCGATTATGTATTTGCCAGCGAGAGTCTTGTTGCTGACGCGGCAGGATTCAGCGAGTGGGAAGATGTTAAACCTGGTGAGGTCTTTCGTTTGAGTCGTATACATACTGTCCATTCTAACTTGGATATAGGCGAGGCTGTGATCATCACTCGAGCAGGGATTTCACGACGACAGGTGGCTGAACCAGCAACCTTTGCACCTGACATTTTTGAATATGTCTATTTTGCTCGCCCCGATTCTGTTCTTGACGGAATCAGCGTTTATCGCAGTCGCATGGCTATGGGTGATTCTCTCGCAGAGGAAGTAGACAAAATCCTGAAAGAGAAGCAGATAACTGTGGATGTGGTCATCCCAGTCCCCGATACTTCAAGAGTTGCTGCCCTTAACCTCGCGCAAAAATTATGTCTTCCTTACAGGGAAGGTTTTATCAAGAACAGATATGTGGGAAGAACCTTCATTATGCCTGGACAACAAATGCGAAAGAAAAATGTTCGGCGGAAACTCAATGCAATGGCTTTGGAATTTGTGAACAAAAACGTGCTCCTTGTTGATGGTGAGTCATTCGCTAATTCTGTTTGAGCGTTCTCACGCATCACTCACTGGATAAGATTCAATTGTTCGTGGTACAACGTCGAAGGAAATCATCCAGATGGCAAAAGACGTAGGTGCCAAAAAGGTCATAGTTGCAAGCTGTGCGCCACCCATTCGGTAGGTGCCTCTGCATTGGCTCATACATCATCGTTGTTTATCTCAATCAATACAGCCATTCGAACGTATACGGGATAGATATGCCGTCGCGCAATGAACTAGTTGCTCATGGTCGTAGTACGAGCGAAATTGCTGAAGAAATTGGCGCGGATCTTGTAATTTTCCAAACGCTCCCGGACTTGATTTCTTCTGTGCGGCAGTTCAATCCCACTATAACAAAGTTCGACTGCTCCGTTTTCACCGGCGAATACGTTACTGGCGGCGTGGACGAGGGATATCTACAGCATCTTGAGCAGCTGAGGGCTGATAATGTGAAGGATAAGGTGGTTCGTGGAGACCTAGGCGCACTTGAAGGCAAGGGAGGAGGGGGTCAAGCTGGGTCAGCAGAGCGGGTGAATGGTATAAGTTCGAGTGGTCCCATTAATGGAGCGGATGACACAGTCGGGCTGCACAATACATGGAACGTTAGCTGATACTAGCTTCAACCTTTAAGAAAATGTAGTTATGTATTCGTATATCTATCTATCTATGTATGCTGATCAGTGTTGTATGCGTAGAAGTCCTCTGGAATAGAACTTTAGAAATTTGCCTTTCAGTACTTTTGGATAGAGAAATCAACATCACGTGCCCTGACGCGTCGCGACATATTGCCACGGACTTCTCCGCGTCAAACGTTAGACATGAGATTGTCTACAACCGCGGTATCGTGATACCTTGTTGAACACGCCTCCTTTAAATGATATTATACTCTTTAATTCTTGTTCAGGCATTGCTTGTGCTGGCATCTGGCAATGCTACAAGTACCAGGGAATCTGCTTGGAACGGCCACATAGCACCTGGATCAGACAAACCGAGCCGATTTTTGCCTTATTATGTCCCGCCGGGAACAAAAAGCTATGATTCATCTTCCCCTTTCGTCCACTACACCGGTACTTGGATTGATTCATTTTCTCCTGCATATGTGCACAACACACTACGCTGGACGGAGTCGATCGGTTCATCAGTTTCGTTTACATTTCATGGGACTGGAATCGAGATGTTTGGAAATGTGGATAGATCTCATGGTTCCTCAGACGTTTTTATGGACGGGAGGAAAGTCAAAACTGTGGACAGCTGGAGCGACTATGCAAGGCAGCAACAACGCATTTTTTGGGACTACAACTTACCATATGGAAAACACACTATCAAGGTCATCAACATAGGCAAAGGCCATGGTATGATGGGAAACTCTGTTTTGGATGTCGACGCCTTTGTGGTCACGAAAGGTACCGCTGACGAGGGTCAAACACCAGTTAATGCGTCTCTTGCTCTGGAAACCCCGAGTCGGAGGACGCTTATATCGCCAGAGTGGACGTTGCAGCAAAAGGGCGTTACTGGAGTGGCTGCAATGCAGCTAGCCATAATTTCTCCCTCTCATGCCATCATCTTCGACAAAGTGGAACACAATCCACTAACCTTGGACGGGCACCCCGCTTGGGCTGCATTGTACAACTTGAAGACACACGCCGTCAAGCCTTTAACAATGCAATCCAACTCTTTCTGTGCAGGTGGAACGTTCTTGAGTAATGGCACTTTCATCAATGTTGGAGGAAATCCGGTAGTGAGCCATAAAACGTCTGCTGCCGACTTTGGTGATCTGGATGGACTTCAAGCTATCCGCATTTTTGAACCCTGTAATTCAGAAAACGTCGATAAATGCGATATCTACGAAAATCACTCAAGAGTCCGTATGGCGACACCTAGATGGTACCCTACAGTTGTCCGTATCTCGGATGGTAGCGCGATGATCATCGGTGGATCCAAAAAAGGAGGCTGGAACAACAACGCAACGGTCAACAATCCGACTATCGAATACTGGCCACCAAAGTCTATCAACGGTTCTAATGGAATGCCAATACACTTACCGTTTCTCGTCGACACACTTAACTCAAATCTATTTCCTATCGCTTTCGCTCTCCCAGATGGTCGAATGTTTATGGCCGCTAACCGTGATGCGATGATTTATGACTGGCAAAGAAATCAAGAGCAGAGACTGCCACGAATACCAAACGGCGTGCGCGTTACTTATCCTATGGCTGGAACTGGACTTCTCCTTCCACTCTCACCTCAAAATGACTATGCTCCAGAAGTTTTGTTGTGTGGAGGGTCAACCATCGACGATCAAAAACCCGGCTACGAAATCTCTTCGCAAGATCCAGCATCAAGTCAGTGCTCTCGGATAGCTCTCACCCCAAAAGGCATTGCTGAGGGATGGCAAGTCGAACAAATGCCCCAAGCGCGGATGATGCCTGACGCTGTCTTACTCCCAACTGGAGACATCATCATAATCAATGGCGCCAGAACCGGGATTTCAGGATATGGAAACGTCAAAGACCAAGTCGGCATGTCGAATGCCGACAATCCTGTTTTGACTCCTGTCTTGTACAAACCCAGTGCCCCGGAAGGGCAGAGATTCTCTTCGCAAGGGATGCAAAGTAGCTCAATTCCTAGGCTCTACCACTCTGTAGCCACACTGACGCCGAATGGTGATATTATGGTTGCTGGGAGTAACCCAAACCTTGATCGAAGTGAAATCAAGTACGGAACAGAGTATAGGGTAGAGTGGTTCGGTCCTCCTTATATGAAGATGAAGCGCCCTGTTATAGTTGGTGCCCCTGGTAAAATCCTGTTTGGACAAACCTTGAAGTTCATAGTCAATCTTCCAGCATCGCCAAAGGGGGCCCCTGACATCAAAGGTGTGACATCTGTCCATTCCGTGTGTGTGGCACATTCTTAGCATTCATTGTCTTTGTATATAGTTGTCTTAATGGACCTAGGATTTGTGACACATACTGTACATGCTAACTCTCGATCGGTTTATCTCGTTGCGTCACTTTTGGATGATGGGGAGACGATTGAAGTCACAGGCCCGCCAAGTGGTAACATATATCCTCCAGGCCCAGGGTGGATATTCATCGTTGTCGACGGTGTACCCAGCACTGGATCTGAGATCATGGTTGGAGATGGGAAGGGTCCTAAAGTAGATCGTGCTGCATTAAACAAGTAAGTTTCACAAACTTTAGCAGCATATCGGTCACTTACCACTTCGCGTAGCATGCTTAAGAAAACGAAAGTTGATCAGTACGAGGCTTCAAAGAAGAGCAAGAAGAGCAAGAAAGGAAAGAAATTGCACAGCGGATCTAAGTAGATCTGCTTCAAGGCTCCGCTTTGTTTATTTTCGCTGGTTCACCACTGTATCTCGCATTTGATTGTTTGTTGGACTTGTTATATTCGGAAATGAGTAACCTAGATTTGTAAATGTAGCTTTTCGCCCATCTAGTCAGAATCAACAGCGTTAGTTTTACAGGAAACTAGTGTGTGCTCGTAAGGCGTCGGCCAGTAGCAAATAATAAGTATAATGGGCATCCAAAGCATGCCTAGGAAAGTACTACAGGGCTCGCTGCTTCATGCGGCTGCTCACGGTTCTCAACCCAGCATACACCTTCCCAGGAGGTGAACCCAAAATTAAGGAAACGATCGCGTCCCGTGCTATTTTAATGTTTTGGAAAGAGCCCATTATGTGGATTTTTCTGAACGATTATATAGGTCAGCCGCTGCAAACATATTTAATTGTAGAACTCACGTATCAGCTAGGACAATTCTAGTCCGACTGGCATTCTCGATGGTGAATTTTGTTTTTCCATCCTGGCCTGCAATGCGACCTGAGAGGAAATGAGCTTCAGGGAAGTGGGAATGGCAGTGAATAAAAGCTCACCGATGGCGCGTGAAAGGTGATCGCCATGAAGGGTCTTGACATCTTTTATTTCAAAAGAGTCAAGATACAGGTCATCCAAGCGGAGAAGTGCGATGGCATCCTTGATGGAGCAAAAATTAGGAGATGGACATCATGACATATGGTAGTCTTACATTCACGTCAAACCCAAGAGCGAACGCTTTTACAAAATCGGCACCTTTCTGCAGCGCACCAACATCTTTCGTTTGTTTCGATGTCTAGTGATGATAATATTTCAAAAAGATATATAGTGCGCATGCAGGCTATACATACCCGTATCTCTACACATTTTCTTTGTACATTCATTCTGACTTGCAGAAACAGAATCTCCGTCAGCGGACTGAAGATATTTATCCACTCCTTTTTTATCGGTGTCATTCTATGTGGTGGTATGGGAACCCGCCTCGTCTCCGATTTCAAAGATATCTGGACGGCTGAGGCGGATAAAGGAGGGAAAACGGGGACTGCTGTGGATTGCGGTGCAGCTGAAGGATCGACTTCAATCATCAGATCATCGTCTGTGCTGGCTTTTGGTTGAGGCTGGGAGATAGCGTTTTGAGAGGTGTGGGCACCATCCATCTCAAGGTCACTGTCGATGTGATTCGGGTCTGCAGAGTCTGCTGTTCTGGCTTTTTTCTTTGAAATCCCCCTGCGAGTCTTGCGGGGTGCAGACATAACTACATCTGTGTGGGCGACGACCATGGTTCGTAACAGCGTTTTCGGAAAAGCTTGTCTGCCGCTATTCTTCGTAGCCTCCAGTAGCTTATCTAATCACCAAATGAGACTCAATATTTGTGTGTATAATTATCTGGCAACCTGACGGTACCAGGAATATGTCACGGTAATTATTTTCGGTACAAAGATATCACTCCTCTATTGGCATGCAAGGAACGTCCTGGTTCGCTTATGGAGCCTGATCTTATACCACTCACTTCCCTATCATCGTTGGAACGAGATCGCATCCGGGCTGAGCAGGAGCGACTTCTAGACCTATTGGAAGAGGAGGAGACGGCCGCAAGTGCTGTAGATGACGAATTACAGGAAGAACATAGACGGAATGTGCTTGAAAAGCGTAAGGAGGATGCAAAGCAGGAGACAGAGAAGCTGAAAGCAGCGAAGGAAATGCAGAGGAAGATGGGCAAGGCTCTGTTGAAAAGTCTAGGAGAAGATACCGACAAAGTCACAAAGCCTGGAAAGGAAGCGGCCGTGAAGGCACCATTAGTTGGGGAAGAAAGTATACTTTCAAAGCCGAGAAAGAGCGTGAGCTTCGCCGACACCTCTCCTAAAGACGATGAAGACGTCCCGGACACTATAGAGAGTGTCAGGATCGATGAGCCACAGGTTGACTGGGGTGATATCACGCCTGCAAGACTTCGTTCTGCCAATAGTAATGCAATAGTGACCAAGTCTCAGATGGGGAAACTGCCAATGAAGATGCAAGTCGTCGAACGTCATCAGGCATCTCCCGCTATCGAGGAGGAAGTTGATTTGGACATTGACTCGGATGATGAATCTATCCCCGATTCTCCTGTGCCAGTGGACTCAGATGACGGAAATGTAATTGGATCTGACCGGGAAGACGGAGCATTAGGAAAAGATTCCGATGCAGATGAAGACGAAGGGTCAGACATCGAGCCCGCCTTGGAAGACGAATACGACCTCGACTCAGCTCGGCACCAGCGAGAAATCGCGCTTGACTACTATAACAAAAAGAACGCCATAGGCAAATATGCCACAGAAGCCATGGTATCTCATACACACGACGAAGATGAATGGGATCAACCGGTGAGCTCAGTTTCTCTCGGGGTTGTCTATAATTTAGTTAAAAGCGTATGATAGGAAGTTCCTCTCGAAGCTACTCTCGCTGGACCACGCCCCAAACCGGCAATGTCGCGCTTCAAATCTGATCGTCTAGCATCTTCTTCTGCAATGCGTCAACCGACACTTTCTACTTCGTTAGGATCATCAGTAATACCGGTAGCCAGTGAAAAGTCTCTTCGAGGAGCGGTCCGAACGGGGAAACTAGTCAATGAACAACTATATGGTGGTGAAGCAGGTGAAAGTGGTAGCGAGGATGAGAATATTAAGAAAGTCTTGGAGCTCATAAAAAATGGAGAAGTCCAAAATGTTGGGCCTGACTTCAGCACTGGGCCCTCATCAACCGTAGAAGAAACTAATTTACCTTCCTCTCACGCTAATCCCACTTTACCCCTATCCACGCACTCTAAGGCTACACCGGAGATACCATCGCCTCCTAGTATTCCCTCTACGAAATCCAAACCTTCCAAATTCAAATTAGCTCGGTCACTGACGAGGAACTCTTATGCTGAACCCTCACTTCCCATCGAGCCCGCAGCTCCTGTGTTGCAGGCGGACAGACCCCCACCCTCCAAACCTTTAGCGCAACCATCGCAACCACATGGGACGGACTATATCGGTGGTTCTTCCAGCCGACCAGAGCGTCCACCGGTCGTCATGTCTTCAGTAGTCAAAGAGTCGAGTAGATCGTCCGATACACGACCCCTGGCTGGGCAGAATAAACAGACAAAAAAGATGTCCAGATTCATGGCGGAAAGGTCGTAATTTGAAAATCACATAGTCACGGTGTTGTGGGTATGTATATACACCACCTTGCTTCTGAACAGAGCTGGACGCGAACTCTCCTTCAGGCAATCTATGCGAGGTCACGATTGTTACCACTTGTGTACTCGTGCAATAATGTTATGCTCTTGATCAACCAGACTCAATACATCATAATCACAAGTCCAAAAATTTTCTTGGAAGTCTACCAGCACTTGGCCAAGAATGCCTTTTGTACAGAAATAACGCATGCAATATTGTACATATGAGTCTGCTCTGATCAATACTACAGTGCTAAAGCTTCGGGAAAGATGAAGTTACATATGAGCTACAGATTGAGTGATATATTAGTGCTACCCAGTCAGCTTGAAGTTTCCTCCCCCTCCTGAAGTTTCGTGCCCTTCTTCCCTCGTCTTCAATAGCCGTTCCCATTATTCTCGCCCCTGTCTAAACTGATCCATATCCTCTTGATGTTGTCGTTGCAGCTGCTCTATGTCCTGGCGCAGCCGATCAATTTCGTCTTGAATTCGTTGCCGGCCTAGTTTCTGGCCTTCTTCTCGGCCTTCTTGCAGGCCTTGTTGCCAGGCTTGTTGAATCAGCTGTTTTGAACGGTCGGTTTAATGAAAACTTAAGAAGACAGACATTAGGAGACTTACTTCCCGGTCATGAGCTTCGAGCCGGTTTTTTTCTTCCTCCTTTTGTTCTTGAATCGTCGACCAAAATTTCTCGCAAACTTCGTCCGCATCACTGTCCACTACAACAGGTAGTACTCCCTGCTCTGAGCGTTCGGAAGCTCCTCCGTTGTCAGTAGATTCGGTGGCTGGAAAGAGCTTGCACATGCTCTCCCAGAGTGTGCGCGCAAACCGGTAGTACTGGCTTCCATGTGGTTTGTAGTGAATACCGACAATACCAGCAAGTATAGAGAGATGGTAGACTCTGGGTGTCGACGTCCCAATGCCACGAGGATACGTGATTGTGCCAAAGCATTCATCATACGGTTGGGCAGCCATTAACACTGTCCTCTCCTCAACCTCCTGAACTACAGTGATCAAGTCACGGGATGCTACACCGATAGAGGCCAATAGCTGCGCACTTGTCTCCCTCGGATCTTCTTGTTCGTTTCCATTCTCTTTCTTCAAGTCCTTCCACGCTTGGCAAAGATCAGCATCTACAACGCGTTCTATCTTCATTACTGAGCGGATAGAAGTGCTGGGATTTGGATGGCAGATATATGCCAACACAAAATCATGTTCTGGCCCGCTGCTTCCCTTGCAGAACTTGAGCTCATGGACGAAACAGTGAGATGCAATTTCGTTGTGTGGTTGCTTCAACAAAAATAGCCATTCAGCAACAGGGTACTTATGAATGAAGTCTTGAAAAAGCATATGGATGTACAATGACGTGGGCACCGTGGAGTGACAACTTGGGATGTAGAAACGTCGTACGGAAATCCTTTCCTTCAAGTTGGTCAGTCCGAGTCGTGTTGTGAGATTCAGCGGCATGATAGAAAGTTACTACGAGTATGGACCATTATTTAGTATAGCGAAAGCTTGGTTCGCAAAGAAAGTACTGTACCTGTGATGGATTTACTACAACATGTCGAACATCACGAAACAGGGAGATCCCTGCCATTTCCTCATGGCGAATGGCAAATAATACCATACAGATAAGCATTAGTCTCTTCTATTAATATGCAAACCTTCCAGCTCCTGTGTTGCAGGTGGACAGACCCCCACCCTCCAAACCTTTAGCGCAACCATCGCAACCACATGGGACGGACTATATACACCTTCTGAGCAGACCTGAACGCGAAATCTCCTTCAGTGCAATCTATGCAAGATCACGTTTGTTACCGCTTGTGTATTCGTGCAACAATGCTATGCTCTTAATCAACCAGACTCAATACATCATAATCTCAAGTCCAAAAGTTTTATTGGAAGTCTCCCAGCACTTGGCCAAGAATGCAATATTGTACATATGACTCTACTCTGATCGATACTACAGTGCTAAAGCTCTGGGAAAGATGAAGTTACATGTGAGCTACAGGTTGAGTGGTATATTAATGCTACGCAGTCAGCTCGAAGTTCCCTCCTGAGGTTCCGTGCCCTTCTTCCTCTTCCTTCGCCTTCAACATTCTTCTCGTTCTTCTCGTTCCCGTTTAAACCGTTGATATAACTGATCCATGTCCTCTTGGCGCTGTCGTTGCAGCTGCTCCTCATATTTTCGTTCTAGCTGCTCCTTGTCCTCTTGGCGCTGTCGTTGCAGCTGCTCCTCATATTTTCGTTGCACCTGCTCCTTGTCCTCTTGGCGCTGTCGTTTCAGCTGCTCCATGTCCTCTTGCCATTGTCTTTCCAGCTGCTCAATGTCCTGGCGCTTTTGTTGCACCTGCTCCTGAAGCCATTGTTGCCGGCCTTCTTGCAGGCCTAGTTTCCAGGCTTGTTTCAACAGCTGTTTCGAACAGTCAGTGTAATGAAAACTTAAGAAGACAGACATTAGGAGACTTACTTCACGGTCATGAGCTTCGAGCCGGTTTTTTTCTTCCTCCTTTCGTTCCGGAAACGTCCGCCAAACTATGTGATACTGCTCGCACACTCCGTCCACATCATCGTTAACTACAACGGGTACAACTCCCCACTTTGAGCGTCCAGATGCTCTTTGGTTGTCAATAAATTTGACACGTGGAAAAAGTCTGGACAGACTCCCCCAGAGAGTGTGCGCAAACCAGTAGCATTGGCTTCCATATAGTTTGTAGGGCGAATATCCACTGATAATACCAGCAAGTATGGAGAGGTGATAGACATTGGGTATAGGAGTGTTACCTTGGTGAGGATAAATGATTGTGCCAAGGCACTCATACGGTTGGGTGGCAGCCAACATTGCTCGTTCTTCTGCGCCCTCCGTAACGACAGTCATCGAATCATAGGCTGGTTTATCAACGGAGGACGATAGCTGCGCGGTTGTCTTCCTCGGATCCCCTGACTCGCTCTCACCTTCCCTCTTCTGTGCTTGGCGCTGATCAGTGTTAACGAAGCGCTCTATCTTTACCAACGAGCGAGTGGAAACATTGGGGTTTGGATGGCGGATATATGCCAACAAAAACTCATGTTCTGCACCTCTGCTTTCCTTACAGAACTCGAGCGTATGAACGAAGCAGCGAGATGCAACGTCCTCGGGTAACCGCGTCATCATATCTTGCCATTGAGCAACTGAGTACTTGTGAATGTTGTCTTGAAAAAGCGCATCGATACAAGTGTATGGTTCCTTGCGCTCCTGAAACTTTGGGGCAAGGTAGCGTTGTATGGAAAACTGTGTGGAAAACAGTCGGCTTTTAAGATCCAGCAACATCATGGCTCAGGTTGAGAGGGGTTTTCCGAATTAGTCTCCACGAAGTACTTGTACCTGCAATGGATTTACTACAACATGCGGCATGCATGCTTGTGTGAAGAAAAGGAAAGGTAGCGCCACTAGAGAATCTTGTTTCGACTTACAATCCTCAAAGGCGGGCGCATGAAATTGTTGGCTATCTTTCTTCGCCTTACTATCGCGATAACCACCCAGAGCTTTTTCCAACCTGACGAGTATTTTCAATCTTTAGAGCCAGCACACCATCTTGTCTTTGGTTACGGACGTCTCACTTGGGAATGGCTTTCCCCGTATCCATTGCGTAGTGTGCTCTACCCCGCCCTCAATGTACCAGCATACTATTTCATAAAGTTGTTAGGATGGGATGCTAGATATCCACTTTCCTTGGTAGGTCAGTTACCTGCTTGTGTGTCCAGGTGACCCTCACAGTGATAGGTCATGGCTCCCAGAATTATTCATGGTCTTCTCGGATCATTGACAGACATCTGGGTCTGCGAATTGGCGAAAATGGTGCTCGGTATAGATTTCGTATCACCAACTGTGCGTAGAGTCCCATATAAATAGCACCACCTCAGTTCATTGATCAACCTCTGCGTGATATAGTATTTTTTATCCCTGACCTCGTTCTTCCATGTCCTCTCTCTCTCTCGTTCCCTATCGAACTCCCTTGAAACATCTCTGACGACAATCGCGCTCAGTTACTACCCTTGGGATACTTTTTCATCCTCTCATTCGTTACAGAATAGGTGCGTCTTAGCGTATCATCTGTCGGATGATCCTAAGTTATGTTTGAGATAGAATAGGACTGGCAAAGTCAACTGCGTTTGCCGCTCTAGCTTGCGTAATAAGGCCCACAAATGCAATCATATGGCTCTATATGTATGGTGCTTTGCTCTGGCGTGTAAGGAAAACAAGACACGCTATCACTATGCTTGGTGATATAAGTTCTATTGGGTATGTCTCCAGTCGCTTTCCTTCAATCTGTGGAATTCTGATTGATGATTTACCCAGATTACTGTGCCTGTCACTCTCACTTATCCTAGATTCCACTTACTATGGCGCACCGACTTTGACATCGCTGAACTTCCTCTGGGTCAATCTTTCCTCGGTATCCCTTTTCTACGGATCAAGTCCTTCTCATTACTATCTGTCCCAAGCACTCCCAATTTTGTGCACTACTGCTCTTCCATTCGCACTACATGGTTTTTGGCTAATCATTCAAGGCTCAGATCCAAAGTCGAAATTGCTAGCGGGATGTGCAGCATGGACTGTATGCATATATTCCCTGGCTGGACACAAAGAATGGCGATTCTTACACCCAGTGCTTCCTATGCTACATGTGATTGCATCTAAATCGCTCGTAGATCTTTACCGCCGTGGAATTCGCCATAACAAGGAGGATAAGCGCCGCTCTAGATCGCCCACGAAAACAAAACTGCCAACTAAAGCTTCTCTCCCGCGGCTTCCTATCCGTACCGGCCACCTGTACCTTTTGTTGCTTAGTGTTCCGGCTTCGGTATATGTCGCGTGGTTCCATTGTACTGGGCAGGTCAAGGTCATGTCATACCTGCAGAGCCTGCCCGCAGACCAATTAACGACAGTCGGGTTTCTCATGCCTTGCCATTCGACTCCTTGGCAAGCCCATTTGCACAGGCCTTCGCTGGCCGGGCACGGAAGGATGTGGGCATTAGGATGTGAACCTCCTCTTGGGTATGTTGTTCCTGGTGCATTTCCATCATGTCCGACTCACACGGTTTGTGGGATAGACTTCAAAATCTGACAAACTACAAGGACCAAACTGACATATTTTACGAGTCGCCCTATGATTACATACAAAAGCACTTCCCATCTACCGTACAACCCACCTATCCCGCCTCGCCATTCCCCAGCTCAGTCCCGGGGGCCTCTGCCAGGGACAGACGCCAAGATACAGATGGCGGCCATGATTCGTGGGATCTCGGATGGAAACATGAGTGGCCAGAATACTTCGTTATGTTTGGTGCACTTTTACGAGAGCCTGGGGTATTGGAATTACTTCAAGAAAGAAGTTATGCTGAGGTCTGGAAGGGTGGAATGGACTGGGAGGGAGAAGGCAAGAGGAAAGGGGCGGTAAGGGTATGGAAGCATGTCCCCCAGCAGTTCGCTTGTTACCCACCGGAATGCAGTACCTTATAACACTAGTTCAAGCTTCAAAGTTTAAGAGTAAATTTTTCTGGAACTGTGGATTGTAGTGAATTCGCGATACTAGTGATCAAAATGCCATAGTATATACATGAAAGAGGGGGGATACTTGTTATTAATGAGATTCTGACGCAGCCTAAGGTAACTACAATCAACCCTGGAGCCGCTGAGATCGCAAAAGCTAGAGAAAGAATAATAGTAAGTAATGTGCGATTTTTTCTCAAATAAATTAACGTACTCTTCGTCGTTTCTTCAACCTAATACAATGCACATGCAGTTAGCTCTATTCCTTTGATGAGAACAAAACTACGTACTTATGCTTCTTCATCTTTCGTCTTCTCTTGCGTTTGGTGCTATCCGCATACACAGTCTCCCACTCCTTTGCCCATTCCTTAGCCAACGCAGCCCTTTCCACAGGGACATCCTTGTCCAAACCGAGCCTTGACAAAGCGTCCTGCCAGGAGATGGTGCCGCCCACGCGATTCATCACGAGTGTGTGAGCGAGCTGCCGAGCGGTATCAGCATCAGATTCGAAAGAAGCCTCTGGAGGATCATCTAGGGTCCTGAATTGAAGTGGTGGAGACGGTGCTTTCTCTATATTTTCCTTCGCTTCCGCGTTGAATGTGAAAGCGGACGGCGGGAAAGGGGGGGACTCGAAAATGGCCGACGTGGGCTGCGCAAGAAGCAGAAGAGGTCGATGCAAAGAGAAGAATTGATGTAGTTTGTAATCCTGGGAAGCTATCGTCGGGTGGATGGGAAGAGAATGCTGGGCTGAAAATGCTGGCGAAGATGGCACTGGAGATGGATTGCCTGATCCCAAGCGAGACGAAGGCGAGGCAGCATCGATAGGGTTTGGAGCTGGAGGAGCCTGAGCTGAAGAGTTTTCCTCAGCACCTCCAACCTTTATCTTATTGTTGCTCCCATTGCCACCACCGTTGGCACTTTCGCTGGCTGCTACACTCGAGTTTGTGTTCTCAACCTTCCCCTTTCCAGCGGTAACCGCTGGCTTTGGAGGTTTGGCTGAGTTGAAGTAACGCCCGCCTCCACCAGACTTGGAGGAGAAAAAAGACGAATAAGCTCGTCGGCTCGCTGGCGCTGGCTGGAGTAACCGAGCGACAAAAGACATCTGGTGTCTTCTAACGTTCGTCCCAGTAAAAAAAAGCACGCTGAGGGTGCGGAACACTGAGGATGATGAGTGTCGAGAGAGAACGTGAGCTCGACTGTAGTGGCCGGAAATGACCAGCTTTGGCGTCGGAACTACAAGGACGCCCGGTGGCGTGGCTCAAAAAATATGGCTTTTGTCTTTCACCATCGATAACCGCAACAATATATTCCTTTGCTTTCAACAAGGTCTTTGGAATAAAGGTGTACAACGTTCAGACTCAATAAAAGTCGCACCCGCACCCCCTGCACAGTCGCGAATATTTTTGCGGTGATCTTTTGCCCTGCTCGAGTTATCAACATGCCTTGAACCCGGTCTACCGACGAAAGGTGATGCTGAGCATGTATCGAGGATTGACACTTGGATTGAGTGGTCCGTCTTGCTTCGATTCACATTCAAAAATATCAACATAGCATTGCTGATTTAATTATAAGCAGGCACCTCTGCCATAGTTGAGTCATGAGATGATATGTGCGCCACTACTGTTAGAAGGGTCCCTAAGGACAACGTGATTGAACCTAGACATGTGTGCGTTTGCCACGGGAGCCTTGATATGAGTGTATGGCTATCTCAATGAAACTGACGGTTGGTGTCCATACATTGACTGTGATATTCTAATTTCAATCCAGGTCCCCAATCTGTCCACATCGAAGAAAAGATTAGTCGTATAGGTGAGAAATCAGGTTGATGAACCCGCCCTATGGAAACTAACATTTCACATCTCACAGAGTCCGTCTTCTCAAGTACTTTTACTTCTACTTATATCTAGTTTTCAGGTTCCCCATCTATCAACAGCGAAAGATTGATTGTGTAGGTGAGAAATCAGAATCATGTATTTAGCTTATAGAGCCGGAGATGATGTTTCTCCTTTGTCTTCCCAGTGGATGTATCTTCAAGTGACACTGCCGCCCTTTAATGACGAGGAGATTAGAAGGATAAGATTATCACATCCTACCTGTAGCCGCTTACATCGACCGTATCAGTGATGTCCGCTGCACAGGCGCTGCATACAACAGTCTAATCAGACCAACCTCGTTGGACACTGCCAGTGCCTGCAACAGCCAGCAAAGTAGCTCCTGCCACTGGCATAGCGTAACCTACCAATAAAAGTAAGAGTCCCATCAAAATCTCCGCACACACTGGACGAAACACCTTCCGTGGAACTGCGGTTTCATCTTGCTTGTGCATGTGGACGGTCATAGTACTGCCACGTACGAGAGGCTCCCCACATAACTGACAGCTGTCACACCTCGGTGATCGAGGGGTGATCGTATATGAGTAAATGACTGGAACAACTTCTGAAAGATGTGTGCATGTGGTTTGCACGTTTCTACACCACTGAAATAAATATCCCGTGAAAACATTAGGCCGATGCTCTTCTGAAATGAACCGATGGGATCACGTGAGCTCCTCAGTCGGGCCAGTTCGCACGGGAGATGAGCTGGCTCGCTAGCTGTAACTGCGGGTGTAGGTTAACGAATATGTTGAAACAGCCTTCTAGTCCAATTCAGCATCCCCTTCAGTGTTCGGTCGTCCTGTCAAGCCAAGGTTTAGCTGCCATACGTTGGACGTCACATTACCGCACACCACGGATTCTGGTCATACACCCGCCCTTTGTGCGCCCAGATGGCAAGTCCGCCCCCCGTATTGAATGTTCATACACCATCTTCATCGTTCGCCGTGATCCACTCCTGTACGTCTTATTTTTCTTCTATTCTTTAATCCCTGACGTATACTACCCAGTCAATGAAGAAAATCTCGGCCAGCTGTTCGAAAAGCTCTCCAGGAAGTCGAATACAGAGTTCCATGGCAGTTCGATAGGCCCAGGCTGGGTCAAGTATCAATGGAATGACTCCATCTGGAATCTGGATGACGGTACGCCTACCTTATCCCTCATTACATGCGCATTACTGACTCTACCGACGTAGATGGGGATTATACCATTTTTGTTTGGCGCCAGAAATCTCCATCGTCCTCCGACAAAGATCTATCAATGACATCCACTCTCCATGTACACGATCCTACGCAGCCCCTCCCAAGCCCCTCTAGCTATCGCAATCCTTCGTACTACGTGTTTCAGCCCTCCAAAGCTCTGTCTCCTGAGCCTCATTCTGCGCACAGTACCAAGTCTCGCAAAACGAAGGCCAGTAAACGCAATGGCTCAGAGGTGGCAGAGGAGCCCCAAGGCGAACCACGGTATAGGAAGGATTTTGAGAGGTTCCACAGTGAAAATGGCGTGCGGACTGTCATGGGTAGTATAGGCCCGGTAGATAACGGTGCGTCGTTATCTTCTCCTACATTTCTCCTATCTCAAGGAACTCACGGATCACATCTCAAAAAACAGTCCGTATGCTTCTCAAGAACGGCTACCGCAACGTTTACATCTCTCGTAAATTCGCGATCAAACACGGCTTCATACCCTCCGATGCTGCCCCTGGTAATTACGGATACGGAGGATTGGTGAATCTCGGGAAGTGGCCTATCACGCTCACACCTGCGTCTTCGTTCCCCAATAGTGGGTCGCCGCCCGCGACACCCCGGAACCAAGCATCGTCATCTCCTTTCCCTCACACCGGCGGAGCCAACACGACGAAGCGCTCGGGCCAGAAATCGAAGACAGTCTCGGTGCCCGTGTATTTGTCGGAAGAACCTCACTTTGACGTTGTATTGGGTCGTTCATTCTTTGAGCGTCGACAGATTAAGGTATCTTCCACCGATCCTACGGACGTTGTTTGTCTGGACACGGGAGAGAAAATCGAATGCGAGTTGGTCGTTCTGAAGGACGGCAAAGGAGAAATTGTCATCGTGACGTAGGTCGTAGTATTGGCTGTTTCAGTTTCATCTGCTTTTATCAGAAATGTGATTAGAGATACTTTGATAGGACGCAATCTGGGGTTTTTTTTCTTTATTTCTTTTTGTACGGACGGTGTATTTTGATCGACTTTTGTATCCTATCTGGGTCTTTGCTTATGATGATCTATCTCTAAGAGTGCGGAGTGAGACCAAAAAAAGTAGATCATATAATGTATCTTAATGTGAATGACCCGCGCCGACCAAGCCCAGTGTTAATTCAATTAAAAATCTCTGTAGCTCTTCGGAAGATAAGTATGCTCCGGGGTCGAAAAAGTCAACGGTAAGCGACCCCAAAAAAATTTGCTCTTTCAATTTCTGAATCGAAAATTTCTGATGGCACAATACAAAAAAAAAACATACAATATCCATATGAAAATGGTCGAGAAGGGAAATCCTTGGAAATACAGTGCGAGCAGAAAGCGACAAAAACACCGAAAAGTCCGTATGGTATCGTCAATATGGATACATCGCTGGGCACGGTGCGAGGCCACCCCAATTCAACAGCCTGAGAGAAACGAAAAGAGAAGATGAAAAAGAGACGAAACGAAAATCGGCTGCTGCTACGCCGCCAACCCCCCCTTCCGATGACCCACGAGTGGTCATGCGCCCCAGTCTTCCGTCTCTGATGTATCTGAATCGGCGAGATAGTTCAGGCTGCCGACAAGGGGATACCATCCCCATTTTCCAAGATCCACTCTCGACTCCCCAACAGTTCCCGTCCGCACACGGACTCCCTCCTTCTCTAGCGCCAGTTGTTGAGTGCTTGGGCCGCTCACTGAGATGATGCCAGATGTGGACACGACGCGATACCAGGGAACTGGTGGGGTCGTGTGCGAAATAAATTTGACGGCTTGAAAAAGAAAGAAAGAAAGAGATGATTTGGGTTGAGCGGGAGACTCGGTGATAGAGAGGGAAGTATGTACCTTCTTTGACTTGCCGTGCGCTCTTAGGCCTTCCAACCAGCTTAGCGATATGACCTGGCGTAGGAGGACAAGCGATGAGTTTGCGGGGTCGAGTGTTGTAGATGGATATCACTCACTGCAGCTGATCACCTTCTGTGGAGGGATCAATTTGACGATGTTGTACACCTGAGGGACGAATAAGCGAAAGGTGATATTGAGAGAGAGAAATGTACACATACCGCGATGATGAATTGTTGTTTGTCTGACATCACAGGTAGAGAGATCCAAGAAAGTAGGATGACTAGTTAGAGAGAAAGCGTGAAATAAAAAAGACTCCCCAAAGAAGCATGGTGATTTTGAGAAGCCAATATATAGTGCAGCTCTAAAAGGGGCGGTGTATTCGTCATTACCAGAAAGGATTAGTTCGGTGTAAGACAGCACCCGCAGGCCCGGACTGAAGTGCTGCATGCACTGCAGAACATCCCGTGATAGTAACCAGATTCAAAGATCGACCTTGCTTAAAGAAACATCGCAGTCGTTATCGCCCGCCCATAAACATGATTGGATCGTGAAAACATAGCTACCATCTCAATCCAACGCTCACTGCTGCTTTCTTTCCCATCAGGCGTAGCTATAGCAGTGCTGAAATGATAATCTTGGTGGAGTCTTGCGCCCCGATCACGCCGCAGCCAATGCCGCAGTTGCCGCGGGACGCTCGAACCGAACCAAGCCGCAGAACTGATCTGTGCGATGACTAATGGTGACTAAGCGCCATTCTTGCTCATCGCTGGGCATGCAGCCATTGCTGCTAGCTCTTTCGTGTCCATTGCAAGTGTTTTGGTGCTCTTTGTGTCTACAAAATAGTCATTCAATAGTGTGATAACATAGCCTCACGCCGTATCTGTGCAAATGTCTGGAATTTGTAGGCCTCGTCTCGCTGAGGAACGCAAGCAATGGAGAAAGGACCATCCGTTCGTGCGTATTCTTGCTTTTTGGCTCACTATCGGTTGCAGATCTCTCATTCTTCATTTGGTCGCCCTCTTCTTTCGCTTTTCTCTCGCTGCTCGCTAAACTCTCCATCGGTGTCTTTCAATCGGTCACCATATATTCTCTTGCTTGCAACATGTACTCGATCGCTATGGTACTTTGTCCGACTGCAGGGTTTCTACGCAAAACCAGCGAAAGCGGCAGATGGTTCCATGAATCTTATGGAATGGGAAGTGGGTATCCCTGGAAAAGCGGGTGTAAGCACGATTCATCGGTGTGTCCTGCTATAAAGAATGACTCGAGTCGTCCTAGTCCGCATGGGATGGTGGCCTGTACAAGCTTACGATGAACTTCCCTGAAGGTAACGTAGCTTCGTATCTCTGATAATTATCTCATGTCCCGGCCTTATGTGGACCCACGCATTCCCGTGCTCGTTCGTTTCATTAAGATTACCCTTCAAAGCCACCAAAATGTGAGTGGGTACCCCCGATCAAATCGAACAGCGCTCACCACCCGGTGCATACCCACTTCATCCAGGCAAATTCACACCGCCTCTGTTTCATCCCAACGTCTATCCTTCTGGAACAGTCTGTTTATCCATTCTCGATGAAGAGAAGTCATGGAAACCAGCCATCACCATCAAACAAGTATGTCGACTAGCTTATAATTACCGCTGGATCTTCGTTGAAACGATGTGAAGATATTGCTCGGTATCCAGGACCTACTAGATGATCCAAATGTAAACGACCCGGCGCAGAGTGATGCATACACGATGTTCAAGTGAGTAACGGCACAAATTGACTCTCTTCGATGACTGACATCTCGCATCAGGAATGATAAGGTGGCCTATGAGTGAGTTTCTCTTTACCAATCACGTATTCTTCTATTTATCATACTTCAAATACAGGAGGAAAGTTAGGCAGCAAGCTCGAGAGAATATCCCTAAATAATCGTGCGCGATGTACTCAGCTGTAAAGTGAATGTCTCTTGCTCTGCCTCTCATTGTAATATCCTTCTTTGTTGGTCTTTTCATAATTCGGGACGGGGAAATGAAAGATGTTGCTCGGAATGTATAATCCAAAAACACCATTTATACTACTATCATTAATCTGCAAGTCTGAGATGGCCCAGAGAGAACATGAACAAGTACACAGAATCATCGGGAAATTGTAATTTTAATACATGAGTTTTTCGATGTCTATTTTGATGGTGCGGATCTGGCTTTGCAACTCCCTCGCTTCACTGGTGGTCACGCTTGCCGCAATAACGGGCCTAGAAACGTTGCAGGAACGACCCAGGGCAGCTTTTGAAGGCACGAAGACGTAGGGCACGTTCTGTTAGGAGTCGAAGCGAAACACGCAACGCACAAAAAAAAACGCATTAGCAACCGGCCACGAGTGTGCGGGCAAGAGGGAAAACATGCCTTTTCCTCGCACAGGAGGGGCAGATGAAGGAGAATTTCCAAGGGTTCGGTATCAGCGGTCAGCACGATAAATTCCGCTACACCACGGTTGAGAGTTTTCGTAGCTATACGGAATGAGCATCAGTAATCATGCCAGAGGACGGAGGCCGAGAAATCCAGAGATATGGGTCGGATGGAGGGGAAACTAGGCGGACCACAGACCTTCGTTTGCACCTTTTTTAAGCTGCTTATACTGTCCAGCCTGCTGAACCAAGTCCAGGATCTATTGTATGATCAAGAGATTACCGACAGAACGGGACGCGGGGACACTAGGAGAAACTCACGGAGTTGGTGAGTGCCTCATCCGCAAGAGGCCAAGCCTTTGATCGTTGTTCAGCCATTTTTATGATGTTTTATAGTGGATGTTCCTGTCGAGAATGAAGGATATAGGGGAGCTGACCTCACGTCGGGCTGATCCTTGGTCAGTGTTGAAGAGTCTTGTGAAAAGAAGAAACTGCAGCAGAGCCACGGAAAACAGCGCAAGCTCAGTTTACCCGCAAATTTTGTTGCTTATGTCAGCGATCACAAAGGCAAGAGCCGGTTTAGGAAACTGTAGTTGAACAGAATCAGACCCAATTATTTAGCGCTGAGTGAGCATCGTGATCATCCTCCAAGGCATCCCGTAAAAATGCGGCTTCTAGTTTCCTTTATTCACAATAATGGTGAGAGCCAATGCCTTTCTCATACTTGTATAGCGTCCGCACCAATAGTATGTCGTCGACGTCCTGTCATTAACGGTTCAATCATTACGCTACTCTTAAGGATCCTCGTTTGTTTCGACATGACACCTATAAAAGCCTGCGCGATATGGTCGTCATCTAAACCTCAACCCCTCACAACTGCCTTTGCTTTCAAACATGTTCCAGAAGCTCTTGGTCGCATCCCTTCTCTTTCTCGGCATCCAATTTGGTCAGTCCCAACGTCTACAGTTCATCTTAGTGCTCATTAACATCTCGCAAATACAGTAAATGCCGTACCAAACGCTACTGCATACTGCGACTCGACTAGTGGCATCTGCTATCAGGGTTACACGGTACGTTGATTTGACGCGACATCGACGCGTTCACAAAACTCATTCTGGTATTTTGCTTGCATAGGATCCCACCCTCGATATCACCGTCGGCCTCACATTCCCTCCCGTATCGACAGACGGTGGTGCCAACTCGACCGCCTTCATCGCAGAAATAGTAGCACCCGTTACCTATGGTTGGACTGGTATCACTGTCGGAGGCTCCATGGCTTACAGCTTACTGTTCGTTCTCTGGCCATATGAGGGCGAAGTCATCTTGTCACCGAGGTGGACAACGTAAGTTCTGATCCTCGCATCTCCTCAGCACGGGAGGTGCAAAGCTAATGAAAGTGCAGTGGTTATACACAGCCTACTCCTTACTACGGACCAATAATCACCATGCTCCCTGGTACCTCGGTCAACTCTACGTCCATCACAGCTTCGTTCTTATGCGAGGTTCGTGCGCTTGTTACTGAATCCTCAATATGTTTGAATACTAGTACTTATACATCCACACGTAAAACAGAACTGCACTTACTGGGAGGGAGGAGCCATTGGAGGCGGTGACTTGGAGGGAACACAGCTCATCGAATACGTCGCCAATAACGATACAGAAGTCTTTGACCCAGCCAACTACGCGTCAAACTTCACCATCCACGACGTCTATGGCTCTTTCGAGCTCAACCTCGCCGATGCGCACTTTTCCGACTTTTTCAGTCTCTTGTGAACGATGGTCGTGCAATGGACTGTTATACTGGTAGAATATTATGAACGATGTTGTGCATAGTGATGTCATAAAAGAACATTGCAGTATAACAAATATGCGTCTACGTCGCCTGAGCCATACAAGTGTGGATAGTCACGGCGCTGGATCGTTAGTTCAAGGTTTATACTCAAAGATAGCGCCATCGAGGCCTCTCTTTGAGTTTCAACTTCAAAAGAGCATCTATCAACCTGAAAAAGGTGAGTGCTGTCAAATGGAAGAATATTGGTCTTATATGGCACGGGGAGATATTATGAAGAACATTGGAAGATGAAGCAGGTTTGTTTACAGCCGCACCATGTACACATGCATCAGAGAACTGCGGCGTCCGGTACCTGGATTTTCAACAAACTCCATGGAAGAACAGCGGAGAGAAATGAGAACAGCCACATTCTTATGTAATCGAGCGTCCTGGCCCAAAAAGGAATGTGTAGTCGTCCTTGTTCACTGTTAGCAAGCAATAGAACGACAGCAGAGTATTGACATGAATCCATGTAGCAAAAAGCTAGGTTCTCGATCTGTATTTATAGCTATGAAATGTCACTGACACGTTTTATCCTCTAGTTTTCTCCGATAATACAGTTGTTGCAGAAACGGACATGTTGCGCAACTGCTTCGCTTGATTTGCGGATTAAGCTAGGAGAAAGGCATGGACAACGTGATAGCTTTGTTGCTCTAATTCCCTTTGTTTCGCTTGGTATTTGGGCTATAAAATCAGGGTAAACGCTGCCTTGGCGGTCATCCCCAAGCCCTCGACACCCGGGAAAAGCAGGATGTTTAGCCACCTCCTCACTACAATTATTCTCTCCATCGGTTTTCGAGCCGGTATGTCAGTCAGTTGCCGCGTACATCACTGCAATTGATGATCTTCTGTTGAAGTGACTGTCGTGGCGCAAAGCGCTACAGCTTACTGCGATTCCACGAGTGGTATCTGTTATGCAGGCTATACAGTACGTTGATACTCTTTCAATGTACTATACTTTGCTAATCTGTTATAGGACCCAACTTTGAATATCACAGTTGGCCTTGTCTTACCCCCTTTGTCTACCGGAACCACGCCTAACGCGACTGAATTCGTTGCGGAATTGATTGCGCCTGCCAGCTATGGCTGGACCGGTCTCAGCGTTGGGGGTACTATGGCAGACAGCCTTTTGTTCACGATGTGGCCTTACAATGGCGAAGTCATATTTGGCCCTAGGTGGACTTCGTAAGTCTTACTTCCAGCTCCCATATGACGTTTGGTTGTGCAGAAGTAGAGCCTAACAAGCTGTCGTGAACAGCGGTTATGTGCAACCTCTTCCCTACTCTGGTCCCATTATCACCATGCTTCCCGACACGATGGTAAACAGTACTCACATCAAGGCATCTTTCCGCTGCCAGGTTTGTTTTCTTTGTCATACTTTTGTGACAAAAATGAGCTAAATGACAATAAACAGAATTGCACAACATGGAATGGCGGCGCACTTGGAAGTGGTGATCTGAGCGGATTCCAGCTTATCGCCTATGTCGCGTCGGATGACACACCCGTTGATGATCCTTCCAACGTCGCATCCAACTTCACGGAGCATGACCAGATGAACTTCTTCGGTCTTGATTTATCGATCTCCCACTCTACGAATTACTCCACATATATCGGGACCACCGGCACATCTCCAAGTGAGCCTACTCAGACCGAGGTTTGTGGACTCTATTTGGCTTGCTGGAGCAATATATTAACAAATGTTATTTATTAGTACGGTCAGTGCGGTGGGACTGGTTGGACGGGACCAACAGTGTGTGTAACTGGGACTGATTGCACTGAAGTCAGCCCCCCGTATTATAGCCAGTGCCTGTGATGCTACATAGAGATTGGTAACATATCGTGAATGAGGAATTTCCAAGTGATATTTGTTTGCATGCGAAATTTGCCTTGGAATTTGTGATGAAAGTGCGAAATCCAAATACAGTATCAAAGTAAGCATAAGCGCCAAGAGCGGACTTTGTACATGTCGGATGGATTGTTGACTTGCTCAACTTTGAATTTCTGGATATCTCAAGTGTTGATCTAGAGCTCTCTTGTCTCTGTCTCTGTCTCTCTTTGCTATCGTTTTATTCCCAGTGCCCATGGATATCCTTCCGAGTACATAACAGCTCCATTTCAATATGCGCATCGTCTTATCATTTCTCTTGAAGATATCCCTCAAGAATCCTACAACCACGATGTAATACCCACGAAGCGTATCTGTGTCATTGGGGCAGGACCAGCAGGGTTGGCTGCTGCCAAAGTAATCGCAGACAGTCCTCAGTACAGAGCTGGTTCATGGTCGCTCACCGTGTACGAAGAACGGATAAATGTAGGCGGTGTCTGGTGAGCTCTCAGCTTCCGTGATGAACAAGTAGATGTTTACTGATTACATCCTATTTGTGATCATGATAGGTTACCTGCAGAGCCGATTGACAATCCACCCTTGACACCGCTCTATGATTCATTGACGACAAATCTCCCGCATCCAGTAATGGCATTCACCAGCTATTCGTTTCCTCCATCTACTCCTTTATATCCACACGCAGCAGCCGTGCAATCTTACCTAGAAGCTTATGCTGCACATTTTGATTTGATGTCTCTCATTCGGCTGAATACCATGGTGCTCAAGGCGGACTGGGACATTGATGCCTTGCACTGGAAAGTCTCAATATCGACAGGCGATGTATTACATTTCGATCACATCGTTGTAGCCAACGGTCACTACAGGCTACCGCGCTATCCCGATACGCCAGGGCTTTCCAAGTGGCTTTCTCAAGGAAAAGCCTCGCACTCTGCATGGTATAGGCGTCCGCATAATCTTGGCGACGTCGTCATGGTTGTCGGAGGCGGCCCAAGTGGACAAGATATCTCTGCTGAGATGCGGTCCACGGCGAAGGTTGTCATCCATGCCCTGACTGGGGCTGTACGAGAGGACCATGAAAATTTCAAGCAAAGAGGGCGGCCGATAGAATTTAAGGATGGTGGTCAAGTTATATTCGAGGATGGGACGGAGGAAAGTGGTATCGACCATTGCATTCTAGCCACAGGCTATGAAATGAGTTTCCCTTTCTTAAGCGACTCGACCATTCGCCTGGGACACCCTCCACCATCTCCACCACTGCCTTCAGAGCTCTTCAACTCATCGTACCACGTATTTCCACTTGCGAAGCACCTTTTCCCCTTGCAAATCAACTATCCACCCTCTGCTCTGGCATTCATGGGTCTCCTTATTAAAGTCTCTCCCTTTCCTCTTCTAGAGGCACAAGCGCATGCCATAGTCAAAGTATTCGATGATCCAGCTTCTATTGACACCACGCGAGAAGCAATAGACATTATCACACGATATGAAGAGCTCAAAGCTAAAGTCGGAAACAGTCCTCTGGCCATGGCTAAGGCATGGCTTAGATTTGAAGAACACGAACAATTCGAATACAGAGACGAGATGTACGAATTTGCCGCGCCCCAACCAGATCAGGCTTTGGTACGCGTCTCCGAATGGGAGCGAGAAATGTATCACGAGAAAGGAGTGCTGCGGATGGTGTGGCAAGAACTAGAAAAGACTGGCGAGGCGGAAGAGTGGGTCAAAGGAGTGGGGGAAGGTGGCATTCAGGAGTGGGTCGATTTGATGAAGAGGTTGTTGAAGCGTGCCAAGGAAAATGCCGTGAAAGACGATGGAAAGTCAAGGCTGTAACTGTCTAAACAGAAAATCTTTGGGGCCTTCAGATGTCCACAACCCAGTTTAGCATCAGAGAAACCTGGAATATTAGTCTCGACACCAAGGCAATTTCGAACTCAAGTCCAGAAGTAGTTGCTATTGGTAGATTTTATGTTCTTGACGTCAGTCATAGACCTGAAGGGCTTAAGATATGGTGCTTCGAAGATTAGGCTATTCTGCAATACTATACATGTGACGGCATTTTGTATCCTAACGAGAGATCTCGGTATATAGATATCCGCAAGGCTACTCTGTGGTTGTTCTTGGCTTATATTTTTGAGCTGGGTGCGAAGCTTGGAGTGCGTCTGATAGATCGCACTGGGGCCTGTTCACGCTTTTTTTCTTGTTCTGTGACGTTTTCGATCGGAGCGTGCTGAGCCAAGGAAGAAATGTGCACTTTTGACGAAAGTTCATAGCGACCAATATGAGCAGGTCCTTTTTATCTTGATCGAAAGTAAGATTTCACTTTAGCACTACACCGAAAAGTAGACGATCTAAGATTCTACGTACCGGTAGAATAGTAAGGCAAGGATGAATATCTTGAAAGAAGTGGTCTTTTTTTTTTTTTTCTTTCGCAGACAGATCATACTTGTGGTACGTTAGCGGCCTTTTGTAGGTGTTCGATTTTGTTCTGTGCCGGGGCTATGCAAGAGTCTTGGGGCATTTGAGGTAGTATATAGGATAGAAAGAGAGATGGATAGGAGGAAGAAAGAAAAGAGAGAGACGAGTTTCCAGTAGAGCAAAATGCGATGGTTTGAAGGCGAAAGAGAGAGGAAGATAGTATTTTTCTAGCCAATATGTCGAATTGCGACATATTGACGGGTTTTTCTTGGCTTCGATCAAGTGCAATTTTGTTTGATACCGAGTGAGAGTGAGAAAGAGAAAGAGAGAAAGAGTTTTGGCATGCTGATAAATTGAAATCACGACTTGATTGGTTTTCGAGTTTTTCTTTTATTTCCAAATGCGACAGGAGATGCCCGGACCCGGATAATTTGAAGAGAGAGAGAGAGAGAGAGAGAGAGATTGGTGCGGATAGAGTCAGGAGACGGAGAAAGAGAAAGAGAAAAGGGGGAGATAGATAGAATGCGACCAGTCGACGGTGTTTTGTGATTTTGTATTGTTTTTCTTATCCGAATACCAGAGAAAATGTTCGGAGTGTTTTGGGTTTGATTGCGAAGGCAGAGAGAGTGAAAAAAGAAATAGATGGTGTTTTTCATGAGGCCAATGAGGTCGAGCGTAACCAATTGGTGGTTTATTCTATGTTTTCTGGTGTTTTTTTTTCTTATCCAAGGGCTAGGTAGAAAGCCTGGCGTGTTTTTAGAAACGAGGAAGGGAAAGAGAGAAAGAGAGAAAGAAAAAGATGATTTTTTGCGCATCAGGTCAAATTGCGACCGGTCGACGGTGTTTTGTGATGTTGAAATCTTTTTTAGAATTTTTTTCTATCCCAGAACCTGATGAAGGCGCCAGTGGGTCTTGTGTTTGGACATGAGAGAAAGAGAACGACGATGTTTTTCCGCGCCAATAGATCCCATCGCGACCAGTTGGCGGTACTTTCTATTTTGAGATTTTTTTTAGCCCAGGCCACGAAAGAAGCTTCGTCTTGACAAGCATGAATTCATTTATCGACCCCAAAAGAGCTTGAGTCGAAAAGCCTAGGGTGTTTTGCCTTTGAGGATATCTGTTGGAAATATGAATGTAAACACCACAGAACCAAAGCAAATGACTGGTAACTCACAAATGCGATAGAGAGCAGAGCCAAATGAAGGAGCTAGAGAAGAAGGGGTATAAAGCTCGTCCGAAAATATTTTCCACGTCGATAAGATGACTTAGTCAATGGTCTTTTGTCGTTTTCTGAGTTTTGTCTTTGATTTGATTGTTATTGATCGCCTGGTGTTTTCTGCGTTGACAACGCTATAACGAATCAACTTTTTTCCTGTTCCTGGAAGGACGGTCACATCCACTATACGGTATGAGCATGTAGAAAATAAGAAAGGATGACCAGCAACTCACTCCGAGTTAATACAACCAGACGGCCAACTATTCAGCACACCCGACATCGCCGCCTACCGAAAGTCCATCATAGTCCTATCGTACTCCTCTGCGTTTCAAGTCCATGGCCAGTTGTGCGACTGCACGTCTGGATGTTCACGTGGTGGGCGTCCCCACCTGTCATAATATATCGAGTTAGGAACAAATGCATGAGAGTAAATGGGCTATGAGTGGTACTCACCAAATGGACGATAGACTTGGTATTTCTAGATGTTTGAGCTAGCAAACGGGGATCACATCAAGTTCTTGGGTCGGACCATTTGCATTTGCGTGTCCTGAGCTGAACTGGCTCAGGGATAGCTGCTTGCAGAAGGAAGGTGAAACTTGAGGAAGTACGCAAGTTGGACCACGAACTACAGTGATAGTGAAGGCTGAGGATAGGGATAGGGGAATGAAGACGGTAGGTGACGGTGTCTGAGATGTCGGTGATCGGTTGTATCAAGGATGGATTAGTAATGTCCAAGTTTGATATAAGTTATTGAGATATTCCTCCGCTGGCGAACACCAGCAGGAGTTGGTTGTCGAATTTTGAATTTATTTTTTCTGGGCAGACTTGAGGTATCGAGAATTCGTGCTAAGAGAGGTCAAGGATCGTTGAGCGAAAATGAGGGCTGACTAGGATTGACTTACAAAGACATCCATAGTAGAGCGTTGACGCTTGGATCCCAATTACTGGACGTATCTGTAACACTTTCTCGCAGATTGACATGAAACGCGCGTACGTCGTGCGGAATGAGCACAGGAAGGATACGCGATCGTGCGTGAAGTGAGAGCGTGGCACATGGAATATATGTACTACGACTCTGATGGATACGCGGGTGGGTTTATCAAGAGAAGCTGCTGGTAAGCAGCATGAGAGGAGAGAGAAGAGAGAATAAGAGGAGAGAGAATAAGAGAGAAGAGAGAAGAGAGAAAAGGCGATGGAGATGCTTGAGCAAGTGGGCAGGGCTATATACTCTGAGCAGGATGGCGGCTGACTGGACTGAGCTGAACTTGGTGATGTCATTGCTAGCTTGGCGTCATTGATATTAGCAATAAGACTGCAAAACTATTGAAAGACGGACGGTCAATCCCAATGGTCACGGTAGACGTCCGGTAGACTCTGGTCCAAGTCAAGAAACGATACAGTCACTTTAAGCATATCTCGGCACGGTCCGCGAACGGACCGAAGAGGCTGGGAGTCCTACGACCCAAATCTACCGCGGTTGGCGTTTCGAACGTTGACTCTCTATTAATTCATACGTGACCTGCAGTTTCATGTTCTTCACACAAGTTATAAGCCTAACAAATCTTGCTTTCTGTTGTTACTGCGTTCAGTGATCTTCAAGTTGCTTGGACTATGAGGCTATTTACTGAGGGGACAGTGATCTTTATCGTCGGCGCTCACTTGAAATCAAAATTCGTACTGGCAAGGGTTATTTGAACTGCTAACCCGAGGCTCGAGTAATATCAAGGAACCCCGAGGAGGCTTAAAAATACCGTTTCGAATATAGGTTATTTGTTGACAAGGCTTACTGTCAGGAAAGCACGCCACTCTTGTGACATCGATATCATATCTATATCCGCTATCGTTCAGTGAAGACTGTAGATATAGCAGTGATCGTGACTTTCATTCAGAAGATAGTTTAGCGACATGGCAAAATTGAACGGTACCCACTTGATTCATGGAGATTCTGGTTTCCCGGGCACCGAGGTCTCTCCATCGATCTCTGTCACGACAAGTGAGTCTTTCCTATCTCTCTTTCATTGGCACAGCCGATCGAAATGATCCTTCTACAGCGTTCAGAGCCCCCCATCCTGACGAGCATGCGCCCGGAATTGACGAGTTTGACTGGCAGAACCCTTCTAGGAACATGTATTCCAGGTACACACAGAATGTCAGCACTAGAGTGGAACACGTCCTGAACAAAATAAACGTCCGTCTCCCATCCCTTTCCATGCATAGTTCACCTTAAATCAAATTTAGCATGGTCATGCCGTCACATACTCTTCTGGCCTAGCTGCTACCTATGCAGTGAGTACATCTGATCGAGTCGCGATCAAGTCATCATAGCTGAACGAGCATGTGTCCAGGCGTTGGTGCACTTTAAGCCAAAACGCATTGCCATCACCCGAGGATATCCTGGTTGCCATGCGAGTATCGCAGTATACGCCAAGAATAGGTTTGAACCGACTCCAATCATTGGTATCGACGATGAATTCCAGGAAGGTGATTTGTGCTGGATCGAGACACCCATAAATCCTACTGGAGAGTCGCGGTAAGTAGCTCAGGGCCGTGATTCTGTACGACAATCCACTCAAGTCAACCATCTCAGAGATATCCAGTATTATGCTGATAAGGTGAGCTACAGAGTTGCTTCCGCCCTAAACGTTATCTGAAAGTTGATCTTGACTTTTCTAGATCCATGCAGTCGGAGGAAAACTGATTGTAGATTCAACCTTCGGCCCCCCTCCTCTTCAATACCCGTTCAAGTGGGGAGCTGATTGTATTCTCCACAGCGGTGCGTATACAACTCAGTTGTGATTGGAGGCTGCAATGTTGATATTTATTTTGATAGGCACCAAGTACTTCGGAGGGCATTCGGACCTTCTCGCTGGTATCCTGATCGTGAAAACAGAACAGGAATGGAAAGATGTAGGCTGGGATCCCTATGGTCAGACGTGCGGACGCTAATTCTGAACCTAGCTTTTCGAAGATCGCTGCTTCCTAGGAAACATGATGGGCTCTTTTGAATCATGGCTCCTTCTTCGTTCCTTGAGGACACTGCACCTTCGCGTTCCCAGACAGTCAGCCAGTGGAACGGAATTGGCTCAGTGGTTGAATCGTGCCGTGAACATCCCTGTAGGTCAGGAATACGATGGTATCCCAGGAGGAGTTGTCGCAAAAGTATACCATTCAAGTCTGCAAGGCATCAATGGAAGTTTCGACCCCGCTAAGCAGATGGAAGGAGGATTCAGTGCTACATTCTCCATTTTGGTGCGCCGAGTGCTTAAGTTGTACTGTTTGTTCTAACCACGTTTTTAGCTATCTAAACGCGAATATGCAAATTTACTCCCTCATTCGCTGGAATACTTCGTGGTAAGTACTTATCTCTTCTCTCGGTGCCTACCAGACAGATATCGATTGTTGTTTATCGTAGCCTGCGACAAGTCTTGGTGGTGTTGAATCTTTGATTGAGCAACGCCATGTACACGACCCTAGTGAGGATCCTCTTTTAGTCCGCATTAGCATCGGTGTAGAAGAGGTGGAGGTGAGGAGTATCTTAATGCATAATACGGACACTAGTTACTCATGCCGTGACTTTTACTTAGGATTTGAAGGATGACCTTCGCAAGGCATTCCAAAAGTTATCCAAAGTAAGTGTCTATTCAGTATTGTTCGCATGAGGTGGCATATACTTATATATTCTGTCCAGATTGAAACGAAAGCTTAAAAATACTTCATTGAACAATGAAAGGTGGAGTATACCAAAAACAATAGGTCACAATACCAACCACCTGCTGTATTTGTAAAGAGAATTAAATCAATCAAAATAAGGGGATAGATAATACCAAAAAAATCGGCTTCATAGTCACATACATTCGCAGAGTCAAGTTGCCTTGTTTCGGAACAATGCACATAATAATCAATAGTCGAGAAAACTGACACTTTGGGTGATCCTCACTCAAAGTGTACAGTTAGGCGCATCAGAAAAAGATAAAGTATCTTGGGGGAACTTCCGAGGTGGGAATTCTGGACGCACGAATTCTAACCTCCGCTACCTATGATTCGCGTCCAGGATTAGCTCCCCCTTGCCGATCTAGTATGACTCGGATATGATGGTAGTCAGTCACCAACCAGGAAAGCACGCCACTATTATGTACCCGCTGCGGTTCAGTGAAGACCATAGATATATCGTGGCTTTCACTCAGAGCCTTGTCCAACGAAATGGCAAAATTGAACGGTACCCACTTGATTCATGGTGATTCTGGTTTTTCGGGCACCGAGGTCTCTCCGTCGATCTCTGTCACTACAAGTGAGTATTTCCTATATCTCTCTGCCAGTGTTTGACACGACTGATTGAAATAATCCTTGTATAGCATTCAGAGTTCCCCACCCCGATGAACATGCGCCTGGAGCTGATGGGTTTGACTGGCAGAACCCTTCCAGGTATATGTACTCCAGGTACACCCAGAATGTCAGCACTCGAGTGGAACACATCCTGAACAAAATAAACGTCCGTCTCCCATACCTTGTCATGCATACGTTCACCCTGAACCAAGTTTAGCATGGTAATGCCATCACATACTCTTCTGGCATAGCTGCTGCCTATGCGGTGAGTGCGGCTGGTCGAGCCAATCCTCATGAAGTCATCGTACTGAACGAGCATCTGACCAGGCATTGGTGCACTTTAAGCCAAAGCGTATTGCTATCACCGGAGGATATCCTGGTTGCCATGCAAGTATCGCGGTATATGCCAAGAATAGGTTTGAACCGACTCCAATCATTGGTATCGACGACGAATTCCAGGAAGGCGATTTGTGCTGGGTCGAGACGCCCGTAAACCCTACTGGGGAGTCGCGGTAAGTCGCTCAAAGCCATGATTCTCTACAACGATCCACTCAAGGCAAGCATTACAGAGATATCCAGTATTATGCTGATAAGGTAACCTGCAGAGTTGCTTCTTCCCTAAACTTCATCTGGAAGGTGATCTTGATTTTTCTAGATCCACGCAGTCGGAGGAAAACTGATTGTAGATTCAACCTTCGGCCCTCCTCCTCTTCAGTACCCGTTCAAGTGGGGGGCTGATTGTATTCTCCACAGCGGTGCGCATATAACTCAGTTGTCACTGGAGGCTGCAATGTTCTCACAACACTTATCTCGATAGCTACAAAATACTTTGGAGGGCATTCGGACCTTCTCGCTGGTATCCTGATCGTGAAGACAGAACAGGAATGGAATGATGTAGGCTCGGTTCCTGTTTCAGACGCGCGGAGGCTAACGTTTGAACTTAGCTTTTCGGAGATCGCTGCTACCTAGGAAGTATGATGGGCTCTTTTGAGTCGTGGCTTCTTCTTCGTTCCTTGAGGACACTGCACCTTCGCATTCCCAGGCAGTCGGCCAGTGGAACCGAATTGGCTCAGTGGTTGAGTCGTGCCGTGAATGTCCCTGTGGGTCAGGAGTACGATGGCGTCCCAGGAGGAGTTGTCACAAAAGTATGGCATTCAAGTCTGCAAGGCATCAATGGAAGTTTCGATCCCGCTAAGCAAATGGAAGGAGGATTCAGTGCTACATTCTCCTTTCTGGTGCGCAGAGTATTTCATGTTGTTGTTGCTTTTCCTAACGCTAGTTTTGCGTGTTTCAGTTATCGAAACGCGAATATGCAGAGTTACTCCCTCATTCGCTGGAATACTTTGTAGTAAGTACTTATCTCTTCTCTCGGTGATTACCAGACATATATTGATTGTTGTATTATCTTAGCCTGCGTCAAGTCTTGGGGGTGTTGAATCTTTGGCTGAGTATAGCCACATGCGTGACCCTAATGAGAATCCACTTTTAATCCGCCTTAGCATCGGTGTGGAAGAGGTGGAGGTGAGGAGTACCTCAACGCACGATACAGACTCATTGACTTACATCGTGACTTTTACAAAGGATTTGAAAGACGATCTTCGCAAAGCATTTCAAAAGTTATCCAAGGTTAGTGTCCGCTATTTAGTATTGTTCGCAGCTATTGCATACTTATATATCCCGTCCAGATGGAAACGAAAGCTTAGAAATATCTGAACACTGTGAAAGGTGGAGTGTACTGAAAAAATTTAGGTCACAATACCAAGATGTACTAGGGTATGCTGTACTTATACAGAGATAAAAACGATCAACCAGAATGGATGTGATGGATAAGAAATACTTGGCTCTGTATGCATGTTTGCATGTATTTGTAAGATCAAATGACCGTGAACAATGTATATCACCAATCAGTGAAAGTCGAACCTTCAACAAAATGAAAGCTTGCTACCACGTTGCTTTCTTTGGTGGCTACGATCATATTTGTTCTTGCTTGAACCTGTATACACACTGTTACATTGTATTTGTAATGCCAGGCAATGTTACTCAGTAGCCTATTCCCATTATTTATGCCACATTTGCGATTTGTTCCATACAATTCTACGGGTTTACAACGAGCGACGATTATCTCTCATTGCCCACATCTCGCACCCGTCAAGCATATGATTTATGATCAACAACAATTGAAGTGTATCACATAGGCCAGCAACCACGAAACATAAGCAATGTCTACGACCATTTCAACACATAACAATTATTACTTCACCTTTGCGATCAATGCTAATAGTGACAAAACTGTAAGGACCATTTTGTTATTTTCTTATCTTTGCTATGTCTTGGTTCTTGAACGCTTTTCCCATTACACCTCTGGCTCTAGGGCTAGAGGTATCATTTGCCATTTTACTTCTCATAGCCCTCACAGGCTTTCTTAACCATCACTACCATTTTATATCACAGATCAGAGACTGGGTATCACTCCCAGCCAGCCAGCACACCGGGTAGGGACTGGTAGTAGGCATCTTGCCAACCAGCTCCAAGCCCCAGTAAAGCCTGGATACACTAATAAACACTTTGTTCAAAATTGTACCTCATCATGAGGATACGGTTCCTGAACACGCGTAACAAACCTCTATTATTAGTACAAATCTCTCACCGCTGATTAATCAAGTTAAAAGTCGTACAATAGTTGTTCTCTCTTTTTCTTATTGGCCGATTGATTCCTCAGACCACTTTTCGTATATTCTCCTTTCGGTCTGAGGAATGAACAGTTCACTATATAAAGCCTTACCTATTCATGTATGGCTCCTTAGTTTTCTATTACTGAATTTACCCGCTTTACTCCTCAATGAAAACCTTTGAAGCTTACCTCTCAAAAAGTCCTCTACTCGCTATATTTACTAGTGTCTGTCGACCTCAAGCTCATCGAACCCCTTACTCCCTGCAAGTGCAGAAGGAGACAGGTTTCGTTTTTGTTATAGTTTATCGTTGCCTCACAAAAACTGGATAAACCCGGTCTCTGCTAAAGCAGCCATTGTTCTGTAGCAACCAAGAGTTATTTACTCTGGCGCACACAGGAACACACTATAAAGAAGATGATGGGGAGTGGTTACCCCTTAGGCTGCAGTGGGTTAGTTGTGCTAGACAACAGGAGGATTCACTGAGTCCTTCCCCATGTATTGCTCTTGTATATATACTAAAATACATGAGGTACTGTACAGTTATAAATGAAGTTCAAAGTCCGATGTCTAGCATGTGACCGGTCACATGATGAGTCTAGACACTGGTCAGGTGATGTGTCACATGACTGGTCATGTGACTATGAAAAGTCGAAAATGTAAAGTAAAGTAAATGGTCACATGACTGGTCATCTGATGTCACATGACTGGTCATGTGACTTGGAAAATAAAAGTAGAAGTACAAAAGTGAAGCGTAAGTAGGTGCTGGTATGTTAATTGTAACACTTTCATTACTTTCATTGGGAATATACAAGTAGTTTAAATTTTCTAAGCATCAAAAAGAATATACGGGAGCACCATCCTCAATATATTGTGTCTGCGGACAGCTGGCCAAGGTTCATGTATGCTGCACCAGAAGAATATCGGTCTGAAGATCTAGACCATGGTTTATTCAGGTCCACACTTTTACTTAAGGTATTGGAACACTCACAATATAGCTCTATATTATTGAATATAGCATACTAATGCATATATCTTACAGGCCTTCAAACTTATTTTTACCTCACCATCGTCAGCCCATGAGGTAGAAGAAATGAAAGGCCCCATTCAACTACTCGACAACACAAGGCATCCAGGGACAGGTCAACATGCACTCATGTTGTAGCGCTGTTGGCGATGAAGAGTGTTACGCCCTGCGCTATCACCTACGTGGCAGTTCGAGTAAGTGCCTGCTTAATTGTTGGTGTTTTGCAAGCTTAAAGGAGACATAAGCTTTGCTTTGCACTATCGAGTGTCAGCTCTTGGAGGCGCATTGATGGAGATTTCAGTTTGATGGAATTCTACAACAATGCTATTGACTGGTTTGAAGGTCCTTGCAACCCAAGGCACCAATCCAGAATCAACAAGTTACTCTTGTGGTGGGATAAGTGAGTTATACTGCATCATCAATTGAGGACACAGGTAATGATTTATTTCACCAGCCGAGTATTTGGGAAGCACCGAGAAATTGCAGTACTGGGAGAAATTCGGCAGAATCTCTCAATCACTCGATCAAGAGCTGGCAGGATAAGCTGAAACATCATCTTCTCCTTTTGTTAAGCACGTTGCCAGTCTGCTGCCACCTAACAGAGAGCAGAGCACATAATCTATATGTTATCACTTATATACCTGTCACATATATATAACATAGTTTTAATCATTATGCAATGTTCAAAAAGTGATTATATAAGAAGCTGCTGTTTCATTTCCATAATAAATCTAAGTGAAACTCAGCCGCTGCCTATGAGGCTATAGAAACGACTTTATTATTTACCTAAGTGAAACTACAATAGATGTTAGTTTAAGGTGATTTCTAATAAATGTAATGCAACATACCTCAGCCGCTGCCTAAGAGGCTAAGAAACAACTGAGGTATTCCTATACTAAACCCCCTACTACTTATAGTTGGAGGTGCTACTTGCTACAGTATAATGACTCCTAGGAGTACAATTGTGCTCCTAGGCAATTGTACTCCTAGGAGAACAATGGTGACTCCATAGAGTGGTGACTATGCTCCATGGAGAACAATGGCTGCTTTAGCAGACACCGGGTGTAACAACCAAGAGTTAGTTACTCTGGCGCACAACTCAGACAAGCAAAAGAGTAATGAGAGGGAGTGGTTACCCCTTAAGATAGGACCGAGTTAGTTGTTGTAACAACCTAGAGTTTGTATACTCTGGTGCACAACTAGAACCAACTATAAAGGTAGTGAAGGGAGTGGTTACCCTTAGGATAGGACCGAGTTAGTTGTGGGTAAATGTCACGACTTGAGCCAGAGCGCTAATTTCTTTTTTCATTTTCTTTGATATCTGATCACATGACAGACATAAGTTGTTAAGCTGCTGCTATTAGCGTGGATAACACAAATACTTAGTTATATCTAGTCACGTGACAATCACGTGACAGAATCCAGACCATGATGTAGAACATCAGTCAGCGCCTCATGGCTGACCTTCAGAAACATATATATACTGAACACTCATGTACATACTTTTCTTCAGTTGTTGATTACCTCTATATACAGTTATTTGAACGCTACTTGTTGATTGAGAACTTATCCTTCCGTTAATTCGGCAAAAGGGATAGAAATCTTACAGTAAACAACAGGAGGACTCGGTGAGGGGTTCCTGGATCTATTGAGGTTTATATACTACTACAGGGTGTTTGTACTTATGTACTATACAGTTGATGAAAGCAGTGGCTGATGATGTCAGAGGGCGCAGCCCGTGTGACCAGCTCCACTGCGTGAGATACTTGTATTTAAAAATAAAAGGAAGGCAGTGCAGCGCGAGAAGGTGGAGTTTGAATAAAAGGAAAGTGCCGCCTGGCACCGTGTGTGAAAACTATAGAAGAAAGTTAGATAGGAGAATGAAAGTTAAAGGTCCGAAAATTGTGTATTGTAACACCGGGTTTATCCGGTTTTGTCATTTCATGCAGACGCAATTGAATCTGTTCTGTCTCCCCAATAAAAGCAAAAATCCCCCCTGAATGTAATCGTTTGGAAGGAGAGCACAATGTAGCTACAAACAATAATATACCACAGAAGTTACTGACATTCTTACAGTATGTAGTAACTGAGAAGTTGGCAAGAGAGAGCCATGATGGCCTATCCTGTACAAAGATGTCATGAGTGTGAAATTGGCAAGAGAGAGAGATGAAAACTACTGTTACTGAAAAATGCGAAAAATGTTTCAGTTAAGCAGTAACGCAATGTCGATCAGCAAGTATACTGAATAAATAATGAAAGCCAAGATTGGTGAAGTGAGTAAAGCGGGGCCATGGGGCGTAAAGTCATAGCAAGGAGCCGTGAACAAACCAACTTGGAGACTTGGGCCGTATAGATTTGGACTTGGAGACTTGAAGCAGTGTTGGTGTGGGAAGGGATGGCACAGCATCAACGAGCAGAATATATTTCCATGCTTTGGACAGCTAATTTTTAACATGTATGGTAGCACAATATACCAGTGAAAAATGTTACGCACAAAGTGCTTAACAAAGTCTGAGGGTTCGTCGAGGTTTGTAAAGAGACTTATCCGAAGACAAGTTCGAGAACGTGGTTCTGAGTGGAGGTTTTCCAACGGGAGTTGGTCTTCTTCTGAGTAGAAGTCTGATCTTAGGAGTCTAGCTTTGTAAGCGTAAACTGCGTAGAATCATATTAGAGAATACTACTGCTGTTACATGGTATTTATAATGGAAAGGAATCGGTGATAGGAGTTAGGTCCTATCTAGGGCAGGTCTGTCTGTTGAGGACTAAGTACTATAATAGGTACTGTGAATGCGAGAGGAATGGAAGTGTACGTGAAGGAAATGAGTCATCGGTCCGATGGTATAACCGATGAGTAAAAATAAATGAGTAGTCCTTAAATGTCCAATAGAGATCGTAACAGAAAAGTGATGACAAGTACGGCTTGGTTTTCCTGACGTTGTATACGATGATAACTAGTAATGCTCCCGGGTTGAAACTGTCGAAGAATAACGCAATTATCTACGGTACGCAACTAAAAAAATATTGCATCTGTTAGGAAGGCATTTCACCTTTATAAGATGTTAGCAAACATAATTATTACAGACATTGGAGTCATTGCTCATATTGTATGACGAATACACTGCCTTACGGAAATAACCCGAATTCACTGATGAGCGAACTGAGCTATGATCATGGTGAATGCAACTCAAAGGGGCTGTTGCCAAACATGAATCAATAAAGCTCGTCGCGTACGCGTCCCTCACGGCGAGTGGTACTACAGTTATACTCACCACCATGAACACCTTCGTCGAACGCTTTACAACAAATGCATCAAATGGGCTCTTCTGCGGAAATGGAGCTGTAGAGGAAGACGAGGAGTTCTCAGATGCTATGTGGGGCTCTGAAGCTGGGTTCGGAAGTCTGGCGAGAGGAGTGCCCTCTTTCACCGTTCCTTCTGTATCAGACGTGAGTCTTGTCGGCCCGATGTGCTGCTAGTTTACTCAACGCTATCGGTTTGTTGTTGCCAGCCTGCAGCTTTCCTGAGATTGCACACAGACGATCATGCAGACCCAAATTGCAAGATTAAAATCCAGCATGGAACTACCACTCTGGCATTCAGATTCCAAGGAGGTGTCATCGTTGCTGTCGACTCTCGAGCTACTGCAGGAAGCTATGTTGGTTCGTATCATAATATAACCATTGGGCCACAATATCCTGACCAATGGCGTTCCAGCATCTGGCACAGTGAAGAAAGTCATCGAGATCAATCCTTATTTGCTGGGTACAATGGCTGGAGGTGCAGGTATGGTTACTATTTTTGTTGTGAGCTTTAACTCCACGGGCTGAGATGTCGTTCCTACTAGCCGATTGTCAGTACTGGGAGACATATCTCGGTATGCATTGTAGATTGCATGAACTGCGGAACCGGGAACGCATTTCGGTATCTGCTGCCAGTAAATATCTCAGCAATCTTGTGTATGGCTATAAAGGTATGGGCTTGAGCATGGTGAGTTTGAATTTTGTCAAAGTGCCGATAAGACGCTGATGTCGAGCTCTGGCAGGGTACGATGATCTGTGGCTGGGACAAAACTGTTAGTGTCCTTTGACGATAAACTAATTTTAGAATGCTCAATCTAATCACTCTGTTTGTAGGGTCCAGCTGTATTCTATGTCGACTCAGATGGCACTCGTCTCAAGGGAGACCTGTTCTCGGTGGGATCGGGTAGTACGTTTGCCTACGGTGTGTTGGACCAAGGATACCGGTGGGACCTGAGTGATGAGGAGGCTCAAGAGCTTGGGAGAAGGAGTATATACGCTGCCGGTCATCGTGATGCATTTTCAGGTAACACCTGTAACCTTTACCACGTAAAGGAAAACGGTTGGAACTTCATCGGTGAGTTCATACTCTTACAGCTTCGATGATCATTCTGAATTGCTAACCTTGCAACAGGAAACTACGATATCTCAAAATTACATTATGACGGTCCTGGGGATGTTGCTGGTTCGCCTGGCCATGGATATGGGTACGACTTGCGAGTGGAGGGACGCAGTTCAGTTAATGCTCCTGAAGCTGCTCCAGCCGTGGCTGCTCAGGCATGATTGTAGAAGTGCAATATGTACAATGAAACTATCGATCATCGAATCAAATCGCTTGGCAGGATTGAAACGTGTAAAGTAAATCGTCGACGTCTTGATTTGCTATAATATTCATCACCAATTGAAAATATGTACTGTACTTTGAGCATGACATACGATACAGTGATCCTTACGTACAGGTGGTGTGCAACCGGTAACCTAAATATATAAGGGATAACTGCAGTTTCTAAACTGATGTCAAGGTTTCTCAGTGCATGGCCATCGCCTGAACCTCATGAAACATTCGCAGGTCGAACAGAAAATACTTGGTGGCCTAGGTTGTACATATCGCCATGAAGCGTTTCTTCTCCAAGCCGTCCAGTTTAAAGAGTCCAACGCATTCGCCATCCAGATCACAAACTGTTTCTCCACCGCCCAGTATCCAAGTTCCCACTAGCACTCAGGCTGGCATCGCGCACACGACCGGTCTTCAACCTAGCTTTGTCGTTCCTCCCGTCCCACACCCACATCCTCACGAATACATCGCGTTACTTGTCTCGAACGATGGTCTGTTAATGCGCCCTCATGCGCCCGGGCTCAAGCATCCAGGCGCTCACGTCCGTATCGCTTGGGGGAAACAAGTAAAGGTCGAGGAAGTATCAGGGGATGGTGAAGATCCAAGCAGAGATTGGTCTGAGAGTACAATAATATATGGCATTGTCGGAATCTTGGAGCTTTTCTCTGGTACTATTCTAAAGCGAGTGCTACATCTTTAAGGTGCTGAAATTTCGTCTTGTAGCTTCCTATCTACTGGTTATCACCTCAAGATCAGGCATTGGCAGCTGTAAGTTGCCATTCATTTTGTTCGAGAAATTTTGTCCTGACTTATAATTCCATAAGTGTTCGATGACAATCACGCAGTGTATGGGGTAAAGAGTGTTACTGCAATTCCTCTTGTACAGGACCGAGCTCGAACGGCCTTGAATACCATGGCATCGCGAAACGCTGATGCCAACAGACCATCTCTGATACCCAGTGACACATCAGGTCGTCTTGATACTACTCGAAGCACTTCATCTCATTTGAATGTATCCAGCAGCTCGGAGGCAGCGTCTCCTCACGTCAAGTTTGCTGATGAGGAAGATGTCAGACTTGTGACGCCGCTAACAGCTCGATTTAGCGGCGAAAGCAACAGGTCACCATCCCCTGCTTCCTCAGGGGCTTCTACACCAGGGTCGGAGGAGTCTATGAGTACCTCTCCCGTAGCGACAACTATTGCCAACCGTTTATCTTTCTGGACAAGGCTGTCTAAGCGAACATCTACCAGTGCTCCTACAATGACATTGGACAAAGACGACACTAGTGGTGCCTCACAGTCCCTGTTGGAGGAGCGAGAGTCTTTGGATTCGATCATTCAAGGAGTCCAAGGAGTCCAAAGCGAACCCGAAAAGGTTATTGATTCAATAATTGCAGCTACTGCTCCTCCACCCACATCTTCTGATGAGAAGCACTCGGAACTTGAAGACCGAATAGTGCGAGAGTGTATCAAAGAATTTACAAAAGGGGGCATGTATGCTGCATATAATTTTGGTATGTCTTATATTATTGGCCTCAAACTCGTATCATCATAATTTGGTGCTTTGTAGACATCACACGATCTTTGCAGCACAAACAAGAACAATGTGTAAAATCTCACAGGCAAGACTCCCTTCTCGCGGACCTCAATGCACTGGATAAGAAAGTTGGACCGCTCGACGACAAGGTTGATGTTCTAGCGGAACCCTTCCCCATGTTACCATTGTGGCGGCGAGTTGATCGCCAGTTCTGGTGGAATGAGTGGCTCTCAAAACCATTCGTTGATGCAGGGGTGAGTGGTATTTTCAGCTAGGTTACACTTGAATTAATAACCGAGTGGTTTGGCTTTAGCTGCACTCTTATGTTCTTCCGATCATGCAAGGGTACTGTCAGTTTTCAAAATTTGACTTGCCTGCCGATCCCACTGTCCGCAAAGATGAGCATATAGCTCCAATTGATTATATTATTATCTCTCGACGCTCGAGGGATCGAGCAGGACTACGGTATCAGCGGAGAGGTGTAGACGACGAGTCTCGTGTTGCTAATTTTGTAGAAACGGAGACAATAATGAGAGTCCAGGTAATGCTTCTGTATTGCATGATCCGACTCGGCTACTAAATAACTCATTAGCGGAACGGTATCTCGAACGTTTTCAGCTACGTGCAAATTCGTGGTTCAAGTAATTTGTTTCTTCAGCATTATACAGTGCAATTTTGATGCTTGATTGATCTTGTTCCAGTTCCTTTGTTCTGGACACAATCAGGTTACAGCTTGAAACCTCCCCCGCTACTATCTCCAGAGAGAACCCGTGAGCAGAATGTGGATGCTTTACGGCGACATTTCCAGAGAAACGTACCCAAATACGGACCTCATGTGTGTTCTTTTTCATCACCGCTTCAGAAAGGCTTTTACTTACTGTATATAGACCGTAGTCAATCTTGCAGAATCGCAAGGGAAAGAAGGGGCTATCACGCAAGCATATCGCTCCTACATGAAAGAATTGAATTATAAAGATGCTCGGTGAGGCCGACCAATAATTTGGATCAAGGACGACAACTAAATTGTTAACCAGATATTGTGAATATGATTTCCATAACGAAACTAAGGGGATGAAGTGAGTTTACCTCAACAAAATCAGGATAGAAGTTTTATTTGGCTTGTAGATATGAGAATATATCCAAGTTAGTAGATAACATGGAACGCGTATTCGAAAGCCAAGGGTGCGATGCAGCTTTTATGCTGTTCTCATATGACTATTACTAACAAGTAGGTTGCAGATACTTTTGGATATCGAATGATATGCTACTATCGAAGCAGAAGGGCGTTTTCCGCGTTAATTGTATAGACTGCTTGGACAGGACCAATGTTGTGCAAGTAAGCAATCGTTTATTTATTTTTCTGCCTTTTGGTCTTACAAAACTAATTATTTTAGTCGGCTTTTGCTCGACATGTTATGAACATTCATCTAGGAGCTGTCGCTCTCTTAAACCCATCGGAAAATGGGAGATCAGATACTGATATTATATTTAATGACGGTAAGTATAAAAGGCGACATAATAGCTGTAAACATATCTGAAAGATCTACAGTTTGGGCCAATAACGGGGATGCAATAAGCCGTGCATAGTGAGTGTTGAGTGTATGTGGTACGTAGTTCCAGCGGACTAAGCATTGATCACAGTGCAGGGACATCTGCATTGAAGGGCGATTATACTAGGTTAGTCGAAATGAACAGTTACTTAAATGGCTACCTGATAATCTCAAACAGAACTGGAAAGCGGGATCTAGGTGGGCTACTGAACGATGGCGTGAATTCTCTTGCGAGAATGTACAGTGCTACATTTAGCGATTGGTTTTGTCAAGCTGTTATCGACTTCATGCTGGGATACCGCACTATTTCTGTTTTTTCAGAATTTTTACTGAAGCTTCAGTCCACGGATCCAAGAGAGCTCATTCGCTTGTCCAAGATACGAGCGGAAGCCATTGCAACTTCTGTATCTCGTGTACTCGACGAAGGTGAACGCCTGATGTCAGGCTGGACCGTGATTGCCCCAGAACAGCTCAATGTGAAAATGGGAGATAAATTTGAAGAGAAAGTACTCCTTTTGGTGAGTAAAGCATTCTTTCGCGACTGAAAATTATATGAATGTTCAATGCTTAATACAATAACAGAGTGCTCGTGCTTTATATATCATAGTAAGGCTACTACTTGACAGGTGTGAGAGCACGCTAACAACTGTCTGTAGAGTTATGACTATACCCTGGAGAAGGTCAAAATGTATACCCGTGTACCATTAGGAGACATCGTTAAGATTACGAAAGGTACGTCCACCTCTCAATTCACTTTGTCCATGCACTCATCGGGATATTAGGTGCCTACATATTATCTCCTTTAGAGGAAGCCAGCCGAGATCCTGTCCAGAACGCAGGCTTCACAGTTTCATGGCTTCATAGCCAGCAAATCAGTACCCGCCTAACGAGCTACTCGTATAGAAACCGTCCAGAAGATGCCCCAGCTTCATTTTTTGCAACTTTGAAATCAAGAAGTAGCATTATAAAACCTGCTTTACCCAGTAGAGGTCCCAGTTCCGGCTCAGGACCTGGTTTGTCCCAGATCATGTCCCAAGCTTCACCTGTAGCAAACGAGACAAACTTCGCAGCATTTAAAGTGCTACCTGTCGACCCCACACGTACCCGGCGCGGATCTAGCATTGGATACGCAGAACCTGCAGATGATCTGGCAGGTGCCAGCAGTTGTCAGGAAGTGGTGAATCTCATGGTCGATGCTGTCAAACGAGCCTGTGATGATATTGGTGGGGTACATGGAGATTTCATCGCTGAGGAAGACGTCGTTAGGTCTGTTGTGCACAGCAAATAATATCGCAAACGTTTTACTGACATTTAGAATTGTCAGCGTTACCGATGCACAACGAATGACCAGTGTATACGCTAAAATGGAATATGGAGTTAAACGCCTACTTTGGCTTGGGGGTTGAGGCCGAGGCTTCAATGAGTTTCACAGAGCCACACTCACGAATCCTTCCTTACGACTTACAAATGCCCTATTTGACTGTAAGAAACGATCACGTCACACTAAACTTGAGCAGTGAATAAAAGTAGAATTTTCAACTATACAAAATGCAAACGGCCAAAAAAAATCCTAGGTTAATGATGTTCATGTCCTTGGCCCCAACGTACAAAGAAAAGAAGAAAAAAACTCGGAAGGTAGAAACGCCTCACGGGTACAGATTAAGCCCTAGTAGATACGTCGGGGGGAAATCGAGAGACGGAGGGAGATTAAGAAGGGTTGTAGTATGCATGTCCCTCGACTTCAGGTATCCAAAGAAAGTGAGAAAGTGATTTATGTCCGTGAAGCATGAGGTCCCTGAAAAAAAAAAAAAATGGTATATGAAGTGCGAATGAAGGAATATATCCTACTGAAGATGAGATTACAAATGCTGAATGGTCCACAAGAACGGCAAGAAAGAAAATTATAACAAAACGAGGGCAAACATATTCCACGATCGATAACTCGATCACCTTATATCGATATCGTCGGGTACCGCACCTAGGTCGATGAACCGTGTCATGCGTTTCAGTGCTCTGCCCTCGTCTCCAGCTATGTCCGCCCCAAGATGACCATCCCTCAGGTCACCGTCACGATAGCCTCCCACCGCATGCCGCTCACACAACATCTGGCCGTCCACTTCCCAATATTCAACAAGCCGCTCTCTGCATCCTTCCTCGAACTCGCATAAAAAGTGTTCCGGGTGGTAACGTCGGCCGGAATGCGCAACCGCACAAGGTCCTTCAATAGGTTCCCCGCAACTATGTGCGCCGCACAGAGAATCATTTGCTTCGTGATAATGATATGCACAGAGGGGTTTCCCGTCAAACACATAGAACTCCCGATCAGGGAAAGGTTTCTGTACGAAAGGCCATCAATACCGATAGAACAATACATCATCTGTAGACGTACATGGCATATATGGCAATTAAAGCAGTCTTTGTGGTATTTTCCTTTAAGCTGTCCGTCGGATGACGATACGGCCTGTTTCTCTATAGGTAGATTACATCGGCGGCACTGTTATATTGAAAAAATGTTTAGCAGATGTCACCTGGTTTAGTGAGAATAGGGAATGGATGCTCACTTTAGGTAAATACATATTTTTCCAACATTGCTCGCAAAGAACACTTCCTCCATCCATCTGTATCCATCTCCCGTCCTCGATTTTTTTCTCACATCTTGCACACGCTCGCTCCCTCTTCACAAATTCTCCCAACACCCTGTCCCTTTTCCGCACACTACCGCTCTCGCTCTTTCCGCCAGTACGTCGAATCCGTTCTTCCACGTTCGAAACTGGATGCGACGGGCTTGTATGTGAACGGGTTGGCAGCTTCGGAAGCTTGTTATCAGGTGACGCTGGACCAGGGACTGTATTTGACCGAACATTCTTGCCTTTCCCTAGACCAAGAAGTCGATCTGCCCTGTTTCCTACTTCACCTGTCTTCGGCAGTTCTGGAGGGACGTTAGTTTGACCTGCTGACATGGAAGCCAGTACAGAACCTGATGCAAGGATGGAAACAGATGCACCCTCCTCAATGAGGGTTTCCATGGCGCGTTCGAGTGCACCTACAGACTTGGTCGTACTGCGTGAATAAGATGTTGAAGCTGAAGCACTACGTGAACGATTAGAAGCAGAAGCCGCAGACTGCGTGCGAAATTTTGATACAGACGATGTAGCAGAACTACTTGCCACAGAATTTGCGGAGTTCTTGCGTGTAGGAGATGCCCCAAGAGAAGGGAACTGGACCTTGTCTACTGGTGGCTTGCGGACAGACAAAGGCAGAACAACGGGTGTATCACCGTCTTCAGCATCTGAATCTTCGTACGCCAGTCCTAAATCAGAATCTTCGGATAAAGGCGACATAGGAACCGCATCATTCCTAGCATGCTCTTCAGACGACCTCGAAGTGTATACACTCTCTGTCCCATCATTACTCGCATTTTCGTCTCTATTTTTGTCGTCCTTATCTTTACTTCCTTCTTTGTATTTATTGAAGAAAGGGAAACGCATGGAAAGTCCGGGAGTCGACGTTACGTCAGAACCACCACTCAGATGTCGAGCAAAGGGGTTGGAAATCGGCGAAGGAGTGCGTGTAGGTGAGGGCAGAGGAGATGCAATAATAGGAACTTGTACAGGGGAAGTTGAATCGTGTGGATTGGAAAGAGGCGATTTGTAGGTAGCAGAATGATGACTATTGGGATGCGTCGTAGTCGGTGTGACAGTGCCAGCGGGAGAAATTGGAGATGCAGGATATGGAGAAAGAGGGGAATGGCCAGAATTAGGCGAAAGAGGGGGTGTTGTTGCGGCAGCTGCATAGAGGAAGAAAAGACATGTTAGCGCGATCAAAAATACATAGGTATAATTAAGCACGAAGATAAAAATAGTGCATATATCCACATAAATAGTCAAAGAGTGGTGCATACGGCCCAAATTGTCACTACTGCACTCACCACGATATACATTGCTCATTGCAGCATTAATGTCAAGATATTGGGGTGCATTTACACGTCGGCCATCCATCCCAGCGTTAGCTGGTGGTCTTGAGGAATTTTCGGTGCCGACTTTTCCAGAGATGGCCGTAGTAAACATGGCCGCGCGTGCCGCAGCAGCGAATCCGCGTCGCCCTACACCAGCCATTCCAGCTTCCCCACCTATTTGTGTGTTCACATTTCGGTCAACTTGCTGTACAGGACCCCGAGCTTGAGCTGGTGTTGGAGCATGAGGTGGTGTTGGTGAGGGTATCGAGGAGGGGAAAGGAACGTAGGAACCCTGTCGCGCTGGACGCTGAATGTTGTCCGCTGACACCCTCGGCACAGCTGGTGGAGGTGGAAGAGTAGCTGTGACTGTATGCGCTCTTTCGAAGGAAGGGCGTGGTGCAGGGCTTGAAGAGGTACGTGAGCGCTCAAACGATGGACGAGGGGACGCATTTGATGGAGTGCGTGTACGTGGAAGAGGTGGGGGGGGCTGCGACGGAAGAGTCATATTTGGGTCTCTGCGAGCGAGTGAAGATGCTCTGGGACGGGCTAGAACTGGTTGAGGGGGTGGGGGTGAATCATCGAATGGATTGGGCAGAGCCCCATCTACTGGTGTTTTAGGACCACTGCGAGTTGATGGTGTCCTGGCTCGCTCAACTGCGATGGGAGGTGGGGGCTGATTCCGCACTGGAGTACCAATTCGCTCTACTGGGTCAAAGCGAACTGGTTGACGCTCTTGCTTGTGCTGACCACCACGAGAAACTAAAATGGATGATGGTGAGCCAGGCGGAGGCGGTTGGAATGCGGGTTTTGGTAAAGGAGCGGGGGAACTTGTTCTAGATGTAGGTGACGACCTGTTAACAGGCGGCAACCTTTGGAAAGGGTCATCCTCCAGCGATGGTCTGAAGCCAGGTCGCTGTGGCTGCTTCTGCGGTATTACCAGAGGAGAGGGTGATGGTGGTGGTTGCTGCTGTTGCTGCTGCTGCTGCTGAGACCTCTGAGGCGGCTGTTGTTGAGGAGAGCCAGCCCTATTAGAAACGAAATTTTGTAGTCTAGAGGGCAGTAAAGATTTGTTGGACATGGATGCTGGTTTCTGTAAAGAATGTGGGCTAGGAGGAGGAGGGGGGGAGCATACGTGGTCACCGAGATCTGCGAGCGGCACTGGTTGGGAACAACTCGAGCATTTTACTGTGGGTAGAAGTTGGGATATTCTTGGAGCTGATGTGGGCTGTGCAAAATGTGCAGATTTACTAAGGAGTTGGGCCATATAGAGAACGAGATATAATGTAGTTTATAGCGAGTTCGCTGTGGTATATAGTGTTGGATGCAAGCTACTGGGCTGGGTCTATGTTCAGAGTCTCGAGTGAGAGCTCGCTGTATCGAACGGCCAGCGCTGGTATATGATACCGTTACCTGTGGATTAGGGATGTGGGATAGAGTGCACTGTGGACGCTGAGGAGAACATGTAAAAGGTTGGGAGAAAGGGAGGAGGGACACGCGTGTAAGTCAGCACACGCGCGTTGCAACAACAATGGCCAGAATTCCTCGCTAGCGCTACATCGGCGGCTTCCTTATCCACAATAAGAGCATGTAGTCTATATTTTCTATTAATTCCTATCAGTTTACTACTCATTCGCATCTACTTTCACCCAGACAGAGCGCTAAAACCTGCTTTTGAGCCTCTATCCAGTACTATTCGTCTCACAGGCTGCAAAATGGATCTCGCAATGGTGACCTAACCGTCCGAAAGTTGCCTGTATAAGGAAAGGTGGAGAAGAAGACTGATACGTTTCCTCCCATCAGCTTCGACAACTCATTTCTCTATTCACAGGTTCTAGAAGCCATAACCGCTCTCATGACAGATGCCGTTACCCTTCGGACCCAATGGCATGATGCCGCACCTCCTTGTTCACTTTATCTTTACCCACATCCATTGCCACCATCACCGCTCTTCCTCAATGCTCGACGGATGAAACGTGTTCTATTCGTGAAAAAGCGCCTGATAGATTCTTTTTGAACGACGAAGATATGATTCAAGTCATTCGCCTTCCTGATTGGCAGCAAGCTTTCATCGACAAGAAAACGGCTTAAAAGAGCGCTGAGCCATCAACTCATGATTCGTCTGGCAAAATTGGCTCGATCATTTGCTTGGCATGATATTCCATCACAATGGAGCGTTCGTCCATCTTTGGTGATCCGCCGTCGGATAACACGTCGAACGTAGTATAGAAATAGAAATGCATGCTTGATGGCAGACAACATGACATGCTCCAGCATACAACACACTCGCCTATACAACCTTCGCTATCAAAAACCTAATACATATTCGCAGGGCATATGTAAGTGTGGAGCAATCTATCTTAGTTCTGATTCTCTAGCAAACGTAGTGACTCGGTCACACTGCGGCAGGCAAACATCCTACACCCTTGAAACATAAAAGAAAAGGCGCCTCGAGCCCGGGACCGCATACGCTTGAAGTGGTTCTGGTCGATCTCATTCGATCGTAAATTAAGTACAAGCAAAGGGTCCTTTACGGTATGTACTGCATCTAGTACCGTTCCATGAAACATGAGGTCCAGGCGATTATGCAACATTGCTATCGATTTCACGATGCGCCGGTCCAAACAACTTCCAAACAGCCCATCAACGACCAGTAAGAATAGACTATCGCTAGTACGGGCGCAATGCGGCGCTTTCATTATGAGAAGGTCTTCCCCTTACTTTCTGCGTCATATCATGGCCTAGCAAGGACTAGCACTTGGGGTAAGGTTTACCGAACCTATAATTCTGCTCCGAATTCGTTCCAATCAGAACTGAAGCCAAACGTACTACAAAACTTAAACTATTCACCATATCGTCATCTCATCACTCCACAGCGTCTACATCATGCACCACGTCAATAAATGTCACAAAAATAGATACAGAAAAGTTAGCTTGACTAGTACGTCAATGTGATATGAAACAGAGTGTTATTATGGGATTGCCTAAACGGCTTGTACTATATCGTTACATATCTACACGACAGCTCGTACGTTGAATGTGACAGAAATCTGATGAACGACTTGATAGTAACAAGAAATAGAACGAAACCAGAGAAACAAAGAAAAGAAGCAAAGTTAAAAAAGAAACGAAAAAAAGAAAAAGTTCACAGCAATAATCCTTGCTAAACAATACAATACTGTACCCTCCACCTTCACTTCACTGTTCATAGTTTTTAAAATTGTTGGCGAGTTGATAATACTTACTCATATCTCTATCCCTGTTGTCTTGTCCTATTGTTGTTCTTGTGTCGATTGCTGCTGTGGGGTGGTGTGAGTTTGCTGAGGTGCAACCTCTGCATTCCCGCGCGCACCCTGAGATTGTTGCATCTGACGCTGAAACCCACTACCTCCATTTCCTCCCGAATCAGGGTTAAATCGAGCAAAGAACGACTCCCATTGGCCTATCAATGCCAAAAAAGAAAACAAGAGTTTTCAGTCAGATAGTGACATGCGATACATCTGTAACACATACCCCAGTCGAACATACCTCCGGGGATCCCCTCTAGGAGGCCCACGTCCGCCATTGCAAATTGTTCAAGTGTATTGGACGCTTGAGGTTCATCCAGCACATTCAACACTTGCACACTTCCTGGCGTCTGACTCGTCATATAATTCAACGCCGGATTCATATTCGGATAGCTGATCGCGGAGCCACGCCCACCACCACTAGACGGTAAGGGCGTTATCGTCACCATAGAGGGCGCTCGGCCTCCTCTTGCACCTGTATCGAGTACCATCTCAATATCAGTCAAATCTTCAAAAAAAACTAAGCCTGACCTGCCCGACCTTCACGCTCATCGTCTGAATTGATGATCGTCCCTTCCGGCACTCCTTCGTACTTCTCCTTGCGAGCGTCACCATGAGCTATGAAGACGCCTCCACCGGGACGAGATGGGTCTTTTTTGTACTCCAGTCCGCCTAGTGGTTTATTACCTGTCACACCGCCCGTCGGGTTGAGGACAGGAGGTGTATCAACCGGCAAGGGGGTTCCTTGCGTAGCTTCATATAAAAGAGCTATAATCTCAGCCGTCTATGGCCGCTTGATCAGATATGTCTTAGCACAACACAATATACACAAACCTTTCGACGAGCAGACATGTGGTCAGGAGAAATGGAGCCTTCCCATCTCCGCACACAATCACGAAGTTTACGCAGTTTGTTGGCAGCTTCGACATCCTGGCGCCTTGCCCATGTGTGGTACTATAGCGTACAACGAGTCATGCAATCGAACTCTGCAACCTGCAACAAGAAATGCCGTAACAAACGCACCTGAACAAGCGAACATGATGTTGCAGCATAGGCTACCAGAAGCCACACATCGTACATGCGCTCATGAGTGTCAAGCCATTCTATCGAATCGCCCGTAAGCTGCACTAGGGTGCTCCAGTTCTCGACAGTAAGCCCAAACTTGAGATGCGCAGGACAAGTGTACGATATCCGCATAAACACCCTCCAGAATATCATGGAGACGCACGAATACAAAAGATGCAATAGACCTAAATAGCATGTACTCAACCTCGGTTTTATAAATAAAACTCGCATGAAACTCACCGGCATTCCTAGGTGTGTCTGGTCCTCTGAATTGCAGGTTCTCCGGTAGGTTCGCTTTCCACGCCTCTATATCGTTGAGAAGATTGTACAACATCTCGTCCGTTGTGAACATCAAACCAGACGGACTGTGCGATGACATTAATACACCCGCCGAGCTGTAAAAGGCAGAAACAGTACCTATATATCGTCTTCAGCACTCGACCGAGAATCACGCTCAATCTCACGAGTTCATCCATGTATAGATCATGAGGATCGCCTGATGACGGAAGACGCGCATCACAATCCTGTACATCAATCATGTAAGGATGGCCATATGTAAGGCTTGTCCTAAAGAATCCGTCAGCTAATGAAGCTTGTGTAGAGCTGCATATGATTACCATCGATCACAGATAACACAAGCACCCCATAGGCGCCGTCGTAGTTCAATGTTTTGCTTGACTGACTCGGCGCGATGTAATCCAAGGTCCTGGGCCTGTGATACAGTATAATGCTCAATAAGCACGAATCATACAAGAGCGCTGATTTGTTATGCTGACCATTCTGATTGCCGTGCCCAATCTGAGCCATAACGCCGAAAGGGCATTTGGAACAAATTGCGAATGGCTGTCACCCACCATACTCAATATTAACAAAGCCTGTACGTTGACAATCGACGCCGTGGACAGGACATCCTCAGCCTTGATCACACTGTTCACAGCAAAGCGCATAGAGTCGAACACAGTCTGAGGAACTTCACGACGAGAAGCAGCCACCAAACACATCGAGTAAAGCAGTATTGGTGGGGGCGATGGGCTGGCAAGGAACTCGGCCTGAGTAATAACAGGTAGCAGAGGCGCAATCTCTAAAAAGTAAGCGTTGAGAAGTTTTTCAACGACGTCTCGTTCAAGGCGCAAGTCAATTGGTTTCGGATGAGCCGACTGTTGCTCTTCTGCTGTAGGCTTTTGCACCGAAATGACACCATCGCCTGTCTTGCTTACTTCCCAAGTGTGCTGATAGCGTTGGTCATAGTTTTCATAAATGCGCGAGGAAATAGTGGCTTGGGAATGCAGAAGATGCACAGCAGTGGTTGGACCTGTAAATCACAGAATGTGAGTTGTACTGGAATGGGACAAGTAAATTACTCATGGACTAACCGAAAATCCTACGATCTCCTTTCTGCGACTCGACCTGGGGAGATGACGTTGTTCTCCGCAATTCAGCCATCTTCTCCTTTTCCTTCTCTACACTGGCTGCTTCTTCCTCCAACTTTTTCTTTTTGAACCGCGTTTCAGTTATAGGAAGAACAAACGTGCATTCAAAGCCGTATTGTTTGCAATGTTGGCATACGTGAGGTTCCGTGTCCGGAAGAACATCACACCTGGAAAAACATGAGTATGGACAGACCCATGCCATCTACTGGGGAAAGTATGGAATGAAGAGGTGCGGGCGGATTGCAGGATACGATTTGAAAAGTGGACACGTACCTAATTTTTCGACTACGGCAGCTATCACATGCTCGTTGCGTTTTCGTGCGCTTCTTCATGTCAGCTGCAGCTGCAGCGCTAGCAGCAGTAGGAGTTGTCTGTACACGTGCTCCATCGTTCGCAGAGAGTCCTTCCTGATCTGAATCCTTCTCTACGGAGCTCTTCCCACGCACGTCTGTAGCAGATTTTCTCTTTCGCTTGCCAGTGGAAGTAGCGGAAGGTGTCGGGACTGGAGAGGGCGCATTTGAAGCCTGTGGAGCTTCTTGCACGGCTGGGGGAGCGCTTGTGCGGGGCGGCCCATACATCATCATCTGTTGAGGGTACTGAGGATAGGGTGCATAGCCATGGGGTGGTGGGGGATATGCTGTATGGTGCATTGGATAATACTGGTGTGGGTGACCTGGCATGCCTGGACCGCTAGCCCCGTTGACTGGAGCAGAGGGAGGATACGAGGACCCAGCGGTGTGCTGTGTGAACGGGGAGGGGTTCATGGGATAGTTGTGGTTCATAATGTGATATACTGGGCCAGGGTATGGCTGGAGGGGTAAAGCACGAGTAGGGGCCAGAGAAGGAGAGTCCTGCTGAGGCTGATCGGGTGGCTGGCGAGGAGCTGAGAGAGAAAGGGGACATTAGACGTGGCGACGAGGAGGAGAAAAGAAAAGAGAAATAAATGATAAAAAGGAGGAATATAATAAAGAACAGGAGCTCACCGGGCTGAGCGCCAGGATGGGAGACAGTGTTGTTGATTGTACGGCCTTGAGGACGGCGAGAAGCAGGAGGGTCGGCCGCGGTGCGGGTGTTTGTCGAGGCGGCCTGTTTCTTCTGCCGCGGTTTTCTGGAGGGCGGCTTTGAGGAGGAGGGAGGAATCGGCTGGGGCGGCAGCGGCTGGGAGTTGGACGGAGAGTTGGCTTTTGGGTCCCGGGGAGAAGGTTCCATAAGTTTTACACCAAGCCGGTTATAAATTTGCTTGCGAAAGGCTAGTCCGAAATCGCCGATTTTATGGCACTTATCTCGCAAAACGTGCAAACAGGGCTCTGCCATTCAATTGCACGCATATATCGTCAGCTTTCTCATACGCTGCTGGACAGAAACACACACCTGGCCTGTCTTCTTCGTGACGGTCGAGGGCAAAGTTGCTCGATGAGAACCGTTATGGCAGCCAATGCCGCACACCCCGTTTCAAACGCCGTCTGAATATTGATTCCGCGCAGAGAGGCCGACCATAGGGGGCGGCTACATCAGCACAAACGAGGGTCGTGCCTAGCATATTACGTGTGGATCAATAGGCGAGAATGAAGACTCAGATTGCCTTCAGCACGACACCGACACCGACACACGACACCAACACACGACACACGACACACGACACCTTCCCCCCGAGCTCGCAGGACTCGTTCTCTACCTTCGTCTATTTCTGTGTGCGAACATATCACCCGACATTTCTTCTCGATGCTGTGCGACAGCGAACACCTGCACGGTATCGAACATCCGACGGTATCCTAATCGGGTGATCTACGTACAAAATCCTCGCTGACTAATACTCTTCACTCACCAGACCGGTTCACCGCACTCGGCTGGGAATGTCCCTTCCCCAAAACAGGAACGTAAGAATCGAATGTGCTGAAAAACCATGAAATGGCGAACTACAGCGCTGGAAAGAACACTGCAGGACACTGCCAGCCTTGGCATTTATGTTCCCTTCTCTCTCATAACACTCATCTCTTTACCCACGCAGTCTACTTTTGCGTATACTGTTGATCCAAGTCGGTCCAAGCCTGTCAGCCTCACCGCATCCCTAGATATGATCCCAATGATATGATACAGTACTTCCATTCCCGATAATCCAATCGTACACGAGACACGTCACAGTGGAGCCACATGTATTTCTGATCGAACTATCGCGTCCTATTCTTGTGCCTAGCCAACAAGAGCTCACATCGCAATTGCCAGTACAACCAACTCATCCTCCCTCTGAATCCTCCATCCTCTCAAATCAATCATTCATCTAACCGCTCAAAAAAATTCAAATATTCCCTGTAACTTAGATTATATACATTATAACTTCCCAGATACCAGTCCGGCGTCACCACATTTCTCACCATCGCCTTCCTGTTGCCAACATTCCCTCCTATCTGACCCCACATGACGGGGGTTCTAACACTCCGCGGCCCTCTCAGTGTCATCGCCTTCCCACCCCAGTCCGAGCCCGACGGCCGCCTCCTCAAGACCGGGGTTCACCTGCCTTTTGTCAACCGTAGCAACACCTGATCCATCCAACCACGAAAACCCTGCTGGATGACACAATAATTCTGCAAGATTGTATCGCCAACTACCGTACGAGAAAGGATTGGGCGGTGCTACCCCAGGCACCAGCGTCTTGTGTGCTTGATTTCTTATCTAATTTCATAAGAAAAATTAGACCCTCATAAACAGTGGGGCGATTATTTTTAAGAAGACTAACCTGTTCAATGGTTGTAACGTTCAGAGACAGCAACTGTTTGTAAAAAAGATGGTTGTCAGTATTCAACGGTTGCCACTTGGATTTGGGTAAATGGACCGCACCCTAACGTGGTATCCCAGCAATGCAGTAACGGGCAAAATCACGACGATAGAGAGTATAAACACCACGGCGCTACCAGCACCAGTTCCTTTGCTCAGTGCCTCCTTGAAATCAACATGTTCTCTTCGAGTGACAAGGTATATGTGGATGGCAGCAGTGCATATGATGAGGGATAGCGTAATGACCTGTCGATCAGATCATAAATCACAAGCGCAATCACGAGCCGTTAAACTTATCAGAAAGTTGCTTACGGAAGAAAATAAAAAGACGAAGAAGGATGTGTAATTGCGTCGGCCGACACAATTGTTAACCCATTGGCAATGGTGATCGCACCCATCAACGCAGTTGTCGCACTGGGAAAAAAATCACATCAGTTTACATTACCTTACGAATGATATAGACCTACCATTTTGCAATGACTTGATCGCGGAGGTCGGTAAGTCTTACATGTCGCGCAATACTTTACACGAACTCTATTCCCTGATAAGTCGCAGCGTCTCGAGGATAGAGTATCAACTTACGTATCATTACGCACTTTCAAATCCCGAGGCAAGGGTGCTCGAACCCCACCGTCAGAAGGTGAAGTACTCGGAAGCGGTGGGTCAGGATCTAGATTCCGTGGAAGGATACCTGGATCACGAAATGCCTTACACAATTTGTTAGCCTACTAGCGCTCAATCTATAGACATCTACTTACCGTAGCAAACATGCTCGAAAGTGTTAATAGGCACATATATGCGCCTACAGCTGCAACAGCTGGACTTTCATTATGCCACCACCAGACACACGTTGTCCCGAACCACGCCCCTGAGATCCCAAAGGCCGCGATAAGCGAGGCGATGAACGCCCAGGGAGAGTCTCCTCCTGTGAGCAAGTGTCCTCCACAGAAAAAGGTGTTGCGTGAGGGGTGTTGCTTGTATCTCCGCGCGCGGGGGGAAAGAGGTACCTCCGAACATGAAGGCTCAGTTGGTGGTGCAGAAATAAAGACACGTTGACGTGTTTCTGACATAGCTGTCTGCGGACGGGATGGAGAGACAGACAGAGTCCGTGTCATCGGTGGAGAAGACGATGGCTTGTACTTCAGCTGTGACGGGAACACATCTTCCACAGTGGTCCTACCGTCGAACACGGTGTGACGCTCCTCCGTGGACGAAACCCTCACGTCAAGAGTATGGCCAGGACTACTACCCGATTTGCGAACAGAGTCGATACTCATGCCTCGAAATATGCGCTCGAGACTACTTCGAACCCGATGCCCTGCAGGGGGATTGGTGCTATGATGGCTATCGCTTCTAACGACGCTACGCTGAGAAGTATCACGCTGCAACGAAGGCCGCAAAGGTGCGATATTGACAACAACGTTCCGACTCGTCATTGGAAGGAGCGGCTCGCGACTACGTTTCATCCGCTTTGATAACTGGCGATGGAGGTCGCCCGTCGACGCAGGACCACCAACACTGCCAATATCGTCAGATTCGTGAGAGATTTGGTGTGTAAGTGGGGCGAGTTGGATTTGATCTGGCGCTGAGACGAAGGTGGGGAGTACCTCATTCACGGACATTTCGGAAGAGGTTCGATTGGGCCGCGAGGGGTGGAAAAAGGAGGCGGAGGGAAGGATACCTCCCGCATGCGTTGTACTAGGTATTGAAGGTATCTGAAATGTAGTCACGGTCGGTGGGGAAGATGTAGGATGTTCTCGAAAGGCGGTATGCGTCGAGATGCTCGGCTTGTGACCGCCAAACGTAGATGTAGAGCGTGCATGAGCATTCAACGCATTTGCAGGCTTTATTTCAGCGATGCCCGACCTATGCGAGCTTGTGCTGATGGCTTGCAGACGCTGAGCGGGAGTAGCGCTGAAGTTGGAGGAAGGTAAGGGTAGTTGGGCGGGTCTTTTCTTTTTCGCAGGCTGCGGAGACAAGGCAGACGATGGTGAAGATAATGAATGTGAGCTTTGAAACGAAGCCATGACAGATTGAGCGACAATAAAAACAATCTACAGTGGAAAAAAAGGGTAGTTTGGGTATACCGTAATGTGCTGTTCTGAGTATCCCCGAGGTCGATGTCCTCGCAAGGCCTATGCGCTGTCGAGTATAGCTAAGAACGATAATAGAGAGAGATAAATATCACTAGTAACGGGCTATTCGCTATTCGCAAGTGAGTTTTGTGCTTTTGAGTGATCCAAATTGCCCGCAGGCATGGGCACGGTTTCCTTGAGGTGTAACCGTAAACAGTTCAAAGGATGGAAAGCGTCCTCACCCAATAGTTCACACGATCATATGGTACTCGCGCCTTGACGGGGTTTTTATTACAACAAAGCATATCACACAGGCTGTACAGAACTGGTACAGGAACAGCACCACATCATCAACGGAGCAACAGGTACATAGGATCGAGGATGTGGTCGATAATAACTGACTGCACTACATGCGAAAAACACGAGTCCGCAGAGGGGTACGAAAAAAGACCGGCTTGGAATCCCCTCAAGGCCAGCATCGGAAACAATATGTTAGCGATCGGTGCATATGGAAGAAAACAAGCTAAGAAAAGTTTCGGTTTTAAAAGGACAGCTTCTGTTGTGCCATCAGTTAACCGGTGTGGGGTCGAAGTAATACCGGTTTCGAGAAGCATGTCTCGTACTCTGATAGGGACGACAGAGTCCCTAAGTTTGAACCGGTGTATTAGTTTACGAGGTCGTCGGGCAGTAAAGGGGATCGAGCGAGAAAAAGAAGTAAAGGGGGAAGCGTGCGTTTTCAATAGCTTCCGTCAATAGGGTGAGTAGATCCTGTAATGTCCGACCGTGTGCTGTGGACTTCAATGAAACCGAGACGCAAGTACTACATGGCTACACGCGCAGCACAAAGACTTCGGAAGGTGGCACACCAGAAGCCGTTCGTGATTCGTCGATATTTCCGATACAAGAGCACTGAGGATTTTGGAGTATGTGGCGGCGGAAGTGACGAAACTGATAACCAAAGCCAGGAATATCTTGATGTGTTTCGGATAAAATTTGCACTGATTCAATTCTTGTCTTCTAAGTCGGGCACCCGGCGTTCACGAAGGGAAGTCGGCACCACAAAGCACAGCATGGGAATCATAACCAGCGGGGACAGGAGTATTTGTTCCGTACGGGATCATAGACGGAAGCAGGTACGGTGGGTAAGTTTCTAGAATGTTTGATGGGCCAATTGGGGGTACATGGAAGGTGACCTGGAACGGTAAAGAATCCCATACACAGCGGCTAAGCAAGTTCACTTACAAGAGTCACCTTGTCTTCGATGCCGACTCTTGCGCCAAGACTTGCAATGCACTGGTTGAAATGTCTATACATGATTTGTCGAATCAACTTTTCCAACATGGTGGAGGTAACAGTACTAGAGGGCTGCCATAACTCGAAAATTCCATAGTGAAGAAATGCACTAGCAAGATATCAGTTCTTCGTGCCTTGATGTTCTTGAGAGCTTCCTGGTATGAGAGCATGTCTTATGAGTAATTGAGTGAAAGTTCGCCAGCATATTCATGCACGACAAGTGCCAGTGACAAGAAAGAAAGCGCTGTCGGAAATTGCCGAGTGCAACCGACGCTATGGTGAAGTGGCGGCACTGGATAAAAGTTCCCACGGTGCATGTAATCCACCGCCATAACGAGGTCAACGTTCGCAATGACAGACTCATCCGCAGACTTCACTTAACGTTTGACATTCCCAAATGTCGCCCATCTCCAGTGAAGGCATAAAGAAATCGTTACTCATAGCAACTCTCCCCAGCCTCGATGCACCACATTTCCTTGCACCCGTGATAGCATCAGCTGCAACGGTGACGAGCCAGCGTCTGGTTATTGTTCTACTTTCACCAGCCTTTGACCTGCATCGTGTTGTGAATAGGAAGGAAACTAAGGACACAGAACAGGCATTGGAAATCTCCCGCACAGAAAAGTGGGATGCGGTGCAGAGGCTATTGACATTTGTATATGTTCAGGCAACCAAAGTAGCTCAGGACCTGGGCAAAGTTCTGATGGATATCGACGTACTTCTTCATGACCCCAAAGATACTCTTCCAGGACATGTAGCAGACAGAGTGGATGTGGTTTTTCGAGTCGAGGGAGGTGAGTTGTTTCGGAGTTTTGTGGCTATTGAGATAACATATCCCACTGCCTTCATTGATTAAACCAGACAATGTTTTCACCGTTCTCCCACAAACACTAAGTTCAGTGAGAGAACAGTGGATAGCCCCTGCTGAAGAAGTGGTAACGCGACCCGAGATACCTGCCTCCACTACATCCCTTCAACCGTCCTATCGTGTAGTAGCTCTCGGGGGAACGTTTGATCATCTACATGCAGGACACAAGATTCTTCTGAGCATGGCTGCATGGATCGCAAACGAAAAAGTCATCGTCGGTGTTACTGGTATGACTTGCCTTCTTTTCGTTCCTGGTTGCTCTAATAAGCCTTCAGACGACGTTCTCTTGAAGAACAAGGCTAACAAGCATGTTCTTGAAGATTTGTCGACACGGATAGAAAGAACTCGTGCATTCATGAAGCTTTTTCGATCTGACCTCGAGTATGACTTTGTACCCATACGAGACGTGTATGGTCCAACCGGATGGGATGCAAACATTCAGGCTTTAGTCGTCAGTAAGGAGACCCTATCCGGCGCCGCTTCCAGTAAGGACTGTGATATGTTTTGGACTTGATTGTTTCTGATTTGGTATCTGTCCTCCTGCAGTTGCCAAAGAACGTGCTTCCAAATCCTTGCCCTCGCTACAGACCTTCGTGATCGATGTAATTTCATCGAAGTCAGAGAAACTCGATCATGAGGATGTCGAGCTATTGAAACAGGCAAAGATGAGCAGTACGTTTATTAGGGAGTGGATCGTGAAGAATCAAGAGTCCGATCCCGCAAAGAGAGACTGAATCTTTTTCTAGTCTCACCGAAAGAAATTAAATGTGTACGTTGCAAAAGCAGGTGTCTCCGATCGTCGACAGTTGACAAGTCTAGGGCTGTGTTGTATGTATATGGACTGGTGATAGATCGCAACCTGTGTGTTTATCAGATAAAATATGTAGACTGTAGACTTCATATGTTCGGGTCCGATCACGTTCCGATTACCGAGCACTGCGTCGCGGTAACTTGACATATACGGCAACCTTGTCCTCCTCCCGCAGTTGAACCAGCTGAGGGAAATAAGTAAATCACCGAAATCGCAGCTCCAGCTGATGCCTACAGGATCTGCAACAGAATGTTATCTCTGCATTTCATAACATTCACTTCATTTTTGCTCGCAGCAAGTGTCCTGGGATCAGAGACCACACCATCAAATACGCCCGCAAGCACAACTCTCACATTTAACCCGCTTCTCCAGTATCATATCACCCAAGATAGGCACACGCAGCACCTGTTGGCGGGAGATTACAACAGTGCAATAGATCGTGATACACCACCCACATATACACTCAAAGCTCGTCCAACGACTGTTTACCGCCCATCTTCGTTCGAAGCCGTCGAGAAAGCACGCTTGAGATCTCTTCATCATGCACAGAGTGAACCGGTAGAATGGGTCGAGCAGGTCGTGCACGGCCCTGATATAGAAGATAGACATACACTTGTACAACTTGCTCGCATGGCTGGGGATGCGTATCAGCTCCCAGGACGGAAGAACTGGTACGATATCGACCCTTCATGGAACATCAACGCTGTAATGTACCCCGTTATTTTGTTCTTCTAACCTCCTCTCACAACCTTAGCTGTTCTTTCGTGTAGAGTTTTCCTTTTGGATGGGAAGACGATGAGGACGGGTTCCGTGGATTCGTCTTTCGCTCGCACGACAACGACACGATTGTACTTTCTATCAAGGGCACGACGCTCCAGGGCCCGACATCGAAGAAAGACAAGTACAACGACAACCTTCTCTTCTCCTGCTGCTGTGCGCGCGTCGACTTCACCTGGATCTTTTCCACCGTTTGTGACTGCTACTCTAGCAGCTGGCGCTGCGACGACACCTGTCTCTCGGACGCACTGATCCAAGACAGCCTATTCTATTCTACCGGCGTTGTGAGTTATACTTAACCTTTTCTTTCCTGATACAAGATAGCCAAAGTACTGACTTCTCTTTTTTATCGCCGAGAGGACCTAGTGTATAACCTAACGTCACTATATCCCTCCGCCAACGTCTGGCTTGTCGGCCACTCCCTCGGCGGGGCCATCGCGTCCCTTCTCGGATCCACCTTCGGCTTACCGGCAGTCGCCTTCGAGTCCCCAGGCGAGCGGCTCGCAGCAAAACGTCTCCACCTCCCCTTACCTCCAGGCCCACCGCCTCGTTCGCTGCACCCCGAAGACGGCAACACCAACGCCCTCCCCCGCGTCCCCGTCACCCACGTCTACCACAACGCCGACCCGATCCCCCAGGGCGCGTGCACGGGGATCCTCTCGCCCTGCGCACAAGCGGGCTACGCACTCGAGACGCACTGTCATCTCGGGCGGAGTATCGTATACGACACCGTTGGACGGCTCGGCTGGCGTGTGGATGTGCGGAAACATGTGATCAAGGAGATGATTCTCAATGTGCTTGAGGTGGAGGGACAGTGGCCGGATGACGAGGAGGGAAAGGAGAGAGAAGTGCCAAGGGCAAAGGAGGAGCTAGATTGTGTTGTAAGTCTCCAGAGTGTCGTTTGAGCGGTGCTTAACGTGAGTGTGATGCTGACGATGAAATCATGATTCTAGGACTGCTTCAAATGGGAATTTGGAGATTTCAAAGACGCTGTATTACTAAACTGACTTGTCCCCATATTTATCATTATCACTGTACCTCTGCATACCGCTCGAATCTGTGTATATTGTGTATATTGTCTAATAGATCATCCCTTTTAGTGTTACAACATGAATACAAGCAATGGTCCACTGAGGTATACTTCCGACTTGAGCTACAACCGTTTTGTGTACGTTAGTATACAATGAAGAGTACGTTTGACTCTTAAAAATATTGAACACTTCGCCTCTCTGCTCCCCTACTTCTCCTTGAACTCCCGGCCACCAACAATACTTCCTTGCACATACACCCTCTTGATATTCCTATCATCACCACAGAACAAGAACTGCTCCAACCAGCTCCTAAGCACGTCCTCCATCGAGTTAGCCTGCGTCGTCAGGCCCGAGTCAACGCCCTCGTCCCTGACACGGTTGATCCCCCAAAGCCCTGGATTGCCAGTGTCGTCCTGGACACTGACAACGAGCGCATCAAACCCTTTACCCTTCTCGAACGACCCTACGCGGTCCTGGATGGAACAGACGTGCGCGCCACCAAGCGTGGCGAGGTACAGCAGCGTTGGGATGGACAGTTGCTTGTTGGTGAATTGTGTGTTGGGATGAGCGGGGTGATGGGAGTGATGGTGGTGGTGGTGACCGTGGTCGTGGCTATGTCCGTGAGCGTGATCTTGCCCGTGCTCATGATGACATTTGCTTTCTTCCTCCTTGGCTCGGATAGCAAGTACCTTGGAAGCGATGCTGGCTTGTTGGATAACATTGAGCATCGAAGGGGAATAACCACCCGACACGTCCGTCCCAAATCCAACCTTTTAAATATGATGAACACCTCATCAGCCCAGGTCCAAACAAAAAAACAACACAAAACCAAAATACAAAAATAAAACGCACCTTAACACCATGATCAAGCCACTCCCCCACCTTCGCCACACCGCTGTTCAGATTAAAGTTGCTAACCGGACAATGGCTGACCCCCGCCTCCCTCTTCACAATCAGCTCCACCTCGTCCAGCGTCAGATGCACGCCATGCCCCAGGATCGTGTTCCCGCGCAGCAGGTCGAACTCGTCGTACACCTCCGCATACGCCATCCCGAACCTTTTGTACACCTCCTCGACCTCCTTGGGGTTTTCGGAGATGTGGGTCTGGATAGGGAGGTTGGGGTGTGCGTTTGCGTACTCGCAGAGCTTGTGGAGGAGCTCGTCTGAGCAGGAGAGGGCGAAGCGCGGGGTGAGGATTGGGCGGAGGAGTTCTTCGCCCGAGGGAGATGGGCCGAGAGCTTTGATGTGCTCGAATAGGGCTTTGGTGGTCTCCATCGATTCGTTCGCGGAGGGCTCGATGTAGTACGTGGCACAGTCCTTATCCATGTTACATTTCTATTGGGGTTGAGCGGTGATAGATAGTTCATCAGGAGCAAGACGAAGATATAGCTAATATGTTCACCTACCCCTACGAAGGCGCGCTGTCCTAGTGAAAGGAATAAAATACATTTAATATACCGCTAAAATAACATCAATGAGAAAAAATAAATAAATAAACTTGCCTTTCTCATGAATGACGTCTGCCAGTACTTTGGTAGCATCCAGATGCAAAGAGCCGTAATAACAGCATGTTGTAGTCTGTAAAATAGTAGAGCTCAAGCATGCAGATGATCGAATTTTACAGTTAGCCTTACACCACAATCCAGCACACGCCGGACTACATCGGGATAAGCACGACGTGCAAAATTTGTGTCCTTGAATTTCGCTTCCCCAGGGAAAGTGACGCTGGTGAGCCACGTCAGGAGCTCCATATCGGATCCACTGTACGGCAGGAGATCAGATAATGACGCAAGTGAGAAACAACAAACGTACGTTCCCAAGACAGGATATTGAGGCGCATGCTATCAACCAATTGTGTATTAGCCATCATTTCAACGGCAGATGGGTAAGAGAAATGCGACGTACGGTGTGGGTATCGATGAAGCCCGGAATGATAAATTCTCCGGCTCCCAAGAGTACGACGTCGAAGTCTTTACAGCCTTTGTTAAGCACACTTTCGTGTATGGAACTTGAATCGAGTGAGCTTTCGAGTTGGTCCACCCATTCTATGTTTCCTGTGGCTGAAACGGCGATCAAGCAGTTTGGGATAGTGTCAAAGTGTGTCAGTGATTTTGGGTTAAAAACTGGGCCATAGTACACGGTAAGACGGGGTGTCATTCTGTTTAGATCTTATAGATGATTTCAAGTCACGGTGTTTTCTTGGAAATGATATCTGGTGAAACACGGATGATGAAATAGATCTGGGTGTGAAAATGTATATTCGATGTCTGTTAAAATAATCTAACCTGGAATAAAACAATCAAGTGGATGTGAATGTCGATAGCCTGCAGATGCAAAGATGATAGTTCTGTAGCAGAATGACATGACTGTACTTGCTTATGTAGTTAATCTTTCCTATCCAAACTCCGATCCAAGGTTCCAATCGTGCTGTCGCTCACCGAACATGACGGATCCGAGCAAGCTTGCGAGCAGCGTTGAGCACATATAACCACGAGGAAATTATACGAATATAAATATGATTGTCCTTTGCTCGTGGTGCCAGTGTGAGATTTTCGCATGAGTGCAGATGTCGATATCAGCGCTGTGATCATCGATATATGGTCGCATGCTCTGGTCGGAGTAGATGGCGGTCCGAGACGTCAATAACAAGACCATTAAGGGCGTTAGCGAGAACAGGCACTGGGCATGGTCAGGCGGGAGTAAAGATATCTGCCTTTGCCATATCTAATCTCTATGCTGCATAACGTTAGATTCAATGTCGAGCACAGTCAGTGTGATCTGATTGTTGCACACCTGTCCTCAGTTTTATATTATGAGCGCTAGATAGTGTGCACCTCCCGACAGACGCCATCATTCTCGCGTCTTTACGCGTTTTCACAATGCCACATGCCGTTGGGATGAATACAATACAAAGCTACGCGCTTTTACGCTGGCGGCGATGATTCTATCACGATGGCTATCCACCCAACCAGCCACATGCAATTATCCCCAGGCTCGGACTGGGCAAGTACCTGAAATGACAAGGGCCGTGTGGTGGCTGATCTCCTGCAAGATTCATATGACACTGCAGCGCCATATCTTGGAGAAATATCGCTTATGATCATCTGACAGACCAGAAGGACGAGAGCGCAGCAAGGTGGGACCATGGCTGGGCTGAAACCATGGGTGAAGCACGAGAGGCAGTCTCACCAATGGACGGTCTCACGAATCACTTGACGATTGGCTATCTCGATCACAAATGATTGGTACCGCAGATTGACGTACGGGTTCAATATTACTCCAAGGGCAGATGAGCCAGAGAACGCGGGAAAAGTCAGACGAGAATAATATGCGGACCTGTGCAGGAGCGCCATTGCATAATTGTACATGTGTGCAGCTGGAGTGGTTCATCTGATGGGGGGGCTTCGTTTCTAGAGAGATTGTACGTAGATGATAAGGGGACTGGATGCGAAATTGGATAGCTTGTTATGAGCAAGAGGCCCTGGAAGTGTGGCTGGAATGACAGGGAAATGATGGCGGTGAGGTGAATAGAGCACGTCTTTTGCTAAGGAAGATGTGGAGACAGTAGTCAAGTGTGTAATGCCGGGGTTGATCCCAGAGAAAAGGCTGCGGTGATAGCGAATAAAATAACTACAAGGCCTGGAGGGTATATTATTCTTGTTCAGATCAGAGTGATATGATTTTCCGGTCCTCCACGGACGCCCACGTCTGGAGAAGTATGTATAGGTGTGGTAAGTAATGAGAACTCGAATAGTACAACGTTGTCAGGAGACAGCATGGGTGAAAGCCACCCGCTGAGAACAGGGCGGCTGCACTCGCTCGCTCGGGTGTCCGGTGTTCTTGCTGTCTGTGCTAGGAGAGACAGATAGGACAGCTAGATCCACAGAACTGTGCTAAGGTTATGTTATGTTATGTGAAACGAGGGATGCGGAGAATCGATAAGAGTGCCTTGATGGATGTTCTGTCTGACTTTCCTTGGTATTTCACGACACCATTTCACCCAGTCACATCCGATCTCTCCATTTAATTATTTATTCCATATTTCTCTTTCCCACCCTCTCTCTTATCCTCTTCAAAGCACTGCGCTAGGCAGCTGCTCGTCGTCCTCACAAATGCCCTCCCTTCGCCGTTCCTTCTCTTCCCCCTCTGTTCGTTCGTCGCCCTATCCTCCACCAGTCTCTGCTGCGAGCACCCGCACCCGCCCTCACGGCCATCGTCGCTCATCGGGCTCAGAGACGTCCACCCGCAGGGTGCTCGCCGACATCGAGTGGTGGCGGGTGGCAGACGGCCAGCTCGACCTCGACGCTCCTCACGGACAGGAGGACCACCCCCAGGACGATGCACAGAACCACGACTCCGTCACTCTCGCTGACGACGTCAACGTCCCAGATTTCTCTGCTGGTGGAGGCCCAGATCTCCCGCAGACACCACTGATGTGGTCTCTGCACACTTTTGACATCTCACGCTCACAAGAGGTTTGTCCTTCTCACGCTACCACTCACCAATACCAGTGCTCATGTCTGTGTCTTCAGTATGCCTTGCCTACCACTCAGTTCGCAGCCTTGTCTATTGCACCTCGCAGTCCTACAAGGCGGCGCCATGGCCGGGATTCTTCCTTCTCTTCTCTGGAATCTACTCCAGAGGCATCAGAGACCCCCCTCGAGGCTATTCGTCTTAGCGTGCTCGATTCCCCATTAGCCTTCACCCATGTCGGTGTTCCATTCGCTCACCCCCCATCCCCTCTCTTGCGCCCCACCATCAGAGCAGCGCCTGCCCTGTCCTCAACCCGCTCCCAGTCTTTCGGTGGCTTCGACCACTTCGCCGATCTCGGAAGCTCGTTCTCTCTCGACGATCATCTTTTTCGCTAAAGATGTCGCCCAATCTTATCTTCATCTACATTCCTGGGGTCACAAGACCATCTCATGTTTGTTTCCATCCATCAAAAACGACGTCGCACCCCCCTTCACTTGAAGCTGCGCTCGGGCAACAAGCACAATCTACCATCACGCGCGACCTTGTCCATGACCGATCCATTGCTCGGTCATCACTCCATCAACCAATCCTCTCTGTTCATAAATCCAATTTGTTCTACCCATTTATCCATTTATATTCATTTCCAAAAAAAATATTCTCACCTGCAATTTACCTGGTTTCTTGCATATCCATATTCTTTGTTTATTCAACGCATTTCTTTCTCTAACGATTTCTAATACGACAGTCACGCGTATATCTTTGAAGAAAATGGTCTTCATCTACAGATTCAGGCTTTTACTTTACAAGACCTTAAGCTTCGCTGGTTCTTTGGTGTTGGTTTCCTTCACGCCTATCTGACGCCTCTTCACGCCCGTGCATATATTTTGTTTATATCATTGTCCATTACACCTTTTTCTTCTTCTTTTTCCTCCCCCCGTCTTATTCTTGTTTCTTTCACTCCATATGTTCTCCCTCAAACCTCACTTTCTCCAAAAGAGTTCCGGTATAGTTAGTGTAATTCCTCATCATTCTCTGTAACGACTAGACATGCATATACTCTTCCTCTGCTTTCTTCCACCTTGCTCTCAAAAGCGCTTTCTCGCTCACGACACTCGCCACGACGCCTTTACGAAGTCTTGTTGTTCTTGGTCCCCTTCTTCACGTACAGTTCTGTCTCAGTATTGTACGCCATAAATTGTTTTTTTTTGAAATACATTTTGGTTTTTGATAACGAAAGAGAACACCGAGAGGAAGGCTCATCACTAGTTCGTTTCCAGGAACTATCGGTTTCTAGATTCTTAATAGCTCCTACGTAGTAAGTAACACAGCATGAGACACCGTAAAGCTAATTATCACAATCCACTATCTTCAGCGGTTCCATTTCGCTCCATCACTCGAGCCACCCGATGTGAGTGCATCCGGGTGCAGAAAACTATTAGGAGACTGATACCGGTGATTCAGAAGACGAGCAAGACCCGCAAAGCCCGACTGACCACATTATCAAGGAGAAATTTCACCGATTTGCACAGCGGAAGATGCGAGAACGAGATACGCGACGCGGCCGGATGACGAGTGGGTGCGCAGCCACCAAGGGGGTTGTACAAAGAGAGTGGGATAAGTGCATATGGCAAGGTGGAAAGCGATTACCATGATTACTATAGGCATAGGCGAGACACGGCGGGCAGTCGCTTGGAAGCTAGCTCGCGAAGTAGACGTTGAATCATTAGAGCGAAACTTGTATGTAGGCTGGTGGATGGGTGACGCAATGAGGAAAGGAAGCGATGAGGATCTAACGATACATTCCAGCTACCATTGACGGACCGGCAACTCTGCTCCAACGTGATGTAGCAATGGGACCATATCGGAGGCTGACTTCAGGTGGTGGTGGATGTACAACCGGTCCGGAGTGCGATGGGCGGGGATGTGCAGAGTCCGTGACAGGTGAACGAAATGCAGAAGGCCCTCGCGACGGTGGGGCAGCTGCAGGAGTTGGTTGTTGAGGTTGAGCAAGTCTTGCTTTCCAGGCGCTGCGAATGGAATTCGACCGCACAAGAAGCTATCGGGTCGGCAAGTCAGGTTTGTTTTGACAGTGAAGCACAATTTTCAGCTCGAGGCTTACAGTTTCTTTCTCGACGCCATCAAGGATACTCTGAATGATATTTTCCACCACAGTGCGATAATTCCCGTTTTGCTTGTCATCTCGGAACCGCATAAGTCGCCAGCGAGATATGTCCGGATTCCAGTGCACCTCCACTATTCGATCATCAAACTGTTCTTCTGACAGTTTCATCCTGTTTAGTGCGGGCGGAGTGAAAATCAGCTATCTTTAGAAGAAGGAAAAGGAAACCGAGGAAGCGAAAAACTGACTTTTCCCATTCTTCATCTTCTACATATAGTTCGTCGTACGGCTCGTATTTGGGCGTACCGCGTTCGTCGCCACAATATATTTGCAAGCCAAAAAAAGGTTTTGAACGGTAGTCCGGTTTGTTAGGATTTGAACTCAATGGTGGGAAACGGAGAACCAGTTTAAAGTCAATGGAGTTTTCTGATGGGGGCTTCCATTTGAGTCTTGATAAAAAAAGAAAAATAAGGTTTAAATAGACAAAATATACGCTAAGTAGTTACTCACACATTCTCATCAGTACCGGCTTTATAGGGAGCATTAACGCATGTGTAGATCAGACCGTCGTTGCCGTGTTGGAGTGCGGGAATGTCGACGTTGAATATTTTCTCTATACCGTAAGAGGCATTAATTTCTTTCACTTTGATCCTAGAAAATTGATTGAGTATGAGGGGAAGCATTGGAGAGTTTGATGCGTACTCGAAGGGCTGACGAGCAGCCATATGAGGAAGATCAACTATCATCTTAGAGTACGGCTTGTAGAAGTAGTCTTTCAATCTCTGAATCGAACATTAGCCTACTTTATTTCGTTCTTTCACGGGAGGTATAACGTACTCCATAGCGTTTGTCAAGTGGTCTGGACATGACGTTCTGCTCGTCAACTACGAGGCAATCAAAGGCTAAAAATCGAAGGGTTTCCTGAGGGTAGCGTCAAGTTTTGAGTTAACACCATAGCATAGATATGGATATACGAACCTTTGCGGTGCGGGGGTCAGTGTCAATGACTAGTTCGCCATCCACTAAAGTATCTTTTAGGGGACCTCTGGGATCTGCGTGATGGGGGAAAAAGAATCCCGCCAGTTCGTAGTAGATGTTGCGCCTGTCGATCTTTTGGGCAGTCTATAAGCGGACAGTATCGGAAGCAACGAGAGTGCATACCAAGTAGATAGTCTGTGTATTTGACGAAAGGTCCGTTTGGACGAGAAATAATACACGCACACCATCGGATTTCTCGCAAACCCAGTAGCTGGGGGGAACACATGTCAAGGGTTACTTTCCGCCTGGCTTTGACGCCACTCACTCTTGCGCCTCCAGCTTTCCAAGATCTTTCATTCCAAAACTCACAGGCTGGCTGCCAGGAAACCTTAAAGGCCATAAAGGGCATTAATATGGGTGCAGTCTAATCAGTAAAAGGCCAGGAACGCACCGATCATGATCAAGCCCAAGTCCACAAAGCCTTGCCACATGACTTTTGAGCCATAACTCCTGCTCAGAATGGCGCTGAACGGGTTTTCCTGGTATATCGGGAACTCGTGGCATGTAATGAGGAGAATTCGTATGCTAGGATGGGATAATTCAAGCCAGGGCTTGCATGCTACAGCACTAGGACGCTTTATTAGGATTTCAGTCGTATGGTAGTGTTCTACCTTGGAAAAGCAGTAGGTCACGGCATCACAAAGGGCGATTATGTAATCGCAAGCGCTTGAGACTTCTGTGGGTCCAGGCTTGCAGCGCTCATATTTAGCGCTTAGCTCATTCAGCAACTCACTTCTTTGCTGAATCAAGGGTTCATGTGCTGTACATTGATTTATTAATCATTTGGCATGGGACGAAGGGACAATTGGTGTCGTGAAGATTACACAATGAAAAAGAAAAATTCTGATAACAAACACAACGCCAACGTGTGGCGGAATAGCAGAGTGATACTGATATAGTCACGGTCTACGACATAAATTCTTCACCGATCTTCAGCCCATTCCTGTATAAAGGGAGCTGTGAGTACAAATACCACCAATGGCACAGCCCAGACTTACGTTTTCCTTCTTGATTTGTGCCTGGTTTCGATAAAGTGAGTCAGAGCGATAGAAGGCTGAATAGATACAACTTACCTCCTCCTCAGGTGTGAAATCGTTGACGATGTTGAACAATTTTCGAATCTCTTCTGGAGTCTTACCCTTGATCATGTTTGCAACAGTCTTGCAACCAACATCGCTGAGACAATATGAGTAAAGGGGGATTGTGTAGTAGGTTAGGATAACTCACAGCAATGACTTAATGTCAAGATAGTTAGCTGCCAGGATAATTTCGAATAGCATCTCCTGATCAACAGTGATGAATTTCTGGTCCCATTCGCTGATGTCTGTTGTTCGCTTGCGAGTCTCGTCCTGGTTTTGATCAGCATCTGCACTTGGAAGAGGTTCGCCACGATGGTGCTCGCAGTACTCCAAAACCTAGGAGATCGATAGATATGTCAGAGAGGAGGCGGGGGGTGGCATGGAGCTGCGGGACAGTGAATAAAGTACCTTCTTCAGCACGCTGGACGACACGTTGGGCAAAGGGATTGGCTGATCGCTTTCGCCAACATCTATGAGAAAGGTCAATAAAGCCAGAGCAAGCGTCTCGAGACAAGACAATCACCTTCAAGCATGTTTTTAATCAGCACGCTGCGCTCGACAACCTCTTTCTCGGCATGGAATTGCTCGTTATCGGAGGTGACGAGATTGACCATGTTTGAGATGCGATAAGGGCTATACAGCAAATGTAAGGTTGGTTGGATGGGTGGCACTAGGGGGAAATGCTCTGTTAAAAGCGAGGGAGACCGCTCAAGTTTTGTGCGGTGAGGCGTGGCCCAAGCTGACTCACGGCGATAACGGCCTGTGGCGCCGTTCAGTTTTGTTCCGCTTATACAACCAGCAAGACTGGTCAGTGCATAATACACTAATACCATGTCTTTCTTTTCCCGTTGCATAGAGGCTGCAAAAAGTCCTTTCTCAGCGCTTGGTACGGTTTCTCTGGTCCATTTTTCTTGTCTTTTGGGTCATAGCTCACACTTTTCAAGGGTCCGTGCGTACCGCTACAAAGCGGGCTGGGGGTACAGTACGCAATCACGGTGGTTCACCTGGAAAACGTCTAGGTGTCAAGAAGTTCTCAGGCAAGTCACAATAAACACTTTGTTCAGCATAACAAAGCTCAATTCATTTTTCAGACCAGTATGTCATTCCAGGCAATATAATTGTCCGCCAGCGTGGTACACAGTTCCATCCGGGTCAAAACGTACTTGTTTAACAACAGCGCACAAGGCATATACTCACAACTATCTTTTGTTAGGTGAAAATTGGTCGCGACCATACAATATATGCAGTCACTCCGGGCTTCGTGCGCTTCTACCGCGAAAAATGGTTGCGTGGTCACCGCAAGTTCGTCGGTGTGGTCTTGAACAGAGGAGAAACGCTACCTAGAGATGAGCTAGCCCTGGGACGCAGTCGTCACCTCGGTCTCGTCGATCTGAACGCTGTTGCGAAGAGCAACAAGCCAATACAAGCATCTGTCTAGTCTGTCGGTCTCTGTAAAACCCCCCGCATCGACCCCGCTCTTGTTCACCGGCTATGGGGCGGATCCCAGGTTCCCAGCACTTGCTGGAACCACCGGACCTTGTAAAGTTGCATTATCTGTGCTTTCGCACAGGACATCGAAAGAACTTTACTACGGCCTGATGGTAGACATCTATATTATTTTTAGTTGTAAATGGAACCACTGGGATTACTGAGTGCCATTTTGAACGTCCTTCATTCCCGCCACTTGTCTATTATACTATCATCCCAAATATGTCGTATAAGCTCACTATTACTCCTGTAAGACCTGCTGGTAAGTAAACAACCTACAAATGTGGCCTCTTAGGCGGGCCTTTTGAAACTGAGCCTCGCGTAACAAAGACATCCCATCGGAAGAGACCATCCTTGCTCTCGCCAACGAGCTCATCGAATCGACGAAAACATGGAAGAAGGGCAAATCCTTCGCGAAGGACACCGTTCAGACGTATTCCCGCCCGAAAGGTCCTGGCGACGGAGCGAACTGGCATTGCAGACTGAGCGAGCATACATCAGAAGATGCAACCTTTGACGAATTTTGGAGCAAACTAGGCCAGAATAAGGCTCAGAACGAGAAAGAGTGGGTCGTCTGGATGCTTTCATGAAGCATAATATTAATTGAGATCCCAAAGGTTCATTGATCAGATCAAGAAAATAGCTGAAGTGAAACAGATTTCTCCTACACAGTCTATTTGGACACTGTACTACACTTTCCCTCCGCCGGTCTCCCCACGAATCTTCACAGTCTTGCAAACCACCTATGTGAGCCAGTCGTCTCCAAAGACTGGGTGGGTTCTCCCAGTTCATTCTCTTCGTCGGGTCTTGACGTATTGCATACTACAGACTCATTGTCTCCATACCCATGGACTTGTCTGGTCCTGGGGATGAAGAGCTTGCTAAGATCGAGGAAAAGGGCACGAAAGGACGATATGTATCAGTTGAACGTCTCTTGGAGCTCGAGAACGGCAAAGTAGAATGGCGTATGGCTACATCTAGCTCCCCAGGAGGCAACATTCCCCAATTCATCGCCGAATCAAGTATGCCTGGCCAGATATCAGCGGTCAGTCCATGTGCTGCCAATAAGTTCATCCAACATATTGATTTTTGTCCTTGCCTTAGGATGTTCCGCACTTCCTCAAATGGTTCCACACCGTTCGTGACAAAGCCGCGCAGGCTTAGAGTGTCAAAGAAATGGTACTCAGAATATGTGATAATTAGAGACAGTTATGGTGAACAGTAGACAGGTTTGTATGATTACACTTCCAAGGATATGAATGAATCGGACGTATGGACAATACGGATGTACAACACCAATCTACGCCAGTTCCAGGTATCGTTCGACTGATATAGTGTCAGGTGAGACGGAGAAAACAAAAGGTTAGTACATACCTTCCCAGTTGGTGACTGCTTCGTTCCACGTCTTCACTTCGTGTTCCCTTGTGCCACCGAAATGCTCTACAAAGTCATCCCCAAAAACTTGTTCATCGCGAGCGATGCTGTCAGCTCTCATCATTCTCCTCGTAGCCTCCTCTAAAGAAGTGGGCAGCATGGCAATCTGGGTATACAGAGCAAGTTAAAAATGGCCAGCCACTCAGTTACGACTATGTTTATAGCTGTGCTATTTTCATACCTTGCCCTTCTTCTTATCCTCTGGCGTGAAGTGACTGAGGGGTGGTCCCGGTAATTTCATCTTCTTTTCAATTCCTCTCAGTCCCAGTAAGAAAATAGCGCTAAGCGCAAAATATGGGTTCATGTCGGCTCCAGGAACCCTCACTTCGAATCTAGTTGCTGTAGGAGGAACAGACGGGGGAGAAATAATGCGAACAGATGCTGCACGAGAATCATAGCCATATGTTATTGCATTTGGGGCCCAGTATGCCTCTCCGCCCACCAGACGTTTGTAGCCATTGATCGTCGGGACAAGCTGTCAATCATCAGGTCTCGTGAATTATCAACGATATGGAGAATAACTACCATCGGCATGACTATATGTACGCTTGTGTAAGAGTCATGCTGGTCGCAGATGCTGATATATATGACGCACCATCGGCTATACCGTCCAATATTCCAGCAAGAAACCATTCCGCCTCTTGACTGATGAATTCAGTGTCTTTGTATGCAGCACCACTTCTGCCTGTCTTCAGTTCAGCACCGGATACAGCGAAAGCATTGCGTCCTGAAGCGTCTCGCAATGATACATGCACATGTCTATACATGGAACGAATAAGTATGAAATTGTGTCTATGAGCATCCTAGATAAAACATACCCGCTACAGCCTGGAAGCTACCAATGACGTCGTTAGCATATGCCGGAACGTTGTATACACATACTGACATTTCCCCAAGGTTTAGCCATAAAACTTGGTATGACTCCTCGTCGCATACCGATGCTCTTTGCCAGGAACTTGAATAGTATGGCATTATCAGCCATCCTTAGCGCAGACGTGTACGCCAACGCGGTCTCATAAACGCCTGGGCCTGTTTCAGTGTCTGCAAGTGTTGTCTGGTCAGGGAATTGTATAAATTATTATAAGATAAAGGCACCATACGATGTCCTTCTATGTCCACTCCGAACTTAGCGCCTTCGTCAAACAGCTCATGGAAATACTCGTTATTCAACTGTGTGCGGAGCAGTGAGTACCCGTGCACTGTGAACCTAGCTGTCAGCACGAATGAATAAATGCGTCATGTACCGACGCTTACTGCCGGGTGTCAGTGGTTGCAGGTCCGTGAACTTCTTTTCAGCCGCCGAACCTGGAGTCTCTGGATGGAAATGTCAAGCGTCAAGAGATCGTCTGCGTTTTACGGGTAGCAGTACCTTTGAAGTTGAAGTACTAGTCAAGAGATATCAAAGGGGTTTTAATGATGTATACATGTTTCTAACCTCATATTCGGCACCTGCGATACATTTCAAACCTACGGCTTTCGCCTTTTCTGTGGCTCTCCTCAAGACACTTCGCGGGTCCACACAGAGTGGCTGTTTGGTTTCCGGGTCAAGGAAATATATCAGGAAGAAGGGCACATCATTCTCCCAAGGGATCCGGCGAAAGGTGGACAAATCTATCGTTGCAATTATATCGCGATAGCCATTTGTTCTGTTGGATATAAGCAGTTCCCGAGAATAAACTGTGTCATGGATATCCCATCCACTAAGAAGAGCGGGTATTGAGTTTAAGAGTGTGATCAAGAGAACAAGTTACCCACAATATGACGCTGCAGAAGCCAAATCCATCTGACGATACCGCACTCAAGAACTTCTCTTTCGACTAGAGGAACAGGGCATTGTAAATATTTCTCCCTCATATTTCCGAATAGCCTAAAGACATACCATGAACTTTCCACGGAGTACTCCATCCACTATTGTAAGTTTAGCCATGTTGGTCCAGCTGGGAAATGAAAGCAGTCTCACCATCTATACCTACATATACGCGTTTAAAAGGCAATCTGATAGCCAGTAACACGAGATTATCTTACCTGCAACCTTCACCTTTATATCAAAGTGTAACAACTTCTCCAATTCCGCTGAGGTCTTTGGTGCATTTTGGGTAGCGGCCATCAAGAATATTTTCCTCTGAGTTGGATACGAGTTTCTTATCACAGTCTATGTCGACTGACTGTCAAAGTGATAGGTCCAAGTCACGTGTAGCGTTTAAGCTTGTGTGCTACATCCAGTAATCTTGAGCGCGCTGCTTCAAGAGGAACACGATGGAGACAGCCGTAGAAAAGGTGGAATCATCACCACCGTATTCACTGCAGTGGACAACAGAGACTCCTGCATCCATATCATGTCTGTCTGTGGGACCTTCTGGACACATTTTTGCGGGGTCAGGTAAGTGCTGTTGTCATTGGTTGAACTCGATATTGAATATGTATGGTTAGATGACGGATCTGTACGCGTATACAACCGCGATTCGCCCAAGGTTCAAAAGGCGATCAGAGGATTGGGGAGTGAAGTATCGTCCATCATATGTTTAAAAGAGGGGAGCAATACGGATTTAGGCTTGTTATGGGTAGCTTCTGGACGACGCGTGAGTACGAATGTTCAAGACTAACGTTTGAATGGGGATTGAAGGGCATCTCAGGCTTTCAGTTTCTCGATGAACTCCAGCAAAATGATCTTGATGTCATCTGACGCAACCTCGACGATAGAACTGGGTGCCGACGATGAAGACGTCCTGAACGAGGTAACTGATGGTTATCTCCAGCCACATTTTCACCTTAATGCGCATCAGGCAGCTCACTCTGAATCACAAACGTACCGAGATTGCATTTAGCCTAGACTCAGGGGTTGTAGGAACCTTTGACCTATCCACGAAAAAGGTCACGCGAATGAGATCCAAACACAACACTGTATGCGTGTCGATTATAACTATTCTCGCCCCCTGACCCCTAAGCAGATATGCGGGACAGTACGGTTTATCCCAGATAGACCCAATGAACTTGTGAGCGGAGGTTTTGATTCTGCTCTGCTGCACTTCGACTATCATCAAGCAACGTTACTGTCGCGGTTTGATCTGAGTATGTTATTTCGTTTACTTTCGTTATCTTGTCTAATCAGGATCCTTTTACAAGCCGCTCCTCCACCGTCTTCTGGGGTATCTCTATCCCCTCCTTTCATACTGTCATCCTCAGTATCGCAGTCTGGTATCATCTCTGCTGGAACCGCTGACGGGAGGATATGGGTAGGGATCGGGGGTGAAAAATCACCGTCTGGACAACAAGGGGCTCAAAAGAAGAGAAGACGGAAGTGGGAGGGTTTGCAGCACGAAGACGGGCTAGCCATCAAAATCGCAGAAGGCCCCATAGTTGCAGTGTAGGTTCTCATCTCTTGTACATGCTTGTCACAACAGCTGAGCATCTTGTTAAATAGATCATTTACTGGTCCTCGTACACTTCTTTCTTGCACATTGCTTGGAACAGTGGTGGAACACGAATTAGAAGGTAACACTGGCAATAATCTTGCGTTAGCCCCAGTGTGGACAAATGAAACACAGTGTGTTACCAAAGTCAATGCTCTAGTAGCTGTTGATGATCAGATCATCATTGGTGGTCTTAGCAAGGATGGAAAGGGCGCAGTTGAAATTTGGATCAAAAGTTAGTGGTGGGAAATCAAATTTCAATAAGCAAAAGTATAACGTAAATCTATGTATATCAGCAGTGTAAGGTGGATTCCTGTAGTGATTTATATCTTATCTTCTGGACTACCTGTTTGATTAGCCTCTGCTTCTTTCGCTGCTTTCACCCTTCGAGCATATTCTTCGTCCGTCATCTTGTGGCCTATTTTAGAAAAAATCCGTTCCAGAAATGGCAGCGACTCTGATTGCCCTTCAGGAGATGTAACCTCGGGCGTAAATGATGTCTCGTGAGGTATTGGTGGTAAAATTTCTAGGGGTGGTGAAACAAGGGCAGCATTTGAACGCGCAACGTAGTTTATCCTCAAGATACCAAACTCATTATAAGTCCACTGTAACGCAGCACAAAGTAATGCGCCGGTAGTCATGCCAGGAACAATACCAGGCCTACCCCCTAGTGTAAATAAGTTTCGTGAGTAAGCGTATTCCTCACCACCAAATCATAACATCTATACGAACTTTTCCATGCATTCAAAAGACCTCCTGCTAAAGCCCCACTGATGCCAGAGTCCAGCAGCATGTTCATCCTTAAATCAGCCCATGTCCGGGTATATTGAACTTGGCCGCCTTGCTCTGCACCTTCGAGTTTACTTCTACGATGCCGGTATTGCTTTCCAGGATGCGTCAGCACCAGAGCTGGGCTGACTATATATTCACGGATACCTAGCACACAAAATGAACACATTCATCCTTGATAAGATGTTGATTACGCACTGAAAAATGTAGCAGCTGCGATGCCACTATTCACACCAGACAGCAGGAACAAAGCCCCAGGTGGACGGCCTTTCACTACACCATACAGCCCAGAAGTAAGTGCACAGGCAGTGGCTGCCAAAGTAATAAGTGAGTTGTGGAAGGGGCACTCGTATATTTTGATAGACGGACTTGCATGTAATTGCTACACCTTTTGCAACTGTCTGCGGTGCTTTAGAATCCATATGAAAGACCGAAGTAAAAGAAAGATCCGAAGTCCGATGCCGCGTCAGGACGGAAACAATTTTCCTTTGGGTTGCTCCGAGTCCGAGTCCGCTCCGAGCACTTTGGAGCATTTCTGCATCTTTTAGGAGGTTGGGCTTGTATGTTTCTCTCATATTTCTACATTGTCACTTTGTAGAGAACGCTATCAAATATGTTCAGACAAGCACCACGTCATCTCAAGGCGCCTTTGCGCGACGTTCACTCCCAAGTTGCAAGGTTAGGACGAGGAGTTCACACCAAGACTCATACAATACGAGGTTCTCAGCGGGCTATTATTCTTGCATCATCCACCGCTGCTGTCGGAGGATTAATATGGTATAACTCAAAAACTACCATTCATGGCGATGCTCCCGAGACCAATCCCACCGAAGCTGTTCTCAAAGCAAAGCAGGCATTGTGTACTGGCATCAACGAGGATGGAAGTTTAACCGCGGTAGTATGGGGTTCGAATAAGTGAGTAGTTACCGGGAATCTTATGACGAGGCCAGCTCTGATTCCCTGATTACTTCTCTGAAAGGTCCAATATAATATCACCTGAAAATCCTGGGATAGAGTCCGTACGAATACCATCAGTCGCAAACTGGCTTCAGAATGTAGCTTTACGCGACTTGGCACTTCATGATCAGCATGCTGCCTGTGTAGACGCACGAGGAGACGTCTATCAGTGGGGTAATGGTTTTTATGGTTCGGCTCCCAAGTCCGACGCAGAGGCGATGGGCAGAAAACCAACGTTGACGCTACAAGGAAAGGTATGTATTGAATATCTTCTTAGAGATGCTTTCTGACGGATATATCTTGAACACACGCAATAGAATATCATTCGGTTGCAATTAACTGGGTCCCGCGTGTTCGCTTTGTCGGCGTCAGGAAAGATATATGTGTTTGCAGCTAAAGCAGGTCAACAGAAATCTCCTGTTGGTGCACCAACGCCGTCTAGTACACCATGGTGGGGAACTGGTTGGTTTTGGGGCGAAGAAGAAGCGGCTATCGACTTTGCTCAACTTACGCCAAAGGAAGCATTCGGCTGGAAAGAACGGTGCGCAGAAATTTAATTTGTGTGGTGCATGAATCCTGACGCGCGTCTACGTAGATTTGTATCGATAGCCGCTGGCCGCGATCACCTTCTTGCACTCACCTCCACGGGGCGAACTTATGCACACCCTATCAACAAGAATGCAAACTCACATGGTCAGCTTGGCTTCCGAAAATTCGATATTCCAATTCCATCGAGTTCGACAGTTATGAGTCCTTCCTCTCGCCTGGCTGTCGAGCTTGTTCCAAAATCTATAGCGGACCCTTTCGCCAATTCAACACCCTTCTCACGTGCTGATACTCCATCGGCGGGACCTACTGTATCAGATAACTTGCAACAGCTTGATGACCAGAACATAGGATTTTCTGATACGTTGTTCGAGATCCAAGCTTTAAAGGGAATCAATGTCTCCCAGATCGCTGCGGGGGGACGCAGTAGCTACGTCCTAACTGATTCTGGACGAGCGCTTGGCTGGGGCGCGAATGAATTTGGGTTTGTGTTTGCCTATTGAACTGCTTCAGGGTACTGACCTACCTTATAGCCAGGTAGGCCTGGGCAGCAATGTGACTCTGGATACCATCACCGTGCCCACAGAAATAGTTCTATCGAGAAATGTACCAGGCTCCCTACGAACAAGTTGCTTGGACATTGCAGCAGGTATCTACACATATGTAAAGCTACCATCCAGATGCCGATGCTGATGGCTATTATTTAGGAGGGGATCTAGCCTGCTTTGTTGCAGAACGGTCTGGTGGGAATACGGCTGCGTTCGTCGATCTGCTGATGTGTGGTAACGGCCAGTGGGGGGGACTCGGTAATAATGTTTTCTCCAACGCTCAAGGTAATCCTCTACGCGTCAAGAATGTCAGCGGGCTTCGTGAATGTAAGTATGGTCGCATTCTGCAAGCTAGTATACTACTTACAAATAGACATCTTTCAGTTGACGAAAAAGAGCAAGCGCTAACGCCCATATTCCCTCATGCGATATCAATATCTCCCACTGGTCACGTCTTAATGACCTTGGATACTAGATCGCAGGCTGGCTCAGGTGCAACAGGTCGTGATCTCCTTGTCTGGGGCACTAATCGAGATTACCAACTTGGGACGGGAAAGAGGACCAGTCTTGCGGTACCCACCAACTTGGAGCAAGCCGACAGTACTCGCTTTATGCTCGCAAATGCAAAGGCACCCGTCAGGGACCTTTCGGGGAAGCTATGGAAGAAGGGCGTTGAAGTGGAACAATGTGCTGTTGCGGGATATGGAAACAGCATCGTATACTGGAAAATCCGCTGAGTAAAAAACATTGTGTATCATATTGTACTGTATATTGGCAGCTAGGTAGTTGCAATCCCACACTCCCAGTTCATTTACATCTTCCTGATTACCATACCCCTGATCGAGAAGGTTGGAGTGCGTTGCCTCTCGGCCGTGGGATGCCGGGTATAGTGTTGGAAGTCACCACCGATTGAACTGCAGGGATGGGCTTCTGCAAAATGAAATTCAAGAAACTGATGCAGCGGTGATGGCAGCCGTTTCTTCATCCTTCCGCATCTTCTCCACATATATGAAAGTCATAACGATTGTGTCTAAGATATGTTCACCGGCTGGGTATATCTCGAGGTAAGGTGGATGCTTCTCTCCAATGATACCCAAGCTTCTGTTGTGCAAGCAAGCTATAGGAGTATCCGAGCCGTCTCCTAGTTCAAGCTGTTGCATTTGCATAAGTAAAAAAGTTAGAAATATGAATAATGATCGCTGCTTACATCAAGCCGTCGGCGTTGGAGCATCCATTTGTATTTCTTTCCGTCTGGGGCTGTAAATGCGCGATTGCTGTATTCTTGTTTTAGCACACGTGACCTTGTGTTGGAAGGTGCACACACCGTTTGATCAACCCACTACTTGGAATATAATCCTGGGCTCGAACTTCTTTGCCGTCGAAACGGATTTTAGACGACGTCCAGGTGTGCCATTCGATTTCTGCTAAGACGTCAAACTCATCGCGCATGTTAAGCGGGGAGGAGCTGGGCCTGATTTTCCACAGGGTGGTAGTGCGCGAAGTCCAGCTAGGAGTAGTTGTTTTATAAATGACCTGACCCTCTGAGTTGGTCATGATTGTATCAAAAACGTAATCACTTGAAAGTGCAAGTTGCATGGTGAACGAGGAAATGGTCAGCCAGGTGTAAGTTGCTGGCCAATTTATTATAATGGCGCGATGCTACGCTCACCGCTTTCCTGTGCTACGAGGCCTGAAGTCCTTGACAACGTCTAATAGAAAACAGAAACATTGTTTACTGGCAAGGATGCGATGACATGCCAAGACATCTTGGGGTTCGGTGCACTGTGATGGCGTCGGAGACACGCGTTGAAGTTCCAAACAGAAGAGATACGTTTACCTGGAATCAAGTGGCGGTGTCGAGTTTACCCTTAAGCTGTACTAAGTCTCGCCACAAGTATTTAACAAAGCCAAGTAACACAACATGTAGTATTTCGACAGGCGTGCCTTGGTGTGGGTCGAGCAGAAGGTTTTGAGTATATTGATGAAAATACCACAAATGAAATTACCTTTGATTTTCCATTCAATTGATATAGACATCTTGGAAAAAATGTGGGAGAGATTAAGCATTCATATTAATCTAGGAGTACTATGGTACAAATACACAGACAGAGTAACGACGGCAAATCATATATTAATCATATCAGGATCTGACTGGTCATAATAAGCCCAAATCGTTCCACGATGTCCTCTCCCTCCTGCACAATCTCCTCTTCCGTCATATTTACCATCCTGCGCTCATTCTCTTCGCCGATCTGACGCCGCATAGCTTCCTCTCCAGTCTCCACCATCTGGAATTGTGACTGACTAGCTTCGCTCTTGGCTATACGCGAGGGCATTACAGTAGTTATATCCTGGATCCTTGCGCCTGACAAAACCGGATAAACCCAGTCTCTGCCGAAGCAGCCATTGTTCTCCATGGAGCATAGCCACCACTCCATGGAGTAACCATTGTTCTCCTAGGAGTCATTATACTGTAGCGAGTAGCACCTCCGACTATAAGTAGTAGGGGGTTTAGTATAGGAATACCTCAGTCGTTTCTATAGCCTCTCGGGCAGCGGCTGAGGTATGTTACATTACATTTATTAGAGATCACCTTAAACTAACATCTATTGTAGTTTCACTTAGGTAAATAATACAGTCATTTCTATAGCCTCTCGGGCAGCGGCTGAGTTTCACTTAGTCTTATTAGGTTATGAGCCCTGGTGCGCAAAAGCTACGCAGGAAATAATTCTTATTTGAAATGGCAACCTTGGAACCATGACCACAGCACGCAATACATCCGCATGTCCAGTTCTCACTGGACCCAACAATTTTCAGATATGGAAACTCCGGTGTCGATGATGAGAACTGTTGTTAGAAAACCACACACAAAAACAAACTAACACACAATCCTCCCAGATTCCATGGAACTTGTTTATGGGCTTTGCCTCCTAGAACAGTGGAGTGGTCTGGTTGTTCATGGGGTTGTACATATAAAGATCCTTCAAAGTAAAAACCAGAGATGTATGGGTGTGGGTTTTGAGGAGGAGGGATAGTTGGACTATAGAAAGATAGGGGCTTTGTGGCAAGTATAGACGAGCACTACCTTGCTAATGGTAGCACAAGGTAGGTTTGAGAACGACGAGGATGACGAGGTGCCGAGGTTCCCAGTGATAGCAGGCTCCTGACACACAGACTGTAGTGCTCAGAAGGACTCTAATCGAAAGGGATGACAATGACTTCAAAAGTGGGAAGTGACGATGACAGCAGTTGACAGTGGTAGCAGTGGGAAGTGTTGTGACCACACTGGATCACAAGCAGCAGAGTAGTGAACTTGAAATTAGAGAAGAAGTCTGGAATGGAGTTCTTGTTGTTTTTACAAGGTAAAATACAGGGGTTTATATAGTAAAAGAAAAGTAGGCTATGCACAGTATAGCTGTGCAAAAAGAATGAGAAAGAATATGAAGGAAAAAGGAATGTACGCTGATGAATCCTGCGTAGGTAGTACAGGATAAGATTGTCAAAAAAAAGAAAAGAAAGGGATAGAACAATGAATGCTGTGAGTAATGTCACAGGTTTGTACAGCCATAAAGTAAAGTCCAATAGCAAAAAGAGAGCAGGAAAATCATGATGTCATGGGAAGATGCAGTAAAAAAAGGGCAAGGCAAAACACTATCAGTATCAACACAGTTCCTTTATTGTCAGTCAGGCATTCTAAAAAAAAATATGTGTCCATAAAAATGATTCAAAAATCAAAAATAATCGCACTGTAAATGAATGTTCTGCTGAAGAAAAAGAAACTGGAGCCACCGGTCCACCACCTAGTCCAAATCCGACAGTTCCATGGCCTTACCAATGGACTGGTTGTGTTGGACCACCTGATCAAACGAGGGAGGGAGAGGAGTAGTTCCAATTTGGAACAAGTGAGTCCCAGGCAGCGTGTGGTAGGTGTAGCTGTAGCGAAGACGATGGACAAAAGATAAGTGTACCCAAGTGAATGGGACAGCGATGAACATGGGCGACGCAAGGGGATGAACCTTCTCCAGCTCAAAAATTACCCACCCACGCTCCAACCAGGCAAGACGAGCGACCGATGTTTTGATAGTATATAATGGCAGATCGACGTCATGAAGATGGACCTGTTGCCCTATTTGGACCGGCCGCCGGGGCTTTGCTGATATCAGCAGTGGCACGTGGTAGTCAATGGATTGGCAACGGAAGCGGATAGGAAGTGGTGACATCAGAAATGGTGGGGGTGCAAATAAGATGAGGAGGAGGAGGGTGGAGGTGACGAAAAAGTGGATTAGAATGGGGATCCAGAAACGACCGTCAGGTGAGAATAAAAAGGAGAGGAAGGGGCCCATGGTGGGGCTAGGCAAAGGAAGGGGAGTAAGGGAAACAACAAAAGCGAGGGCACAATGCAATGTGTAGCCAGTGGCGACGCGAAAATTTGCCGAAATGCCGAAACACGGAAAGTACCGGATGGAAAAGCAAAGGTGAGCGTGACTGGATTGCCTAATAGAGGTGGTGCTGATCAGCCACAAGTTTGAAAAGGGCAATATTAATTACTATTCCACGTGGCACTGTGCCTGTGTGGCGCAAAGGCGAGTCTTTTCGAATATTCGCTTCGTTATTGACACCTGTCCATGCTACCAATCAACTTTGGTGCATGACACCGGATCATCTCAAAGCTACGTCAGGAAAAAGTTCTCCGGGTTGTTACTGGAGAGGAGCTTAAGCCCTCACCAGGAAAACCTACCTCCTCGGAGGATCCTGAGATCACCTGGATACTTAAGGATGAGAAGGCACATGGAATCATCCAGGATCACATCTCTGATGCCCTCCTAATGAGGACTGGAGACCTCACCAGCTCCAAGGAGTTATTTGATAAACTTGTCTCACTCTATCAAACGTCCAACATTGCCTTGGCCTTCTATTCATTCCAGCAACTCACCAAATTGTCCTGGGATGGGACATCACCTATCCAGGACCACATTGCGAAAATCTGGACAATTGATTCACACCTCTCCGGAATGAAACTAGGAGTTGATACCAAACTCATGGCTTTCGCTCTTCTCTAATCTCTCCCATGCACTCCTGAATGGCAAACATTTCAGTCATCAGTAATCAACACAATTGAAGAAAATAAACTTACCTTTGATGCAGTTGAGATCCGGATCACTGCAGAAGTTGCACGACAGTCAGGGAAGGCCCCTGGAGGTTCTGAATCAGCACTCAAATCCGAGGAGAAATGGTGTAACTTCCACAAAGCCAAATCACACAACACCTCAGAGTGTCGAACACTTCAGTCAGCTGAAAAAGGTCAAAGGAAGAAGGGAAAGGAAAGACACAAGGATAAAGGAAAAGAGAAGGAAAAGGCAAATACAGCGGAGCAATCATCTGGATCTGACTCCGAGGAGGAACAGAGTCATATTGCATTGGAACATGTACATATTTCCAAGCCCCTTGCTAAACGCATTCAAGCTTACCTTGTGTCGGAACCCGATAAGACCAAAACAACAATTATTATTGACTCCGGAGCAACATCCCACATGATCCCTCACCGCTCCTGGTTTGAGCCAGGAACATACCATGTTCTGCATCCTCCGAGGACGATCAGTTTTGGGGATGAATCCTCTGTAAATGCCATTGGAATTGGAACTGTAATCATACAAGCAACTGTTGGCAATAAGGACTACAATATTGCACTGTCAAATGTCTTACTTGTGCCAAACTTCACGTTAGCACTCGTCTCTGTCCACAAATTGTCCAAAACGGGGTTATCAACACTTTTTCCAGCAGGGTCAAATGCTTGTGAAGTTCGGAAAAAGGAGGAACTTATCCTCACTGCGTTACACAAGCGAGGACTTTATCACATCTAAGCAAAATTCGAAATCAACCCGGAGTCAGCTTTTGCAGCAGTAGATGTAAATTTACTGCACAGGAGAATAGGACACATTGGAATGGACCGCTTGCAACGAATGGTTACAAAAAGACAGCTCCAGGACATAGACACCCTTACCGGAACCCCGGAGTTTTGTGAACCTTGTGCTTTAGGAAAGATGAAGAAATTACCTTTCAAGTCCACTGGAGGAAACCGAGCCAAGCGCCCCATACAATTTGTGCTCACAGATGTTGGAGGACCAATCAAACCAACTTCCAGGGAGGGTTTTTGGTACTGGATTATCATTGTAGATGATTTCTCCAAATTTCCATGGATATATTTCCTAAAACATAAAAGTGAAGCACTGGAACGATACAAGCAATGGAAAGAAGATGTCCAAACATTCTTCCGGACTCATTTGGGAGAAGAAAATTTCACTCCACTATACACAGAATTCCTCTGGAGCGATGAGGGAGGAGGATATACTGGCAATGCATTCAAAAATCAACTCCGAGGAGATGGTGTCATCCAAGAAACTACAGCTGCAGATACTCTGGAACAAAATGGCATTGCAGAATGCATGAATCAGACATTGGCTACATTAGCAACCACTATGCTCCATGATTCCAAGCTCCCAAAGTCATTTTGGGTAGATGCCATGCAAACAGCTGCATATATCACAGCACGCAGCCCAGCATCAGGACTCCATGGAAAGACCCCGTATGAAATACTGTTTAAAAGGAGAGTTGATGCAACTTTGTTTCGCCCTTTTGGATGCCAAGCATATGCCTTGATTCCGAAAGACAAAAGGCAAGTGAAGTTTTACTCCAAGGGGCGCAAAGCCATAATGATTGGCTACACACATGGAAAGCAAGCCTACAAACTCCTAGACACTGAAAAACGGACTGTGTTTTCCAGTCGGCATGTCATATTCAATGAATCCGGAAAGGTACAAAAGGATGACACTGCTCCCTGGAACACAGACACTAGCACAGATCAGTGGGAGGGACTCATTCCAGAGAATGCTCACTATCCAGACCAAAAAACATTGGAGGAGGATGATTCTGACCCTCGGATCCGAGATCCAAATGAATTGCAAATGGAACCACATCTCCAAGGAGATGTTCCACAAGCAATGGAACCATATCAGCATGAAGATGTTCCGAGAGCAGTGGGGCAATACCTCCGTGGAGATGTTCCGAGAGCAGTGGGAGCACCTGATCAGCTAAGACACCCTCCACAACAGTCTCTACAACCAAGACCTGAACACTGGCCATCTTCAGAACGGAAAGCCAAAGTAGAGTTACAGTCAGTGGGAGGACAGCCCCTCAACATACAGCCAGCTGATGTGGAAAAAGTCCGAATACAGCTAGACAGCCTGTCCATTGGATCAGCTTCTGGAAGGCATACAACACCTCCAAGGAGTCATCCAACACCTCCGAGGAGTGAGTGGGGCAACAAATACACAAATGCGTCTACTCCCTGGAGTACCTGCACAAGTTCCTAAAAGAGCAGTTATGCCTGCTGAAGTCCTAGGAGTATGCAGAAGCAGTCGCCAGACCCGTCCTGCAGACAAAAACCGAGATTATCAAAGGACTCTAGATGAGGAACAGTCTTGAAAAGAGCAGCATGACAACTCCATGGAGAAACCTAACACTCCTAAGGTTCATGAAGAAACATCTGATACAGAGGAGACATTCTTTGCTGGAATAGCAAGTACTGGTCCATCTAACACAGACCTTCCAAGGACACTAAAGGAAGCCTTATCACGTCCGGATGGAGAATTATGGAAGTCTGCCTTGGAGGAGGAACTCCTAAGTCTCAATACTAATGCAGTATATGACACTGTTCCACTTCCGAAGGGAGTAAAACCCATCACATCAAAACCTGTGTTCTGGATCAAGTTTGATCAAAACGGAAACATTGAGAGATACAAACTCCGGATTGTTGCACGAGGTTTTACTCAAAGGGAGGGGATTGATTACCAGGAGGTTTTTGCTCCGGTTGCAAACTTAGAGTCAATCCGAATTATTCTAGCCCTGGCAGCAAAGTACGACCTAGAACTTGATCAAATGGACGTATCCACAGCTTATCTCAATGGAGAACTTGAAGAAGAACTGTACATGCTTCCTCCAGGGGGTGTTCCTATCCAACCTGGATACTGCTGGAGATTGAAGAAATCCATCTACGGGTTAAAACAAGCTGGTCGTACATGGAACAAAACTTTTGATTGCAAGCTCCAGGAGCTCGGTTTCACAAGACTAAATGCAGAAACATGTCTCTATGTATTCTGGGACAACAAACAAATATGCTTTGTTGTTGTCTATGTAGATGACCTCCTCCTAGGAGCTTCATCCCGAAAATTCATGGATATCACAAAAGCCAAACTCGAATCCATATTCAAAATGTGGGACCTTGGAGAAGCAAAATACATCCTCAGAATAGAAATCCAACGTGATCGTTCAAACAAAACAATATCCCTATTGCAACGCCAATACATTGACACAGTCCTGGAGCGTACTGGAATGAAGAACTGCAAACCAGTATGGACACCAATGGCCTATGGATCAAAACTCCTTGCAAATGCTCCAGGGGAAGATATTGTGCAACACGAGATGCATATTGAAGGGCCTTAAGTGTCATACCTCTCAATTGTAGGCTCCCTCATGTATGCCATGCTTGGAACCCGCCGAGACATTGCCTACATTGTTGGAATACTAAGCAGGCATAGCTCAGCTCCAGGGACATGGAGCTACGATATGATGGCACAGATGTCTCCATGGACATGGATTTCTATGGATATTCAGATGCAGATTGGTCTGGAGACCCAGACATGTCTCGATCAACATCAGGGTTTGTCTTTATCACCATCCGAGGAGCAATCTCCTGGACAAGCAAAAGACAAAGCATGGTCGCTTTATCCTCCACGGAGTCAGAGTACATTGGATTGAGCAATGCTGGACAACACCTTGCATGGCTTTGGACATTTTTTGAAGAAATTGGACATGCTCAAAATGGACCTACAACATTGCACTGTGACAATCAAGCAGCTATCATTCTTACACGAGATCCACAGTTCCATGCTCGCACAAAACACATTCAACAGAAATATCATTTTATCCGAGATGACTTAGTATCAAAGGGAGAGGCAGTAATCAGATACGTTCCTACAGGAGATATGGTTGCAGACATTCTCACTAAACCCCTCACTCATGAAAAACACTGGAAATTCTCTAAAGCTATGGGACTACGGTTGCACTCGAGTGGGAGTGACAAAACTGGATAAACCCGGTCTCTGCCGAAGCAGCTATTGTTCTCCATGGAGCATAGCCACCACTCCATGGAGTAACCATTGTTCTCCTAGGAGTCATTATACTGTAGCGAGTAGCACCTCCGACTATAAGTAGTAGGGGGTTTAGTATAGGAATACCTCAGTCGTTTCTATAGCCTCTCGGGCAGCGGCTGAGGTATGTTACATTACATTTATTAGAGATCACCTTAAACTAACATCTATTGTAGTTTCACTTAGGTAAATAATAAAGTGGTTTCTATAGCCTCTCGGGCAGCGGCTGAGTTTCACTTAGTTTTATTATGGTGGCTATGCTCCATGGAGAACAATGGCTGCTTCGGCAGAGACCGGGTTTATCCGGTTTTGTCAAGTTCCATTGCGACAAGACATCAGCATTCCTTTTTATTCATACTCCGCCCTCTGGCATTCACAATTGTTATTTCACATTTTATATATAAACAAGACCCCTTTGTAACCTGTAGGGTCACGAGAGTGTTCTCAGCGGTGACAGAATTGCTGGTCAATTAAAGGTACAACAAATACAGGTGGGAGAAGTTTAACATACCTCAGCAGTGACAGAATCACTGAGGTTCTAGGGGTTTTGTTTGTATGTAAAATGTGGAATACCAATTGTGAATGCCAGAGGGTGGAGTATGAACAAAAAGGAATGCTGATGTCTTGTCGAGATGGAACTCAACACACCCCTCAACAATGTCGGAAAAATCCACTTTCGATGATTAGGCCGAGTGTGGTCTGATAAGATTGGCAGAAAACGGAGCATCAGATTAGATACAAAAGATTGCGAACAGGTCAGACCAGATTTTATTCAGAATGATTGTTGCGACAGCCCTGAGATATCCGAGTACACATGGCATTATGATGCGGCCAATTTATCTGGAGGCCCTGATCAATATGATTGCTCCAGCCAAGGTGATAGGCCTTACCAAAATAATCTTGCCATTTGAGCTGAGGATTCCGATGGCGCTATATTGGTACCAGTAACAGTAGTCATATCTGAACAGACCGAACATGCCTGATTGTCCTGGTCCAAAGCCTTATTGTAGGTATAGCCTATATTATCTTCTTGAACCTTATAAGATAAATGCACGAAACAAAAAGTAGAGCTAGTTGATTGCACATGTGATATTTGAGGAATGAAGTATACAGAGTAAACTACTCAACTACACTGGCATTTCTATGAGGAAAACATAGTCTCATCCTTCAACAGATTATTCGGTATGATGCATGTGTCACGATCCCTTAATCCTGACACTCTTATCTCAACTGATAACGGCTCAATCTTATCTATTATTTCTCCAAATCTAATCTAATCATAGTCACGTGATCAATCACATGACATATGACGTAGTCACTTACAAAGACAATTATAAAGCGCCTCATGCCTTACACATGACGCTCAGTCAGCACCTCGTTGTCAACGCATGTCCCTTAGTATATATACCAGCTACCTTTTGTACATACCCCTTAGCTGTTGATTAAATCTTTCTATATCATTGTTTAGACCCTGCTGGCGGTTAGACAACTTGACTTCCATTAACTCGGTATAGGGTCAGGTTATCACACAATCAACAGCTGAAAGTCAAAGCATTGTCTATGATATTAACAGCAGCTACAATCATCACTATCATCCTAACCTTCACCCTCCCAATCCTATTTGTCATCATCTACCTTGCCTACATAACTATAACTTCTACCAACACAATTCTAACCAATCCACTTCCCATCCCTCCACGTCCGTTAACCATCATATCATTCTTCCCCAGCACACTCTCTCGAGGAAATTCCCCTCACCCCTATCCAAGTAGTTACAACTTTACCCGGTGTGGAACTGAGTGAAGTTTAGTTAGAAATTTTTTTACCTAGTTTCATTTTTAAATACCTCTGACCAGGCCGCGCACTTGCGTCCGCCAGTCGGAGAGGGATTGACAGCTTAATAAGCAGATCACATTGGGACAACTGTTCGGACCCCAATTTATCACCATACATTTTACCTACCTTCGTATTACACTTTATATCACTTTACATACACGGTAGTAGGGAATGGAAGAGGATCCCTTTACCAAAAGAGAAAGACAGAAAAAGGGAACGTATGAAATCAATGTGTTGATCCAGACCTGTCATCTGGGGAACCGTTTTTGTATGCCCTTTGTTGAAGAACCACAAAGCATCTGGTTGTTCCTTGATCCTACCCCTGAACCCAGACATGCTACCCCCATCAACGCCAGGAATGGGAATGCACAAATTAGGAGAGGCCCTACCGCCTACTCCGCAAAGAGAACAATCACCTTCGCCAGAAACGAGGCGCATGCAGAATTTAGAAATGATGGTCCGGATGGCCGTAAACGCCGCAATTCAAGACAACAACGCAGAATGGGAAAGGCAATTCCTACAAAGAGACGCAGAAGTTGCAGGCTTGTGGAGAAGGCTCGCAATGCAGCCACCGCAGCAACAGCAACAGACGGACCGGCCTATCAGACATGAAGCCGGCTACAGAAAAACCGCATTGGCCAAGCCTGAGCCATATGACGGTAATAAGAAGAAGTTCCGGAACTTCTTCGAATCATTACAGCTTCATTTTGGAGCAAACCCAGAATATTTCCGGATAGAGGTCAACAAAATTAACTTTGCCCTATTATATATGACAAGTGGAGTGGCGGCAGCATTAAGAACAGAATGGGTGGAGAGGAAGATGCTGGCAGACGAAAGAACAGACATTGAAGAAATGGAACAATTGGAAAGCTGGGCTCATTTCGAGTCCATGCTAAAGGACCATTTTCAAGATGCGTTCAAAGAAGAAAGGAGCAAGTACGAAATCATGTACTTGAAACAAGGTACTCTCACTGCGCAAGAGTATTTTGTAAAATTCAAAGCAACCAGACGACGCGCAGGATATAACGTGAAAGGAAACGAACAATTCCTGATCACGTTAATCAGAAACAACATCAACGCCCCGTTGATCAAACAAATTATCTACTCGGGAAACATTCTGAAAACATACACCCAGTGGAAAACAAGAATCATTACCAATGATCAACTATGGCGAGATCAAGCAGAAAATGAGCGGTGTTACAATCTCTATTGGACATTTAAGGACTACTCATTTCTTTTTACTCATCGGTTATACCATCGGACCGATGACTCATTTCCTTCACGTACACTTCTGTTCCTCTCGCATTCACAGTACCTATTATAGTACTTAGTCCTCAACAGACGGACCTGCCCTAGATAGGACCTAACTCCTATCACCAATTCCTTTCCATTATAAATACCATGTAACAGCAGTAGTATTCTCTAATACGATTCTACGCAGTTTACGCTTACAAAGCTAGACTCCTAAGATCAGACTTCTATTCAGAAGAAGACCAACTCCCGTTGGAAAACCTCCATTCAGAACCACGTTCTCGAACTTGTCTTCGGATAAGTCTCTTTACAAACCTCGACGAACCCTCAGACTTTGTTAAGCACTTCGTGCGTAACAAAAGAATCATATTCTAACCAGAAGTCCCACCTATTTAGGTTTGGGAAGAAAAAGTCGACAAGACGTCGCAACAACCAACAACCAGATCCCAGAGAGCAAGAGGAAGCTCAGACAACCCACAAACAGCAACCCCACCGACGTCATCCCGACAAGAAAGGATAGCAGCACCACCTCCCTTTCCCCAACCAGACGTAACCCAACTCCACACCAGAGAACAAGCAGACACTTTCTACAAAGCCAGAACACGTTGGCTACAGTACTACACAGGAAGCCACCCACAGCTACTGCCCACAACACAACACGATCCCCCAGTAACCGTAGAAAACCTCTACGACAAGAACGACTTTGAAGAGTTTGCAGCAGGCGGCGACCCGATACCACCTCCCACTCCACAGATACTCCCCGCCGCACCTGCCCTGTCCCACATCCCACCACCACACACCATGTCTAATGCTGCAGCCCCCAAACCCACGAAAATTGGGAAAATCAATGACTTCGATGGAACCCCAGATAAAGCCCAAAGGTGGATATTGTCCACCAATCTACACTTTGATATCAACAACACCATCTACAACTCCAACAAGAAAGAGGTATATGTGGCCCTCAGCTACATGAAGGACGGCAACGCCGCCTCATGGAGTGAAGCCAAGATGACCGAATACAAAGAGAAGAATGCCTACCCCACATGGGCAGACTTCATGAAAACCTTCACAACCAGTTTCAGAATGGCAAACACCAAAGGAACGGCCTCGGCCGCCTTGATGAAAATGAAGATGGAACAAGGAGAAAATGCAGTAGCGTTTAACTCAAGGTTCATGCTAGATGCTGGGAAAAGCGGCATCAACAATGAAGCCATGATCATGGTTTATCAAAAGGCTATCCGGCCACCCCTCCTTCGCGGGGCACTCACCGGAAAGGAACTACTCACCATCGAAGACTGGATGAGCACAGTAGCGGACCTAGACGCTAACTGGATCAGTGCCAACGCTATCTCGGAAGGAGCGTGGGGCGCCAGAAACAAAGAAAGACAGAACAACAGAAATCGCAAAAGTGGACCATCCACTAACACCAGAAGATTAACCAAAGACGAAGAAGAATCAAGGAGGAAAGAGGGAAGATGCTTCATATGTAACGAGAAAGGACACATAGGAAGGAATTGTAGGAACAAAGGAAAAACTCCCGAAAGAAAGGTACGTCAAACCGAAACGGAAGATGACACCAAAACAGTGGTAGAAGAAGACAGGGTCCAAAACATCATGAGGATGTGGAGGGAATTAGGAGAAGATCAAAGAACAGAGGCAATGAAAGAATTGGAAGACGAGGGTTTTTAAAACGACGGACTACCCCGATGTTAGTACCGTCGAAAATGGCAACTGTAACAATAGCAACAATCAACGCCAACTCTTTACAAATTGATTGCTCGCTGAAACAGAAAACCATTGGAACCAAAGCCCTGATAGATTCAGGAGCTACAGACAACTTCATGGACACCAAATTTGCCATCAGACACCGACTCCCCCTCCAAAAACTCCCAACTCCTATAACATGTAAAAATGTTGACGGAACCACGAACAAAAACGGAAAAATTACGCATTGCACCTATCAGAGGATAGATGCAGGAGGACAAAACAGGTTCACAAAGTTCCTATTGACCGGACTAGACGGAGAAGACGTATTACTGGGATTTCCCTGGTTACGAAAAGTCAATCCCGTCATTAACTGGAAAGACAAGGAATTACCAAACTCGGACAAACACTCCATCAGGATGAACCAAACAACCACGGAAACAAAAATCAGGACAACCGCAGTGAACGAAGACGTGTATGAAACCATTCATAGATACGTATCCGACCAAACACCCTATCCTCGAACCACGATTCGATTAAAGGTCAACTTGGCAATGGAACACGCGCAAATACACGGAGAAAAGAAGGAGCATAACCTCCCGAATGAATATAAAGGGTATTTGGACGTCTTTGACAAAAAGAAGTCGGAAAGACTCCCCAAGCGACGGGAATATGATCATGCAATCAACATGAAACCAGAATTTGTACCAACAGATTGCAAGTTATACCCATTGGCACCAAAGGAAGACGAAGCATTAACAGAGTTCTTAACGGAAAAATACAGAAAGGGATACATCAGGCCGAGCAAGTTGCCACAGGTGTCCCCTTTCTTCTTCATCGGCAAGAAGGATGGATCACTCCGACCGTGCCAAGATTACAGAAAACTGAACGCATATACCGTGAAAGACCCCTATCCACTACCCCTGATACCCGACCTCATCGAAAAATTGAAAGGAGCCACCATCTTTACGAAACTAGATCTACGTTGGGGATACAACAACGTAAGGATAAAAGAAGGAGACGAATGGAAAGCTGCGTTTAAAACCAGCAAGGGAGTGTTCGAACCAACGGTCATGTTCTTTGGCATGTGCAATTCACCGGCAACATTCCAAAGGCTGATGAACGACAAATTCAAAGACTACATCGATGAAGGTTGGATGATCATATACATGGATGACATCCTCATCTTTGACACCAACATCGAAAGACTCCGAATCCGAACGAGACAGGTTCTACAAAGACTACGCGATAACGACCTATTTCTAAAACTAGAAAAATGCACCTTCGAAGCGGAAACCATTGAATACTTAGGAATGATTGTTTCCCACAATCAGGTATCAATGGATCCAGCCAAACTCGCTGGGATCCGCGATTGGCCAATCCCAAAAGACACCAAAGGTGTAAGGAAGTTCTTAGGTTATGGAAACTTCTACAGGAAGTTTATTGGTCATTACTCTGACCTTGCCAGACCCTTGAATGCCTTACTAGAAAAGGATAGGAAGTGGAACTGGACCCAAACTGAAGACGACACTTTCAAATTGATGAAACAAAAATTCCTCAAATCCCCCTTAACACAAATTCCCGACTCCTCAAAACTGTCAAGGATTGCTGCAGATGCCAGCAAACACGCCGCAGGAGCTGTATTAATGCAACCCAATGACCAAGGACAATGGCACCCATGTGCATTTTTCTCCAAAACACTATCCCCCGCTGAAAAGAACTACCAGATCTACGACAAAGAGTTATTAGCGGTGATGAGAGCTTTAAAAGAGTGGAAACACTTACTTTTGGGAAGCCCCCACACGATCCAAATCCTGACAGATCACAAGAACCTGACGTACTGGCAAGAAGCCAGGAAACTGACACCGCGACAAAGAAGATGGCAGCTGGAACTGTCACAATACAATTACACCTTGGAGCACGTACCAGGAACCCACATGGTGGTACCCGACGCACTCTCAAGAAGACCTGATTTATACGTCGAAACAGAAGGAGACGACGATGACACACCAATGATACCCGCCTCAGCGTTCCTGTATCACACACAAACAATTAAAAACACAATTGAGCAAGCCATGCTCACAAACGATAATTATCCAGGAAGAACAAAGAAAGACGATTGGAGAAAAGAAGAAGGACAGTTCTTTTATCAGAATAAATTACTGATTGACGAAGTAGAAGAACAAAAGACGATCATCAAAGATCACCACAATTCCCTGTCCGCAGGACACCCAGGAAGGCTCAAAACCTACCAGTTGATCAAAAAGGCCTATTGGTGGCCAGGAATGATGAAACAAGTGGAAGAATACGTGAAAGGATGCGCAACTTGTCAACAAGCGAAAGTAAACATGCATCCCACCACCGTACCATTAATCCCAAACCAGACCCCAAAACCGCAGAACCAATGAAGTACCTATCCGTAGACTTCATAACTGATTTACCAGAATCTTCAGGATACGACAGTATAATGGTCGTGGTAGACCAAGGACTTAGTAAGGGGGTAATCCTCTCACCTTGTCATAAAACCATCGACGCACTTGAAACCGCACGAATCTTCCACAATTCCATCTTCAAACAATTCGGATTGCACGATAAACTCATATCCGACAGGGGACCACAGTTCGCCTCTGAAGTATCCAAAGAACTCCACAAACTCCTGAACATTGAAACCGCACTCTCCTCTGCGTATCATCCCCAGACGGATGGACAAACAGAACGATCCAATCAAGAACTGGAGATCTACCTCCGCATATTTTGCCAGAACCAACCACACAGCTGGGCAAAATACCTTACTACCGCCAAATTCTGTCACAACCAAAGACCACACTCCACAAACAACCAATCACCATTCTACCTCCTCATGGGATATGAACCCCGAGGAATCCCGACTAAACACAGATCCACGAATATCCCATCAGTGGAAAAACGATTATCCGAACTGCTTAGGGCAAGGGAAAACGCCCTAAAAGCACACAAACTCGCGAGAAGCAAGATGATGAAATGAAACAACGGAAAGTTCATGTGATTCTCCGAAGGACAAAAGGTGTGGTTAGAGAACACCAACCTGCAAGAAAAAGCCACCGAATACAAGAAGTTCAACATGAAACGCATCGGACCTTTCCGCATCCAAGAAAAGATTTCCCCGGTGAACTACCGACTATCCCTGCCTCCCCATTGGAGGATACACAATGTTTTCCATGCATCCCTTCTCACGCCGTATACGGAAACCAACACTCATGGCCCGAACTTTATCCGACCACCACCTGACCTGGTCAACAAAGAAGAGGAATACGAAGTAGAAAGTATTCTTAGACACAAACCCTGGAAACGCGGGCGCCGCTACCTGATTAAATGGCGCCATTACCCTCATTCCGAAAACTCATGGGAACCGGAAGAACATTTAACCAATGCTGCGGAGATATTGGAAGCCTATAAGAAGGACCACAAGCTGCGTTGAAGAGACAATCACCCCACTACCAACAATCCTCTGTCTCTCAACACAAAACATGTCTACTTCTAACTCCACCGGCTTCCCTATCACCACCTACTCGATACCCGGCGACGCCAACTTGCTAGCCGACAAACCAGTGTCGTTTGCCCGTGGGCAATGACACAACCAAGACGACGTCACTGACGCCATAGAATTAATGTCAGCAAAAGACGCCTATACCTATCTCTTTTACGGGACCGAAAAACGCTGCCCCCATACATATCACGCTCTTTCCTCCATGCATACCTTCCTTGCCATAGACCTCATAGCTGACGAACTCCTAAAAGCCATAGACTCAATACATTCGTTGGAAAGCGAGCATTCGCTGCTCAACAGTCAGGACTTGAGTATCTGTTGGGCACTCCGGATGGAAAAGTTAGTTTTGGAATCTTTGGAACGACGCTTGAGGATGAGCTCCTCGAATGGGCAGATGGACTCGGCAAAGGAATATTTGGAATCAGGCGGGAGGAAATTGCTAAACAAAGCTCGCACGCGGATAGAGCGAGACGGTTGTACGAGTACTCCTCCACCCGGTTTGTCCCTCCGGTCCCTGTCGCACCCAGACCAGACCAGTGTTACCCCGGAGCGCACTTACCACATCATCACCCGTCGACCTACGCCCATCCCATCGGAGGAAAAATATATTCCCACCGTCCCAACCAGCCCGATCTCGCAAGAGTCGAGCCACTCCAGTCCCCATTCCATTGGGTCGAACCCAAAACCACCATCTCCCCCATCATATCCACCTCGACCAGTGCCAAACGCCCAAACCCGTCGCCTGACGAACCGACGAGGAGCCCGACGCGGCCGGCAAGAGGTGATACTCCAGATCCCCGCCGCCAGAACTCCATCGAAACAGCAGTCTCGTATGTCGAAGGGACAGAAAGACAGTCCGCCTGGCGCAATGCACAGGCCTGAGACTGGCTCTCCCTCTAACCCAATCAACATAGATGACGACACAGCCATGATTGATCAGTTGTACGCAGGAACGTACGACCTGGGAGATGACGATCCAACCACTCCCCAATCCGACACCTCATCCAACACCCGACGAAGATACCATGAAGGTGTTTGTAACAATACTCCATACTGCCAAAACTGCAGTTGGAGCAATCATCACATATACTATTGTGAAGCCTACTATTGCCCCGACTGTGACCGTTGTGCACCGGGACATAGTTTCAATTGGTGTCCCATCCGCAGGGAAGACGAGGATAGGATTCTGATGGAAGGATTACATGGAGATGTCAGCTACGACAACAGTTACAATATGGACGGCGAAGGTACCAAATTTCGGTGAAACTCGGAGCAAGTAAGGGGGTAATGTTACGATCTCTATTGGACATTCAAGGACTTCTCATTTCTTTTTACTCATTGGTTATACCATCGGACCGATGACTCATTTCCTTCACGTACACTTCTGTTCCTCTCGCATTCACAGTACCTATTATAGTACTTAGTCCTCAACAGACGGACCTGCCCTAGATAGGACCTAACTCCTATCACCAATTCCTTTCCATTATAAATACCATGTAACAGCAGTAGTATTCTCTAATACGATTCTACGCAGTTTATGCTTACAAAGCTAGACTCCTAAGATCAGACTTCTATTCAGAAGAAGACCAACTCCCGTTGGAAAACCTCCATTCAGAACTACGTTCTCGAACTTGTCTTCGGATAAGTCTCTTTACAACCTCGACGAACCCTCAGACTTTGTTAAGCACTTCGTGCGTAACAAGCGGATGATGAAGGGCATGGCCGGCGGCAGCTCTGGTTCCGGAAACCGGGGACCCAATGGTCGGTACCAAGGAGAGGGCGCTTTGGAGAAGAAGGCCGAGATGGTGGAAGAGAAGAAGGACGGGACTGGAACCACTTATGGTGGAGCCGGTCAAAGAATGGAAGTCGATAAGGTGAAGTACCGAGCAGAAGGCAGGTGCTTCAAGTGTGGAGAAAAGGGACACAGAGCCCAGGACCATAAAAAAGGAGGCAGTGCAGCTGCAAAACCAAAGTTTAACCTTTGAGCTATGCTAGAAGGAATGACGAAAGAAGAGTGGGACAAACTGCTCAAGGATTTTTAAAGAGGCCGGCTGTGACTCCTTGTCAGACCGAGCCAAAGAACACTGAAAATGTAAATAGATATGCCTCTCTCCCTGTTGACAATCTTGATGCATGTAGTACCAATGAAAATGAAATTACATTATTTAAAAATGCACAAGATCTGAAACAGAAAGAGCAATCTAAAGAGGAGAGCCTGAAAGGGAAACGGGCTGAAAAGATTCCCAAAACAGAAACAACTAAAGTACAGAATGAAGTGACTCAATTGGGTAGCACTTCTGACACTGATACCTTGACACGTTCTGAAGAGGTCAGGCACACCTCTAATAAAAACCTAGAAACGGCACGCAAGGTACCTAAAGGGGATAGGACCATAAAAAGTGCAGCAAAGAAGGAGACAACTGAAGGACAGAATGTGGTGGCTCAATTGGGTAGCACCAATGATACTGATACTACGACCAGCTCCAAAGAGGTCAGGCACACCTCTAATAAAAACCTAGAAAAAGAAAAAAGGAAACTAGTAACAGCAGCGTGGACTCCCAAGTGGGTAGCAGAAAGACTTAGAGACCAAAAGGAAGAGAGATCCATTGGAATCTTAAACGCCTGGACGCACCATAAAAGGGGAAAAGAAGCAACAAGAGAGACAATAAAAGAACTCAATGCATTATCATTACATGATGCCAAGTTAGCCATTCTTGAACTTTACACCCCAAAAAAGTACATTCGAGGAACACAGGGAAATCAAATGAACATTACCTGCAGATTAACTACTCTAGACACGCAAAGATCAACGACAATCCAAGCACTGCTAGATAGCGGATGTACAGGAAGTTGCATAGATTCCAAATTTGTAAAAAACCAAAAATATCAGACTCATCAGATACCGAGAACAATACCAGTATACAATGCAGATGGAACTCTGAATAAGGACGGAGCCATCAAAGAGTTCGTAGAACTTAGAATGGAAATTGATGACCATTCTGAAAGAATTCATTTCGCTGTCACCAATCTTGGCAGTGGGAGAATGTTCTTAGGACATGAATTGTTATCAAAGCATAATCCAAGCATTGACTGGAAAAAATCGGATATCAAGTTTGAAAGGTGTCCGGAGGAATGCAAGCGAAAGATCCGACTCTCTGATCCAGAGGAAGATCCAGAAACATACTCCGAAGAAGTAGACTTCCCAGATGGGGATCAGCTGATCCAGGTAGATCTACTTAATTATGAGGAAACCAAAACTCCAGAACATCTTTACCAGGTAAGAGCTACAGGCACAACTGCACAACAACTTGCCAAAGCCGCTGGGAAAGATCGAAAAGAAGGAGGTTTTGATAAGATAGTCCCAAAATATCTCCACAATTACAAAGACGTATTTGATAAAGAGAGTTTTGATGCATTACCAGAAAAACACGAATGGGATCATGCCATAGAACTGATCCCACGGGAACATAAACTAGATTGCAAAGTGTACCCTTTAGCGTTAGGAGAGCAACAGCAATTGGATGAGTTCATTAAAGAAAATTTAGAATCAGGCAGAATATGCCCCTCTAAATCCCCATTTGCTTCACCATTCTTCTTTGTAAAAAAGAAAGATGGAAAACTCAGACCAGTACAAGGCTATCGAAAACTGAACGATATTACCATCAAAAATTGATATCCATTACCATTGATAAACAAATTAGTGGATAAACTACGTGGAGCCAAATACTTCACAAAGTTAGATATACGGTGGGGATACTAATAAACCTAAGTGACACTCAGCCGCTGCCCGAGAGGCTATAGAAACCACTTTATTATTTACCTAAGTGAAACTACAATAGATGTTAGTTTAAGGTGATCTCTAATAAATGTAATGTAACATACCTCAGCCGCTGCCCGAGAGGCTATAGAAACGACTGAGGTATTCCTATACTAAACCCCCTACTACTTATAGTCGGAGGTGCTACTCGCTACAGTATAATGACTCCTAGGAGAACAATGGTTACTCCATGGAGTGGTGGCTATGCTCCATGGAGAACAATGGCTGCTTCGGCAGAGACCGGGTTTATCCGGTTTTGTCAGATACAACAACATTCAAATCAAAGAAGGAGACGAAGAGAAAGCAGCTTTCAGAATGAATAGAGGGCTATACGAACCATTAGTCATGTTCTTTGGACTCACAAATTCACCAGCAACTTTTCAAACGATGATGAATGCACTATTTAAAGATCTGATTGATGAAGGAAAGGTTGTAATATACCTTGACAACATCATGATCTTCACGACAACAATAGAGGAACATCGGGCAATGACGCGCCGAGTACTTGATATATTATGAAAGAATCACCTATACTTGAAACTGGAAAAATGCAATTTCGAAGAAACCTCAGTAGAATACCTTGGTCTAATCATATCCCAAAACAAAATCCGCATGGATCCGATTAAAGTAAAAGGTATTCTAGACTGGCCAGAATACAAGTCAAAGAAAGAAGTACAAGCATTTCTAGGCTTTGTCAATTTCTATAGACGCTTCATAGAAGGGTTTGGGTTGATTGCCAAACCACTGACTAAATTGACTGGAAAAGAAGAGTTCACATGGGGACCGGAACAACTAAAAGCATTCACAGAAGTCAAACACAGAGTTAGTTCCACCCCAGTACTCGCCTTACCAGCCGATGATGGACAGTACAAAGTAGAAGCTGACAGCAGTGACTTCGCCATGGGAGCAGTGTTATCACAAAGACAGAATGGCATATGGAAACCTATTGCATATCTCTCAAAAGCGCTAAATCCTACAGAACGCAATTATGAGATTTACGATAAGGAACTCCTAGCCATTATGACGGCATTAGAAGAGTGGAGGCACTACCTGATTGACGCAAAAGAGGACTTTGAGATCTGGACAGACCACCAGAATCTCCTATATTTTAAACAACCTCAAAAACTCAATTGGAGACAGGCACGATGGGTCACGGAGTTAAGCAATTATAAATTTACACTACACCATACTCCAGGAACCAAACACATCAAAGCCGATCTACTCTCGAGACGAGCCGATCATGATAGGGGGGCGGAAGACAACAAAGGTGTCATTGTACTAAAAAAAGAACTTTTATACGAATGACTCTCACACCCGAACAAAGGATAGAGATGGACAAAACGGATAAAAAAAGCATAGAAATGTATAAATGGATAAAGAAGAGGATGACAAATGTGGATGATTTAATAAAGAAAGTAGGAGAGAAGATGGGTGGTGGGAAGATCACGAAGGATTCATATTCTTCAAAGGAAGGATGTATGTCCCAAAAGATGCAAAGCTCAGAGAGAAAATCATACACGAAAACCACGATTCCATTATAGCTGGTCACCCAGGACAATACAAAACAAAAGAACTCATCACACGAGAATACTGGTGGCCATACATAGACAGAGATATCAAAAGATACGTCGAAGGATGTGAAACGTGCCAAAGAACCAAACCAATTCATCAGAAAAAGGCAGCACCGCTCCATCCAAATGAAATCCCTACATGGCCATGGGAAATCATAACTGTCGACCTCTTAGGACCTCTACCAGAATCACAAGGTTATAACATGATTATGATAGTGGTAGATCAATTTTCAAAAATGATTTGAGTCATACTGACACAAGCAGAGCTTACGTCAGAAGAAGTAGCAAGATTATTCCGAGACAATGTTTTCAGACACCACAGATTACCTAACAAAGTAATCTCAGATCGTGGAACTCAGTTCGTCTCAAACTTCATCAAAGATCTCTATACCCTTCTAGACATCAAAGGAAATCCATCTACGGCTTACCACCCACAAACAGATGGACAGACTGAATGAGTAAACCAAGAGATAGAACAGTATCTCAGGATATTCGTAAACCACAAACAGACAGATTGGGCAGAACGGTTACCACTCGCAGAACTTTCATACAACAACAAAGAACACAGTGCAACTGGTC